CATACCTCAGGTGTGTTGCATGTGTGAAAAGTTAAGAAATTCCCAAATGCTACAGTCTTTTGGGAAATATTCCAGAATAACAACTATCAGAAATAATAAAACTAAATTCCATGCCTTGCTCTCCACATATATAAAAAATAAATAGTACTGTGGGTACTGGGCTCACATGGTGTTGCTCAAAAGTGAATGAAGGCTAAAATGGCAGAAAATAAAGAAAAACAGATATTACTTTTTGTTGATTTTTTGTAACAAATTATTTCATACAACTACTCTTTACAGTGACATGACTTTTTACAATGCAGGACACCTCAAATTATTTGTAAAGCTAGGAAATGGGCCACAAGTGAATTTCGCAAGACAAAAATGGCGACCATTTTGAAAATAGGCAAGCTTTTGAGCCAGGAGTCATAGGAGAGTTTTCTGTATTGATGTTGAACAAAAATAACTTAAAACGTAATCCTTTTGACAGAGGTTTAAGGCAAATGGTCCAAAAGTTGATTCCGCGAGATAGATGGACAAATCAATGTTAGCTAAAATGGGTGAAAATAAGAAAATGGATAAAATATTTTGCTGATTTTTTGTAACAAAATTATTTCATATAACTACTCCTTACAGTAGCATGGCTTTTTACAATGCAGGACACCTGAACTTAATTGTAAAGCTAGGAAATGGGCCAAAAGTGAATTTCGCAAGATGAAAATGGTGACCATTTTGAAAATAGGTGAACTTTTGAACCAGGAGTCATAAGGGAGTTTTCTGTATTGCTATTGAACAAATATAACTTAAAATGAGAATCCTATCGACACAGGTTTTAAAGCAAACGGTCCAAAAGTCAATTTCACAAGAAAAAAATGGCGGCCATTTTGAAAATAGGCAAGCTTTTGAACCAGGAGTCATAGGGGGAATTTCTATATTGATGTTGAACAAAAATAACTTAAAATGGGAATCCTGTTGACAGAGGTTTTAAAACTGGCCAATTGTTGACAGACGGACAGACAGATGGACAGACAGACAGACTGACAAGTGAGCGATTGCAAAAGCTCACCATGTGAGCTAAAAAAGTCATATCAGGTCACATGTCCTTATTGTTAGGTAAGTGTCTAAATATGCTCTGGTTCATCCAAGGTACACATTGTCTTCTGCTTATGCTTGGAAGTCATTAAAAGAATTTCAATCATACTTTTACTCTCTACCTACCATGTGACCCCGTTTAAAAGGGATACGGGTTACAGTGAAGTTGTAAATGGAGCGGGTATTCTCTATCATTGTTTATAGGTCTTTTCTTGTAATAATGCAAACTCCTCAATGAATCTATATGATGTACATATAGTAGAACACTTGGAATAAATGTAAAATCTAGTGGCCTCTAGTATACCCTCAGAAATATGGAAATAAACAAACCTCCTCCATTTGTAACTTCACTGTAGCCTGTATCCATTTGATAAGTCTACAAAGTTCAATCACCTAAGTTTAGATTCCTAATTTCCTCCAAAATGCTTTGATTAGTTATCATTATATAACTAAACAATTACATAAAACAAAATAAAATACTGCTAGAACAATGTTACATCAAATTTCACTTTCAGATTGTAAGATTGTCTTTAATATTGTAACATTTTCCTGGAGGCGTGGCTATGGCCAGGAATGCGGGGAAAATGGGAGGAGGTGGACTCTCCTACGTGTTACTTATTTGCGGGATTATATGGAGCGGCGTTAACTCCGCTCGCTACAGTCGCTTGAGATGTTACTCCAAGGGAATGTAAGGGGAAAGAAAGTATGCAATCTGGGGTTTGCGCTACACTAGTTCCATCTGGAACTCACTACAACACAACAATGAACATTCAAGTACAAAAAAGAAACAAAGTTATATATTTGCTCTTTATGAGCCAAAACAATGTAACTTTGGATAAGCTTTAAGATGATATACACTCCCCTCCATAAGTTTGGCAACCTTTTTTCCCCCATTGAACTACGTGTTAAAGCCTCTTTACCTTTGAATTTTTATTTACTTAACCTGCGATGAAAATACTTATACTATTGATGGAAACGTAAATTGACTTTAATTCCAATACCTCCAAATTTTCTCAATTTGTTCCTCATTTACAATAGGTAGAAAATTGATGATGAATTTGAGGAATTTTTGAAAATCGACATTCCCATGTTAACCAATGGGAAATGGTAGGTTTGCCGCAAGTCATATGACAGAATATCCATCCATCCGAGTCCTTGCAAAAAATACGAGTTAGGCAGGCAATTGAATTTGCTAACTTTATTTAATAAAAAATTGATATGTTTCTTCAGGTTCAACAAAGTTATAGGGCTTTAAAGTCAAAATTGTTTTTCAAAAAACCTCTCCCATTGAAATAACACAGGAGGCGAAAAATTATTTTCAAACATGACTTTGAAGCGCTGTAACTTTAATATTCATCAAATAAACTAAACACTTAGTGTTAAAAAAGTTAGACAATTCAATTTTCTATATAACAATATTTTTTGCTGAATCTTTTACTGAAAAGATATCCTGATTTCTGATTTGCCCCGAACCCTCCATTTCCCATTGTATTACATGGAAATGACGATTTTCAAAAATTCATCAAATTTATCATCAATTTTCGACCTATTGTAATTGAGGAAAAAAATTGAAAAAATTTGGAGGTATTGGAAATAAAGTCAAGTTACGTTTACATCAATATTATAAGTTATTTCATCGCCGGTTAAGTAAATAAAAATTCAAATGTAAAGAGGCTTTAACACGTAGTTCAATGAGGAAAAAAGGTTGCCAAACTTATGGAGGGGAGTGTATGACACATACTATGGAGACATTTGTATATGTCTGGCTAGGGGGGCATACTTTTGGCACACCCTGTAGTTTTATGCAATTTTTTTTATTTAAAGATGACCACACAATTTTTATTTCTAACCAAAATAAGGAGTTAAACTGTTTGAAATTTTGTTGTGTAACCATTAGATATATCTATTTCACATACATTCCATGTTTAAGAACTCGTGTTGGTCGGTTAGAGTAGACTGCAAATTTTGTATTGTTCTTCAGATTCTTGCTTCATAAAAATGTCTGCCTAATGTGGAATTGTTTCGGAAAATCTTTTTTTCCAGCCAATATAATAGGTATTACTGTTTAAAATATGTCTATTTCACATATATTCCATGTTTTTCGGGCTGATCCCATTTTTAGACCTGACATTGAAATTTGCAGTAATTTCATAGTATCCGAAGAATTTTTTTTTCGAGGAGATCAGAATTATTATTATCCCATCGAACAAAGTTCGGAGGGATATAGGGAACGCCTCCGTCCGTCCGTACGTACGTACGGGTACGTACATCCGTCCGTCCGTCCGTCTGTCTGTCCGTCCGTCCGTCCGGGCAATAACTCAAATACCGTTGGCCCGATTTTGTTCAGATTTTGTACACATATACCCTATGGGAGTAGAAGTTCTGCTCAAAAGCCGATTTTCAAAATGGCCGCTCATTTCAAAATGGCGGCCATTTTAGTGCCGATTTTACAGTAATTTAGGTGCAATATGTAAAACTGTAATAGCAATATGTTTTAAATGTAAAAAAATTATAAAGGACATTTATAATGCTACAAATGTAGATATTAAAGAAGCACATGGCAGCCATCTTGAAAAATGGCCGCCTTTACTCGTCATTTTACGATTTTTGCTGTAACTCAAAAAATAGTGGAGCGATTTTGTTCATATTTGGTATGTGAATACTATAAGCATTGCACACTGTCTAAAGACACTTTTGGTAGAAGGCGGCCGTTTTGAAAAATGGCCGCCATTCTAACGTATTTTACTATAACTCGAAAAGTTTTGGAGCGATTTTGTTCATATTTGGTATGTGAATACTATAAGCATGACACACTGTCCTATGACATTTTTGGTAGAAGGCGGCCATTTTGAAAAAAAATTTGAAAAATGGCCCCCATTTTAACGTATTTTACTATAACTCGAAAAGTAGTGGAGCGATTTTGTTCATATTTGGTATGTGAATACTATAAGCATGGCATACTGTCCTATGCCACTTTTGGTAGAAGGCGGCCATTTTGAAAAATTTTTGAAAAATGGCCGCCATTTTAACATATTTTACTATAACTCGAAAAGTAGTGGAGTGATTTTGTTCATATTTGGTATGTGAATACTATAAACATTGCACACAGTCTAAAGACACTTTTGGTAGAAGGTGGCCATTTTGAAAAATAGCCACCATTTTAACATATTTTACTATAACTCGAAAAGTAGTGGAGCGATTTTGTTCATATTTGGTATGTGAATACTATAAGCATGGCACACTGTCTATTTCTAATGACACTTTTGGTAGAAGGTGGCCATTTTGAAAAATGGCCGCCATTTTAATGTATTTTACTATAACTCAAAAAGTAGTGGAGCGATTTTGTTCATATTTGATATGTGAATACTTTAAGCATGGCACATTGTCTAATAAAACTTTGGGGAGTAGTCGGCCATTTTGAAAAATAGCCACCATTTTTATGTGTGTTATTTTACAAGTACTTGTGCGATTTTTCAAAAATTTTAGAGGTAGCTACTTAAAAGCATATTATCTCTCCTAATGACAACTTGGCTAGTGAGCAACCATTTTGAAAATGGTGGCCTTTCTGGTATGTTGTTTTATGATATTTGCTATTCATTTGTAAAAATGCCAGCCATTTCTGTTTGATGGGATTCGCTACGCTTTGGCGTTGCCGTTGTTCTGGTTTCACTTATCTTATTCATGCTTTAGAAAATCAAAACAGCAACCTATAATGCAAGAATTCTCAATAATAAGAATATCTCTTTAAAGTATGATAATATCATATGGAAATATCATATATTGTGTCTTATTACAGATTCATGAAAATTTGTTCGTTTGTGTTTGAAATTGCCATTTTCTAGTTGACAGCTTTGCCAGCTTTTATTGCCTAAATTGTAGACTATATTTATAAAGCATTCTTAGTAACTTACTGTTGACTTTATTTACAGAGCACGTCTATGGGGTGATTTGGCCAAAGTTGCTCGCAAACAGGAGGTTTGGGATGTCTGCCGTGTAGCTAGCAGATTCTGTATTCTCTATGACGACAGCAGATGGAAATCCAATTTGCCAGATGAAAAAATGTAAATGAATTATATTATTATATTTTGTTAAAACAGACAAGTAAAAGCTCATTGTTTCATCTTTTTTACCACCATACGTGTTATTGTACAATTAATGCACAATAAAAAAATAAAGGAGAGATTTAAAATATTAATTATTTAAATCTATGCTTGATTGTTGTTCCATGACAGTGATATATCATAGATAACATGTAGCTCTGTGTGATAATTGTTCAGATACTTGGAAAATTCAATACTCATGGAAATATGAAATAATTTACATGTTTGCCTTCAGTGGCAGTCACTTCATGTATTTGTATAATATTTGATTGATATGTCCAATTTAAAAAATAACAATGAGATCAGGTATCATAATTGTAGTAAGGTGTTTTACTTTCCATTGTTCAGCTCAAAATCAAAGCGGTCCAATACAATTGTGAGGGAGACTACCCAAGCACGAGATAATCTTGCCGATGTTGATACTAGAACAGAGGCCTCCATGGAGTCTAGTGCTACATTGCAAGCTGAAGGGACAGATCTAGGTACAAAAATAAACATTTATTTGAGTGTTGCCATGATTAAGTATAGAATTCTAACCCTTTCTTAATAATCTACAAGGCAGGATGCAACATACTGTACTGACATCTACAGAAGTTATAGAATCCATATACATATACACATAGACCATACTGACATCTACAGAAGTTATAGAATCTATGTACATACATAGACCATGCTTGACATTCTGCCACAGTCATAAACCATTGTCAACATTCCACCTTCCAACATAGACATAAACTATGTGTCACATACTACCTGTATATAAGATCACAATATCGCTCTTCCGCTTAGAGAAAATTCTTCCTTTTTCAGGAGCCTCGGGCAGTAGAAAGAAGAAAGGGGACAGTAGACCAGGAAGCCCTACAAGGAAAGAAGTAGGACTCTATGACAGAGATCTGGTCCGCATGTTAGCTGAAGTTCACTTTATATATGGAGAGGTAACCCATAATTAGAATCCCTCATGGTGATAACATTGGCTCACACAAAATGCAGCACGCTGAGTTCGAAGCACTTGAACGCTGCTTATTTTAATTTTAGACTTATTGATGAAATTTCGTTCACTGACTTTATGTGCTCATTCCTTTTTACTCAAGATTCTATATTGTTTCTATTTGTACAAATTTTATATATTATGCATGATATCTGTTTTAATAACTATTTGTCCCTATATTTCAGGGTATGGTACATCTGTTGAGGTCCCAGGGTGTTGAGCTTAATGATATCCCTACTGCCCCCAAGGACACAAGTAAACATCCTAAAGGGTACATCCCCAAGAAGCCAGCTGATGATCCTGAGTGGGCGGAATACTGGTGTGTAAATCTCTTCAATTCTTGTCCAAATTACAAGTTTTATATCCCATGAGGTTTATAATATCGTCATGTGTAACGTACATGCAGATTTAAAATAAAAATACACAAGCATCCACTCGGTTGATTGCTTGGTTTGTTTATTATGTCACCACTAGAAGTTTTGACATATTGTTGTAGTCTCCAATCTTTTGTGGATGGTGTTCAGTGGTTGGTGTTCAGCACCTGTAACAAATGTCAAGTAGTGTTAAGTGGTGACTTGCAGTGTTAATGCCTTGTTAATGTTTGCACATGATCTGATCTCATGATAATTCTGCACTTGTCAGCAAATGTTTCATGCTTTATTGTATTGTATTTATTGTATTACAGTGATTGGATACGCTCTCTCAGTAAGTGTGCCCAGGAAAGCTTCATGAGGGCTTCTGTGTTAGGGTCAGAACTGAAGGAGCCATGGATCCTCTGCAGTGCTGCGGCATACATCTGGAACTACAATAACCACATTCTCACCCAGTTCAGGCATAGGGAGATCTTAGATATCATGATTACAGTGCTAGAAGGCATCAGAGCAGTTGGGCATGCTGGGTAAGGATATTCAATTGGAGTTTCATATCTGCTTGCACAACATAAAATAATGAGTCATTTTGAGATTTAAGGAGACTCCCTTGATATGAATGAATGTAAAATTACATGAATTTGCATTCATTACTTCAAATTATGCTGACATAAGTAATATCAAGTAATATCAATGGTTAACATGATACAGTTTCTCCCACAAATGTTTGTTTATTGGGGGGATTTACTACTCCATGCAATTGCTGTTTTTCTAGTTCGAAACCCAATTTGTGACACTTTATTGACTCAAATGTGTTTCAGGGAGACAACTCTACTGACTAACCTGTGTAATGCTATAGCACAGGGTCTCATTCTGCCCTGGATTCCTGTGGAAGAAACTAAAGATGGCACTGTCATCACAGCTATGACTGATGATGCATCGGCAGTGGGCTCCAAAGCAGGTCAGTCTTTGTTTATGTACATCAAAATGGAAAAGTGTTATTGGTTAGTGTCTTGATATTATTTGGGTTTCAGAGTATATGTCTATGGACTTATGTTTCTATAAAATATAAGAACCAATCAGATTTCTGTTTCTAGACAAAAAAAGTGCATGATAATTGTTGTCAGTTCTGAAAACTGATTGCATTTTATTTTCTGCTTGCAGAGTGCATTTAAACTCTGTCATATATATACTGGCCAAAATTGACTTCTAGATCAGTATATGTATTAGAATATTTTATTATGTATCCTGAAATACTCTGTATGATGAACTTTCTAGCACTATTCTTGCATTAACCTCTTGACTACCTGGAGTGACGAGATATCTCGTCACCTCAGAAATGACCTTGAAACCCAGAGTGACGAGAAAATTTGTCACAAAATTTTTGATTGATCAATTTTTTTTATTTGAACAATTTTCATCCAATTTACATAAAACTTGTTTTAAAGTTTGTAGAAATGATCTCCCCCGTCTGATTTTACTAAATTGAGCATCTAAAGTTGTATATCATATTAGTAGCAAAATGTCAAAAGGTGGCAAAAATGAAAAATTCTCTGGTTTCAACCGATTTTAGAGCATGGGATTAAGAGGTTAATACAACGCATCTGTGTAATATATTTTATTTTTGTTTCTCCTTTTCAGTTTTTACTCATGCCATGTTGAACATTTCAGATATAAAGAAAAAGCAATCTGTTCTTGGCTCCATGTCTAAAGGCAAAATACAACTTCAAATTCCCGCTGAAGCCAATGATGATTTGAAGAAAGCACTCTCGGTGAGTTACTTCCTTACAGGAAATTGGTGTGTTTCATAACACAACATAACTGAAACTCGATATTTTTAATAACAAAGTTATAAAAGTTGGAACTTGATATTTTGATAGAGGACTAGTCTTACTAATTGACATGTAATGTCTCATGTTAAAAAATCTGTGAATCTTAAATATAATCATTACATTTTATTTTACATTCTATCTTATATGCTCATATGTTTCATGAGATTAAGAGATACAAATTATATCATGATACTGTATCAATTATGTCATAAAGTTTAATGTTCAGTGTAGTTATTGTGAGTACAAGAACATCATTTCAAAAGAAAATATTGTGAAATATTGGAGGACCGAAGGCCCATGGTCCAATATTTCATTATTTTGCCCGCAGAAATGACGTTATTAGTATCATTACCACCATTTATGCCCAGGGCTGAATTAGCAAGAACTGAATACCACTGAACAAAAATTATATGCATTGAACGATATCTCATTTCCCAGGGAACATCGCTGGGCGTTAATCCATTATTGGTCCGCCACTATGGCCAGCCACTATGACGTCACATATTGCTCAGGTCATATAGTAAAATAAATGCCTTCTAAACTAGTACTTATACCCCTAGAAAGGTTGGCAAGGTGGTAATAATAATGCAATGGATGATTAAGCAGGTTTTCAAACTAAACAATGTAACAGACAGCCAAATCTGCTCACTGTGTTTATGATAACATCAATATACAAGTAACTGAATTGTATTGTTTCAGACATGTAAGTTTGGCCTTGATGTGACAAATGGCAGCATACCCACCAACATGGTGCCGATAGCCATCAGGCAGCCATTGCTACAGACTTGGGTGAAGGTGAAGCAGATGATCAACCAACAGATTGACAAGAAGCTTGGTACTGATGATGAGGTAAAGAAATGTTTGAACACCAGCATACACTTCAACTACGACACTGTGTAGAATGTCAATTTTGACAATGTTGGATGTAATATGCACAGCTTCCAGTTTGTATAGAATGTCAATATTGATAATGTTGGATGTAATATGCACAGCGTCCAGTTTGTATAGAATGTCAATATTGATAATGTTGGATGTAATATGCACAGCGTCCAGTTTGTATAGAATGTCAATATTGATAATGTTGGATGTAATATGCACAGCGTCCAGTTTGTGTAGAATGTCAATTTTGATAATCTAACACAAAACATGAGCAATTTCTAGTTTGTCTCGTCTTAATCTAACATTGTCATGATTGCATCTAGGGATCTCCTAAGAAGAGCACACATAGAAAACCTATCTAATTGGAACATCTTTGGATCCTCTAAAAAGTGTTCCTACTTCTAGAGGTGTTCCACTTTATTGGTTTCACTGTATTAAGATAAAATATTTTTCAGAGTAAATATCACATAAGTTTAATTTTTTCAACACCATTGATTCTAGATTGACTACATAAATCTAGAATTATTGTGAATGATAAATACAATCGTCTTTTATTGATTTTTCTGTAGCAACATCATGAAAGTGTACTGAACCTCAAGTAAACTAGGAACTCAAATGACTCTTCTAAGATCTTTTCCACACTTATAGCTACCTTATGCAAGCTTGAAATATTCAATAATATTTAAAGAACAACTTTGATTATATCTGAACTTTTGTTAAAGTATCTGGTATATTGCAAAATTAGAATTGTTTTTTTTATCCAGTATTGTTTCTGGATTAGCTATTTTTACATTCTGTATTCAAAGGAGAGTAAGGAAGGACAGAAGCCAATGACTAGGTGTATCGTTGCTACGGAGATGCTTACACTGAACGGCAATGGCCTCATGGAGTTCAGAGAAGGACCCAATCTTGCTGAGGTGAGTGACATGATCATTTTAATTGGCTTAAGACAATACACACATGACAAACATGACACAAGCAAGAGTAACATTACTAATTAGCATGCCTGTTTTCTGATATCAAGCTTTTATTACAGACTGTTGAAATGGTATCTGAGTGTGAATGGGCTGATAAGCTGGTTGAGCTTCAGATATGGACCCGTCTCTCATCTCTGGCTCACTCCCTTAAGGACCATGAACATGTGATGTTGTGTAGCAACAAGGCCCTGGCATTTGCAGATGTAGGCACACAGCCAAAGGGAAAGACTGCAGATAGGTTAGCTTATGTTTAGATTTGAAGAAAAAAGCCACATTTCTTGCTAATACAGTATTATTACCAGCTCCCACATCTGTTCACCCCTGACATTTGGTTAACCAAGCACCCAAGTACTAATAGTTATTGTTAATATTTTAGATTCATTTTAGATTTACATGTACAGGGCGTTCAATAAGTATTGCTAATTTTGCTATAACTTTTGTTCTGTTTGCTTTTTCTTCATGAAACTCTCACAACATAAAGCACATATATCTGACTTTATTCTATGAAAGTTTTAAGACAATCGAATCAGTATTAACAAAGTTATGGTTACTAAGGTAACCAGTATCATGGATATGCGGGGCAAATTTCTGACGTCACTTTTGACGACATTTTGAGTGTTGGAAGCAGTATCATTTAATGCAGTTTAACTCTTGGGATATGCAGTGCAGTTATAAATAAATCCATGCCAGAGTCACTTCATGATCCATATTAGCTTCATGAGGTGCTCAAAATAGGCAGGTACCCTGAGCATCAATTCACAGTTGCAGTCTGGCGACCCACTTGTGGTACACACTTTTGAAACCCTTAAAGTGTGTGGCTAGGGAGGTGTTCACTGCAGACATCAGCTGATTGAGATTCTGGTGCAATATTCCTCTCGGATCCCTTTTCACTGAGGGAATACAACAAAATCAAATGGGGCCTTATCTGGGAAATAGGGCAATGCTTCCATGTGAAGCTCTGTTAATGTATTTAGGAGACTAGAGGATCTGCGAGCAGGGGCGTTATCCTGGTGGACCGTATAGGTCGATATTGCTCTTTGAGGACGTTGAAGTGTGTGGCCAGGGGTGTGCAGTGTTCACTGCAGATATCCGCTGGTTGAGATTCTAGTGCGATATCCCTCTCAGATCTCTTTTCACCGCTGTTAGATAATACATATAATTCAAACTGACAGCATCAAGATTTGACCATATCAACAGTTTTTATTCATCAAAGTGTTTATTTGATGTATAACAATAATTCATCATGTAAACCCTTAAGGTTGCCCCGCATATCCGTGACAATGGTTACCCTAGTAACCATAATTTTGTCAATACTTAGTTGGTTGTCCAGAAATGTGGATAGTATAAGGTCAGATATGTGTTGCTTATGTTGTAAAAGTTTCATGAAGAAATATGCAAGATAACGAAAGTTATAACAAAATTAGCAATACTTATTGAACGCCCTGTATATTCACAAACTCATAAGGCTATACATATCAACTATTAAGCCCCATTCTATATTTCAGTCACAAGGCTATGGTTGAACAGGAGATGCTATGCTTTGCTAGTTGCATTCAGGGACAGAGTCTCATGGAGAATATGGCTGGCAGTAATGCTGTCAGGAGGCAGGCATTGGCTGCTTTTCTCAACAGTGCAAGGTTAGTCTCAGTAGAATTCATATTCTCAACAGGTTATTTCATTCAGCTATCTCATTGGCCACTCATTGACAATCATATGACTGTCTGGGAGGAGGTAATCCCAAAAAGGATAGGTCGTTGTAGATACAGCTGTCTGATTGGCCACTTTCAATCATGTGACTGGGATGAGGCAATCACAGAAGGGATGCTCAAATGGAACTCCAAATTCATCTTGGATAAAATTATGCTTGTACAGTTTCTTTCAGTTTCAGCCAAGAACTCATGTGTGGAGTCCCTATTATTGGCCATTATTTCCTGTTATATTGAGTCCTTAGAAATACATGTTCCCTTATTTAATTTATTAGAACAGCATTTGAAATAATACAAATAATGGCAACCTCTCATATGTTTTACTGTTGTATCTTATTCAGGTTTGCACGTAATGCGAACAATGCCAAGCTTGTGATGACAGCAGCAAGGCACTACTGGAACAGTGTTATTCCCCTGGTAAAGCTACCAATGGAGAGAGAGCTACTCAAGGAACCTCTCAGGATGATGCTACAATGCATCAATGCTACTGCACCAAAGAAGATTGTCAAAGAGGTATGAATATAATTGAAATGAATTGTACAAGAATGTCGAACTTTTATTTTGAAAATCAATAATCTTTGTGTGCCAGTATATCAAAAAATGACCATATATGTATGTATGACAGTGACATAGATATTTGTAAAGTTTGTTAAAATATTGCAGAGTGGCATGTGTCTAGCTGTAATGAAACAAACATGCAAAAATCGGCACATGTGCGTTGCTCACTTACAATATATATTTGTTCATAATACCATGTCCATGTTACACCAATGAGAATATTTCCTGACAAGGAGAGCATTGGATAGAAACCGAAAAATAACTTACCTGATTTGTTTCAATGACATATTATGTATTGTTGTAGGATAAGGGCAGTGATGATGAGGGTGAGACTGGTGGAGAGCCAGGTCTAGCTGCACTGAAGGAAGCAGCTGTAACAACTGGTGCAGGGGACCCTGATGATGACATAGCTCTACGTGCAGCCCTCTATGGTGTCATGTTCCAGTCATATGCTGACTCTGGGGACTGGGAGAATGGCCTAATGGAGATGGAACAGGCTGTTAATGATATGCCAAGGACAAAACATAGACTGTAAGTACAGGGTGTCCCAAAATTGTATGGTCAGCTGAAAGGCAAAACACAGACTGTAAGTACAGGGTGTCCCAGTAAAAGTAAAAAATTCGTAAACTGATGTGTGGAAAGAACATGTGAGCTAGTTTGCACAGATACAACCAAAATACAATTTTACTCAGACTTTACTCATCATTTGACCTAAAAATAGTGTCTTATGAAAACATTGAACATTGTTGTTGTTACTGTAGGTTGATCTTCAAGCATCTGATCATAGCAAAAGCAAAGACAGGGAAGAATGTTGGAATGAGCATTCAGAAATTCCAAAATGAGAGTGAGGACTATGTGGCGCATATGTGGCGCAGGGTGGCACTATGTTCCAAGGAACAACTAGAGCAGCTTGAGGCCTACCAAAAAGCTATTGAGGCCTTAGAGGTACTGTCCTGTTATTTGTGCTTATTTCGGAAAATTTAAGATCATAAAATTCAGTATTTTCAACTATGGTTAAACATACATCACAATTCTGTTTTGATAAAATACCAGTTTTTCTTAAAAGATTATTCCGAAACAAGACAATATGTTATATTTTTAGTAATCTATATTACATAAATTCACAGCAAATAAGTCTTTCTATAGGTTACAAAATAATGCTAGTAAGAGAGACACTAAAACTGTCAGATTTTCTTCAAATTTATACTCTGTTTTGTGTGCTTTGATGTATTTTACAATAAATACATGTCATATTATTTATGGAGAACCATCTAATGATCCATAGACTCTGCATCAGCTTGATGTATTAGTAATATTACTGTCTTACCATTTTCAGAGTGAGCCAACCCAATGGCAGAAGTTTGACTACTTGTTAGAGTTTGGCCAATGGCTTTATTGTAATGAGTTCCCTCTAAATGATGCCCTTGACCAGCTGGAGTGGACCATAGATATACTGCTGAATATGAAGTTTGAAAGGCCCTCAACAAGGCAATGTAGGTTTTTAATTCTAAAAGTTACTTTTAAATCATTTTTTATCCTTTGTTGCCTTATAATAGATGTTTTATATTCAAATCTATTATTTATATACTATTATATAAAGCATAGTTAAGCAATTTAATTTGTTTTCATAGTATTACTGCATATTGGGACTTTAAGGCCCAATTCAATGTTTTAAGTTTTTTTTAGCTCACATGGTGAGCTTTTGCAATCACTCACTTGTCCGTCTGTCCGTCCGTCCGTCCGTCTGTCCGTCCGTCCGTCCGTCTGTTCGTCCGTCAACAATAGTGGCACGTTTTAAAACCTCTGTCGATAGGATTCCTGTTTTAAGTTATTTCTGTTCAACATCAATACAGAAAACCCCCCTATGACTCCTGGTTCAAAAGCTCGCCTATTTTCAAAATGGCCGTCACTTTTGTCTCGCGAAATTCACTTTTAGCCCATTTCCTAGCTAACCTCTGTCGATAGGATTCTTGTTTTAAGTTATTTATGTTCAACATCAATACAGAAAACCCCCCTATGACTCCTGGTTCAAAAGCTCGCCTATTTTCAAAATGGCCGTCACTTTTGTCTCGCGAAATTCACTTTTGGCCCATTTCCTAGCTTTACAAATAATTTCAGATGACCCACATTGTAAACATCAATACAAAAACTCTCCTATGACTCTTGGTTCAAAAGCTCGCCTATTTTCAAAATGGTTGCCATTCTTGTTTTGCGAAATTCACTTTTTGCCCATTTCCTAGCTTTACAAATAATTTCAGCTGTCCTGCATTGTAAAAAGCCATGTCACTGTAAAAGGTAGTTGTATGAAATAATTTTGTTACAAAAAAATCGGCAAAATATTATATCTGTTTTTTTTAATTTTCAGCCAGTTAACATTTAGTTAACATTGATTTGTCCATCTGTCTCGCGAAATCCTCTTTTGGACCATTTGCTTAAAACCTCTGTCGATAGGATTCCAGTTTCAAGTTATTTTTGTTCAACATCAATACAAAAAACTCCCCTATGACTCCTGGTTCAAAAGCTTGCCTGATTTCAAAATGGTCGCCATTTTTGTGTCGCCATTTTTGTCTCGCGAAATTCAATTTTGGCCCATTTTCTAGCTTTACAAATAATATCAGGTGTCTTGCATTGCAAAAAGCCATGTCACTGTAAAGAGTAGTTGTATGAAATAATTTTGTTACAAATTATTGGCAAAAAATTATATCCGTTTTTTTTTTCAGCCATTTTAATTGACTGAGAGACAGATGGCTTGAAATAATTTTGTAACAAAAAATCAGCAAAAAATTATATCCGTTTTTTTCTGTCACCATGTGAGCCCAGTACCCACAGTACTAATTTTTTTAAATTAGATATTAAACTGTTATTCTGCACTGTTTATTTTTTCATATCAGATTTATATTATTTTGTTATTATAATATTTTGTATTTTTTTATTATGGTAAATACTGTTTTACTTTGTAATATAACTTTTTGTTTTCTTTCATTTTAATTCAACAGCTCAGAGAGGTGGAGAAAGGGGGAGTAAAGGTAAATATAATTGTCAAAATATGTTGTGTACCTAAATAGGATTTATTTATTATGTCACCACCAAAAGTGGTGACATATTGTTATGGTCTCCGTTTTTTTATGTCACCACCAAAAGTGGTGACATATTGTTATGGTCTCCGTTTTTTTGCGACGGCGTCCGGCGGTTGGTGGTTGGTGGTTGGCGTCCGGCGTCTGTAACAATTTCTTACAACTTCCTATAACTTAACAAATACTGTTTAGACTGACTTCAATTTTTTTCTAAATCATCTACATGTTCTCAGAAGTTCAAATCTGACTTTAGATTTGACATTTGACCTTCAATGACCTTCTCAAGGTCAAAAAGGTCTTTTTTCAACTTGCTTCACATTGACTAAAATTTTTTTCAAAATCATCTACATGTTCTCAGAAATTCAAATCTGACTTAAGATTTGACATTTGACCTTCAAATCTGACTTTAGATTTGACATTTGACCTTCAATGACCTTCTCAAGGTCAAAAAAGGTCTGTTTTCAACTTGCTTCAAATTGACTAAATTTTTTTTTCAAAATCATCTAAGTGTTCTCAGAAATTCAAATCTGAGTTAAGATTTGACTTAAGATTTGACATTTGACCTTCAATGACCTTCTCAAGGTCAAAAAAGGTCAAAAATGTCTGTTTTCAACTTGCTTCAAATTGACTAAATTTTTTTTTCAAAATCATCTACGTGTTCTCAGAAATTCAAATCTGACTTAAGATTTGACATTTGACCTTCAATGACCTTCTCAAGGTCAAAAAAGGTCAAAAAGGTCTGTTTTCAACTTGCTTCAAATTGACTAAAAAAAAATTTCAAAATCATCTACATGTTCTCAGAAATTCAAATCTGACTTTAGATTTGACTTAAGATTTGACATTTGACCTTCAATGACCTTTTCAAAGTCAAAAAAGGTCAAAAAGGTCTGTTTTCAACTTGCTTCAAATTGACTAAAAAAAAATTTCAAAATCATCTACATGTTCTCAGAAATTCAAATCTGACTTTAGATTTGACTTAAGATTTGACATTTGACCTTCAATGACCTTCTCAAAGTCAAAAAAGGTCAAAAAGGTCTTTTTTCAACTTGCTTCAAATTGACTAAATTTTTTTTTCAAAATCATCTACATGTTCTCAGAAATTCAAATCTGACTTTAGATTTGACATTTGACCTTCAATGACCTTCTCAAGGTCAAAAAAGGTCAAAAAGGTCTGTTTTCAACTTGCTTCAAATTGACTAAATTTTTTTTTCAAAATCATCTACGTGTTCTCAGAAATTCAAATCTGACTTTAGATTTGACTTAAGATTTGACATTTGACCTTCAATGACCTTCTCAAAGTCAAAAAAGGTCAAAAAGGTCTTTTTTCAACTTGCTTCAAATTGACTAAATTTTTTTTTCAAAATCATCTACATGTTCTCAGAAATTCAAATCTGACTTTAGATTTGACATTTGACCTTCAATGACCTTCTCAATGTCAAAAAAGGTCAAAAAGGTCTTTTTTCATCTTGCTTCAAATTGACTAAATTTTTTTTCAAAATCATCTACATGTTCTCAGAAATTCAATAATGTCTTTAGATTTGACATTTGACCTTCAATGACCTTGTCAAGGTCAAAAAAGGTCAAAAAGGTCTTTTTTCAACTTGCTTCAAATTGACTAATTTTTTTTTTCAAAATCATCTACATGTTCTCAGAAATTCAAATCTGACTTTAGATTTGACATTTGACCTTCAATGACCTTCTCAATGTCAAAAAAGGTCAAAAAGGTATTTTTTCATCTTGCTTCAAATTGACTAATTTTTTTTTCAAAATCATCTACATGTTCTCAGAAATTCAAATATGACTTTAGATTTGACATTTGACCTTCAATGACCTTGTCAAGGTCAAAAAAGGTCAAAAAGGTCTTTTTTCAACTTGCTTCAAATTGACTAATTTTTTTTTTCAAAATCATCTACATGTTCTCAGAAATTCAAATCTGACTTTAGATTTGACATTTGACCTTTAATGACCTTCTCAAGGTCAAAAAAGGTCAAAAAGGTCTTTTCAACTTGCTTCAAATTGACCAAATTTTTTTTTCAAAATCATCTTCATCTTTTCAGAAGTTCAAATTTGACTTTACAAGTTCTCAGAAATTCAAATCTGACTTAAGTTTGAACTCATAATATTGTGAGCAACTAGGTGGTGACATTTTGTCATGTTAATGCCTTGTTTACTCTACTACATCTGCTGTGTTCAAAGGAGTCATGGGATTTAAAGGCCCCGTGCAAAGTTTGAACATGTTTCACATATCACATTTTGATAACATTGGGTAAGACTACAGTATAAGCCAAAGTGGTTTAAACTATATATGGGGCCTTTAAAGCAGTTATTTAAATGATTAATAGTAATTCATGAGATCATATTTGTTCCTGTTGGCAGGTATAGATGCCAAATTTATAGGCCTCCAGGAAAGATGTCTGAGTTTTGTGTATATTTGAATTTCAAAATCAATTTCCTTTCAAAATCCTTATTTTGTGTTTCAGCTGCCAAGGGTTCAAAGAAGAAAGGCAAGAAAGAGCGTGGGAAGACCCCTCCACCCCCAGCCTCTGGAGGACAAAAAGCAAAGAAGTCCACATCCAAAGACAAGATTGCTGAGAAAGAAAGGATGGCAAAGGAAGAGGAAGAAAAACTCAAAGGTTAACATTTGTGAAAAAATATTTTGTATAAATTTAATAACAGTCTGTTGAATTTTTCATATCCACATTTTGTTTAAACACATCTGACAGGCTTGCCTCTAACAGGAATTCCTCCTTTGAGGTTATATCATGGGGCATTGTATTCAGTCATTTTCTGTTATCTTTCAGCTGCAGAGGTGTCCAGCCAGAAGACCAGTGACTCTGAGAGTGAACTGAATGCTGCAGACTTCATCCCTGTTGTCAAAGAGAGTATAATAGGTAAGACTGACTAGATTAAAATAAACAATTTTTTTAAATATTTCGTACTCATTGAATAAGTAGGAATCAAATTGTAATGTGGATATGGTTTTTATATCACCACCCAGATGAGGTAAGCTTGTGACTTAATACATACCTGCTACAGTATTTTATAGCAATAACTAAGAGTCAGAATTTTGTTGCAGGTATTGTCCCCAGCAACTCTGGGTTGACCCTCAATGACTTGATAGATGTGAAGCAGCTTGAGGGGCTAGTGAGAGGGCACACCATGCTGGCCCAACTTTCTGGAAGGGCCTCAGAGAAACACCAGGATTATGCACTGCAGGCATATGGCTTCCTCATGAAAATATGGCAGGTAGGGGAACAGTACATTGCGCTTTTTTTTTATGTCATTCTAAAATGATATGCAGATGACAATTTACATTAGATAGGTGTATATATTCCACGGTTATATATAAATACATGAAGGGTTTGGGGATCTGTTTGTGTTCATGTGCTTCTATTTTCTTGTCAGTGCTTTCTATTATTTTGACTTTTGAGGTGATAACTTCATGATGAATGAATAAATGCAATTTTAGTATTCATTCCATTGAAAAATAATTGCACAAAAGTTCTCCATCTGTCTGGTGAAAACAATATATCATATTTAATTTCACTCACCCTGACTATTTCAGTGGCAAAAGGGTCAATTGAATGTGAAACATGTTAGCATCCATGTTGTATGTGTTTATTGAAAGTGACACATTTTAGAGTCCATGTTGTAGGTCTCCATTAGATGTGACACATGTTAGCGTCCAGGTTTGATGTGTCCATTGAAAGTGACACATATTAGTATCCATGTTGTAGGTATCCCTGCAGGCATCTGGGCCCGTAGTGAAGGAGATAGTAAAGAATAATATATTAGCAGAGGCTGAGAAGAAGGAAAAGGGAGGATCAGCTAAGAAGAAGAAGGATAAGGACAATAAAGAGGTAAACACATGTAGTAATTAAATGTAGTAATTGGGTGAATCATCTCTAAGAGATAATATGAGAAATAAAACAATCATTATCCCTTATACAGGGTGTCCAATAAATAAGGTGAAATATATTGTCACTTTCTTAATATTGCACCAATCTTGATGAAATTTTCAGGGTTTGTTGCCCAAACCTTTTTACCTTTATTCTGTGAATTTAAAGCGTCTTCTATTTGATTGGTCAGAGTTGTGGTTGCTACAGCAACCGAAACAACAAAAAGGTGGGGCAAGTTTGTTGACGTCACAACTTTCCAAAACATATTTATTCTTTCTGATAGCTTTATTCATACCCCCATGTCTATTACTACTACAAATATGATATAAAAACAGTCTTTATGTCCCATTGTTATGAAAATAAGCTATTCAACATAATGTCCATCTCTAGCTATACGACTTCTTATGCCTATTCACCCACTCTCTAAACACACTTTCAAACCCATTCTTGCCCATTTCCTGAAGTCTTACTAAGACATGTGATCTGATTTCATCAGTACTTCCAATTTATTTCCTCTCAAGTCACGCTTGAGTTCTGCATATAAGTAAAAGTCATTGGGTGCAAGGTCTGGGGAATATGGAGGGTGTCCAAGTAGGGGCAGCCCCAGTACCCTAATAGTTTCACTAGTGAACATAGCTGTGTGTGAACTCAGATCACATGTCTTAGCAAGACTTCAGGAAATGGGCAAGAATGGGTTTGAAAGTATGTTTAGAGAGTGGGTGAATAGGTATAAAAAGTGTATAGTTAGAGATGGACATTATGTTGAATAGCTTGTTTTCATAACAATGGGACTTTAAGACTGTTTTTATTTATATTTGTTGTAGTAATTGACATGGGGGTATGAATAAAGCTATCAGAAAGAATAAATATGTTTTGGGAAGTTGTGACGTAAACAAACTTTCCCCGCCTTTTTGTTGTTTTGGTTGCTATAGCAACCACAACTCTGGCCAATCAAATAGAAGACGCTTAAAATTCACAGAATAAAGGTAAAAAGGTTTGGGTTACAAACTCTGACAATTTCAGCAAGATTGGTGCAATATTAAGAAAGTTACTATACCTTTCACCTTATTTATTGGACACCCTGTAAGTCTCATATTGTACAATATATCTTGTATTATTCACTTGATATTTACTTTGGCTGCCATATTGCCACGGGAACAGGTGTTTAAAACATCATTGTCATTACTTTATTTAAACAATATTTTCACACATGGCTTATACCATGTGGTATATACAGATTAAGGTATTCAATTTACTCTAAACAATCAAACTTTTAATTGCATTTGATATTCTTAATTTACCTTGATATTCTTTGTCAACTGCAATTACTGAATTTGGCTTCAGGAGAAGAAAGATAAGCCAAAGAGGAAGGGTCCTTTGGAGCACCTGCCACAGAATGTAGAGGAATGGTCAACCTATGATGTCCCTGAAGAGGTCTTGGAGGCATTCAAACATGACTCCATCAAAGGTGCAGGGGTCAATGAAAAAACAATTGCAAAGCCCGTAAGTTACCCTTTCTGGCCTTGAGAATCACATTTACGAGAAAGTGACTATTGTTTAAATGAAAATATACAAGTTTTTTTTAAATATTTTCTGAGTTTGGTTGCTGCCATAGTGACTGTCATTAATTGATAAGTCATCGGTCCATGGGCTATTATAGACAAATTACAATAACCAAACAGGAGTCTTTTCATTATTTTTTATATTTTGCTTTTCTGTTAAATTCTAGATGCTGACATTCTATTATCTTGAAGAACTTGTATCCCAATTACGATCTTTGGGCTACAACCATTTAGCTCTTCCTGTACTGTCCTTTGCTGAGTTGGTTGCCAAGGACATCATAAAGAGTCGGCCCCTTTCTGCTCTTTGTCATTTTAAGTAAGTTCAATTGATCTGACCCTTTCTCTGTAATGTGCAATAATATGTATATCATATTATGTTTAGAACTTGATCCTGTGTATAACATGTAATACATTATTTTGCAACATTGAATTTAGAATTTGTAGCAGCCTGCGAGTTTGATCATCAAAAACCCTCTTTCTTGAAAATTTAAAGACTTGAAAGAATTGCCCACTAGTATGCCATGTGTTAATTATAATGGGTGCATACACCTCATATAATTTCTAAAAGGCAATTTATTCACTAACTGTGTGAGCAATTTTATATGGAAAATATTTTGTCTTGAAGTCAGTTGGTGGCGCACATGGCAGATTATTCTCTTTAGATTCATGTATTTTGGATCAGAAATATGAGTCCCTTTTAATGTTCATTCACCTGATTTTACTCACATGTGTAATTTCTATATAGAGAAATTGAAGTGATATTTGATCTTAATTACTGTATGTTGCATGTAGGTGTATGGAAGTGTGTCTGGAACTGAACCTGCTGTCTGCTGCTTCGTTACATGAGAAAGCCGCTCACGTTTTCCTTCATGAAGAGGAACAAGCCAAGTAAGCAATTGTTTTATTCATCACATTATTATTTCCATTTAAATTAATCACATGTTCAGGTGTCTTTAATACACCCAGACATGAGAAATTATACACGATATCCTTATTGTAATCCTATATTTATCTCGCATTACAATAAGGTTGCAGTGACTATATGAATGGAAGGGATTATGACCTGTTTACAGTAATAGATCTCAATCTTAATAGATCTCTTTCCACTGTAATAATTATCCCATCGAATGAAGTTTGGAGGATATAGAGAACAGCTTCATTTGTCAGTCCATCTTTCCATCTTATACATATGTGTATGTACATTTCCATAATTGACAGAACTGTTGGTACATTTGAAGAAATCCTTAAGAAGTTGCAAAGATTTCTCCAGTGTCTGGTTTGTTGAAATCATCTATGAAAATACGTTCACAGTCACTGTATTTGTCCTAAATCTTTTCAAAGCAAACTCTGTGTGGATAAGGGCCAATTAAGAAGCCAAGTTTTCCCTCGAGTGTTGGTATTGGGTCATCTTTTGGTTTCTTGACCTTGAAATTCTGCATTATGGCCACAAAGAATAGGAACGTTTCCATCCTGGCCAGTGATTCACCCAGACATGACCGCTTACCTGTAAAATAAAAAATAAAAAGTCAGAATATTTTTACAAGTTACTTTATATAGTTGAGAGACTTCCATATGATGCCCAAATACATACACACCAGGACTTTAGGTATTAGGATGGTGAAATAAGTGAATAAAACTTACCAACTGAAAATGTCACCAAATGGTCATCTTTCTGGAATTTTCCATCGGGTCCTATGAACCTATCAGGGTTGAATTGGTATGGCTGCTCCCAGTGGTCCTCGTCATGGTGAATAGCATACACATTGGCGGACAATGATGTATTTGGGGGTAATGTATAGCCCTGAAGATTATAATTGCAAAACTACGTATTTCATACACAAGTGTATTATGAATAGAAGCAACTTAAAGACCATTCATCTGGAGATATATGCTAATGGGTCATTGACAGTGATAAGCGCCATCTTTAAATGGGAATTTTTTCTGGTTCAATACAACATCTGTTTCATATTTTGACAGTTCAATCCTGTCCTAGCTACTAATGTTTTATGAACAGTTTTTCAAAATCAGTAACTTTGAGACTGTTCACTAGGAGATATGTTAATGGGTCATTGACAGTGATCAGTGCCATCTTTAAATGAGAATGTTTCTGGTTCAATACATCTGTTTCATATTTTGATAGTTCAATCCTAGTCCTAGATACTAATGTTTTATAAATAGTTTTTCAAAATCAGTAACTTTGAGACTGTTCACTAGGGGATATGTTAATGGGTCATTGACAGCGATCAGAGCCATCTTTAAATGGGAATGTTTTTCTGGTTCAATACACCTGTTTCATATTTTGGCAGTTCAATTCTGTCTTAGCTACTGTTGTTTTATTTTAGAATATTGGTAATATTGAGACTATTTACTTTTGACTATACCTTCCATTTTGTTGGCTGGTCAGAGCTATAATGGATCCCTCCAAGTGGTGTTATGATATGCATTCTCTGAACTTCACAGATGACAGCCTGCGTGTAACTCAGCAGTTTCTTGTCTTGCATTGTTGGAGGTCTGTCTGGGCCTATGGCATCTAATATCTCAGCTCGTACTTTATCCTGGACATCAGGGTATCGGATCATGCATAGAAGCAACCACCTGTGTATACATTGTACCATCTTTATCAAACATAGGAACAACCATATTCAATAAGTATTGCTATTTTGTTCTCTTACTTTCTCCTTCATGAACTTTAACAACTAAAGGGACATATGTATTTTTAAACTTATTCTATTAAAATTTCCTGACAATAAACTTAGTACTGAAAAAGTTGAAGTGAAGAAGCGCATGTAAAATCATATATAGAATGTATCCATATGTATTTCGATTGAGATATAGCCCCCCCCCTGGTATGTAAGATTAGGTGAACCCGTTTAAAGCATACAAAGAAAGCCTAAAGTATGAAATAAAATCAAACATAAAAGCATGTGTGAATTCATACTGAAGAAACCCTTATTTCTTTATACAAAGGGTTTTATTCATACCTAATGGTTGTTGAAGTTGTATCTGTCCCAGCAAAGAACAGGTCTTCAATGTTCCACATCAACTGTTCATCTGCAAAACATATTAATTATTCTCTTATTGTACGCAATAATTATGAATTTTGCAAGAGATAACAATCTTATAGATTAACAATCTACATGTGTAGTGTACCCCATTGAAGCATTATAGTTGAAGGTACAGAGGTTGGTTTCAGAATTGAATTTGAAACTTTTCTCATATGAGTCTGTATTTCAGAACAATTGAATATTGAAGGATAACTAAATAACAGAAAATAACTAACCATTAAAATAAGTTTCCTCATCTGTGTCTTTCCGCTTTCTCATTTCTTGAATAAATGCATCTATGAAATCATTGATGTTGTTGGGGTCATATTTTTCTATGTGGCTCTTGATTTCTGGTTCAAGAATGTGAGTTTTAATTTCATCTACATTTTGCTTCAATCTTTTAGCATGTGTCAAGTCCCCGGGAAGGTACTTCAGGAATGGCAAAAATTTTGACAAAAATACTGGTCGCATGTGGTCATTGGTGTTCTCGTTGAAAATCTGTAAAAGTCTTTTGAATAAGTTGTCGTCATACTCAAAGCGATGACCAAAAACCATGGTGCATATAATGTTTGACACAGCTGTGTTTAGTATTATAACTGTCTCTGTAGGTTCACCATTCAAACTTGCAATGAGTTTTACCAATTCTTGAGTCTCTAATTGGATCTTTCCTTCGATGCGACTTTTTCCAAGTCCGAGGTCACGGAGTGCGTGTAAGGCAAATCTTCGTTGTGCCTTCCAACGTGGACCATTATTCAAAAGTCCAGAATTTATCATTATTCCACCAATTAAATTTTCTCCTCGATTTATGAACTGATCACTTCCAAATGCTTCTCTCATATCTTCAAATTTATGAAATAGTACAAAATGTTGCTTTCCAAGCTTTAATGTTATATCAGGGCTCTTTAATTTCTTGGAAGCTTCAAAGAACATTTTCTCGCCCATTGTCTTGGTATTCATTGCGTATCTAATGTGCCCAATGTATGGTATATTCCATGGAAGCATGGGTGGTAAGCTATAGGGACTGGGTTGCAGGTATCTTAGCAATACAACAAGGACCACCAAGAATATTAAGACCATAGTAAGGTTGCTTAATAAAAGCTCAATCATTTCAGCAATGAAACTCATCTTGGATGATGTCAATGATGTAGTCAGACTGAGTGGATATTTCTGGAGGAAGATTAAAAATATTCAGAAATTAAACTCATGTGTCAATAAGTTTCTCTTCTTATATAATGGGGAAAGTACAAAAAAATGGCATGGTGCTATGGCATATCCTATCCCATGTACATAATTGCCCTTACAAATATTTACCCTTTAAAACATTGTTCTCAGTGAGTCTCTTACCAAATTATGGGGTGCCATGGTATACTCTAGGAGGCCCTATGGCACCCCCTGTGCCATAGACTTTAAGACATTTTGTTTGTAAGGGTAGACATTTGTAAGGGCATTCATAATCTACAATATGCAAGGGAACATTTTCTAATGAAGAATTTGACTTTAAATAGTATCTTAGACCTCAGGGGCTGCCAAAGCCTGTGCCTGTGCAAATCCCTCAACTCACTGTATTCTAAAAGAACTAATGAAGACTGATTAATACATGTATTTGAATCACTTGCACTTTAGAAACATGAATGAAAGAGCAATTATCCTGCAGCATAAGTTACCCCCTCCCCCTTTATAATATAAGTGAGAGCTAGGTGAATGCAACGGCTTAGGTGTGACCTACATAACTTAGCTCTTAAGTAAATGCATTGACCTTAAATTACTTGCATGTACTATTACTTTAAATATATCAAAAACTACTTACAGTAAAGTATGATTTCACTTCTTAGCAAGCTCTGTTGTACTTGATGTATATTCATGTGATTTAACCTAGATGCAGATAATGCACTAGTGCCTTATCATTTCCATTCTGTTCATATATGCATCACTTATCATTAACCATTTTAAATATTATCTAAACACTTCTATGTTGCAATAATAGACTTGATTTTCACAATGAATATGCAATATATTAGCTGTGTTTCATCAGAATTTGGAAATTGTTAACCTTATCTTCAATTCAGTGTTGACCTGACCTTGGATTTGTTTGTGAAATGTTTACCAATACTTCACTATTCAGAATATATATGTGTACTTTTCACAATATCCTTTATTCGTTCATATCAGTCATACAAGCAGAGGGTTTAAATATGCTTATAGTGCTAGAGAATTAAAACTTGTCAGGCCCGTAGCCAGGATTTGCCAAGGGGGGTTCAGTTTTCAGGGGGGTTCACATTTGACAATTTTGGCCCAAATATGGCTAAAATCACTTGAGAAGTGCTCAAAATGGTGAAAAACTGCATGATTTTGAAAGAATTTTTGGCCAGGGTGGACCCCCTGACTACGGGCCTGCTTGTGAAGGGTTTTATATGTATATGCCCCATGTGTGTACAGGTTCTTCTTGAAAACCAATTTTGAAAATGGGTGCTGGTTTCAAAATGGCTACAGTATTTTAGGACAACATTTAAAACTGTAATATTAATACATTTTGAATTAAAAAAACTATATCTGATATTGATTGAGTTGAAAGTCTAATTTTTTGAAATGATATGGCAGCCATCTTGAAAAATATGTTACAATTTTTGTTTTTGTTACATTTTATATAAAAATTTAATAAAAGATGGCATTTTTATGTGTGTTAATTTTCCCTTATTATCCCAACGAACGAAGTTCGGTAGGGATATAGTGAAGCCCTCCGTCCGTCCGTCCGTCCGTCCGTCCGTCCGTCTGTCCATCCGGAAGATAACTCAAATACTAGTAGACGGATTTTCTTCATATTTAGTGGAAAGATGTATATTGGTGAATAGTTTTAAGCAAAAAAAAATTTTTTCAAGATGGCCGCCGTTTTAAAAATGACGGGACTTTTTCGCAAAAATCATAAATTTTTCATTCTAAACCAAAGTAATTAATATTATTGTTTGAAATTTTGGTAGTATATTCACAACATTTATCTATTTCACATATATTCCGTGTTTTTCATCCTGACCCCCAGGGGCCGTGTATGGGGGGTCAGGAAAACAGAAATTTTCGCTAATTTTTAGATCTTTCTGAAGTATAGCTTTATTATACTCAAATGAAAGGCAATTAAGAGTAGATTGCAAATATTGCATCTTTTTTCTGATTCGAGCCTCGTAAAATTCAAAATGGCCGTTTAATGTACGATTTCGCAATAATTTTTCGATCCCTTCAAAGTATGGCTATATTATACTCAAATTGAAGGATTTCTGGAGTAGATCACAATTATGGTATTATTTTTCAGATTTGTACCTCAGAAATTTCAAAATGGCTGCTTAGCAGGAATTCGCAATTCTAAAATCTAATTTTTTCAATTTTAACCAAAGTAATGAGTATAATTGATTGGAATTCGGTAATTGATATTTTGTTCGTTGGGATTTGCTACTCCGCGGAGTTGCCATTATCTAGTTGCCAAAACTGGAAAAAGGGTTTGTGTAAATAAACGAGTACATTTTGAATTAAAAAAACCATATCTGATATTGATTGAGTTGAAAGTCTAATTTTTTGAAATGATATGGCAGCCATCTTGAAAAATATGTTACAATTTTTGTTTTTGTTACATTTTATATAAAAATTTAATAAAAGATGGCAATTTTTATGTGTGTTAATTTTCCCTTATTATCCCAACGAACGAAGTTCGGTAGGGATATAGTGAAGCCCTCCGTCCGTCCGTCAGTCCGTCCGTCCGTCCGTCTGTCCGTCCGGAAGATAACTCAAATACTAGTAGACGGATTTTCTTCATATTTAGTGGAAAGATGTATATTGGTGAATAGTTTTACGCAAAAAAAAATTTTTTCAAGATGGCCGCCGTTTTAAAATGACGGGACTTTTTCGCAAAAATCATAAATTTTTCATTCTAAACCAAAGTAATTAATATTATTGTTTGAAATTTTGGTAGTATATTCACAACATTTATCTATTTCACATATATTCAGTGTTTTTCATCCTGACCCCCAGGGGCCGTGTATGGGGGGTCAGGAAAACAGAAATTTTCGCTAATTTTTAGATCTTTCTGAAGTATAGCTTTATTATACTCAAATGAAAGGCAATTAAGAGTAGATTGCAAATATTGCATCTTTTTTCTGATTCGAGCCTCGTAAAATTCAAAATGGCCGTCTAATGTACGATTTCGCAATAATTTTTCGATCCCTTCAAAGTATGGCTATATTATACTCAAATTGAAGGATTTTTGGAGTAGATCACAATTATGGTATTATTTTTCAGATTTGTACCTCAGAAATTTCAAAATGGCTGCTTAGCAGGAATTCGCAATTCTAAAATCTAATTTTTTCAATTTTAACCAAAGTAATGAGTATAATTGATTGGAATTCGGTAATTGATATTTTGTTCGTTGGGATTTGCTACTCCGCGGAGTTGCCATTATCTAGTTGCGAAAACTGGAAAAAGGGTTTGTGTAAATAAACGAGTAGTTGTTTAATCAGATGACCCTTGCATGGTTGTCAACTTTCAAACTCACATATTTTCCCATCTAAGACTAGGAATTGACTTGTCAAGCACTTGGTTGGTTGCTTTGTTACTTGGTCGGTTGCTCTTGGCTTGTTGCTTGGTTTGATTTGCTTATCAGTTTCATTGTTGGTTGATTGATCAGTTAGTTGTTTGGTTGATTGATCAGTTGGATGGGTGATTGGTCGGTTTGTTGCTTGCTTAGTTGTTTGAGTGGTTGCTTTGTAGATCGGTTGGGTTGTTGGTTAGCTTGTTGCTCGGTTGCTTGGCTATTTGGTTGGTTGATTTGTTAGTTGGTTGATTGATTGGTTGTTTGGTTGCTTCTTTGATTTTTTGCTGGCTGGTGTTGGGAGGTCAGTTGGGAGGGTGGTTGGTTGTTTGAATTGTTAGTTGGCTAGGTGTTTGGCATCTGTTGTATTAAGAGTGATTTTGTTGAAAATTTATATGTGAATATTAGTACTTGGAAGCATGTTACACTTTCTTGTGAAAATTTGCTGTTATCTAGTTCATTGTGATCCCTTCTCACTTAATCAATTCAATATGTTCTACTCATTAAAACATGATAATTCTGTCTGATGATTTACATATATTTACAAAATTCATCATTATAAGGTCATTTTCACGATGAGCCATAAACTGTCATATTGAAAGTGAAAAGCTGGTGTAAAGGTTGGCTTTCATTTATTTTATTTTATTTGGTGCTATAGTTCTCAGTGTGCCTGGGCTCTCAGTAATGTTGTAAGATTGGTCGAACAGAATACAGTGATTGTAATACAAACTGATGTTCATGGTCAATTTAACATTTCTGACATGGTCTTATCCATGAGACGTTTTCTGCATTTAAGACTCCCTACACATGTAACAATTTGTCTAGAAGTATACTGTGATATATCCAGATCAATATGTTAATGTTTCCACAAGTTACAACCAATTTAGTTAGCAACACTTGGAACAAGGTGTCCAAAAATATACTATGATGTATCCAGATCAATATAATGCAGGTTATAATTGGAATATAGCTTGTTGCAAGGGTTCACTTTTTGGACCACCCTGTATTAATGTCTCCACAGGTATATAACCAAACTAGTTAGCATTACTTGCAACAATGAACTTCTGTCTCCTATCAGCCATTCTGCACCAGAGTCTAAATTCTTTACTTTCTGACTCACACAATTTGTCCTTGTCACATTCCTTGCTGGACAATCTGCCAATTCAGTCACTGCAAATATATTCTCAACCACACATAGATTTGCCACTAGCTGTAAGTTGTTCCTGGTAGGTGGGAATGCGGACTTCACCAAATTGGCAGGTTCAAAGATTGTATATATGTCATCCTTTTTCTCTTCTAAGCCAATGATGTACTCTTTATTTTCAACTAAATGTGTTCCTGAGCAGGACAGCCTCTGTGCGGCATGTGCGATATTCAGTATTTGTGGTAACGCTTTTTCAGATTTGAAAATGCAAAGTACTTTGAATTCGACAGAGTTGTTCTTGTGGTGCTTTGTATCTTTGCCATATATGAGCACCGGGGCCTGTTGTAGTATGTCCATCATAGTATAGCTCCTCAACTTCTCAGATTTGTCTAATGTACACCCATGTGACACATTCACTATGCCCAACACACTAAAAAGAAGTCCCAGAAACATGATCTTATATTGCATAGTATCTCAGAGTAACAGAGTTACCATTAAAGTAAAATGTCAACTAAAATGTGAGTTAGTAAAATTGACACTGATGACAAATGTAGTAATTTATAGGAATTTAATTAGTGTATAATTTAAAATAACATCACATTTTTCCAACATGGTGATGGTAACAGATGTGATCCGTTAAATGATCTACGTGTTTAGTATTGGAGGTGACTTCAATGTCATACAAGGTCTATAGTCATTTACCATAATATAGTGTATATATGAGATGGAAATTGGCATGTACTTGTGAATTTTGGTGATATTTTACAAGTAAAGAATATAATGAAACATGATTATACAATAAAATTGATTGGAATTACAAACACCTGTTAGTTTGATTCCCTTTTTGGTAATTGGCAGATAATGCATTTAACAGGTGAATCTGAAAATAAACCAAAATCACAAAGATTTACAATTTATTATACAGAAACTTGATCCACAAAAGCAAATATGAATTGATTTTATCAGGCAAGCACACTGGAAAAATAGTTTTGTACCAGATTTGCTCCCTTCTTATATGTATATTCAAACTCACTTTTATTGTAATTATGTCCCCACCACATAGTGTGGGGCCATATTGTCGGCCTAGGCGCGTCCGTCTGTCCGTCCGTACGTCCGTCCGTCCGTCCGTCTGTCCGTCCGTCTGTCCGTACGTCTGGGAGTTTTCTCCAAAACTGCTACAGATATCACCTTCAAATTTTCAGGGATAACTTATGAGTGCATACAGATGTGGATGAAAAAATTTTAACTCGATACCTACTTCCTGTCGGCCATTTTGAAGTCAAATGCTAAAATCCTTGTCTGCAAACTTTAAGAAAAACGGCTTCACAGTTGCTTTTAAAACTTTAACATCTTGTTCAGCTCACTTCATTCTAGATCTGATTAGGTTTTGGACCTGTTAGCTCAGTCATGTCAGCCATTTTGAATGTCTTAAGAAAAGTTAGCGCACGATAATACTTTGTATCATATTGAATGGTGTTTTTGAGTTTTCATACTTTAACTATTTAGTAGCTTTATAAATAATTTCAGATCTACTTTGTTGTAAAAGCCTATGTTATTGTTAACAGTACTAATATGTGATAATTTTGTAAGAAGAAATCAGCAAAAACACATAATCACTTTTTTATTGTCGGCCATTTTGGATTTTTCCGTCCTAAAATCTTGTCTGTGAAGTCTTGTCTACATGTTTTCAGGTGAACCGTTTGGTGGATCAATTTCAAATTTTCAGGGATGATTCTTAGTATAAAAATCTAGATCTGATTTGTTTTTTGGCATTCTGGGTAAATGTCAAGGCAGCCATTTTGGATTTTCCGTCCTAAAATCTTGTCTGTAAAGTCTTGTCTACGCATTTTCAGGTGAACCGTTTGGTAGATCAATTTAAAATTTTCAGAGATGATTCTTAGTATGAAAATGTAGAACTGATTAGTTTTTTGGCATTCTGGGCAAATGTCAAGGCAGCCATTTTGGATTTTCTGTCCTAAAATCTTGTCTGTAAAGTCTTGTCTATGCATTTCCAGGTGAACCGTTCTGTAGATCAATTTCAAATTTTTAGGGATGATTCTTAGTATGAAAATCTAGATCTGATTAGTTTTTTGGCATTCTGGATAAATGTCAAGGCAGCCATTTTGGATTTTCCGTCTTAAAATCTTGCCTGTAAAGTCTTGTCTACACATTTTTAGGTGAACCGTTTGGTAGATCAATTTCAAATTTTCAGGGATGATTCTTAGTGTGAAAATCTACATCTGATTAGTGTTTTTGGCATTCTGTGTAAATGTCATGGCAGCCATTTTGGATTTTCTGTCCTAAAATCTTGTCTGTAAAGTCTTGTCTACGCGTTTTCAGGTGAACCATTTGGTAGATCAATGTCATATTTTCAGGGATGATTCTTAGTATGAAAATCTAGGAACAGATTAGTTTTTTGACATTCTGGGTAAATGTCAAGGCAGCCATTTTGGATTTTCCATCCTAAAATCTTGTTTACATGTTTTCTAGTTAACTGTGTGACGGATCAATTAAAATTGTGTTGGTAAAGTCTTGTCTACTCATTTTCAGGATAACCATTTGATGGGATCACCCATTGGTGGGGACATTTTGTACACATTTGTGTTCTTGTTTTGACCTGTTGTCCAGCTCTTTTGAGTGTTTTGTTTGTATGAAATTGACTTATATATTTTGATTCATCCAGTTCATAAACAAATAACATTGCATTTATCTTAACGTATGATATGTATGCAGGGGTTTGCTAAGAATTCACGACAGGCAAAATGAATGAAAATGACCAGCAAAATTATTGGGAATTATAAGTTTAACATGGAAACAGTTGCAACAACAGTCAATTTTGGTAGAACAAATTAGAAGTGTATGATATTAAACTGACATCTAAGTGTAAGTGACATTTAAGTATTAGTGATATTTAAGTGTAAGTGACACTTAGGTGTGAGTGACATTTAAGTATGAGTGATATTTAAGTGTAGGTGATATTTAGTGTAATTGATATGTACATTTGTTTGTACAGGGCTCGTGGAGAGACAATCATCTGGCAGGAGAATCAAAGACAAGTGTCCAAGGAGGAAAAGAGAGTAAAGGAATCCCTGGAGAAGCTAGCCATTGAGAGCAAGTCTCTGTCACGTAGACCAACAAGGGCTAATGTTACTGCACCAAATGTTAACCCTCCAAAGGTAGCATTTTTGAAAATTCTTAATGTCCCATTTTTAATTATCATTCATTGCAATGTTTTCATTCATTTTGAAAGTGTGTATTTCAGCCACATTCCAATTAATTAGTTTTTTAATACAATGCATTACACTGACTGTACCTCTTTTCCATTTGGTTTCTTTCATTTTTTTCTCACAATGCCATTAAGGACTGTCAACAGGTGGTGCACAATGTAGCGGATTATGAAAAAATCTTGCTACAAAAACCGTCCAAGTTAGATTTCATTGATATATTCATTGAACTGAATATGTGGCTTTATCTAAATATGTGGCTGTAATATTGAATATGTGGCTGTAACTGAATATGTGGCTGTTGCAGGTCCCTGATGAACAGAGTCCTTCTCACTTGGGTAAGCAGATCAGCGGAGTAGAGATAAGGGATGTATGGACAGAAACTGCTATTGTGCTTATTAGACAGGTAAACTCATCAAGGTGTTTTTAAATTACTTTCAATCAATAGATGGCGTATACTGTTGAGACATAGACTGAAAGAATCACTTGATACAAATATCTTTGCCATCATTCGTTTGCCAGTGCCCATGTGGCCTGTTTAAGATTTATTTGTTGTCTAGTGAAAGATTGAGTTCTTATATGCATTGAAATACTAGGCCAATGAAAAATACGTATTTTTAATTGCTAAAAAACACTGAAAAGTATGCATTGAATCACTTTAATAATTGTCTATTATAGCATATGTATCAGCCAGCGAGGAACCTGTTGAATGAAGCCTACCAGTCGGCCAAGGCTTTCAATGACAAACAGCTCTTAGGAAAGGTTCTCACTTTGTTTGGTCAGCTTGCTTACAATGAGGCTCAGTTTGGTCAGGCCATTAACTTTGCCAATGAAGCACAGGTATGCTTGTAGAAATCTACCTATTTACTTGAATTGTAATTAATGCGATGATCGTTCAATTTATTAAATTATTCATTTATTGTCCCTCATACTCTGATTTTAATATAAACTACATGTAAAAATTTACCTTTTTACTTAAAATGTTTTTAATGCAATGATTATTCAATTCATCAAATTATTCAATAATTGCCCCTTGTAATTTCAGCGTTACTCTTAATTACATGTACTTTTCAGAGCTGTTTTGAAGGAGATGAGATGTATTGGTTTGAAACGACAATGTTGGTTGCTGAATCAGCCATGGCAGATTATGCTCTGAAGCATGATGGGAAACGTAAAGCACGTAATATCCTCACTCATGCGCTGAATGTGTTTTCCATCATAGCTGAGGAGAGACGTAACAAACCAAGTATTACTGGTTACATCCTGGCAAAGATTGAAGCCAAGTAAGCAGATCTGAGTAAACAGTAGAGATTACAATACATATAGTACATGTTTTAAATCCACACTTAAACGCATTTCAGCAGTCAGTTAATGATTTGATGAAAATATGATAATTGTAGAATACATTTTGAACACTTAATGATGATATCATTTTTTTTATAATAATTGGAGCCATAGCGAATCCACAATCCCATGAAGATATTAAAATGTGATTGCTATGTTTCAGACTTGGTGAAGTACAGGCAGCTATAACAAAGGAGGACTGGAATACCCTTAAGCCTAAAGTTGTCAATGCTCTCTCTAGTGCTTGCAAGGTACATGTACTGTATATATGGTATCTGAATACAAGATTAAAATTGATTTCAGAATTTTGGTTGTTTTTTTGTTATAGACATATTATTTTGACATATGCTCGTCATTGCTGTCAGCATTTGGCATCTGTTTGAATTTTCTAAATGCAATCAGGTGTTGACATTTTGTCGTATTAAAACATTGTCATGACCTTGAAATAAGGAACAGCATTTTAAGTACTCCTTTAAAATGTGGAAATACCTTTCAGAAATACCAACATGGCATAGACCGGCTTGTCAAGCTGGGGTATAAGAGGGAGGCCCTCCCCCTGATGAAGGAAGAGGCCAGGATATTAATACACCTTGCTCAGAAGTCTCGTCACATTTCCTTCAAACATGACTTCTATCTTCAGGTAACAAACAAATCATATGTACATATGCACCAAAACTCATGTACATATGCACCAAAACTCATGTACATAACACTGCTAAATCATATGTACATATGCACCAAAACTCATGTACATAACACTGCTAAACCATATGTACATATGCACCAAAACTCATGTACATATATCTGACTCCATTTTTCTCAAAAATAGGAATCATCATAAGAATTAACAAATTTAGAGCACAAGTTACATGTACCTTACTTTTGGTATGCACCCTGTATACTAGTATATTTAACATGTTAAACACATGGGTCACTTCACCAGTAATCTTTACACACATCATGCATGGAGATAATAATTATTGAATCTGTCTGTACTTGTATGAACCTTTCATACCTATAAAAGATTTATTAATAATGACTTGAAAATAATTCCTGATTCTTTATAAAATGCCAAATGTATTCATATACATTAAGATATACATGTTCTGGTACATGTACTATACTAATGACTGTTTTTAGGCTCTTGATGTCTTAAAGGAAGCCAACTATGTGGCTGAAGAAGTGATGCATAATATACAGACTCTCAACCCATTATTTGAAGTAAGTGATGCATAATATACAGACTCTCAACCCATTATTTGAAGTAAGTGAAAACATCCCATTGTTTGAATGCTGCAAAATATCTGAAAAGTTGGTCAAGGATGAACTATTTGTGAATTACTTCAGCAGTTATTTGCTTCACATGGTAGCATATAAATTGTCATTTAAAAATTCACTGGTTTGGTATACTTGTTGAGGACATACGGTGTGTAATATATAATGTATGTAAGATCCTATGTTGGAAACTGTTAGTATTCCACAGATTGTTTTCATGCATTTGAAAACATACCATGAATTTATTAATCCAATTTATCAGACATAACAGATTCCACCTCATCTTAGGACTAAATTGTGTTACTGAATGGCCATGGCAAACAAATAGTTAATAATAATATTGATATTGTCGCTATTATTTCAGCTGCGCAATGTGAGTCTACCTATACATCGTGAGGCTGCTGACATTAAGGTGATGTATGGTGAGGTTATGGTAGAGATGTTCAAACAGCATGCTACTGAGACAAGGGAGAAACAGCTGGAGGAGGAGAGAAAGGAAGCAGTTGTCAAGGTAATGCATGCAAACTGATTGAACCTATCATCTGATAGTACACAGGATGTCTTACATAATATGTAGATTAATATGGTCCCATGTGCTACCTGCAACCCTAAACAGGACAAGAGATGATCCTCAAGTTCTCATAATATCTCTCCAATTTCTTTATTTTTCAATATATTCTAATAGAATTTCCACAGAATGTGCAGCATAAAATGGTTGCCATAGTAACCAAAAATCAAGGGACCTGTTGCAAATAAAAAAATTATGAGAATGATCCTGAGTAAAATACTAAGATAAGGGTGCTGGAAAACACTTTATACAAAATATATTACCTTATCCTTCACAAATCTATTATTGTTTTATAATGCTGCAACAATATGTTAACAGATGTATCATATACACTGCACATGTACTGTTTGAATGTTGTACTGCCATTTCCCTGTACTGTGCTTTACTTTCTTGTTCCAGTTAGTTGAGGAGATGACCAGAGAGACGCCTAATTATACTGATGTAGAACAGGACTGGCTTGACACTACAAAGTATGAAACAAATTCATTCTAAATGCTTAATTAAATATATAATGATCAATAAAAGATTCAAAATTCAGAAATGCCAAATAAGTTTTGAAATGATATTACTTTTCTTGAGATATCAGCATCATTCAATGTAAATACATGTAAACAAGTCATGATCCAATCTCAAAATGAATTCAAAATACATTGTGCTATTGAATTTTGGAATATTTAAAATATATTTAGTCATGATCCAATCTCAAAATGAATTAAAAAAAAATTGTACTATTGAATATTTAAAAGTACTATATTGAAAGTGCGCTATACTACTTATCACTGTTTGTCTTGTTTTTCTACATCAGGGTTGTTGCTGAGACTGCAGTGATTGAACTGACCGCAGCACATAGCCTCAGTGGCAACATCTCACACCTTAAAGCTAGAAGTCTCTGTGCACTTGGTACATGTCTTAGACTCATGGCAGAATATACAAGTCCTGACCAGCCTAAATTATGGGATGTTGACAACATGGTAGGCCTGTTTATGATAATGAATTATAGTACGGAGATGATAAATGATGTGTAATTTATATTTCAATCATCCATTTATTATTTGATGTAATTTTTGATGAATGACATAATTGTTGTTGGTATTTCTCATTGTGAGCATATCTTTTATCACTCACATCATGTACTCAGAATGTTGGATTTTCCTTAGTTCAATTATTCTATAATGTAATACAGAGTACATACATAAAAACTGTCTGGAAAACACGTCTTTAATTGGAACACCTAAGTAGAATCCTTTTTGAGGTTAGACTTAACTTAGATATACAGTATGTATCTTATGATTGCAGAACATCATCAACAATGTTGGGTCACAGCCTAATCTTGCTCAAGAGAAGACAGATGATGAAGCAGATGAAAGTGCTGATGCTCCACAACTGACACGTCAAGAGACAAAGATGATGCACGAGGCATCAAGGATGAGCACCTCCACTGCAATGAGCCATCATTACATGAGCCAAGCCACAGAGTGCCTCACACAGACCCTACACATTGCCCTACAGAAAGGCTACACTGTATGTATTCATCAGTTGCCACCACTTCATCTGTTGGTAACATATTTCAATCTGTGCATTACTCAATATAAATGTTAGTAGGCCTGGGACAAATCAATGATGACAATGTAGAATATGTGGATTTTATTATACACCCTCCAAGGAAAGAAATAAGAAAAATGTATTTTACCCAAATTTTTGAAAATTATAATGGATTATACAAAATGTGAATGTTTGTGAATACATTTGTAATGTGACTTTGATAAATATAAATAAATTAATATTGATGATAGTATAATTTATTATTTCAGGAGATTGCTGGTGCAGCTTCATTGCAGTTGGTTGAGTGTTGTGGCCAGTATGACCCTTCTTCTACAAGCCAGTACCTAGCATTACATCAGGTAATACATTTTAATAGCTTGGCTTTACAATGCACTGCCTTTATATGTTACCAAAAATAGGATCATTTATTGTGATAACTACCAAATTTTTAGTTTTGTAGTTCTGATATTTTGTCATGTTGATGCCTTGTATGTTTTGTATAAATTGAAGTTGTTTTAATACTTGCCTTTTGTTTCTGTAGAGCTGTCAGGCTGCCATCTATATGAAAGGTCTGTTAGATGTTGCCCAGAAAGACCCCACAATATCACAGCAAGCTGATATAATGCTATAATTTAATATCATTTCTTTCTACAGAGCTGCCAGGCTGCCATCTATATGAAAGGTCTGTTAGACGTTGCCCAGAAAGACCCCACAATATCACAGCAAGCTGCCATGATGCACCAGAAAACCAAGATTGAGAAGATGGATGTAACAACTAATCTATCTCAGGGCTCAACCATGAAAACCATACAGAAGACATTACAAGATAACTCAGTAGTAAGTATATCTGCGGTTTGCGAATTATTATTTATATAATTGATATTCATTAATATAATAAGTATTCTCAATACTGTCTTTTAGCCAATACTCCTAAAACACAATTGGAATGATGTAGAGAAGTTATGTTTTGAAGAAAACAATGTATCGTAATTACAGGTACAATCGTTTAATTGGGTTGTTTTTGTATTAGTTCTCTCATTTTGATTGATTGTTTTATTTTCAATACAATAAAACTTCTTTTAGTAGAACACCTCTGGATCTGCTAAAAAATGTTCCACATCCAGAAGTTTGTTTAATATGAAGTCAATGGCTCAAGGAAATAGTTCCACTTATAAAGGTCTTCATTACGGTGCATGTAATTGTCATACCAATGCTAAGTCCAAAAGTCAATCATGTGTTTTACATTACTTCTTGTGCTTTTGGCCTCTAAACACTTTTCCATTTTTAAATTATTTCAGCCTTGGAACAGACTAAGTATTTCAGCAAACCACCTGGAGATCATCAAGGAATTTCCACCATATTTCAATATCATTGTTATGCAGCATTCACCTGACAGGTATGTGTCTCACATTAATCAAAGATAAATGAAGACATGTCAGTGAATATTCACATATGGGAGAGATAAACTACATGTGGTATTACCAATTCTTCAAGCAAAATACATGTATTGTATAATCGCTTGTTCAAATCTTTGTAAATTCATCCCCACAAATTAAAATATCATTTCATGCAGCTATACGAGGTACATCTTGCGTGTAAAGTAAAAGTAAATATTCTTTTTTCAGACATTACTTGTATGGGGCCATCCTGGACAAGCCTAAGCCTGCCCATGCTGGAGGGAAAGAATCCAAGAAGAATGCACAGTTACAAGGTATGACAGCACCACACATTAGCATAGTCATTGATGTGTGCCCTGTACAATTAGCCACTGGTTTCACTGTGAGGCTAATGGATCCTGGGTTATTACCTCATTTGTGGTTAATTGTGTGTTTAGGTATTATAACCTAATTAAGATGAGGCAAGACAACTATCTCTTCAAAATTGTAAAGAAATGTATTTTTGAATATTTTCTCAACCTTATTGCAAAAATCATAGAAGTGTAATATCCTCTTTGCCTTAGATTTTGCCTCATCTGTTTAAATTTGCCTCTCCATTCTAGCATCTTAACCACACGCTTGAGCATGTGTTATTGAAGACACTACCATACCTAGTTAGTACGCTGTAAATTCAGTTATTAAAACAATTAACTGTTGCCATGGCCTATTGATATTTTTGTATTTTAAAATCTCTATTATAATATCTTCCATTTTACTTTAATATTTTCTATGATATAATTGTAGGCCTATCTAAGGCTAAAGTTGTCCGCATTCCAACCAGTCCAGAATCAGTGGACAGGATGTGTCAGCGTGCAAAGGACCACAGGAACAATGTAATGACCATACTGTTGAAGCAGGAGTACCAGAGGAGTCAACAGGCTATGAGGCAGAAAATGCTGGAGAACCTCGATGATGATCTCAAACATACTGGCATGGTGAGTTACATTGAGGACTCCCCATTTAACATGTTTCATAGTTTTAATTTATATACCCATCACCCAATCATTGGGTATAAGGCACAGTTTACAATAGCATGTGAGCCTTAAACCTCATTTAGAAACTCTTCACTCATAGTTTCTTCTTTGTAATGTGGGACTGGATTGGCAAGTAAATAATAAGGGGTTCCTTTTCCATCTGTTAATGAACTTACTGTATTGTGACATGATCCAATAATTCACATGTAATCACTTTTATAGACAGAATATATAATATGAACTTGTCTGAAAAATAGAGATTTTGTCATCCAATATTATTTACATGTATTACCATTCACAATGTTACTGTTATAATACATCTTTTAAGTTCAAGAAATTGACTCAGGGGTTCCAAGTTGGGAAGGTAAATTATGTATAAGGATTTCGTTAACATAAGGTGTTATGACATGTTATTTTGATTTTGTATTTAAGGATATAATTTCATTTTTAATTGGTCCCCTACTCTCATTTTTAATCCATTTTTAAGTTAATGATTTTGTGTACAAATATGGAAGTGCCAAAACTTTGATACAAAAAATATTTCCCTTCATGTTGAACCAAAGTTACAAGTAAGTAACATGTGGAAGTAGGACAATGACTTGACTTTAAAATTGTACAAAGCAAGTTTGCAAAGGCCCCTTTAAAAGTGTGTAAGTTATATTTTTATTCACATGTGTTTATGGATTCTGATAGTTGTAGAGTCCATTTCAACAATATACAGTGTATGAATGCAATATCTTAAAGTCATATATATAGACGATACACATTAATTTAGAAATTATCATTTGAATGTACCTCATCTTAGAAATCATATAACAATATCATGGCAGACTTATTTTGTAGCATTTGACATATTAGACCAGAATGTTCAAAAGTGATAGACTATTCAATACATAATACAATTCACTGGTGAATTTATTCTACCATTACCCCAGTCAAAGTGCATGGATTGATGCCTATTAGTAGTAAGAATGCTTTAATTGTTTCTTAGACCCCCTTTCACGAGGAGATGGTTGAAGATGAAGACCAGCTAGAGAATGAGTTCAAAGATATAGTTACAGACCTGGAGACATACATAGATCCTATTATCAAACACTTTGACACAAACATCAGGTAAAACTCCATTATAGATACCAATCTAGTCTCTTTCCAGTGAGAGTTTGCTATTAATGTGTTGATCATGAATTTCATATTTTGTCGTATTACCTGTTTAAATAGTGGGATTATATTATATGCTTCAATACCATATTCCTTGCTTTCTGATGTACATTTTTGCAATTTTAAATATGATACCATTTTGCAGACCCCAGAGTTCCACAACTGATGGCAAGGGTCGTAAAGACAAGGATCATGACAAGAACCAGGATGCTTGCAACCAAGAATATATAGTTCTATTGGCAGATCAGTGGCTACTGGAACTCCCTCTAGAGGCTGTTCAAAGACTACAGGCAGACAATATATCATCACTAAGCAGGGATATTTCACTACAGATGATGTACCACAGGCACCATGAGGACACCGGAGGTCATTATTTCATTTGTTAATTTTATCATATACCAACTGGTACTCACATGGTATCAGCTGCAAATTGAAATTTCTTAGATAACCTTTTGTCCCATATTAAAATTGTAATTTGTGGTTGGAATTAAGATCATGCATATCTTCATCTCTTGATTGTTTCACTCTCATGAGCAACCTGATCTTATCTATTGGATACTTATATCGTTACAGAAGATGAGAGTCCCTCTCACGGTAAGGACAAAGATGACAAGAAGGAGAAGAAGAAAGAGAAGTCTAAAGAAAAGGAGAAGGCCTACAAACCTCCCCCAAGGATACCTGGTCTTAGAGATGCAGCCAAGAAACAGAATAAGATCATCCCCCTGGACAGACCTTTAGCACCTGGCCTGACACCTGTAGACACACATGCCTTCAGATGTATCCTTGCTTTTCTAGAATTTTCTTTTATATTTTTGAGATTTACAGTTCTTTGATTAAACAAAAGAGAGTGCTATGCTACGACGTTCCTGTCTGACTTTAAACTCACTCGGTCAGTTTGTCATGTTGGTACCAACCTTTACATTCTTCGATGATTTGAACGCCACATGTCTTCATCAAAAACTAATATAGTATGGATACCAAGATCACAACAGTTATTACAATATTGACACTTGTCATGGTGATGTGTCATTCTGTACAATTTTGTTGTGGCCATTATTTTTTGAGATTTTATCTGTAGCAATTATTTCACCTTTGTAACCATTTTTAGGTTGCGACATTTTGTCAATCTAATGCCTTTTATCTTCTTGATTCACAGTGAAGATGAATGCTTAGTTCACATATGTGGATCCCTTTTATTCCATATATCCAGATTTGACATGTGTATGGTCCTTGACACTAGACAGATGTATGTGACGCCTACTGTGACTGTGCAGAGACTGAGACTCATGCTCCACTGGAGATCTTTCACAGGATGATGGAAGAGCATGTCACTCAGTTTACACCCAGGTGGCTTGGGGTGGAGGGCACAGAGCACTCCCCAAGGTAAGGAATATATCACACAGTTTACACCCAGGTGGCTTGGGTTGGAGGGCACAGAGCACTCCCCAAGGTAAGGAATATATCACTCAGTTTACACCCAGGTGGCTTGGGGTGGAGGGCACAGAGCACTCCCCAAGGTAAGGAATATATCACACAGTTTACACCCAGGTAGCTTGGGATGGAGGCTACAGAGCACTCCCCAAGGTAAGGAATATATCACACAGTTTACACCCAGGTGGCTTGGGATGGAGGGCACAGAGCACTCCCCAAGGTATATATACACTGTACATGTATATGTATGTACCAGCATTTTCTCCTAGTCATATTAATAGGAAATACATTGTATTGGATGAGTAAATAGTTGCTAAAAAGGTACTTGATCAGACTTTGTAATTATCATTAGTTCAAAATGAAAATTACATTATAATTAGTCTTTCCACAAAAACTTTAAAGCATTTTTGGCATTTGAAAATATTACTTCAGCTACATAGTAGCCCGGACAGAATTGTTCAAGGGTCACTTTTTCTTTAATAACTTTTTTCATTTTCAGTATTGTCAAAATCTGATTACATGATTGAAAACAAGAGTAAAATTCTGACATAAAAAAAAACATTTGAGGAACATCTCTTAATTTATTGATATTGTAGGCGTTGGCAAGCTTCCTAATAAAAAGGACTTATAATTGATAATTAAACATGCATTCTCATAAAGTTGATGTTATTTCAGTGTTGGGGAGTTTGAGATCTACATGATAGAGGGCAGTGCGTTTGTGTTCTATGGTATGGAGCGGTTCATGTCCTACATCACTCCACAGAAACTGGCATCGCTCAGTATTCCTGGTGAGTTTTGGGAGTTACAGCTTCAGATTTTTCCTCATATTTAAACAGCTTCAATGCCAGTCAAAAGCTTATAGTCTTCATTCTAAATTTACATTGCAGGCATCTGGTTATAATATGAAAGACACACGGATATAAATCTTTATGTTTTTCACAATTTCAGTCTTACTTATTCTACATGGCCATCAAAACAAAATGCATAACAACAGTATCCATAAAACCAAACATTCTACTTGACTAATGATGTTGTCATTGTTACTTTGTGTTTCAGAGAATTGTCTGGTAATGTTATTTGACCTGGCACAGACAAGCAAGAGTTTTACCAGGCAGTCTAGTGGAGATGTACTAAAAAGGTATGAGAATAGTCCAACTAAAACATCACTTTAAACAGCTGCACTGTAGAGCCTCATTTTTATGTATCAGCTAGATAGAACCAATTCATTTCACTAGCATGTCACTACCAGTACATGTGGTAGATATAGGTGGTTTAACATGGAGTGCATTTATCCAAGTAGGGTTTTATCCTAGTAGTATTGTACATCACTGCTTCATGCACTGAATACTCTATCTACACAAAAACTGAGACCACAATAATAATGCATTCTGATTCAGTATTAATATTTTTGAATTATGCATTCATAGTGTTAATCTGTAAATTATGATTAATGCCCTGATTGCAGCAATGACATCATGCACCTGGAGCGCCCCCTGGAGACAGCCATGCTGCTCAGTCTAACAGGAGTGAAGTGTGTCATGTCCAACCAGTGGCACTGTACTCTAATGGAGAATGCTGATAGGCTGGAAGCATCAATGAGAGGTACACACATGTCTTTCTATTAAGGTGGAATTGTAGTTATGAATAGCTCTTGTAGCTATATGGCAACTCTAAAAAATGAAAAAAAAACAGGCTCAATAGTCTGAATGGTTTCAGTGTTAATGACCTCCAAGATTCTATGGTTTTGGAGCTAAATGAAAGGGAAAGTTAGTTTGGACAATATTTAAGTAATGCATTAGACATGAAAAATGATGAATTCTTTTATTGAAATTTTTGAAAATTGGGTTGCGAGAGGGCAAGGGGAATGGGATATAGACACATTTGTGGAAAAGCAAAACATATTAGTTTTATTCAAGATTATATGAGTAAATCAAGACAATTCCAGATGAATGTTCTCAAAGACTATAGGGACTGATTAATCATTGTTTCTTTCAGACCTACTCCCAAAAGGCAAATCTACCGGACAGGTTGCTCGCTATTTACTCTCACCAGCCAAACGAAGGTCAGATGAGCTGGAAGCAGAAAGATTGAAAGAGGAGGCAGAAAACAAGAACAAAACTGGTGACCCTGACCCCAAGGCCAAAGGTCATGAAGCAGACGGACAGGAAGTTGATGATGAGGAGGAAGTAGAACCAGTGGAGCCACCTATGGAACCAAACAGGTCTTGGTACAACATGGTCTGCTATGGCATGCCAAACATTGTTGTCACTCAGCTCTCAAAATAAATCATGGACATCTATTTGGACATACATATGAATATGTATACCGTATATACATTGGTTACCCTATGGTTTACGATACTCATTAGTGTTACCACAGATTCTTATCATTTTTAAGATGAAACTGTGGATTCAAAATATTTGGAAAAAGAAAGACTGTTTGTGTTTTATATTATAATTATTGAGGATTTTAATGGCTGAATGAATGGCCCATACGCCCCATAGATGTCATGACAAGACATTTGCTAGTCTGGTAAAATGATGTGCACTAACTATACTTGTAGGTATAAACTATTGCTGAAAGCTGTGTACTATCTGATATCAATCCGTCCATCAATCAATTGTGATATTATATAATGTATATTTAAAGTTTTATTATAAGTTTTCCAAATAGTATTTATGTTTTATTGCACTATTTACAAAAGTTTGAATAAAATGCAATGCAATGCAGTTGATTTGTTAAAAATATTTCGTTGTGATGAGAACTCTAAATTTATGAAGCCTGTCAAAGTTGAATAGGATACCATAATGCTCTTGTCACATTGTGCCCATATTCAGGGACCACTGTACTCCTCGAACATATTTTCATATTTCTTGTCTTGAAAACACTCAAAAACATACATATACATGTAAGTAATCATTTCTCATTGTTTTATTAGTCAAATGACTACCCTGGTTTAAAATTAATTTGGCTAAATTTTAATAAATTGATAATGTGGCACATAATTATGGTTGTTAATAAGTCTTCAGTCTAAGTTAAGAGCATTGAAATGTCTCTTTTCACACAATGTTCCAACTGTCAAATGTCCATAAGAAATCACCTCCATGAGAAATTATAAATACTACACTGACTAGTAGATATATTGATTATCAATATCCCTAATAAGGTCATATAAGAGAAGTGCAGACCACTGCTTCCCCCATTCATACGCCGTCCATGTTTACGCCAGAAATCATCTTCATCATCTTCAGTAGAGGGACGTTTATGCTTGGTCTTTGCAAGATATTTTTTAGCTTCAACACAAGGCGCCTGGTCACCGCCATCCCATTTAGACTCATAAGGCGCAGAATAAAGCACACCTCGGTATTTCTCTGAAGTCCCTGCTGCTTGTAAGTCCTTTGTGAACATTTTCCTTGGTGGACTTCTGTTCATACAGTTACAATAGTCCTGGTTACATGTGTGAATACATGTAATATTCAGACCGTAATAGTCTCTTTTGCATGTGTTGCTCTGGTCCACCTTGGAGCATGACCTGCTCACAGATACAGCATAGTAGTCATTTGCATTTAACAGTCCTTCTCGGTCTACAACATAAAGTTACAGAATAACAGAGACGTATTTATATCTATGAGCATGGTTGTCATGTTACAGCTTTATAGATACAAGTATATGTACCATATTTGAGTTTTTTCACAATTACCACAATTGAGTTACCTGCAACATCATACTTTACTGCCTTCATAAATGAATGGCATTTATTTCATATTGAAACTCACAGGAAAGTCCATGGCATCACAGCTACTTTTGGGCTCATTAAGATTTTAAAAGTAAAATTATTTGTCCTGAAAGAGGATGGTAATTATATATGACTACATCCTGGTCTTCGGGTAAATTTAGGAATGATATACTTACAGCGTGATTCATTTCGGGGACCATATCTGACTGAAGTTACACAATAATCTAACACCTCATGGGGGCATTGTTTCCTCATAGCCAGTCTTCCTGGGTATAGACTCTCACTGTGAGGTGCAGTTAAACATTCTGGACCCGAACAGACCCAGCACTGCCTTATTGCATCACCTGTAGAGAGTAGAATATAAATTACATGTTACAGAAAAATCTGTAAATATTGAACACCCATGGAGTCACAAGAAGTGTTCACTGTAGGTAGGTGTTCACTACAGTGGGGATTGTGGAGGTGTCAATGTAAAATGTGTCGTGAAGTGGTGCTCACTAAACACAGGTGTTCACTAGAGAGAGGTGTTCATTAAGACAGGCTTTGCTTTATATCAATATGAAATGAAGTGAAAAACAAAAGAGCATTGCGAAACACAACCACAATGAATGTCTTGTGTTAGCCTTTGAATGAGAGTTCAAAAGAATTCAAAGGCTCGCATGACACATGAGTGCGTTAAATCACCCATAATTCATTGACTCTGTTTAAATTCCTATTATTCTTACTTTATCAATATAAAAAGGATGACATAGGCCTATCTAAGAAACTGTTTTCACACTTTTTAATATTCAGAAAAACAAATCTCTCTTTTTTAATCAACAAGAAATTGAAATGTTTCTGATAAAACCTCCCATCTTATCTTTAAATCTGTCAGAGAAACTACATTGTATATTGGCTAGATTGATGATGTCATAGGTTGTACTTTTTCAAAATAAGCAAGGGTTAATCCTTTTTTGCATCAACAGATTGCCACCTACAACAAATGACATCATCAATCAAGTCAATAGGTTAAAGTTTCCCCAAAGAACAAAAGATGGCAGGATTTATCAGAAATGTCTTAAATTAATTTTTGAAAAATCTTTACTGATTTTTAAATTCACTGCATTCAACATTTTTATCTGATTTATTTTTATTGTGACTTTCTGTTTATATACGCATATGGTGAGAAAGGTTTTAGTCAATCAAAAACATGATAATGGTTCACATTACACAAAATTGTCTAAAAGATACAAATCACTAAATGAACATGGCAAAGTATCAATTTAAATCTGTAGGGTGCAGTCATCACCATGACAACCATTAAACTAGTGACCTTGAGTTCGTTATTTGTTATATAACGGAATGCAGTTACATGAAATGATGTGTTCTGATTGGCTGGAATTGGACACACCTCGCCTATGTAAGAATGAATTATTTATAATGAAATATCAACGCATATGGGCCGTGAGATCACATTGATTTTATTAATAAACGCATACCCATATAGGAAGTTATTTTATGAATATTGAATTTCACATATTGAATACCAGATTTCCAAGAAAAGTTCCTACATGCTTAGATTCTCCCATTCTATCCCACCCTCAATACATATATGTTCCAAGATTTCAAGCTTTCATTACAAACAATCACAGAGGTTATTGACACTGACAGCCCCCCCCCCCCCCCAACACTAATTAACAATTTTGCATTGGCCAAATGATACCTGTTAAAGTACTTCCTCAAAAGACACTGACCTGTTTCCGCAATACAAAGCAATGTCACTAAAACATAGCTGTAAAACTGCAACTCCATGGCTGTTTTTCAAACCCGCAATATATTAAGTTTCCTTTTATGTTTTGTTTAGATGCATCCTGTCTAGCAAGTTGATGTATCTGTGGCAGTGGTGATCAAATGATATGAATCCTTGGCACAATCTGTCACCAAACATTGTGTCACGATCAGTCCACGAAAGGGGTGGACTCAGAATTTGACAAAGCATCTTATAGCACATATATAATTTATGACCTAAATCAATGCCTGAAATTTGGCATTAATTATTCATGAAACCAAAACTATTTCAGCTTTTCCAAAATTAAATTTAAACCCGTTCACAGAGTGGGGAGTTTATAATAGTTTAGAACTAGTTTTTACATGTTTTCTGAATCCACCTGAAGAATGTCCATAAGGCCTACAGTGCAACAGGTTTTTTAGAAAGTTAACATACTTTACTCATTATAGACTTCATTTACTTGAATACCTATAACTTTCAAACTGAGAATACATAATTAGAATTGACAGATGGGAATAAACAAGTCAATGTATACACATATAATATGTGTAATCACATACGATTCAAACATTTTATTACCATTTTAATTTATTAATTTCATTTATTGTCATATTTTAATTATTTCAAACCATATGCTTTTGAGTAATTAAACATGAATTTTGGTAAAATCTTGTAATGCTTTTAAATGATATATCAAAATATATTGAATATTTGAATATTATGACATGTATGATGGTATATTGTGTTGGACATGTAAACAGAGTTTGTCTCAAAATAAGTACATACTTTAAAACTCCAGCAGTGGTATAGCACTACATATAAACCTAATATTTTATAAACTACATAATGTACATGTACAAATAATAAACATTAAGTTGATGGGATCTGCTTCCGATCAGCTGTTAAAAGTTCAGTCAAATCACTGGTGATCCACTCGATTACGCTGGTTACCAAAACGAACCGTTTTGGTAACAAAATGTCGGAAAGTCGAAGGCACGATTTTTCTTTTTTCCTTATTTCACGCGTTGTAGGCAGAATCCCCACGACGTTTTTTCTCACAACGTGCATCAGTATCATATGTTTTAGAAAATGTACATGTTTGCGAAAAAATAGCTCAGAGGACAACAGAATCGTCGATTTACTTCCTCACTTAAGTTACATAAACGGTTTTTCGAAAAACAGTTAAGATCTGCACTTTTAACCCAAACCGTTTATGTAACTTAAATGAGGAAGTAAATCGACGATTCTGTTGTCTTCTGAACTATTTGTTCGCAAATATGTTCACTTTCTTAAACATATGATACTGATACACGTTTGTGTTAAAAAATGTCGTGGGAATTCTGCCTACAACGTGTAAAATAAGGAAACGAGAAAAATCGTACCTTCCGGATGTTCAGACATTTTGTTACCAAAACGAACTGTTTTGGTAACCACTACCAGCGTAATCGAGTGGATCACCAGTGCAAATAATATGTATATAAAATGTAACATTCGATTTTCCCAATACTGAATGAGTCCCAGATATTTCTTATCCATTTGTGTATATATATATCTTTTATTGACTCTTGAGATGTCATATCATGACATATTAGTCACTAAGGTAGAGCAGTTCTTCCCATTGTCGAGTTGAAGAACTGGTATCTTTATCCTGGCAAGAACCATAGACAATTCTAGCCAGCGCCAGCCTTTTATCGAGTTAGCAGCACTCTAGTAATCGCCGGTATAGGTCAGCAGTCATAGGTCAAAGACAAATCACAAGAAGTGCTGTGACCTGGGTTTGAACACAAGACCTCTACTTTTTCAGCCTGAAGCCAGACTTCCTGCTTTTCAGACCAATGCCTTAACCACTAGGCCAACCCGGCGACCACGTATACCCTTTACAATGGATGATTGGAACAACTGGAAATATTTGTTCATACATACAATATGAATATCAAGATTGGATATTAATTTTGTTTAACATTTTCAGTCAAATTTAGACAAGTCAGCATTTTGTTGTCTAAAAAGTAGTACATCCAAATATTTTCTTGTTGGCATTGCTTATCAACAGCACATAGACTACTGACTTCACTCACTTTCAATCATATATTTGGCCAGGAATACAATAGTTTTGAGATTCCAAAATGGGTGTTGTCTGTATCCGAGAAGACAAAAGGTCTACCATAATTTCAACTCTTCAGGAATCTTATGGAAAATCACAACATATCATTAACTTCCATATATATTTCTTTAATGCATACATTCTCCTTTGTACAATATCTACCATTTTCAGCTCACATAGGTGAGCTATAATTATCACAAACTTGTTCTATGATGCTGAAGGTCAATATGATAATACGTAATATGTTATTTTAAACATCGCAGACCCAAAAATATTTACTTGAGTTGAAAGATTAGCAAGTAGATTACTATGTACATTAGTACAGCAGCATAAAATACTTAGGCACAGCTTTCTTTATTAAGTAAAAACATGGGCTTTCTTGTTGAAGGCCCATGGTAAAAACAACTAACAATGTGCAACAATTTTGACAATATACAACTTTCTGTACAACTGCCTTTATAACTTTAAGTCTATACATGAGTGCACCTTCTAGATAGAATTTCGACAATAGCTCAAGTGAAATCATTTAGTTTATCACATGAGAACTTAACTTAAATTATTTGTTATATACAATGTACATTTGTTCTTCTGAGATCTGGTTGGTATATTCACAAGTATTGTAACACATTGCATATTCTAAGTATGATGAGATTTTTTTATGTTATTTTCATATGATTACCAATAAATGATAATATGTTTTTCACATTTCAACTCAAGATTATGGTAGAATATTTATACAGAGTTAAAAACCAAAATATTGAGATTAAATAAAATGAAAATCTTTTTTTCAACATTTTTGTGATATTGCAGAACCACCTTAAGTTCTCAAGTGATGCACCATTTCAATTTATTTGAGAGGTAGACATATTTAAAAATGCTCCAGAAATTACGAAAACACAAATTAAAGTTGAAAAAATGTCTATAAACTTTAGACTGAAATGGTTCAAGTTTTGTTCTAGTCTGACTAGGAATGAATGAATAAACACAAGGAGCACACGTGTCTCGAACTCGCAACCTCTAGGTTACGGCGCCCAATCCCCTAGCCTGACATACACAGCTCTGTTTCTCCTTTTGTATGTACAAAGTTTCAGGAGGGGTGATATTGCTTTAAGCCTAATCCCTCTAAAATTACCCTAATGTGAACATTTATCTAAAGATGAACAGCAATTACATGTAAATAATCAAATCATTCTTGGAGGGCTCACTCCACTTTTCTCAGCCCCTGTAAATGGTCCTGGGGGTTGGATATACAGCGGACGTATTTTCTACAAAATGTGTCTGAGATTATAAGTTTTGCGAAGTTCTCAACTTCTCCAATGGTGATATCACTGCTGTTGTCAGTCCATCAAGGCAGCAGATTGGCAAGTCTAACAGTATTCAGCGTAGTGAATGAACAATGGATGATGATGAAGACGATTATGATTATGATGATAAGTTTATGGTTGTGGAATTCTCCCTGGTTTAACCAGTTTGTAGTCTTGGTTTCTAGTGGGTGTGAATTTGAGCAGTTTGGCATACTTCAGTAGCAGTTTTTTCCAATAACAACTGACATCTTTCATTCTTAGGTGGTCCCAGATGAACTCCTTGCCCCTGAAATCAAAATCAAACTACTTAAACAAAGGAAAATAGAAAACTTTAATTTCAAAGCATAACGAATTCCATCAAAAATCCCTTCGGAAATTTTTTGATTTTAGACCTTAAATGGTGCATTCTGAGCGATATCAGACTGTGTAATGGGGTACTTCTACATCATTTAGGGTACGCAACTGTGTACCCTCACGTATGCCTGGTTACGCGCCTGTCAGAGTAGCATTCTCTGTATCTTCCCAAAACTTCTCCAATCGAATCAGATAACTAGACCCCAAGAATAAGTTTTGCCATTGGAATAGAAACTAATAAAAAAAGTACATGTATCACAAGAAATAAATTTGCTCTGTTACGAAATAATTTCAAACGACAAGCAGATGGAATATAATCAACACGAAATTAATTTACCAAATAATGCTGGCATTAAAACAACAATAACTGGGTAACTACATGTACATGTAGTTGTTAATTAATAAATTAACTTCTATTATTATAATAAATAACACACCAAGCAGCAATTAATTTTGTAACTGTATTAACTCACCTTTGTGCAATTTCCTGTGCCACATGCTGGTTGGCTTTGGCAAACTCTATCAGTTCTCTAGAAAAGACAAATAATGTGGTACAACTACAGTAAAAGTATTGACATAAAAGGTTCTTAGCAATTTAATAGCCCAATTGTGATGATGTATTTTCTACATCACATGCAGCAAATTGTACGCAATGTTAAACAAGGAACAACATGAGAAAGTCACAGTTATTGTGTTTCCGTTCATACTTAAAGAGGAATGTTGTGATAGGAAAACACAATCAAGACCCCCTGGACTTTTTGCATGTTGAGCCATACCACATATTCACTTATCGACAAAGAAACCCTGAATCTGACGCTTTATGTGCAAATTTTGCGAATGTGTTGACAGGTCAAACATTTTTGTGGAAATTAATTATCTAAAACCTGAATAAACTGGGGAAATCCAGATGTTATCTGATTGGTCGTTAAATTTGTTTACCAGTATGACAAAAGGAACTCTGTAAATGGCAGTTCTGGAAATTCTAAAAGAAATTAACAACCGCATGCCGAGTTTGCCGACGCTCGTATGCTACTGTCAATTGAAAGGGTGTTCCTTTGATTGTTGCGATCAAACTCAATGGTAGGCGTAACCTACCTTGAAATAAATTCTGTTTTGATCTGTCAATATGAAGTTTGAATTGAGATATGTTTCTTTAGGGTATACTCAAACATCATATAACAGTCTAACTCTATGTGTGAAGCTTAACAAATTCAATGGCATCACCAATAAGCACAATTATTGGAATAAAAAGAAAATATGTTTGCACACAATACAGCTGTTTCATGATGCCTTCAGTTGTTGCACATGCTGAGTGACTGTGATTGCAAGATTCAGAATTTGTAGAGCACAGACTAAAAAACTTTGAAGGCAATGTCAAATACCCTCACAACTTCTTCGTATGGTTGTTTATCTGAATATGAAAAACCTGACATACCTAGCATCTGAGAGATCTTGCTTGACTGGAATGTAGTGAACCCATGGCCTAAGTGCAGGATAGAAGAACTCAAGCCAGTCTTTGTCAGTCTCCTCTGGACCAACATGAAACACCAGGGAGTTGCAGAGAAACAGATGCTTCAGCCGGAAACTTGCTGCAACACCTCGGAAATTAAACAGATACCTGAAATAATAGAATTAAAGCCTGATATGATTAAAATACCTGCATAATGTATAATTAAATAATGCCTCATCAATTGAAATGAACAAATATAGAGGTTGAAAGTAACATTATTGATGAATTAAGTGAGATCAAGTAGAATGAGTCTTGCGCAGTGAAATCATGTGTTTAACTATACACAGCCTATCATAATATGAAGATATTGTGCACTTTGTCATGCTTTTATGAAAAGAACACAACTAGTGTAAGGCTTATTATTTCTGGCATTCTATTTTTGCATAAACTTACTGCTCTCCTGTACATAAAAAACTCACCTGTATTTACAATGCTCCTCTAATTTTATTTCCTTAGCTGGAGGCATTCCTAATGTATCTCTGTCCGACTTCCATGCCTGATTTTTTGTATAGTGGGCCTCCACAAGGTCAGGCTGGTCTCTGGATAGAAGAACAAGGGGGTCCCGTTCTTCGCTCGTCCTGGATCCCCGGAAGAATGCCTTATCTTCTCTTTCCTCCCAAGGTAAAGATTCAGCCATCCTTAAAGAAATTATACTTATTTATAATTGTGGTATTTCAGACTAATTCAGATTTTCAAATAATTTTGTTTATTATCTCTTGATGATAAACATATGAAATGAATTACACAAAAATTGAAGCAAATTTGTATCTACATTGTCATATTAATATTTACACTATTTTGAAAGACATGTATTCTTTAATATTTTCATATTTTCAGAGGCAGTTTAAAAATGAATTCAAGATGTGAGAAATTTTACTATTCTTTATATCAAAACTATTAGTTGAAAAATACAAATACATGTAAACACTATTTCTTAGTCTTACTTTGTTATAATCTTTCGTTGTTCATCCCATCTACCAAGGCCTGTTGGATATATTGGCCAGACAGCAGGACCACCTTCCCAAAATGTCCATGCAGGATATGTTATGTCATAGTGATCATTTAAAACTTTACTGAATGAAAATATTGGTAATTTTTTATGATATTTCGGTGATTGGGGGTAATCCCTGGGGTTTAGTATGAACTCCATGTCTGGTAACTTTTTGATGATCTCGAGAATAAAATGCTCCACTCCGCTACATCTGAAATTACAAAACATAGAAATGGTTCTATATCAACTAAACATGTATGGAAAACATATACATGTATGAATTTGAAGACAAACGCTTTAAAGTCAAACGAATATATTCAGTGCCCAATCTCAATAATCCTAATAACAATGGAGAGGTTGTAAATGCTTTGTGACGTACACAAATCAAAACTTGTTTACAAAAATGTCATATATCAACTGAAAAGGCTTTGCACATTACTTAAGTCATCTTATGCAACTATGTTGAAAGTAATTGAACCCTATAGAAATAATAAGATTGAATAATTTTAATTCCACTTTTAAGTTCTCCTTCATCAGTGTTCAAATATATTTTCCATGTTGATAGATACATATAAATATAATAAAAATGAGTCGAAAATGATTTTTCAATTTTGTTTTGAGATTTTTAAGATGCAAACTGTCATGGGTGTTTGAAGTGTGTATGATAATCCAGGGGTAATTTTTGTAGAACTCAATGAGAAATATTTATCAGGAGTTAAGACACTATTTTACAATTCATTCATCATTTTTGATCAGTTAAATCTCTGACTAGAAAATAATAGAGATACAGCATTTCCAACTTTTACACCTTAGGAATGAAATATGTAATTAGCAGTAATAAAGTTTATTTAGATTATAAAATTCTACCACAAGGAAACAGATTCTACTATATTAAATTTTGAAACCTCATCGGAAACACATGCGAAGACACCCTGCATGTATTGTAATGTTGAACCAGCAGAACAATTTTCATTAATTCTTATACTTAAACTGCAGATGGTCAGAAAATTCTTATTATAAAAACCTCATTTCAGTAAAATATCCATTACTACTGCTAAGGAACACAAAGGAGCACTACATAACAAAATTGGAGATAACCTTTGGTAAGTTTTCCCATTTTATATTTTTTAAAGGTCGCATTTTTATTTCAACTGTCTAAAGGCATTTATTTTTATAATATATATAGTTATCTAGTTTCAAATGTTAAAATTAGATATTATTTACATTTATCTAGTTTGAAAAATATCTCATTGCAGTTTTATTAAGTATGTGTTTGAATAAGTACATGAAATCATATTATTGATATTTTTATTACTGAGTTGATAACACCAGCATTAGTGTATGGCAGTTCAGTCAAACTGACTGAATACATACATGGCTATGTTGACAAATAAGTACCATTGGTATAAAAAACATTTTTGATATATACACTCCATGGAGAGTTAAAGGTTAATTTTGGTTGCATTAAATCCAGAGTTCTTTCACAAATTTCTTTATTTTATGTTCGGAGACATGAGCCCATCATGTTTAATGTATGTGCCTGAATAGATGCTTTAGTATTACCTGAATGGGAACATGCAGTTATCCTCTCTGTCAATGTATGTGCCTGAATAGATGCTTTAGTATTACCTGAATGGGAACATGCAGTTATCCTCTCTGTCAATGTATGTGCCTGAATAGATGCTTTAGTATTACCTGAATGGGAACATGCAGTTATCCTCTCTGTCAATGTATGTGCCTGAATAGATGCTTTAGTATTACCTGAATGGGAACATGCAGTTATCCTCTCTGTCAATGTATGTGCCTGAATAGATGCTTTAGTATTACCTGAATGGGAACATGCAGTTATCCTCTCTGTCAATGTATGTGTCTGAATAGATGCTTTAGTATTACCTGAATGGGAACATGCAGTTATCCTCTCTGTCAATGTATGTGTCTGAATAGATGCTTTAGTATTACCTGAATGGGAACATGCAGTTATCCTCTCTGTCAATGTATGTGTCTGAATAGATGCTTTAGTATTACCTGAATGGGAACATGCAGTTATCCTCTCTGTCAATGTATGTGCCTGAATAGATGCTTTAGTATTACCTGAATGGGAACATGCAGTTATCCTCTCTGTCAATGTATGTGTCTGAATAGATGCTTTAGTATTACCTGAATGGGAACATGCAGTTATCCTCTCTGTCAATGTACGTCTCTGAGTAGATGCTTTAGTATTACCTGAATGGGAACATGCAGTTATCCTCTCTGTCAATGTATGTGCCTGAATAGATGCTTTAGTATTACCTGAATGGGAACATGCAGTTATCCTCTCTGTCAATGTATGTGTCTGAATAGATGCTTTAGTATTACCTGAATGGGAACATGCAGTTATCCTCTCTGTCAATGTACGTCTCTGAGTAGATGCTTTAGTATTACCTGAATGGGAACATGCAGTTATCCTCTCTGTCAATGTATGTGTCTGAATAGATGCTTTAGTATTACCTGAATGGGAACATGCAGTTATCCTCTCTGTCAATGTACGTCTCTGAGTAGATGCTTTAGTATTACCTGAATGGGAACATGCAGTTATCCTCTCTGTCAATGTATGTGCCTGAATAGATGCTTTAGTATTACCTGAATGGGAACATGCAGTTATCCTCTCTGTAGAGCTTGTGGTTGATGATCTGGTAGTGGGTACCCTTGTCTTTAGCCTCCTTGAACACTGCTGAACTGATACCATCCTTCCAAATTGATAGGTCCTTCTTAATAACACTAAAATACAAATGTACATAATGGTTACCAGTAGTTGAGTGTCTGAAATTTATTCTCCCAGTAGTAACAACCTTTCTCTCTATGAATATATAATTCAGATCATTCCTGGCCTGAGTAACATTAGTATGACAAAAATTCAAATCAGAAAGACTTACTCAGCGTGACAAGAACAGGCAGAGTCATCTTTTGGACAGGCTTCATAAGCATTCTCTGCAGCCTCTATCTTATCGATGTACTTCTTCCACCTCTTATCTGCAACAGAATACATATAAACAAGGCATTAATATGACAAAATGTCACCACCTAATTGCTCATAATATTATGAATTCAATGTTAAATCAGATTTGAATTTCTGAGAACTTGTAGAAGATTTGGAAAAAATTGGTCAATTTGAAGCAAGTTGAAAAAAGACCTTTTTGACCCTGAGAAGGTCATTGAAGGTGAAAGTTCTATCTAAAGTCAGGTTTTAACTTCTAAGAACTTGGTAAAACTGGTAAATTTGAAGCAAGATTTAAAAAAAACTTTTATCCTTGAGAAGGTCATAGAAGTCAAATCTTTTTTGACCTTGAGAATGTCATTGAAGGTCAAATCTTAAAAGTCAGATTTGAACTTGTAAATAATTTTGAAAAAAAATTGGTCAATTTGAAGCAAGTTGACCTTATGTAAATCAAGTTGACAAAAACTTGGTTTTTACAAGTTTTGGAAAACCCGTTTTAAAACGAAAATGACGTAATTTATATTATGGACGCTGGTTGACAGACATTATAATAAATTTGAACTTATGATATACCAAATTAAAGATAGGTAAATTCCCTATCCACTGGTTTATAATATGACATGTTTTCCTCAAGAAAATCAATATTTATTTTTGAAATATGAGTGTCCCATTTTTTGGACCACCCTGTATATACTCCTAAAATGTATGTTAGTATGAGGGTTTTTGAAAAATCTTGAGTGGAAAGGGGAGCAATGTTAAATCTTCAAATTAGATCAGTACAGCTCTCTACTGAGAAATTGGTCAAATATTGACAGCGCTGCAGTTCAGACTATCTTTAACATTTTGGAAAACCTTACCTAAAATAAGATTTCAAAAGTTGTTCTCAACATAATTATCTCTATCATACAACAATAATTGCCATAGAAACCATATTTAAAACACAGGTTGCTCATTAAAATTTCTGCCAAGTTTCATGACAATACTTTAAAGTATATAGTCAATTTTCTGAGATAGATGGTCACTTGCAAAAATCGTTCATCACCCCATGTTTAATAATAATGTTTGTGTAATTTGTTTCATTTCTTTTCTATTATCAATTACACCAGTATAAAGACTACCTAATATTTCAGTAACATCAATACCAGGATTAATTACACTGAAACATCAATTCAATAGATATTATAATGTTAGCCACTACATTCATGTCTGTTAATTAAAGCGGATGAAGTGCATTTATTTACTTAGTTGTTATTAATCACACAATTTTCAGCATTGATCTTATCACAGATGCTTACCAGTATAAATATGAAAAACAGTTAGGCAAGAGCAAATTAAATCTATGTTTAGCTGCAATTTTGTTTTTGCAGAGAGATGGGGGGCTTTTTATTTTTCTAACAGCTTCCAAAAATAAGCAATCATATGCAATAATACATAAATTGATGTCAAATAGATTAAAGCATAGCGCTTATTTAATTAATCATTCAAAATAAGTTGTTAAAGTATGCTAAACATTTACTTATTTATCCTAGCCTTCATCACTTAATATGTGTATTTCTACTCCATTCTATGAAATACAAATTTAGGTATGATAGGTAATATATTGAAATGACACATAAATAAACTAGTTGGCATAATTAAGTTCAAATTAAAATACTAGATATAGTAGGGGGTGTGGGTCCTCGGACCCCTTTCTTTTTTTACCAAAGTATACTTTATGATTTTTGCATGTCTCATACCTTACATGGACTTACAGAAAATAAGTAACTTGTTTTAAGAGCTCCTATAATTGGAAAAAGCTCTTATATTTGGAATGACTCAATTCAGGAACATCATAACAGGGACATATGTGGACTCCACAGCCAAGCAATTTGCAGGGTTGAACTAACCCATCCCCAATCAAGAAAATACGTGAGAGTTGAAATACATATTTAAACCAATCAACCTTGCTGTTATAGATCTACCCAACAAAATACACAAGAAATAGTTTCAATGGTCTACAATATCACAAACGTGATCAGTAACCAAATGAAACAGTAAGCCTATGTTACTCGAGTCTTTAACCAATTCTTGACTAGAAGTAATTACATCTGGAACACTGTGAACAATTGTAAAATTTCTAGCCAAGGTTCAATAAATTTATGTAATATTCTAAAAACCGTCATGTAATATTTTATGTATTGAAATGGTAACATAATTGTCAAGTCATGTAATATTTTATGTATTGAAATGGTAACATAATTGTCTTGTTCACATGAGATATTGAACGCTTTCATTTAAAATAGAAGTCATCCTGTTTTTGTCTGTTCTCAATAAGCTTACATATCGATGTCAGCATAATCGACAGGAAATGGTGGAAATAGGAGAAATTTTATTTCAATATAAAAAAGAATAAATATCATGCGAGGTGGCCAAGAGGGGGAGAAACCCCAGGGTTCAAAGATGACATACGCTTTTAATGTAAATCTGTATTGAGATGACATCGTCACTGATTGGTTTAGCGAGTCGATCGTTGATTGGTTTAAAACTCTTGTCAATTTGAAAACTTCCCTCCTGTTGAGGTGGCCATAGAATATTAGGCCTATGCAAAATGATGTCCATGCCAATAATATGCAAAAGGCTAATAAGCCCATATTAAATTAGATATAACCTTTCTTCTTCGAGTATCATAGCAATAAAGATATGATTGTTCAAATTAAATGTGTCTGTCTTGAATATTTTTGAAGTGCAAGTGAAGTTCAAGTGGTAAATATTTTGGTGCCGTTTCTATTTCATATGTTGAATTAACTTACCAGGTTGGGCTTTATATTTGCTCTTTTCAATGTTATTCTCGTCCCCACACTCTTCGAATTCGACATCTTCGCCACGCGTGCAAGTATCGGCAGAATTTAAAGCAAATACGTGGAGAAAACACAAAATAATTGTTACTTCCGCCTTCATATCTCTTATTCTAAAGAGCTCTCTTTGCGCTGTATCTACGAACGACAAATTTTTCGCCTTTCCAAGTTCGGATTAACGAGCTTAGGCCATTCAAGGTTAATTACCTGCTTAACGTCCTGGCGAAGACCCGAATCTTACAAGTACGTATATCATATATACAGCAAAATCCTTAAATCCGAACACCTGGCTGATCCAAACAATTTTCGTGTCAGAATATCTATTCAGTAAAAGATTCACCAAAAAACTGTAATATAGAAAATCAAATTGTCTAACATTTCAAATTTGATTGTATTTTGAGAAAACAAAATGGATGTATCGGAAATGATGTCATTTTATTTTTCCAGCCCTAAAACTAGTTTTTTCTTTACACTTTACATATTATCAAACATAAGGAGGCTTAAACACTCCATGAGGGAGTTAAAGAGAGAATCAGATCTAGCAAGCAGGCCAACAAAAAATTGTTTCAATTTTAGGAAATTTCTGGTTCATGTCATTCCTTGTCATGCCTATTTTCTAAAAATCCCCAAAGTGCACACTTTATTTCAGGAAAACTCAAGATTTTCACAATATGGTGTCATTTTTCTTATGATTTGGGAGAATTTAAACATTTTTCACCCATTTTTGAACTTTGAATCCATAATAACTTCAACAATTTATAACGTATCATGAATCTTTTTGGAGATGTATTTGAGATTGTAAAGAATAGATTAATAGGTCAATAGTGTACACTGTTGCTTGTAATTTTTTCACCCCTATAGATCTGATTCTGCCTTTAAGGTTGCCAAACTTTTGGAGGGGGTGTAAATTGTATAAAAAATAGAAAAATGGTTTTATGTGAGGGACCCCAATGAAGGGGGAGATTTGTGGATATCATAAAAGATACGGAACCCATGGTCACCAAATCCTGGCTACGCCATTGGGAGGTGACGTTAAACATGTATTAAACTTGAAATTATATACAATGGAACTTGTATACTATAAGATTACTTGTAATTGTTTCTGTGAACAAAAATTTCACCAACTCCACAAAAAGGAGACCATACCGTAGTTGAATTTTTCTTAACTGTGCCATTTTCAGCCAAAGTTTCATATGGCCGAAATATATGTGGTATGAACACCTTCTATTTCTCAAAATTCACTTTTGGACCATTTAGTAGCTTTTTTTAAAGTTAAATGAGAATTGGGCATCGCACGCACGGGAAAAAATTACACGAACATTTTCAAAAAATCGAACCCCACTATATCCTGCCTACGGGCCTGACTATGTCCATGTTAAAGGGGAGGTTTGCTGTATTAAATATTCACAATCACATTAATTATAAGGAAAACTAGTACAACATGTCAACAATTATCTATTTCATTTGTATCATTTCAATTATTTTTCTAGACAGAAATGCTTGCATATCAAACCTCGACGATCAACTGATCATTCACTTTTCTCATTTTGAGCAACACCATGTGAATCCGCAACCCACTGTTCTGTTATTTTTTATATTTCACCAATTTGATGTCTTACAGTTATAACCTGCATGATCTTTTTGATCAGCACTGGGCACGGCCGGTTGTGTCTGCATCTAAGTATGGTGTGTCTCAGCATTTTGTTTGATCCAAGTTCATAAACTTGGATGAAAACGTATCGTTATTGTCAACAATCCGTTCATATGTATCATATGTTTAAGAAAATGTTTTTCGAAAAACAGTTAAGATCTGCACTTTTAACCCAAACCGTTTAGGCCTATGTAACTTAAGTGAGGAATTAAATCGACGATTCTGTTGTCTTCTGAGCTATTTTTTCGCAAACATACATTTTCTAAAACATATGATGCTGATATACGTTTGTGAGAAAAAACGTCGATGGGATTCTGCCTACAACGCGTGAAATAGGGAAAAAAGAAAAATCGTACCTTCGACGTTGCGACATTTTGTGACGATATTGTTTACCATTTATTTTCAGAACAAAAATATCACAGCACACAACAGCAGACGACGTAAAATGGAGCCATATCGCGTTAAAAGTGTAGAAGAAATACCATTTCTCACAGCAGAAGAACGAAAGGATGCCATCTTGAAAGCAGATTTCAACCCGTACAAAATGATGGCGTCCACTGTAACAATTGACCTGTTAACAGACTCTGGATGTTCTGCTATGAGTACAAAACAATGGTCTGCAATGATGCTAGGCGACGAGTCCTACGCTGGATCTGCCAGTTTTGAACGCTATCAGAGTGCGGTCCAAGACATAACTGGCTATAAATATGTTCTACCAACGCATCAAGGGCGGGCGTGTGAGAAAGTATTGTTCAATGCACTAGTGACAGAGGGTTCTGTTATTGTGAACAACAACCACTACGACACAACAAAGACAAATATTGCTCTGAATAAAGGGATAGCATTGGATATCGCGATGGTAACTGATGATACTGTTGATTTTCCCGGCAATATGGATATCGATAAACTGAAAGAAGTACTGGCGGAAAAAGGCGAACAAATTCCTCTTGTCATGATTACTGCGACGAACAACAAAATGCGAGGGCAACCCGTGAGCATGGCCAATATCAAGGCTGCTTCTTCAGTTTGTAAGGCCCATGGCGTCCCCTTTATTTTAGACGGGTGTAGATTTGCAGAAAATTCTTGGTTCATAAAGGAGAGAGAGAATGGCTATGGCGATATGACTCCAAGGGAAATTGCTAAAGAAATGTTTTCATACGCTGACGGTTGTATGATCTCCGCAAAGAAGGATGCCAATTCTAATATAGGTAAGACATACACTTTTAGCCCTATTCGGGAAAGAAACGAAGAGGTTGTACTAAAAGGAGGGATCCCGTGAATAGTAAATGATAATTATGCTTGTTATGCCAACTAAGTTATGCCTTGTGCAGCTTTGTATGATAACGTAAATGCATATGAATAGTGATTCTTTTTCGAAATTGACAATATGTACAATTGTACATGTATGTTATAACATTATATTCTATATTTTGCAATTCTAGGTGGTGTATTGGCGATGAATTCCGAAGATCTTTATGAACGATGCGTCCCGTATGTCATTGCTACAGAAGGCCATACAACATATGGTGGTCTATCTGGTCGCGATTTGGAGGCAGTTGCTGTTGGATTGTACGAGGTACTGGATGAGAGCTACCTACGTTATCGTCGAGCTAATCTGAAGTTCTTTGAAGAAGAGCTAATTAGGCAAGGTGTTCCAGGTGTTTTTCCAGCAGGGGGACACGCCATATTCCTGAATGCCAATAAACTATGTCCAAAGATACCTGCTGATGAATTTCCAGGGTTAACATTCGCTGGACTGTTGTATATGGAGAGTGGGGTGAGGTGTTGCGACCTTGGACGGTTAGCATTCGGGCCTGATGCTCCGGATCTGATCCGCTTGGCCGTTCCTAGACGAGTTTATACGACTGAGCACCTAAAATACGTGGCGAGAATGATAGCACAAGTTACAGAAAAGAATAAGGATCGAAAATCTGGTTTAATAATGACCAAGTCGCCTCCACATCTCAAACATTTGACGGCTTCTTTTAAGATGAAGGAAGAACTTTAGCATAATTCAGAGACTATGAAATTTGTTATATATGTTTTTCTGGTTCCATATTTGAATAAAAATTGATTGGAAATTGAATTTTCGTCCTGTTCGTGTAATATTAAGTATCTCCCTCAAAATCCCTTTAAAATCCATGCATTATTAAAAGTTATCGCCAAATAAAAATATGGACTTTTGGCCCACCCTGTTTATATATATAAAATCTTGGAATAAAAATTATTATGATTTCCAATTTGTATAGTATTCCCAGATAGAATAGGCCAGCCTTTTGAGACATTTGTATTTAACTATTGAAATTAGCAGCGTCCCCAGGCCCCCCACCCATATCCGCCAGTGGTGTTCAAGTTATAGTACAAGCGACATAGACACTATCATGTGAATAGAGTAAGCAGCATTCGAGGGAATAAAGCATCCGACATAGAGTTCATGTCAATAGAGCAAGCCACACACTGTTCAAGTGAATAAAGCAAGCCAACTAGAGTTCATGTCAATAGAGCAAGCCACACACTGTTCAAGAGAATAAAGCAAGCCACGCGGAGTTCATGTCAATAGAGCAAGCTACATTCAATTCAAGAGAATAAAGTAAGCCACGTAGAGTTCATGTCAAAAGAGCAAGCCACGCACTGTTCAAGAGAATAAAGCAAGCAAACGTAGAGTTCATGACAATTGAGCAAACCACAATTCAATTCAAGAGAATAATACCCTGCGTGCAGAGTCTAGTTAAACTACGAAGACGAAGCTCTCTTTTAAGAAGTGAAGTCAAACGAATGCAAAGGGTAAGAGAATAAAGTAATCCGCTTAGAGTTCATGTCAAAAGAGCAAGCCACGCACTGTTCAAGAGAATAAAGCAATCAACATAGAGTTCATGTCAAAAGAGCAAGTCACATATCGTTCAAGTGAATAAAGCAAGCGTAGAGTTCATGTCAATAGAGCAAGCCACATTCAATTCAAGAGAATAAAGTAAGCCACGTAGAGTTCATGTCAAAAGAGCAAGCCACGCACTGTTCAAGAGAATAAAGCAAGCCACGTAGAGTTCATGTCAATAGAGCAAGCCACATTCAATCCAAGAGAATAAAGCAATCCACATAGAGTTCATGTCAAAAGGGCAAGTCACACATCGTTCAAGTGAATAAAGCAAGCAACGTAGAGTTTATCTCGTTCCAAGACTATCTCTACAATCTAAAGGGGTCGTAGGATGCGATAACGTAGAGTTCGTATCAATAGAGCAAGCAACTCATTAGAAAATACACATGTCAATAGAGCAAGCCATACACCATTCAAGAGAAAAAGCAAGCCTCATATCTTTTGAAAATTTGCATAATAAATAGTCTACATTAAAATCAAGATTAGATTTCTCTTGAAAATAAAAATATATATAATTTTAAAAATGAGATGTTATTAGTTTTTGTGATATCGCGTCAGATACTGATAATGAATATTAGTAAATTATTGTGATTATTCTTCGTGTATAAATCCAGGCAAAATTGATGACGTCACTTCTAAACAAGAAAAGTGAAAGATGGCGGGACTTGAAGCCGGTGGAACGGATAATATTATTTTGTGTACTGATTCTTATAAGGTAGGAGCTACTGAAAATAAAATAAATGACATTAAATGTACTATGTATATATGATCTACATATTTGAGAGGTTTTGAGGAAAATCTCATGGCATAAGCTGAGATAACAGTCTATTTGTTGTAAATCACATTCGATTTTTAAAATTCAGTTTTGCTTTGACACTTCTGAGAAGTCAATTTTAGTTTCTTTTTCTTCATCCTACTTTGCTTCTTATGTCATTGTTCAGGAATGCAGCAGTACAGAATATAAATAGAATGGTGTTTGGCTAATGCAGTGCTGAGTACTGTATTGTTGATCTTGACCGCCTGTTGTTCGTGTATACTCTACCTCTGTACCTTTAACCAAACCCTTCTGGCCCAGTTATCTACTCCTGACGTCGTAGATCTGGGCCAGACGAGGTCCAATGCTAAAAAGGGGGATTTACTCCGGAAAAAACATGTCGCTGAATCATCACTTATTATTCATTCCCTATTAGCCATCCAACCAAAACATCGGGCTCCATGTAAACCCAAGTATTTATTTGAAATAAAGAGTATATTACTTACACGTAAATGTGGTGTTTTGTTTGTTATATTGATGTTGAAATGGGCACAACATTTCGTCAATATTTTCGTCCGCTCTCTGCACCGAATAAAGTCACGTGATGTGACGTAACATAAGTGTGACGCGATAGTTTTTTTTAACTTTCATGGAACGAAAATACATTTCCCCGGAATCAATACATTCCAAATATAATATTACGATTTTTCAGCAGATTTGTTATCAAAATGTAGATTTCTTTATAAAACAGACGTATCTGTGTTGTATTTAGACTTGAAATAAATATTGTGGACATTAAATACGATTTTTCGATTCGTTGAACTGACCGAATGTAGTACTGAACGAAATATGCAGCCGAGACTTCTCGATATCCTACGAGATCACGAACAGATTGCAGAAGAATTTTTCTTTTTGCTGCGTTTAATCGTTTTGTTCTTATTTATTAGCCGTCATCCAGCGATGGAAACCTAATATAAATACAAAGTTTGATACAAGGAACAGACAAGTAAGTGTTTTTTATGATGTTTATTCATTTATCAGCACGTATTATACATTGAAAAACCAGTGTGTTTTTTCCGGAGTAAAATACCCCTTTTTTGCATTGGACCTTGTCTGGCCCAGATCTACGACATCGGGAGTAGATAACTGGGCAAGACGGGTTTGGTTACTGTACCTTATAGTCTACTCAAAAAGCCTTCCTGTCCGACTTTCAAAAAATCAATTTTTAGCACAGTCGAAGAGAATGTTCTGGCGAAAGGAGATTGGGATTCCAAATTCTTGAAGTTGGGAAACACGAATGAAAAAAATGAAGTTACCTTTTTTAATTCCCGAATCTCTCCGAAATTAGCTCATCTTGGTGACTGTAAATTGCAAAGCTGTATTCAATGGAGTCTTTTAATATTCAATCAGCCTCAATTTCAAAGTGTAAATTTTATTTTTAACGTGACTTCATCGTTTTTTGTCAACGGGTAAGATTTGGCTGGGCAAATGGTAGCAAATGGCAAGATGGATGACTTTTGACCTGACCTTGACCAATGATGATGATGTCATCAATTTTATCTCGACGTTGATTGGTTAAATGATGATTGTTTGGGAAATTTGAATTTAGTTCCATTGTAGTTCTCGTAACCTCCCGTGACCTCCCGAATAGGTCACGTGACCTTGTGCCAGAAGCCCGTCTTTTTTGTCAGTCGACCTGTTCAAAGTACATTTAGTAATAATTATCGCTTTTCAGAACAAGTTAGGAAACAATATTTTCTATCTACGTCGATAACAAAGCATCTAAGGTACGTACACTTATATGAACAACTGAGTTGATAGGGATAAATAGCCCAACGAGAGTCCGAGTCGGTGGTCTTGAAAAATACTTGAATCTTGTTGCCAATCCTGGTATTGATATCGTATCTCGTTCGAAGAACGTATTAGATGTCCGTGATTTTTAGAAAAAATTTAATGCCTCAATTGAATCATTTGGTCTACTTACTCATATGTACTTGCCTTATGTGCCAGGACTATAGTCTTGAGAACCACAGGCCCAGGAAAATTTAAATCCCCCACTCACTGTATAGCTAATGTAAAAAATTACAGTCTTTTCTACATAATAGATAGTGAGTGGGAGAGGGATGAACTCTTGTTCCCGTGTCTGTGCTGAGAACATCTCAATCTTTTGCCCTTGCGATTACAACATGGGAAAATTTTCCACGCTTCTTACACTTCAGATACCTACTTTGATAGATTCCTTGGTATTTTAGCATTCTTTTCGTGTAGTTGAATCCACAATTGTTTGGGTTTATAGGCAGAACGAAGAAATTTTTGTTTTTGATCGCAATATTTGCGTGTAATATTAACCATCAAATTCCTCCATTTATTGGTACTTCCTGGCCACATCCAAGACAGTCAAATAGAAAATCCCCTTTTAAATCCAACCGCCATCTTGAAAAGTGATGGAATCTCTCTCGATGAAAAATAAATAAAAAAATAAATAACTACATTTAGGTCATGGGTTGGCGTAAATTGCTATTTATTTTTAGATCCAAATTCAAAGGAAGGGGTCGAGAATGATGCCAAACGGTCAAATATATAATAAATCAATATCTATAATTTTTCGTTTCATTTACGGCCGTCATTTTTCTTAATGATCATTCTAGCTAGAAATATGGTAATTTCATGGTCAAATTGGTGTTTATCAATTATAAAACAGTCCTACAGTAGATTGAGTCAGTAAACTAAAATGATATCACATTAATCAGGCTAGCAAGATGTTAGAGCAACTACCTTTAAAAATTTGAAGTTATCCTATAAAACGATGTCAATATTTGAGAATATTAAGCAAATATTTCCTTCTATTGAGGACAATACCTGTTCATCTTTCAATAATTTTTGCAGCCTGTATTGCCTGCAGCGAGGGAAATACATGCTGAAAAAATCATTGAAAGATGAACAGGTATTGCCCTCCATAGAATGAAATCATTGTTTTATTATATAGTTGATAGACATTCTCTATCTGAAATAAGCTATGGTATTTTTGATCACATGGTACTGATTCAGCCAATCAAATCACACGATTTCCAGCAAAGATATAATAAATAAAGGTATCCCTACTTTATTGGGAGAGACATATGATGTTCATTCCATTCCAAAATGACTCTCAGCTGAATGTTCATATTTTGACATGGGCTTTGAAGTGAAAGCCCATAATTTTGATCACGCAAGATTTCACATTCACACGGCATTGACATGTGATTAAACTACTGTACTCCCACTGATTCAGATAAAGGTCTCCTTAAGAGGAATCAATGGTATTTTATGAACTGCTTTGTCTAGCTTGATTTCCTAGCTTTCAGCTAAACATATCTGAATAGACAATCCCATGTAATATGAAATGGAAGTATTTGTAAATCAATTAAATGTTTATATCCCGCCTGTAAAATAGACACATTGAGTGGATAAGGGAGTTTGCGATTTCTGCTCGAAAACTCAACAAATCTGTAAAAGAGAGAGTTGACTTATAATAATCACTAAATGAATAGGTTCACGGTATGGTAAAATCTGTTAGGTCTCCAATGATTTCTTTTAAACTGATATGCCTCTAATGTGTGAGATCTATTTAAAAAAGGTGCAATGTCACCAATGTGCAAAAGTCCAGTGTTCGCGCTAGCCATTTCAATTTCTAAGTCCCAACGCAACCAATTTGAAAAATTTGAGAACCGTCTAATCGGGCCTACCCTTTGCATTCGTTTGACTTCACTTCTTAAAAGAGAGCTTCGTCTTGTAGTTTAACTAGACTCTGCACGCAGGGTAAATCGGGCCTGCCATTTTTAAAACATCTGTTGATGGCCGCTTTACCGAAGGATTCTTTTCAAAATATTGCTCTTAGAAAAGACTAAATTAAACCTGATGTAGAATGGATATATAAACTAAGACTACATACTAAGTTCAATAAAGGTATGTTTATTACATTTTAGTTAATTAATAGCAACAGTCCATGAGAGATGGCGCAAAAAGCAATAAAACAAACAGGGCTCCATGATAAGCCTCAGGCCATGACTGTGGCCGAATAATAAGGTAACTCATATAATATCTCGCATACCATGGATATTTCTTGAGAATAACTATTATTAATATTGCCAAAATATTGAAATAGTCAACAGAACAACCAACCTCCAGAATTAAACACAATGGATTCTTGGCTAGCGAGGGGATTCCCCGTTGAGTCACACAAGCGCCCACAAGCACCTTGAACCAGTCAGCCAATCAGGTTTATGATAAACAAATTCAGTGACCAATCAGATAAAAGGAAGATTTTCCTGGTATATTCAAACTTCAGATTGGATTAATTTCCGCGAAAATAATTAAATCGGTTAGAACAGTCACAAAATTAACACTGAACACGGGGATTTGGGACTTCTTCGTTGGTAAGTAGACGGGTGAATATGTGGTGAAACTCAATATGCAAAAAGGTCCAGAGGTCTTGATAAGAGAGGTCTTGATTGTGCTATCCTTTGGGAGAGAGCCTCTTTAACTAATGTTATACCAAAATAGTCCGAAATGAATGAAGAAAATGCTCAAATTATCTGCAACAATTCTCAAGGTTCTCAAGTGATCCTCAAGGTCATGAACTTCTTTTTATTATGTTCCCACCACATAGTGTGGGCACTGTGGGGCCATATTGTGGGCTAAGGTGCGTCCGTCCATCCGTCCGTCCGTTCATCCGGCATCTTTCTCCAAAACAGCTACAGATATCACCTTCAAATTTTCAGGGATAACTTATGAGTGCATACAGATGTGGATGAAAAACTTGATACCTACTTGCTGTCGGCCATTTTGAAGTCAAATGCTAAAATCCTTATCTGCAAAAATCCTTATCAGTTTCACAGTTGCTTTTAAAACTTTAACATCTTGTTCAGCTCACTTCATTCTACATCTGATTAGGTTTTGGACCTGATAGCTCAGTCACGGCATTCTGGGTTAATGTCAAACAGCCATTTTGGATTTTCCATCCTAAAATCTTCTATGTAAAGTCTTGTCTAAACGTTTTCAGGTGAACCGTTTTGTAGATCAATTTCAAATTTTCAGGGATGATTATTAGTATGAAAATCTAGAACTGATTAGTTTTTGGCATTCTGGGTAAATGTCAAGGCAACCATTTTGGATTTTCCGTCCTAAAATCTTGTCTGTTAAGTCTTGTCTAAGTGTTAACTGTTTGACAGATCAATTTCAAATTTCATAGGAATTGGCAATTCTGGTAATACTGGTTTAAATAATGGTTTGTCAAATAATACGAATGCTAACTTGGTGGCTAGGACATAATAGTTTTCTAATTTTTTTGATGCAATGTAATGAATTGATACAGTACTATGTTTTTTGATGCGAAGAGAAAATATGTCACTTTCTTGTGTATTTAATGTCATTAGTAAAAAAAATGTACATGGTTTGATTGTAATATTTCTTTTCCAGGTCACGCATCACAAGCAATATCCCCCGAACACAACAAATGTATCTTCATACTTTGAGAGTCGTGGAGGAAAATTTCCTGAAGTATGTTTCTTTGGGCTTCAATATATTATCAAAAGATGGCTCTGTGGTCCAGTTGTAACTAAAGAAAAGATAGCGGAAGCAAAAGAGGTATACAATCTCCATTTTGGACAAGATGTTTTTAATGAAGAAGGATGGAACTATATTCTTGAGGTATGTATCTTTTTAATTACTGTAACTAGAATTTAAGTGAAGCTTAAATTAGCTTGTTCAATTCTGGACCTATTTAACCAACTGATAAGGTCGACTGGGTTTTACAACTCGCTACATATCTCTACAAAAGGTAGCTACCATACAATGTGAGATTCACCTTTTCTCAAAATTAGCCGTGTACCTTGCTAATGCCATCTAGTAGCATTGATAATCATGCACAGTTGTGCAATGCACCTTGCTAATGCTACACTAGTAGGTATGATACTCCTGCACAGTTATCAATGCAAACTGCAGATGATTGATGCTGAGGTTAAATCTCAGATATCGCAAATATTTGGCTCATTGTCCAGAATTGACAAGCTTTTATTATAGCCCACTATATTTCTTTGGAAATTTGATTTTCTGATATATTCGTAATACTTGGTCATTCCTCGATATTTCATGAACTCTGTGAAGCGGGGTGGGCCCTTATTAGGGGTGGGCCCTTATTACGGCGATTACGGTATATATTTTTAGAGCCCAATATAGATTAAGGGCCATAGGATTGGGTGTAGATGAAGGATGGTCATTATGAAACACTCACCCTTTGCATTTATGGAAAAAAAATCGAGATTTTTTGAGAGATGGTTTTCAAGGATGTGTTAACAGTAAAAGAAGCACTTGATTGGTTGATAATCCCATGATTATCTGTACCTTCAAGGCATTGTAGAAGAAGAATGAGATTGTATATTAATCTATCATTTACTTTATTGATTTTTATGCTCGTAGTCTGGAATTATAGATACAGTATCTCAAAGTTTTTCACCAAACATCTCCTGGACCTTAATGAAAATAATGAAAGTGAATTGGCCATTTCTGTTGACTTGGATTCTTTTTGTGAGAATATATTGGGAAAAAAGAATGAAGAAATCTGATATTATATCTTGTTTTACAGTAGGTCGACACCTTTAATAAGTCTCATATCTCTTAAATATCTCCCAGCAATGTTATATGCCCAAAAAAGATTTATTAATAAAGTAGTACAATCTTAAATAACTCTTAAAAGATCAGGCTATAAATTTATACTCTTAATTCATTAATCACCAATGTTATAAATACTGGGCAATAGAAATTTATTAATAACCAAGGAACTGTTCACTCTCTAGAAATTCCAAGTCTACTTGATAGGCAAACACAGGTAACTTCAGGTATAATGGTAATCAATACTAAGGAACTGGTCTGTGTGGTACTGGTGAAATAATCTAATAACTCAGAATTCAACATGATATTTCTTTTTATTTATAGCTCTATGCACTTTACTGGTATAAGCACAGAATGACATAAGTGATATTAGAAATGCCTGAAACATTATATTTATAATCTGGGATTTTTTTATCAGAGTCTTTTCAATATAATCGGATCTGAAGAAAATATCTGTTGTTGTGGCAGATTTGTTTTATTAGTTATATATAAACAATCAAGTACTATATGTCTGATTTTTAATTGGATTTTAGCTTTTGTTGAGAGTTTGAGTATCCAGCATAAGAAATTGATGCATTTGATGCCACATTTACCACAGATTTCATACCACATATACCGTATTCGACGTAATAAGTGCCCAGGACTTTTGAAATTGAAATTTTCATTGTAACCCATTACAAAGAGCGCCCATATATGAAAGAAGTCAAAAATCCCCGGGAATTTCATGTATGGGAATTTTTCTTGCCAAAAATGCCTTATTTGCAACGAAAGTGACAGCAAAATTTTTTTACAATAATGATATGTATCGTTATTGGAGAGAATATGGTAAAGATCGCTAAAATAAAGCAAGAATCTAACTATACATGTATATGACAGTGATTGAAGAATTCCCCTGCAGAGCCCCTCGAGGTGAAGGAATTGTTTTCCACGATTATCTTCAATATTTCTACTATAGACTGTTAGATATTGATCTAAAGTTATACCTTGTCTTTTTAATTTGATGACAGATCATAATTTTTCATGTAAAAGTCATGTAAAAGTTGAGAAATCTTAAAGAAACAAGAAAGTTCACGACCTTGACATGACCTTGACGATTGCTGAGCTAGTAAAATGTCGAAACAAATCTCTGAAATGTGATCATTTCCTTCATTCATAATGGACTGTTTGAGATAATATTAGCTAAGTATGATGTGGGAAGCACCCACTGATAAATATTCATCGGGAGGATGCATCGATTTACAAAATGCGTCATGTTTTCTGCATTTTAGTGTAAGTAAGTTCTATTAGCGCCCATTATATTTCGTAAGAAATTTGATTTTTTCTGATATTTTCGCTAATACTTGATCATTCCAATAATATTTCTTGAACTCTGTGAAGCGGGTTGGGCGCTTATAAGGGGTGGGCCCTTATTACTGCGATTACGGTATGCTAATCTCAGTTTTTACAATACATACTTTACCTAATAACTATACAACTAAGACCTAATTACTTTAAATGGCAGCAATAATGAAAAGCCAATAATCGTTGATCAAAAAGGTGCCGCTATTGTTTATTGAGGCTTGTATTTCTTTAAACGATCCCTGTTCTTCAATAAATTACATTAATTATTTAGGTTATTTATTTTTCAATTTCTCCGTTATTTTTATTTGTGTAGTCAACTGTACATGCAAAAACTTGGGTTGTACCTTGGTGTGTACGTTTGTTGTACCTGGGTGTGTAAGATTGTTCAAGGTATTATGTTGCCTTTCTCTGATATCAGGAAACATTAAGTCTTGGCTGGTGGTAGTAAATGCGTAATTAAGCTTGATTTATTGACAGATCTTACAGGTTTCAGAGTTACATTATTGACTGATAATTTGCAGTTTTATGTATCTTGTATATGAATTCATAAAAGACAGCAAATTTTGCATGTCAATGCCTTGTTAAAGGCCCCATGTAAAGTTTAAACCACTTTGGCTTATATTGTAGTCTTACCCAATGTTATCAAAGTGTGATATGTGAAACTTTTTTTTTAATTTCAAAAATTGGTTTTTGAAAGACTTTTTGTTCCAAAATTTGTGAATTTATTTAAAACCAACTTTTAGAGGTCAATCATATCTTCTAACTAGCCACAATTCATACCAATGCATAGCATTCATCCTCCCATGTTTTTTGCCGAAAAAATTAAGAAAATCGGTTGATAAACAAGCGAAAAATGAATTTATCAGTGCATGAAAATGGTTCAGGAGAAAAATGCATTTCAAAATTTTAGTTCTCATAGAAACCAATGGTACAATGATATCTAAAACATAATTTATTCTTCCTTTTAACCTGGTTAGACAATCAGCATTGGTTTTTTATGAAAGTCTAGCATATTTAGAAAAGATTGACATCGAAAAAAAAATTTCAATTTTTTTTCAAAGAGTTTTGGTTACCTTAGTGACATCACTAATGTTTCAAAATATTTTTGATATGCTAAAACATTGAAGTGGCCCATTAAATATGGCATTTTATTATTGAAATAGTGTGTCCTTTGTTCAATCTTTGCATTGGTGTTAAAAAGATAATCTTTTTTGAAATGCATTAAGAAATATTTGATGATAAAGAAATTTCAACTTTTTTTGAAAAATGGCGGGAAATTTGAATATTTGAGAAATGAAATGCTCACAACTTTTTTTTCAAAAAATGTTTTTTGTTCAAAAATCTCTAAAATCACTTTTTAAGTCCTGACAAATAGTAAATGAATGATAAAAAAATATTTTCAAACTTTAGACGGGGACTTTAAAGATGCATTATACCATAGGTTTCTCCCCCAGACAATCAATGATTTCCTTTTGTTATTGCTCATATAATATCTCTCATACCATGGATATATCTTGAGAATAACTTTTGGTATATTATTGCTGAAATATTTAAAAAATCAACAGAACAACCAACCTCCAGAATTAAACACAATCCATTCCTCGGCTTGTGAGGGGAATACCCACTGAGTCACACAAGTGCCCACGAGCGCCTTGAACCAGGCAGCCAATCAGGTTCATGATAAACAAATTCAACAACCAATGAGATGACAGGAAAACTTTCCCAGTATATTCAAACTTCAGATTGAATTAATTTCTGGGAAATAATTAGATCGGCCAGCACAATTGCAAAATTAACACTGAAAGAGGGGGAATTGGACTTCTTCTTTGGTAAGTAGATGGGTGAATATGTGGTGAAACTCAATATGCAAAAAAGTCCATAGGGGTCTTGATTGTGCTATCCTATGGCATAGTGCCTCTTTAATTCTTGTCAAAAATGTCTAAATACTCCCTCACATTCTTTTTTCAAATTATTAGCAATTTGAATGGAATTGTTGTTGGGGTAGCTTATTTTATGGGTTAACGAAAAATGTCTTCAAGTTTCTGCAATTCAAAATCATTGGGTGTGTTCCAAATTAAGCGTGACAGTCAAATGTGCAGGGTAAGGTATTCCACAATGGTGATGATTTGAACTTCGTCTCGTTCCAATACAGAATTTCAAGAGCAGAATATATCCTATATTGCACTTCAAATCATTCTATAACGTTTTTATTGTATGATCTTAGGCCAATACATTGTATGATCTTAGGCCAATACATTTCACCTAGGAAATAATCCCTAAGAAATATTCTGTATTCTCTGTATTGCTATTGAGATTGTCCCCTCCGTACCAATATTTTCTGTATTGCTACGGAGATGATGAATGAGGACAATCTCAGTAGCAATACATATTGGTATAGCGCAAGAACTTACCAATCAGAGGGCTTTATTTTACAGATCATACAATAAATTTTGGTATTGCATGTCCACCAGATTAAGAACTTGCCAAATGTTCAAAACAGCCAAAACTAGATAACGGCAAATCCCAACGAACAAAATATCAATTACCGAATTCCAATCAATTATACTCATTACTTTGGTTAAAATTGAAAAAATTAGATTTTAGAATTGCGAATTCCTCAAAGCAGCCATTATGAATTTTCTGAGGTACAAATCTGAAAAATAATACCATAATTGTGATCTACTCCTTCAATTTGAGTATAATATAGCCATACTTTGAAGGGATCGAAAAATTATTGCGAAATCGTACATTAGACAGCCATTTTGAATATTACGAAGCTCGAATCAGAAAAAAGATACAATATTTGCAATCTACTCTTAATTGCCTTTCATTTGAGTATAATAAAGCTATACTTTAGAAAGATCTAAAAATTAGTGAAAATTTCTGTTTTCCTGACCCCCCATACACGGCCCCTGGGGGTCAGGATGGAAAACACGGAATATATGTGAAATAGATAAATGTTGTGAATATACTACCAAAATTTCAAACAATAATATTAATTACTTTGGTTTAGAATGAAAAATTTATGATTTTTGCGAAAAAGTCCTGCATTTTTAAAGCGGCGGCCATCTTGAAAAATTTTTTTTTTGCGTAAAACCATGAACCAATATACATCTTTCCACTAAATATGAAGAAAATCCCTCTACTAGTATTCGAGTTATCTTCCGCACAGACGGACGGACCTAGGGACGGACGGACTGACTGACAGACGGAGGGCTTCACTATATCCCTACCGAACTTCGTTCGTTGACCGAACTTCGTTCGTTGGGATAATAAGTAACACTAAATTAAGTAGAAGTACAGTATTCTTGTAAGTCCATCTCATAACATTATTGCTAAATAAACAGTCTTGTCTTGTAACACATTGCTTTATTAATGTGAAAAGACTTTCAAGGATCAGGATCTTGTAAACTGCTCTGAATTTCTTATGATTTCTACAAATATTTATTCACCAGCAAAACCAATCAATGGACTGAATGAACAAAGTATTCACTCGACTCATGTAAGAATTAACCTTGCAGATTACGATTAAGTATTAGACAAGGTTGAAATCCATGAAAATGGATTCAAAACAATCAATGAAAACATTACTGGTGAAAACAGTAAAGGCGTATAATTGTTATAACAGAGTTTAGGATTAATATGGGAAAATATTACATTTAAAGTGTAGTAGTTCCCTTTTGAACTTAATTTCAAGAGAGCCCCTAGTGCCTTGGGAAAGAAAGTTAACATGGTCAGTTCTCTGTTTGATAGGTGTATTAATGAGAAGTAAGCTATAGAATGCCAATAGTACCTAGGATGAAACATTCAGATTAATAATTTATGAAGAAGAATTTATATGTTCATCACATTTCAATGAAACCTGGAGATATATTGATACCTTTGAGTGCAATGTACAATACACAATTTGTGGCTTTATGATTGAGAACTGCATCTTCCTTTATCAAAAAGACCTCTCACAATATGGCTGAAAAGACAGCTTATATCGGAAGTGTCACTTAATTGTTTATTTTAACAAAGGGACACTAATATAAATATAAATCCCTGAAGGTGATTTACCTTGACCCTAAATACTCACTTGTATTTGAGTTTAAACCTATTGATTAAAAAATGTTGCTTATAAGAGAATTAAAACAACATGATGTTTCAATGAACTTGTGGTAAAATGCAATTTCTATTATGAACAAGGTATAACATGATAATCATGACATTTGGAATGTGGTTGGAATCACTTCCACAGTACCCAAAAATATCTTAATATGAATGTACTTAGTATTTTTTTTTTTTTTTTTTTAAATAACGTTTATTTTCCTTTTAAATTAACTTACAATTGTACATTAACATCAATCATACAAAATAAACATACCTGTCTTACAAATTTAATATCTTTTGTTTGTTAAACTTGCTTTTAATATTACCTAAATAGTTCTGGCAGTTGAAAATTTGGATTGTTTTTCTGGCTATTAGAACATCTTTATAATTAGAACATGTTTGAAGACCTAAAATTTGTTCATCTGTCAAACCGAAATTATTCCAAATATCTTTAACTTTATTACATTTAATAAAATGATGTACAATAGTGTCATTTACTCCACAATGTACTTAGTAATTAACAATAAACTAGTGTTTTCATCAAATGATACATTATTTATTGAAAATTGAATTATCTATCCAGTGGTATATCATACTTGCATAAAATGTTAGTATTATGAAGATTAAGCCTTAGACAAAAGTGAACTCCTTTTTTGGCCCACCCTGTATATGTACAGATATGATTTTGTAGTGAGATTTACCTTGAGAGGAACTCTGAAACATATAGCTCTATAATTCCATTATGTTGCATATTATGTCATTATCTGATTTTGTTATTCCAGAAACATGGAGGCTATTTACCAATGCGAATCAAAGCAGTCCCTGAAGGCAGTATTGTGCCAGTCAAGAATGTCCTATTCACTGTAGAGAATACTGACCCAAAGTGTTTCTGGCTCACAAACTATTTTGAGGTAGGAATAAAATCTTAAAATAGTTATAGTCCATAGTTATATAGTTACTTATTCTACAATTCTTTATACTTATAAATCTCCCTTAGGATACCGATATTGAACTTTACACGTATAAGTCTCCCTCAGGATACCCATATTGATCTTTACGCATACATGTCTCCCTCAGGATACCCATATTGAACTTTACCCTCAGGATACCCATATTGAACTTTACACATTTAAGTCCCCCTCAGGAAACCCATATTGACCTTAAAACATACACGTCTCCCTTAGAATATCCATATTTTACTTTACACACCAATATGTTTTTCTCTGTGCTTCAGACCTTGCTAGTACAAGTATGGTATCCAATGACAGTGGCTACCAATTCCAGAGCTCAGAAAGAAATCATTGCCAAATACCTAGATGAAACCTCAGACAGCATGGCCTTGTTGCCATACAAACTGCATGACTTTGGCTTCAGAGGAACATCTTCAGTTGAGGTGTGTTACAATTTTAATGTTACTTGAGATTTAATCACTAATTAGAGTTCAGTAAGGCTACTGATCCTTTAACAAGGGTATGACTGCATTATTTGTAGGCAACCAGTTACTTTGAAATCTATTCTTATAGATATTCTCATTGTGCTAAAAATAACAAAACCCTCTATGAAAGAAGACAGAAAAGGATTGCATGTTGTCAAATTGCAAAATGTTTCAATTCAAAATCATGAATTGATGAATGTTTGAAGGAAAGAGTTAAATACGATAGGTAGCAGGGACTGCTACATTCTGATATTTAAAACTTCTTTCTGGTTTCCTATCACATCTCAGTACTGAAAATTATGGTGTATATTAAAATATATACATATTTTATTGCCATTTATTACTAAATGATTTTCAATGGAATGCTTAACTTCAGTCTGCAGGAATAGGTGGTGCTGCACATTTAGTTAACTTCCGAGGGACAGATACTATTGCTGGAATCATGATGGCGAGAAAATATTACAATTGTAAAATGGCTGGAGAATCCATTCCTGCTGCAGAACATAGGTAGGGCTGATGAACATTTAAGTCTAAAAATAACATTTTAGTGGTAGAGTTATTCTAGATTTTTCAATATGGTTTTATCAGGATGTTTCATTATGGTTCTTAATCAAGAATTCTCACTATGGTTCTTAATCAATATATTTCACTATGGTTCTTAATCACGATTTTTCAATATGGTTCTCAATCAAGATGTCTCGCTATGGTTCTTAATCAAGATGTCTCACTAAGGTTCTTAATCAATATATTTCACTTTGGTTCTCATCAATATATTTCACTATGGTTCTTAATCATGATGTTTCACTATGGTTCTTAATCAATATATTTCACTATGGTTCTTATCAATATATTTCACTATGGTTCTTAATCAATATATTTCACTTTGGTTCTTATCAATATATTTCACTATGGTTCTTAATCAAGATGTCACACTATGGTTCTTAATCAATATATTTCACTTTGGTTCTTAATCAATATATTTCACTATGGTTCTTAATCATGATGTTTCACTATGGTTCTTAATCAATATATTTCACTATGGTTCTTATCAATATATTTCACTATGGTTCTTAATCAATATATTTCACTTTGGTTCTTATCAATATATTTCACTATGGTTCTTGATCAAGATGCTTCTCTGTAGTTCATTAAAAAAATCAATTACATTTAACGGATCTCATAGCTGTAAGAGAAAATTATTATCATAAGATGAGCCTATTGTGAATGCCTCTCAATATACAATGCTGTATTATGTAATCAAGAGGTGCTATACTTGAATGTAAAATGGATTGAATTTGAGTGGATAAAAGGGGAACCATTTGGCTGTAATGAAACTCTGAGTATGATCAATGAGTGGCTTTTACACATCAAATTATTCTTATGAATCGTGATCTCTTCCAGTACAATAACTACATGGGGCTCAACAGGCGAGGTAGAGGCTTTTAGAAACATGATTGAGACATTCCCGAATGGTCCCGTGGCCTGCGTCAGTGATAGCTACAACATTTGGGAAGCCTGTGAGAAAGTGTGGGGTGGTGAATTGAAATCTCTGGTTATGAAGAGAACAAAAGGTCCCCTTGTTGTGAGACCTGACTCTGGAGACCCCCCGGAGGTTGTAGTCAAGGTGATTCTTAGCTTTATGCTACATGTACTTTAAAGTTGTTTACTGTGTATGTTTAACGTCCTGACAAAGGACCAAATCTTAAGAGGGTGGGAGATGAAAAAACAAGCCTTAAAAAACAAAACATTTCTCTTATGATTTTATATTATTCAAGTAAAAATAACACATAAAGCAGAGTGATTGTTAAAGTAACACATCCATTTACGTTGAGTTGAACTTTTTAAACTTTTTAATGAAGACAATTCTGAAGCTGCAATACATGTGGTTTGCTATACCAATATTTTGAAGTAACGATTCTTTTCTAGGTCCTTGCAATTCTTGGTGACAAATTTGGCACAACAACTAATAAGAAGGGCTACAAACTTTTAAGCCCCTGTATAAGGGTTATCCAGGGAGATGGCATCAGTTATGAAAGTCTAGGAAAGATTTTGGAAAATATGAAAAAGAACAATTGGAGCACGGATAATTTAACATTTGGAAGTGGTGGAGCATTATTACAGCGATTAGATAGAGATACTCAGAAATGTGCATTCAAGTGCAGCTACGCTATTGTGAATGGTAAAGGGGTAAGTACAGTTGATTTTGTTTACATAATCATTCCCTAGGAACAAAGAATTCAAAATGGCCGATATTTTTCATGGAAAAAATTTGAGAACTGAAATACCAGTCAGCAGATTTGGTCCAAAGGTGGTTAGTGTCTTGTAGGCATATGACAAAAAATAATTTTATGTCACCAGTAATGGTGATATATTGTTATACTCGTACTATCCAATTTTTTGTGGAATGTTCGGCATTTGATGGTTGGTAATCATTGGTTGGTAATGGATATAACAAATGGCAGGTGGTAGCATTATGCCTTGTTTTCATTGGTACTGTCTCTCAAGTTTTCAGATCATTTTGTTGACATCTACTGTATTGCAGTCTCCCTTCCCTGTATCTGGATACAATTTGCAGTGTTTATGTATAGGCCACCTATAATTAATCTGCTCAGTTACAGGTGTTCAGTAATCCAATAGACACGATGGATTACATCTCAGTTAATAGTTCACATTTAATCCACCTTTGTGTTTGTAATCTGTAAATCTTACAGCTTTTCATGATCAAATGTTATTACATTTAGTATTCATAGGTTTGTTCAATAATAGTTTTAGTTCTGGATTGTATCTATGATCTCTATCAAAACAGAAAATGATTATTAATTTTACAAGTCTGTGGTAGTAGTGGTACAGGTCCCTTATAGATTGCTGCACTTAATTACACTGCATCTTTGTATTGTTTAGTGTATTGGGATTTTAAACCTTATAAACCTTTATATTAATTTTTACATTTTACAAGAATGTGGAGAGTGCATAAGTAACTTTTAGAAAATTTACCCTGTCATCACATCATGTATTGAAAAATGGTGGATTCCATTTCATATGGATTTATCAATGATAGTCAGTGATGATTTTTTATTCTAATTTATTCTAAGGCTTTATTACCTTGGAACAATTTTAGCCCAAAAACAGACACCTCGCCTTTATTGTCAACATATATAAAATTGAATAATCAAGAAAAAACTAGAGGCTCACATCATCATTTCGAAAATTTTGCATTTTTGGGATCACCCTGTTCAGTTATATACTGTACTGTCTCACTGTTTTTGTACCCTGTACCATCACTTTATTCATTTCATCATTGAAAATTTTAAATGGTATCAAACTTTTAGTATGAAATGTATAAAATACAATAAATATGAATTATAATGTCTATTTGGGTTAAAAGGTGTTTGAATCAGAATATGTTTTGGTTACATGTTTTCTGTTTTGCTTTTAATTTACATCAGTGCTACTCTGTATGTTTTAGGTGGATGTATTTAAGGAACCCATCACTGATCTTGGCAAGAAATCCAAGAAAGGCAAACTCACCCTAGAGCTGGAAGATGGCAAGTACACTACTGTTCAACAGGGCAAGGGAGTCCCTAAAAAGGTGAATATGAGAAAATGATTAAATATTATAAATCTGTAAATGAGTATTTGCCCATCTGAATTTCATTCAGACATTTTCATTCAGACATTTTCATTTGATGTCCATCTCAAATGGGATATTAATCTTAATTCCATTATTCCTATGAATGGTCAAGTTAAAATTTCTTATCTATAATTTATAAAATAAATGATATAAAAATATGAATAATACTCATTTTTATATATACATGTATATATAAGCTTTCACGTTGCCACCATTGTAAGAATTAAATAAAATCATCTTATTATGTGACTTAAATATTGAATTTAATATTACTTATGATGTTTTCAGGATGTATTAGAAACTGTTTTTGAGAATGGAAAACTGCTTAAGGATTATTCTTTTGAGGATATCAGGAAAAATGCAGAGATTGCCTTGGTGAAAAATCAGAAAAATTCTCTGGGAAAATGATTTGCGAATCGACCAGGATCAATAATACACAGCTGGACATTCTGTAGTGTGATGTCATATGAATCTAGTACTGTAGTGTGATGTCATATGAATCTAGTACTGTAGTGTGATGTCATATAAATCCAGTATAGGAATCCAGGACAAGAAATACATTGTGATAAAAGTCATTACATAAAGTTGAATAGTTGCCATAAAACTACATCCTGTAGTAGAATAGGAGATATCATATTTTTGGTGGTGACAATAACAAATGTGAGTCTGTCTATAGTTCAGTCATTTTTCACTGAACTGTTTTTTGGCCCACCCTGTATGTGCTTTTAGAATGCCAGAGAGCCACTAGTGGAATTTGAATTGAACCAGTCAATTTGGAATATGTATCAGTAAAAGTGAAATAAGTGTAATTGATTTCAGAAGTTTTATTGAAGGATGTATTGTTTGTAACACAATGATTATGATTTATACATATTTACAGTTGTATTTGAAATACAAGATTACGCTATTGTTCACTTTTCTACACCATTTAATAATGATTAAGCGGCTGAAAATTTGTATGATCCTTAAAATCATATTCGTAAACTCTGGGAATTTTGCATTGTGTGATAATCCTGGAATTTTTCTGAGACTGGTGAATATAAAGAATCTCAGATTTAAATACAGCAATGATAATGTAACAATCTGTTTTAGTATGGTGGGAGATTTTTAAATCCATGGAAAAATAGTATCTGTGGAATATGCTCTATTTTACAGATTTTCCGAGCATTTGAAAAATATAATATTAAAATGTATGAGAAACATAAGTGTCTGTAGTAATTTAGATGCCCTCATGAAAAGGACAATCTTAAAATTATACTTGGATATTTATATAGTGTTTATAGATTTACATGGTGAAATCAAATCATGTTTATATATAGAAGTATCATATGAAGTCTCAGCCAATCAGCCTAGAGTATTTCAGTGCTTTAATTCAAGGTATAGTACACCAAATCACACATATATGTATCTGTATACTATATACACTCGCTATACATCCTATATTGTTTTAAAACATTCACGCTGAATGTATTCATGCAAGTCATTTTCATCATCTCAAAGTTCTGCACTGTATTTTTAAAAAATTAAGATTTTCTAATAGATCTGTTTGAATGATATGAAATATAAAATAGAATAATTTGTAAAAGTTTCTTGTATTCAATGTAAACCTTATGGTAAGCACCGTACATCCCTTTTTAAATCATGTCAATAAGATATATCTCCTCTGAATGCAGGGCTCCAAGTTCCAGAATAAATTCTGAATGCATCAGTGGATGATTCTCTTTTGAGATTTAAAAAGAACATTGCACTCTTTGTGACTCCATTTGCACTCAATTGAGAATTTGGTAAATCATGAAGAGCTAGGTCATTTGAAATAGTTTTGAGTTGATTATGCATGCTTTATATCTTTGTTTAAAGGGTTCTGATAAGCTTCCCATATAAAAACAATATGACGGCTCCAGGCGAGTCAACTGGATCAGTCCAATTTTAAGAAATAAGGGGAGTTTTGTTAAATCCAGTTAATTGAAATTTTCTAGGAGATAAAGTAATTCATTTATAACGATTCTAAAAACATTATTGAGAAATTGATTGTTCAATAATGTACCAATCCTATACAACAGTTAGAGGTGTTGACACAACGACCTCGAGCCTGTGAACCATTGAGTATTATTCCGGGATCGGGCCTTTTATACTAAACGGCGAGCAACATCAGAAACGAGTGTTCGTTTTGCTAAACGATAAGCGTCACCCTTTAAACTTTCTTTAGAGTTAGTTCATTTTTATTCTTATTTTACTAAATCAGTGACTGTTTTACATCAAATTGTGATATTATCAAATATTTTGAAGCAATGTTAACCGAGAGTTATTTTATTCTGTTTTGTTCTGCTGATATTGACATGGACTTGACAGGTGTTAATAATGTGAACATTCCATTGTGATGTACTGCAGTTATACCTGTGTATATTGAACTTTTTTTTCCAAGAAAAGTGTTGGTAGGTGTTCACTAAAAATAAGGCAATTTAAACAGAAGTCAGTAGAGTATGTGTGAAAGAGGGGTGTCTACTAGAGACAGGTGTTTATTATAGAGAGGTGTTCATTAGAGACAGGTGTTTATTAGAGAGAGGTGTTCTACTTAGACAGGTTTTACTGTATTTGTAAATACACATTAGCTTATGCAATTAATGGATAGAAATTAGAAACCAAATTAGTTGATTGAACGTGTGTGACATGTGTTTTATATAAGATATATGTAATAAAGATACTTACAAGTATATGTGATAAATACAGTGCTTATAATTTATGATTATATAATTAAATTGCTGCAAATGTAGAATGAATATTTAGATATGCACAATGAAGTATTTAATTATTGTATTTGTTCTCCTGTATTTGCACATTGTATCAATACATATTCTATACATTTTAGCGATAATTCCAAATGAAATAAAGCTGATTTTATGTGTCGCTACATTTTGGTCCTAACTCTAAGTAAGCAATTTTTTGAATCCATATGTAACTAGAAATATGATGTTGATGTTGCTACTAGCTGATTTTAATGTATATTCTATGCATTTGTCCATCATTGGATATTATATTTTATCCCACCCTAAGTGCTTTATATGATTGTATGATAGCATTGTATAACTGCAATATAAAACCAACACTCATCTTATACAACTCTTGAGAACGATATACAACTCCTGGATAGCGAATACAACGCCTGGGCAGCGTATACAACTCTTCGACTTGATATACAACTGCTCAATTTAGATTTAGGGTGGGATAATAAGATCATATAATGGTTGATTCTGTATATCGTTATACTCTCGTGAGTATATGATATATTCACTCGTTCCCTCCAGTCACTCATGAATATATCATATACTCACTTGAGTATAAGCACGATATACAGAATCAACCATTATATAACCTTGTATAAAACTGCATTTGTACTTACAGACTTAATTTACAAGGAAAAGGAGTCAGTTTCAGATAATTCCTTTTTTAACCTCAGTTAATCCCATCCATAAAGACTAATTTAGAATGTTAACACTGATATTTTCTTCTTGTCAACCATAACCAATTTTTATAGATAGAAATGTATTTGAAGCTGCATAATGCAACCATATACAGTATATGTAATCCCATGAATATATATTGTGTGTGCACACGTCAGTATAATATATATTAATGCGACTCACACTCGTAAAATGGACAAAATGTGTGCAGGGGAATCATATGAGTTTGGAAAAAAAAATAAAAAAATCTACAAGTTTATTTTTTCGTTAGAAAGTTAACAGATAAAATGCTAAACAAATAAACCATGGTTAAATGTGTTAGACCTTGGGTAATTTTTACAATTGTTACAATAAATAAATCATCCGGGGGAGGGGGAGGGTATACATGACCTTTAATTATAACTTAAAGGTGGCATCTCCCCTCCAAAGGATCCTCTCCACATTCTGTATTTTAGTGTTGAAATATCTTGGAAGAATTATATTTGCATTTTGTCCATTTACGGGTGTGCAAATAATGCTATAAATGTATAAATCAATAAGCAGATATTTTAATTTTATACAATATTTACTGTAACTGTATAGGATATGTTTCACAGAATAGAAAAAAATGATTTATAATTGTATATTACATACACATACATATTCTGTTATTAAGTAAAATACAAAAAATTAAAACAAATGCACATGAAATATATAACTAACCAAAAAGGCAACAACCAATCCAACTACCCATCTTATAGATGCAGCTTTTTGCATTTTCTTCCCCAAATAAATACATGTACATGTACTTTAAAAAGCAAAAATATCAAAATATCAAACTTTTTGGATCACATGATAAGCTTATGGAATATGAAATGACCCACTTGTCTGTCCATCCGTCTGTTCTTCCATTTGTGAACAGTTTCTTGAGAAATGACATTAAAGGGTTCCGATTAGCATCCCGTATAAAAACAATATGGCGGCTCCAGGCGAATCAACTGGATCAGTCCATTTTTAAGAAATAAGGGGAGTTCTGTAAAATCCAGTTTATTGAAATTGTCTTTGAGATAAAGTAATCCGTTTATAATGATTTTGAAAACGTTATCCAAAGAGTGATTGCGTTCAAATAATACATGTACAACAGCCAATATAAATTCTTGTATTAGAAACCGGTTTGTCTTGCTTTGTTTCATTTGTAGGATATTTCATATGCCAAGCTGTGTGCTATTACGTTATGGGGAAATTTAGATGCCAATTTTTCCTTATTATACACAAATAGAAGATCCTGAAACTTCACCCATAAATGTGGAATTGATTTGTCAAAATAAAAATCACCCTTTTATAAATGTGTGACGATCTATAATATACTTATGCTATATAACAGTTAGAGGTGTTGAGGCAACGACCTCGAACATGTGAACCCTTGAGTATTATTCCGGGATCGGGCCTTTTATACTAAACGGTGAGCAACACCAGAAACGAGCGTTCGATTTGCTAAACGATATGCGTCACCCTTTAAACACATTTTCTGAACTTATGATCCATTTTACTGCTTTTAGTCGATACTGGTAATTTACCCCATTGGTCTTTGCTCCTACAAATTAAGAACCACCATGTGAGCCTCAGCCTTCCCAGTGGTGTCATTTCAATATGTTTTGTCACATTTCAAATGGGTCAGGGTTGTAGCCAGGATTTGCCAAGGGGGGGGGTTCACTTTTGAAAAATTCCAGGGGGTTCACATTTGACAACTTTGGCCCAAAGATGGACAAAATCACTTGAAAAGTGCTTAGAATAGTGAAAATAAAATGTGAATAATTTTCATTTAAAACACACATTTACAGTTTAACAATCTTTTACATACCGGTATAGCTTTTGTTCTAGTAGGTGTACTAAATTTTGTTGTCTATATTTAAACTTATTTAGACAGTTTTTTATTATTATTAGTAGTACATGTACAATGTTATCAACATAACTTTTAACTTTTGAGATAAAGTATGAAATCAAATGTCCCCTAAATACATCCTTTTACTTTTAACTTATTTTGTTGCCTGCAGCCTCGGGAACATGTCAGTTGACAGGATATTCCCTTTGGAAAAATATTTTACACTATTTTCAGTCTTATCTTCGGTTCAATGATACTTTGAATTATTCTCAGAATACCAGTCTAATTAACATTCTGGTATCCATTGTTCATCTCTTAACAGCTATGCAACATTTTCTTTCTTGTTATTGCAGATAATTTATAATGACTAAATCCAATGCATCAAAATCAATGCATTTTGGATAATATGATGTTCAACACTAGGGTATTGTAATACCTGAGTGACAACATGGTTCTAACATTTGACACTCTCTTTCCAATTTGGGAGACCAGCCTTTTATCACTGATTTTTACCTTTCTGTATGTATTCCCGGGATTGACAAGTTAGGAATCAATTTCGTTCAGTGGATTTGAGTAGTTCTTATTTTGTTTTCCGATTTATTGTTTTGATTGACAATTTGGACGACAAAAGCTCTCTTACATAATGTTTGTCTCAAAATTATACAATTCAAGATAAATCGAATGATTTCACTCGATTTCCAAAACATTGTCTCTTTTAATTTGGTTTCGATGTTGCGACTACCTTTGATAATTGAATACGAAATGCTCCTACAGGTGTGACGTCGTGATGTAAACAGTTTCACAGCTACTGGAAAATATATTGAATTTTGCAATATTATTGCTAAAATCAGTGTACAAAGGTCTTCAAATGACAACCCACTATGTAATTAAAAGGGGAAAGTATCTGGACAACCTATGAGAGGCGTGTATGGCGCGAAATGGAGGTGAAGTTCTCCAGAAGAAGAACTCTAAACTTGAAGCATTTTTGAAACGAAATTTGGACGCTCATCTTTTTGAAAGAATCAGAGCTTACGAACCATGTATTGTTGTATCTGAGAAGGAGAACAAGGCATTCAAATATGTTTTCATCACAGATGAATTGATCTACTTAACAGAAAACCCTCCAAAGAATGTCTCAGAAGAAGTTCACTTCAAAAGTGTTGTATCAACTGAGTTGGTGAGTAAACCTGATGAATCGAATGAATTACACAAATCGACATGTGTAGTGTGTAGTAGTCATGTACATTATTTATATAGATTAGATTTTCTCGACCTTAATTAGTTAAAACTTTGATGGTCCAGCTCATCGGATCCTGGGGCAGCCCCATCTACAGTGTACTGTACATACATACAGACATATCGGAATAAAGCCAATAAACTAACGGACGTTGATTATTCATTTTAATATACATATTTCATCGCATCTTTCTGTTTTAGGTTTGAGAAGAATCAAGATACGCCATGGATGATCAAGATGATCCAAGTTCTATAATCTAAATGTTACAGTACATGTATATATATTTCCAGGTTAATGAATTCCCAGATTTTCTTAGTGGAGAGGAGAGGGAGAATACTCAACATATCGCCATAAAATATCTCACAAATCTACCTGTTAAAAGGAAAAAATCGAGAGATGAAAAAGCCAAAACTCATAAGTCATCCAGTGATATTGATGATGAAAAAGAATTACATAATAAACTCAGCGATGAAAAAAACCTTTCAAAGTCTATGACTGCCCTAAGCCTTGGATGTAGGAATGCCAATATTTCAGAGAATGGTAAACTTGATAAGAAATTTGCTAGCAAGACATTTGATCCAAATGTCTTACGTATAAAAGAAGAGCATTTTAACTCAAACTCGCTATCAAATTCTCTGCCAAGCCAACAAATAAAGAAACTAGGACTAGGCAGCCATGATGTTGACTTTAAGGAACACCTACGCACGCATAAACATAAGAAAGAGCATAATGGAAAATCTTTACCTATCCGTCCACTCCCGCCAAGATCTCCCGCAGGTTCAGGAGATGCCTCTGATTTTCAAAGTGACTCCAATGATCTCAAAACTTTAAGTAATGGTAAAAGCCATAAAAAGCGCCGTTCCCTTCCCAGTCCAGAGATTGCAGACAACAGTGATGCCAGTAACGAACACATTCCTAAGATAATTCTACATCATTCCTATGGTGGTGAGCTCTCCATTCCTGTTGATGAAGAGTTCAATGCTAACAAGTCCATGAGTAAAGTGAAAGGATTCTTTGCCAAATTATCACCCAGAGGTGGAAAGAAAGGATATGATTCAGAAGATGGTGACAGGTGGGTACATCACTGTGATTGTTATAATAGATAGTAATTTTAGGTTTGTTTAGGGGTAATTAAGAGGATATTGTCATGTTTAAGGGATAGGATTTTTAGATGAAAGTGGATATCCTTTTTATCCCATACTTCAATGATGTATGATTTTGAGCATTTTTTCAAATATGAACATGTATTTGACACAGGTTTGAAAAATTGCTGTTTCATATTTTATTATAATGGCCATTTGTATGGGGTATATGATGAATGAATAATGAATATCATCTGGATAATGTAATTTATACATCTGCACATGTGTCTTATTCATTCTAAAAGTCAAAGGATGTCAATGTTGTTACATGTTAATTGGCAATTTCTTGGTTTCAGACTTGGTATCAGACTTGTAACACAGGTCTACACTTAATTGACAACACATAATGTTTCACTGAAGTATATATTGATGATAGGTGTTAATAAATAATTGAGACCATGCATCTTGAGTCTTGGTGGAAATATTGATTGTAGCTTGTTTGAGAGCCATGCTATTATTATTAAGCCTCATCTTGTCACTTGTCTATATCTGTACCTACATGGCACAAAAGTTGTATTGATTTTTTCATGCAGTCATCCTATATAGAGAGATGTGACTGTTTCACATTGCTTTATTTGGCTCCTTGCTCAGGTTTTCTTGGCACACCTTAAGAAACTTTGATATGACCACGGCATTTGATCTTGACCTTAGATAAAAAAAACTGAAACATTAATTTAGGTTAACATAAAAATAGATGTTGACACCTTACTAGAAATATCAATGAATAGGCTCCTTTATTGGTAGACACCCCTATAATGATATAAATTATTTCTACTTTTGACCATTAAACCACCCAGATGACTGGAATATTATGTACATGTGCATATTTCCCATTTGCTTAAACCATAAAAATCTGAATTGGATAAATCTTTTTATATGCATCTTTTTTAAATAATTGATTGCAGCCTAGTCAGTGCATGTACCTAGTGGTAGAAAACTAGTATGTAACACAAATTAGTACTGTAGGATAAATTGAGTACTCTAGATGTAAATTGCTCACAATAATAACACTTGTGTTTGATTTCAGTCCCCGTAGTACCAGCACTGAAATAGAAGACCATGTATTCCAAGATGAAAGCCCTGTAGAGACCAAAGAATGTGTCCTCCATTTGTATGTTATCAGTACCAGCTCACATCTACTTATGTTCATCAAAAGTGCCTGGAACAACTATCTCATTGTGAGTTTCAGTTTAACCAACCTTCACAATTTAACATCTATCCTTTTAAATACTTTGATTTCATTATTTTAAGAAAAGCTCCATCTACAATCCATGAATAGAAGACAATCATTTGATCTTAACATGCCCAGTAAGAGTAGGTTAATCAAAACATAGCTCCCTAAGAAATCATTATGATCGTATCAGCATCACACCTATATATTTATTTGACCTTTTCAAAGGATTAAGTATTTATTATTAGACTCTAAGGCCCCATTCTGATACTCATAACATCTTTCTGTTTCATCTGAAACATGTCAGGGCTGAGAAGAAATGAGATGTCATGGTTTATCATGGTGCTAAGGCCCAGGGTTCACAATATTATCATAAATTGTATTTTCCTTTAGATATTAAGTATGGGGATTTTCTGTTCATTGCTCCATTGATAAAATGAAATAATAATAATATTGATATTGATAGAGTCAACACATTCTATTTAATTAAAATGAAGTAATTTCCTATTTTATACCTGTAAATACACATGTACATATGAATATATTGTTTGCTTCAGAGGGGAACTTTAGAACTTGATGATGACTTTGTTCATACACCTGGATCAATATCTCCCAGAGGTGGCACAACACCAAAGTAAGTTTATGTATAACTTTTTATTGACATCTTGTATCATAACATGATTGCATTAACCACAACTACTCACTTAAACTACCTACTAATATGTTTAATATGTTTATTGATAGCATACAAGAGAGGTGACATAAAATATTTTAAAATGAATTGCACAAATTATGCTGATTAATCTTAGTTGTTAAATGTATAAATCTACCAAGATGTTGTTGGACGTTGATAATTATTATCATTTGGAATTATATTTATAAATAAATTTTTGCTTTTTAGCTTGAATTTAAAAATGTTAAAAGTTCTTTTTTATTGAATAAGCTTCAAAGTTGGGGATTTTTATAAAATAGATATTACATAGCCTAAGGAATCATATGAGAAAAGATGTAGAGGCAGGAATTTATGGAAAGGTAATTCATTGCCCTTAAAGTTATACAACCAATGCTCATGGAATATAAACACCTTTAATTTCAGTGAGAAGCTAGACCTTTTATTCAGTCAGTTAAAGAGAGAGTTGCTTGAGGCTGCTAATGGTCTAGAGGATGTCTTCAACCTCATCAATGAACTTAAACTCGCTGCAGTTAGGCACCTGTATCTCAAGAAACTATTCTGGAAGGTATAAACTGTTAACACATACTTAATTAACATGCACACAAAATACATGTACACGACTACTTGATAATTTATGTTCTAAATTGTTATTGGTGCTTTTTGCCAAAAAGTAACATTACAACTATGTCACCCTTGTTCTTCATCGCATTAATTATGAAAATGTTCTATGATCTGAGAAAACATATTTTCTTTGATAGGATTGCTGCTTCGGGAGTTTCAATTACAGAAACTGCTATCTTTCTCATGTCCTATTGTATTATTTATAGAGTCCTGAGTTGTTCCAGTTCTTAGTGAAACAACTGACCATATATCTCCCCAGAGCCTCCAAACTTGACATGACTACGCAGCAGGGTAGAAACCAGAGGGCGGATGAGTATGAGTAAGTATTGGAGGTTTGGATAATCTAAAAATGATAGTTTTATTAATGGGCAAATCGATGTCACCATAAATCCATTGAAACCATTTCTTAATTTGTTTCAATTAAAAAGAGAAATGGGGTCATGTAAGGTCAAGGTATGAAGATACACATTATGTTCCTTCCTTGCTTTTCATTAAAACTTATATTTGCCTCGATTCAGTGTGTCCAGTTTTATTAATTTCTTGATCACTTGAAATAAAATTAAAACCATATTGAATCCCACTAATTAGGAAAAACTTGCACCACACAAAACTTACATGTCTGTATGACAGGTCTATGAAAAATAATTATACGGTTTTATTTTTAATAGAGAATGCTACCATCGAAAATGTATACATCATTTTGGACCACCCTGTAATTACTTATTGCTTTCAGATTGGTGATAATAATTATTGAAACACTATCATTGATGTTTCGCGAGACGGAAGTTCTACCACTCAGAATTAGCTGTCTCAAGGTGAACAAAGGCCAGACTCTACGAGAACTTGTCAAAGTGATTGTTAGTACCCCCGAGGTCCCACCACGCTACAGTCCTCCCTCCAAGAAAGCAGCACGCCTGTTACGCCAGTCAAAAGCTGACCAATGGAAAATGGAATCTGATATTGAACTTGCCAATTTGGTGAAAGAAATCACAGAAAATGCTGTTGTTGTCATATTTGAGTTGATCCTTATTGCCAAGGTAGATAGCTATATATAGTCCTGTATGATTCGGTGTCTGTAACAAATGGCAGGTGGTAACACTTTGTATGTTAATGTTTTATTTCTTAGCTTAACGTTAAGACATGTTCACTAAAGTAAAATTAAACATATTTACATACTTATTATTATTATAGTAATACTTATTACAAGACTTTTATATGGAGCAAAATTAAAGATGATTTTGATGTCACCACCAAGAAGTGGTTATTTTTGTAACAAGTGTTCAGAGGTCAGTAGTTGCTAGTTGGCACCAGTAACAAATTGTTACACAGTTTGCAATGATCTACTGAGTGGTGAGGACATTTCATGATGTTAAGGCCTTGTATTAAATATACTCTACAGAAGGTTCAATGTTATAACAGTTCCTCTTATTTCCATTCTTTTCAACTTGTGTAGGGTCTTATATTTCTTTAGTAATGTTTTTGATTAATGATGATGTATTATTTCAGGCCAACTGGGGAGGTTCAGGAATAAATTTCTTCAATATTTGCTGGCTGGTTGAACAAATTGAAGAGGAAGCTTCACAGGCTGTAAGTTTAGAACTGCATGACTTTTATACACAATGTATTACCCTAAATGTAACAGATATAAACAGACTACATACAGTGAAACCTGTCTTAATGAACACCTCCCTTAATGAACACCTCCCTTTAGTGAACACCTGTGTCTAGTGAACGCCCCTTCTCAGCATATACCTCACTGAATTATGTATAAGATGGATGAATCTAAAATTTAAAAAAAATATGGAAAAATAAAAGGCAATTTTTCAATAATATTTTCCTGAAAATTAGGTTTAAATAAGACTGTTATTGTACATCATTATTTGTTGCTAAATGTTGTACATGTACATGCATATGTACTGTATTTGATATTACAAGACAGCCTGACAGAACTTCTTTGATATTAAAGATTATAAGTTACTTGTTGATATTATTCCAGGAGCAGCTCTTGAACCGTGTTGTAAACGAGAGTATGTCCTTGATTGCTCCAAACTCCATCTCTGAGCTGTCCCCCAAACAGGCTGTCATCCTGACGAGGCAGTTCACCATTCTACACACTGTCGTTGAATACAGCAAGCCACTGAAACACTATGTGAGAGAGAACTTCAGGGAGGAATTCAAGTGAGTGGCTCAGCTAATCTAATCCACTTTTAAGAACTTTCTAAAATATAATGTTATTGTGTGATATAATGATTTTGTGGTTCATATAGCAGCTATAATGTGTTCGATACAATGTATGTCTAATGTTGGAAGATATACAAGAGATATTACATGCCATTGTGGTGTCTTGGATTGTGACAGGTTGCATGTTTTGTATATTTTTTTTTATGATACTAGTATATAGATATGAATAATAGTATTAGTGGACAGGTTGACCAAGATTATGTCCATATTTTCTATTTTACTAAAAAGGGAGTAGCTACATGGAAGTATGAAAATAGGTTACACATACACATACATAGAAAAAAACATATACAACACGTACAATATAATTTTTCAATTTCAGATACTTCATACAGTCGCGGATAATACATGAAAAGTTGCCTAAAAGATACCCTATAAGCCAAAAATGTAAGGAACTCATCCAACAAGTTACTAGCCAAGTCCTGGGAAAACAATTTGAACTAACAATAGAGAACTGAAACTCCTTTGCATCAAAATGAGTACAATTTTAGTACTACGAATACTTTATATTAGGGTGAGATTGCATAGGAGGAACTCACGAGAGCTTGTACCAAGACGACACAATATTGAGATTAAGAAATATGTGAGTTAAGAAATAGGTGCCATGATTATTCATTAAATATCAAAGGCCTTAGCCCCTTTGGGGAGATGTTCCACTTTGGGTGATTGATAGTGGACTCATTGTTTGAAGTTAAGTCCTTTTTTATTATACATTGTAAATCAGATACTTTCTACAACAGATTTATTTACCTACAATATTATACATAATATAACAGATATTCAATTAAATATATACCATTATAAAAAATACAAAAACAAAATGACTGGGAGTACAGTATCCTTTCCGTCTTTGTTTATATATATTTTATTTAATATGAGGTTGGCAGGTATGTTGATTGTATGATGTTGTTTGTTCCATCATTATCATTATACAGGGTGGACCAAAAAATGTTAACCTTTTGATTTTACAAGAAAATAATAAAGGTAACATTTTTGACCCACCCTGTAGTATTTAAAACATTGTGATATTAGCTCTGTCTGACCTATGTTGCCTTGAATATATTCTTATTTTTATAGAATTTATATTTAATAAACACACATTCCAATGTATAAGTATTTAAGCACAGTACTGATAGTATACTATACTATAATAAATACTAGATTAATTCATTAATTTCAGTGATCTCCCCAGGTATATCTTCCAACAGGGTTCAATTAAAGTCTAAATAGAAGTCTTGCTTAAAAGACCCTGTACTCTCCCCTTTATCCTTCTTATTGCCAGGTAAAGAGAGTGAAGGTGACGGGGGGGGGGGGGTGGGTGGATACAGTCTTTGAGCAAGACTATCTAAATAGTAAATTGACACATATTTGGACATACTATCTCATACATTTGACAGAGTGCAAACATCATTTCAACAGGGTGGCGTGTAATTTTCTACAGGGTGGGGAGATCACAGTAAAAGTACTATGTAACAAATGTATTTATTATATCATGTAATAATCAATCATTTAAAATAATTGAATTGATGTAAACAGAATCCATCCTCATTAATAATGTAATATTTACAGATTATTTTGTTTTGGAGTGAATCATAGACATTTATGAGAAAATAATGTTGTATTAATCGTACAAAACTATTTTTAATCTATTTATTGTACATCTGTATTCTTGTACAGATTATTGTATAATTTTTTATATTGTATTATGTATTATTAAAAAGTTATTATTAGATATTAAATGGTACTTATAGAGTACAGGAATATGCTTTTTAAATACAGAAGCTAGAAAATTAAAATGTTTGATTGTAGAATGCAAATCACTGTGTTCAATTAATTAATGATTGTAAAATGGATCAATTCTATTTACTGTTTACTACCTCTTTACATTCCAGTTCTATTATTGTACAGGGTGACACAAAAATGCCACCAATATAAAGTTCCATTATACTTTCTTTGTCTGCATAAAGTTATGCGACATTATGTGGGTGCATGGCATGTTTTGTTTCACCCTGTATTTAAACAGTTGGTTAAGAAGTAGTTTATCTCTTTATGTTACAGTATTTGATTACAAACATCCAGCATAATTTACCAATGACTGAGAAAGTATCACACACCCATTGCATGAGTGTGGGTTTGTTTTCTGATGAATGCATTCCCTTCGAAAATTTTGGAATAAATTCCCATGAAATTACAAAAGTTTTTGTTGTTTATGGATTGGGGTAGAAAGTATACAAGATAATCAGGCACGGTAAACATCAATGAATTAAGCCCTATATGGAAGAAATTCCAATAAATGAAAAATTTTAACTTTTAACTGCACAGGGGCTTTATTAGTTTTATTTCATTGATATATACATATATACTCACGATATTGTGATAGTGAAAATAGCAGTTTAAAATTTAGATTCAACATAATCTAAAACAAAATCCTACCATGCTATGAGAGTTCTCCATGTATTTGAAGTGAAGAAGTACACAAGGCACTGAGCCTTTGTTAACACGAAATACTGTAAAGCACTGTTGAGGATCATTTGAATTTCTTTGGTTTTGGGTAAAAGATACCCAGGATATAGTTTAAAACATCTAATCAAAATAAAACTCAGTGATATATATTTAAAACCTCAACTCAACCTGATGTCACATCAATTTAGACATTTTAAGCTGCATTGGATACAACCATCTGATTGGATGAAAACATTTCAAGGCACCCCTTGGTCTTACAGTGCCATATGCATGGAAGACATTCATTCCGCCATTTAATGATACTGCATTTTAAAACTACAAAACATAAACATGTAATTTCAAATGTTGCCACTTGTGCGTCTTATCAATGTGATTTCAATGTGAAATGTGATTTCTAATGCATGCAATTCATTCATTGAATCTAGTTTTAAATGATACCACTAGAGCAAACTTAAGGTGTATTCACATGTTCAGATATTTTTTTTTTTTCTTATTTGGGTCAGAGGTTCTGTGTTGAGGTGTTGTCTCAATATCCCCGGGAGACATGATCGCACTGAACGAAACGCTGTTCTGTCAAATTCGTTGAAACGTCGCCAATGTTTCATATAATGTTTCAGATGCATTTAGAGTACATTTGAACAACAAATATCCAAAGATAACACTAAACTATATTAAAAAATAAATGAAAATAGCTAGACTAAGACCAAGAATGGCGATCGCATCATTTAAATAACGTCGCCAATCGCCATAAACATTGAAAACACCTGAAAGGTCAAGTAATCAAACAGGTGAGTTCTTCCTGATTTTACGTCTGTTTACGGTTTACATTAAGTACTGGATAATATAAATGTATATATCTGGCTGTGTTCACCCTTATGAAGTCGATCTGTAGACTAGATCATAATCACAAAGTTTAGTATGTGAGTCGAATGAACTGTGTGACAAACTTTTATGCAAAAGCAATCAACCAAAATATCAATCAAATGTTTCTCAATATATTAGGGTACAGGCTTGAACAAAGGATTTCCCAAGGGAGGGCGACTTTTGCATATGGAGGGGCATGGAACGCGTTATTCAAAGATTCTGAGGCAAGCTATTGCATCTGGAATAAAATTCTGGAAAAAAGGTAGTGGTCATATGAGGACATATTTAGTGCACGTCCTTCCGGCTTGTTGATTGGTAGCCCGGGGGGTTCACTGTATACACAATGAACACAAAACATTACCTGGGCTGAATCTGAGAGTAACATTTTATGTTATGCTGTGTTTTTAAATTACCCACGATGGTAGGGCGTTGCGTAATAGGTAATGAGATTTCTTCCCATGTATCAAGAAAAAGAACAAAAATCCATGTAGCGCAAATTACATGGTGGTGTGATTTCAACAACAAAAACTCATCAGAGCGCACTTACACACACATATTTCTTTTGACACACGCGGTTAGCCGAAAAGATTGACACATCGTAATTAGCGATGTAAGTGCACATCAGTGACTTATTGTTCTTTTTTGTGATACTAAGGGGAAATCTTATTAAACATTAAGCAATTCACTAGCACGGCAGGTAGTTCAAGAACGCGGCTTAAGTCTCAGTTTGATACAACCATTGAGATTATAATTCTGTGCCATAAAAAGCAAATCCTAGAATGAATTGCCACCCTGACCAACTAAAGGTTGTTCAACATTACATAGAGCAATCATTTGAAATGTGAAATTTAAAAGCCCATCAATTGCAATAGCACTCAAAACTCACTTTTGCCTCATTTTTTACTCATTATTAAGGCAATGAGCTTGAAACATTATATCATATATAATATTCTCAACCTTTGTGTTGAACCCTGATCTAGAGTCAACTTTCAGCAGTAGAGCAAGCCACACATGGTCAAATGAAAGCATTATTAATTTGAGCTGTTATGACATACATGTACTCTTATCTGTTGTATCGTATACTACTGTAGTAAAGTAGATATCTGAAAGTGTATGTTGTTTGGAATGTCACCTTCCCAGGAGTAGATTTGATTTTTTGTTATAAGATGTATCGCAGTGCTATTACTGAAAAATAACAAACTAACTGCTATCTATTTTCAGTGAGAACGACACACAGTTAACAATGCTGGCATCAATCAGGATTCAGTAAACTGACACTGGCCAAGTGGCCCATGTACCTAAGCTGTACTTTCATTAGGATCAGTATTGTGGATCATAAATCAGTATGACTACCCTGATTCCTACATCTGGGCTTGGTGGCAGCAGAGACAGCCTCAATGGGCCCTTGGAAGAGGAGCATGCAAGTAGCAATGAAGCACTTCCCAACTCTGGGATTGTTATAGTGGATCTCCAAGATGGTAGCAATATTCCAGTCTCTAGTACAAAAGGGACATTTGAAATAGGTAAGTAACGTGATATTAATTGATATGGGTCTTTTGGCCAAGTCATGCATTTGGCCATAGCAGACTATGTGTTATGCTATATTATTAAAGATTATCTGATATATTGTGAAAATGATTGTTAAATCAAAATCATTTGGTAATTTGCATATTTGTAATTTCTTGTTTGGTGAATAACATCCCTGATGATAGATGTCTTCATCTTTATGAATTTTATAATTTTCATGTTTAAAATGATATCAAATTAAATTCAAAAAGTTTGAACCAAATTTATGATTTCACTTTGTTTGTAGGTTTGAGCCTTATGGACACTATAGTTGTTGAAGTGCATGGTAAATCTGACAGTGACTTGTGTATAACCCTGTGTAGACTCATCCTCAATGATGAAGGTGATTGGCTGAAACCAACACGAGACCTGCCATGTTTACTCAATGATGCTCCAGTAAAGCGACAAACTGATATATCACATGGTAAGTTCTCATATATCAGAGAAATCACTGTTATGTTTTGTTACTGTTATGTCTCATGTACATGTATGTTATTATACAAGCTCCAAAATCGTTACACAATTTAAATCATACGAACCTTTCTCATATGCCATTTGGATTTGAATACATTCTTGATACTCACAAGCTGCTATCTTTATGGGTTATTAATGTATTTAAACATGAAATCCAATCTCATAATTATGTCACCACCAAAAGTGGTGACATATTGTTATGGTCTCCGTTTTTTTTGCGACGGCGGTTGGTGGTTGGAGGTTGGCGTCCCGCGTCCGGCGTCTGTAACAATTTCTTACAACTTCCTATAACTTAACAAATACTGTTTAGACTGACTTCAATTTTTTTCTAAATCATCTACATGTTCTCAGAAGTTCAAATCTGACTTTAGATTGACATTTGACCTTCAATGACCTTCTCAAGGTCAAAAAGGTCTTTTTTCAACTTGCTTCACATTGACTAATTTTTTTTTTCAAAATCATCTACGTGTTCTCAGAAATTCTAATCTGACTTAAGATTTGACTTAAGATTTGACATTTGACCTTCAATGACCTTCTCAAGGTCAAAAAAGGTCAAAAAGGTATGTTTTCAACTTGCTTCAAATTGACTAAAAAAATTTTTCAAAATCATCTATGTGTTCTCAAAAAGTTAAGTCTGACTTTAGATTTGACTTTAGATTTGACATTTGACCTTCAATGTCCTTCTCAAAGTCAAAAAAGGTCAAAAAGGTCTTTTTTCAACTTGCTTCAAATTGACTAAAAAAATTTTTCAAAATCATCTACATGTTCTCAGAAATTCAAATCTGACTTTAGATTTGACATTTGACCTTCAATGACCTTCTCAAAGTCAAAAAGGTCTTTTTTCAACTTGCTTCAAATTGACTAAATTTATTTTTCAAAATCATCTACATGTTCTCAGAAATTCAAATCTGACTTTAGATTTGACATTTGACCTTCAATGACCTTCTCAATGTCAAAAAGGTATTTTTTCATCTTGCTTCAAATTGACTAAATTTTTTTTTCAAAATCATCTACTTGTTCTCAGAAATTCAAATATGACTTTAGATTTGACTTTAGATTTGACATTTGACCTTCAATGACCTTCTCAAGGTCAAAAAAGGTCAAAAAGGTCTTTTTTCAACTTGCTTCAAATTGACTAATTTTTTTTTCAAAATCATCTACATGTTCTCAGAAATTCAAATCTGACTTTAGATTTGACATTTGGCCTTTAATGACCTTCTCAAGGTCAAAAAAGGTCAAAAAGGTCTGTTTTCAACTTGCTTCAAATTGACCAAATTTTTTTTTCAAAATCATCTACATCTTTGGACGGGTGTCATTAAGGGCCCTTTTTAGCCCCCAAAGATATATGATAATAATGCATATCATATTGAAGAAAAATCATTTGTGCTTTATAAAAATACAATTTCAGCGAATTTTGACCTTTGATGTTCACACAACAGTCATTCAAAGATCATATACCATTTTTGGTGTTTTTACAAAAAATTCTTTATTTATTGTTGTCTAAGTAAATAGTATATAAATATTAACCAATTTAAATATATTAAAATGTAATATATGAAATACTGAAGAAAAGATACGATTAAAATTATTTTCATGGAAAAGCACATGGGGCAATATTGACAAAATGCAAATGCTATTTTGGTAGGTTCTGGGCTAGGAATAGGTACATTTCAACTGTGAATGTAATGGATTACTATTGAAATTTATCAATTTATCACAGGGCAACATTTAAGCTTAAATACAAGGAAAATCAAAGATTTCCTCTCATTTCTAAAACGAGGAACAAAAGCATGAATTCAAGGAAAATAAATGATGGCCTGTGCCAAAATATATAACATATTATAAGAAAGTTGTGGCACAGTAAAGGATATGTATAGGATATCATATGATTTTAAATGATTTCATCTTTATCTCCGAGGTGATATCAATATCTTGCCAAGTTAGCATAGCGAATTAGCGCAGATATTGATATCAATGAGTTGGATTAACACAATATCACGAAAATTCATAGGATGTTCTATTTTTCCCATAGTTCACCTCTAAAACTAAACAAAGCATATCAAAACAACATCCATTCATTCATTCATCCCTGTGATGTCATGAAATCACTATGTAACAAAACACATCATATTGGTGGTAGTTTTCAATTCCCTGCCAAAATCTGTGAAATATTTTCCGTATTCCACAGATATCACTTTTTCCACGCATTTGCAAAATATCATAAATATGTTTTCATGTTACCTAACAGAGCAGAACAGAGTTCAACTATGGGATAAAGAATAAAAATATGTACATAATTGAATTACCACTCCAAAAATATTAAATATGAGGGTTTAAAGGAAGAATATTGAATATGAGATTCAAAAAGACAAGTGGCCTCATGTCTCACATTACCCAAACCCCAGATCCTCGATGTCATATATACTTGTATACTGTATATCAATGTTATTTACTGGGAGGATTAAATATGGAGTGTATACAATATTTCCAGATGGATATTTTTTCCCTAGAAGCGGAACCCAAACTCAGTCATGACATAGAAGCTAACTTTTGCAATTAATAGAAACTTGTTTTTTATTATATTATTGTGTTCTCTATTTGAGATGAAATAATATGAGATTCATTTCTACAAGAGGATGGAACGAATGTCAACTTGTATATTGAACTATACTCCTTTTCTGAATAAACAGAACAACATTTTATCCACGCCAATTAAGAAAACCAAGGCCAATGAGTGTAATTTATGCCCAGTTAAACTAACACAGTAACAACTTTTTGTCTGGACTCACTTATTATGTAAGAATAAATTGTATTACTGTTTACTGCATTAAATGTCAAGTATACTATCTGTATTTAATTTCAAATGCCTATCTCACTTATCGAAGGTATACAAGAAATGTTATTTTGAAACAAATTCAGCACAACCAAAACCATGTCCACATAATATGACAAATCCAAGATGGCTGCCATTTTAGATCCATGCACATGTGAAGAAGTTAGAAATACACATGGTCCACAAGTTCCATCCCCAATAAAATGGGAAGTTTAAGGTTTTCACACATATCAACTCTATTCCTATATACTTTATATTTGTGGTAAGGCTTGTGATCTAGGTAAACTAAGCATGTTCATGTACCTCCTATCCTCTGAAGCTAAAAACAGAAATAGTGACTTCAATTGAGAAAAATGAATCTTATGGGCTCCATATACATTTAGAGTGGCTGTCCAGCTTAAGTTAGATACTACTGATAATCTGAGATTGAAAATTATGTCAAGTTTAGCCTCAGCCTCTCATAACGGAAAACTTGGAGGTAATTGTGTTGTTACTGCAAAAACCTCTATTTCTTCATCACAAATCTACCATCTTTTGCATCTGTCAAAACCCTTCATTTCATGTTAATTTTCAGACTTTTGCTTGTGCTATTATTAAATATATATATTCAACTTGTTATTCAGAATATTTTAAGAACTTTTCATGAATTTTTTTATTTTCACACTTTTGAAAAAATGACTAAGTCAGAGAATGGCCTCTTAATGGCATGTCCCCTTTGACTTTACAAGTTCTCAGAAGTTCAAATCTGACTTTAGATTTGACCTTTGACCTTCAATGACCTTCTCAAGGTCAAAAGGTATTTTCCAACTTGCTTTAAATTGACCAAATTGTTTTAGGTGGTGACATTTTGTCATGTTAATGCCTTGTTGATGTTTATTTTCTATATGCTTAAAAACCGTTCATATTCAGCAAGTACCGTACATTATAGTAACATATAATATATAATACAGTAACAAATAATATACATGTATACGATAGTAACATATAACATATACTGTTTGTCTTCAGGAAGTTTAATCAAAGTTGGGGATAGGTATATGCATTATAACAACTACAATAAGCAGTACCATGTGATCCCTGAGAATGACAATGAGACTCCCCCTAAAGAAAATGAGGTGCCAATCCCTTCCAATGCTCCACCCCCAAAACCAAGGAGAGTCTCTAATCAAGAAGAGGCATTCTTACAGGCTGAACTCGCTAAAGCTAAGAAGGTATGTCACCAATGATTCATAAGAACATATCCAACTTGGGTATTTACGTTCAATCCATGTATTCTCATGACTTTGAACTTAAGGGGAAGGTTTGTGCATGAATTTTTCATGTAGACCCATAGTAATAACTACATCAGGCTGACCAAGAAGATGTAACCAAAACAATCCTAGTCTCAAATCCAACTATTATATTCCTAGTCACTTGTACTTCTACATGTATATAATTTATACTAACTACAGTAACTCTACATGTATATTGTACAATAATGGAGTAATTAAACATTACACATAATGCATAATACAGTAGAACCTGTATATCTGAACACCTGGCTAATCTGAACACCTCCCAATTTGAACACTTTTTTTTCGGTCCCATTTTGTCCTCCCATTGACTCCCATGTTAAAAAACTTTCTGTCTGATCTGAACATTTTATCAGAAATCAAATGTCTGGACATTTCAATAATAGCCACATATGTCAATGTTATAGTTGTTATTTATCTTTACATATACAATGTAATCAAAGAACCAATATTGTCCTAATTAACTTATTTAGTCTCAGTCACATCTCTAATTTGTGGAAAACAACAGGATGTTTTGGAAAGATGTGAATACAGGAGTAAATTGGTTTATCCTATTAGAAAAGAACTGAATGTTTTATGTTTGGATTAAGAGAAAGGTGTGAATCAAGAAGATAATTGTTTTATCATTACTAGAAATTACCTGGATGTTTTTGATTTGGATTAAGAGAAAGGTGAGAATCTGTGAGATAATTGGTTTATCCTTATTGTAAATTAACTGGATGTTTTTGATTTGGATTATGAACAGGTCTTAACTGTTTTATATCCCATGGGTCTGTTATGATAGCCAGGATTCAATCAGTAAATGTTTTATAATCACAAAGACAACACAGACACATTTGCAGACAAGATTATATCACGAGAAAGAGAAACAATTCTACTTCATAATATCCTATCCACGGGATACTAGAGTTTCCACGTATATGGAGTATGACCGGTTCTTAGGCTACGAATATGACCTGTTTTGGAAAGTCATGAGAGGCACAGCTGCTTAAAAATGGAAAATAAAGGTTAACTTCTATATTATCCTTTTTGAAATTGTGTTTGTTGAATATAGTTTATGCTGTATTTAATAGTAATGTAACAAAAAAATGTTAAACATGAGCTATTTTAGCAATGTAACTGTTCATAATGGAATATCAATCAGAAAGTACAGATTTCTCGCCTTAGAGCCAAATCATTAATATCACAGTAGAAAAAAAACAAATCCCAAACCTTTTTATGGCTAACCTGAACAAGATCTCCAAATCTCAGTTTATATGATCCCCCGTAGAGTGAGCAAGAGAAGGATTTATCTTTTCCCAGAGGATACGCTTGTAAAATGTCATGGAAGACATTTCACAACCGTATTCTCCAATAATGGGGCACCAGTGACATTCGTATTCTCAAAAATTCAAAGATGTATCATATTTGGACAGAGCAGGCTAAATTATTTAAAATATTCATGACTAATTCGTAGATCTAGCTTTATATTATACATAAGATGTGTCATCCTCTTCGGAGTTGCGTTGTGTTACACAAAAACTGATCAAAGATGCTGGAAACTAGGATTTTACGGCTTCAATCTAATATTAATACGTTTTCTCTTGATTAAGGCCCTTGTGATATGCCTGGCATTATAAGTATACCAAGTATCATTCATTGACCAAGTAGGATAAAAATAAAACGTTCGAAAGTCTTCATAAAAAGCAAGTACTCACCTCGTCTGTTTATAGGAACAGAAATACGGTCACACTCGTAAGCTTAGAACCGGTCATACTCAATATACGCGGATACTCTAGTAACCCGTGCTATCACTAAAATGCCTCCTAAAAAGGCATACATCTGACATCCTGAATGCCCTTGATATTTTGAAGGATTATACATCATCTCGAATGAACACTCATGAAAAATTCTTTTTACTTGAAGGGAATATCTACTCAAATATTGCTAATGCTAAAAGTGCCAAGAAACAAACAACAATGAATGACTTTTTCAAGCTAAAGTAAAGCAGTGCTATATAACCATAATATGGGATAAGTCATTTAATGAGCAGAAGATTTCGTACGAGACTATCATAAACTTTATGAAGTGTATTACAAAGTTTTTGCAAAAATTTAAGAGTTATTTTTCCTAAAATGATGAAATTGTTCAAATTGTAAATAAAACATAGCATATACATGTAGGCTATAGGCCTATTGTAGAATAAACTCATCAACAACATGTATTGTTTTTCTGACTTAGTATTAAGTGTTCAATATAGTGGACTGAACAATGAAAATCCCCCCCCCCCCGACCAACAATATCCTCAAAATTTGAACACCTGCCAATTTGAACGCATTTGGCTGGTCCCATGGGTGTTCGGATTAGACAGGTTTTACTGTACATGTATGAAATGTCATCACTGGTGTCATGTATCCTTAAAAAATAAAAGCAATACACATCTGATACTAAATAGGGCCATGACCTAATATTTGAAGAGTTCACTTAAAATGAAATCAATCAAGTTTTATCTTTTCTTCTATGTGCAGATGTCTAGAAGCAGGCGAAGCGTCATAGACAAAGTTCCAGTAACCTACTACAGCATACTGCAGCCAATCTTAGGGGAGGAAATGCTTGACCACATGGACATAAGCCAGCAGGTTGGCATTTAATCTTCTAATCTTGATAAACAAAGGGCAATCAAATCCCATTGATTTTCAAAATCCCAGATAACAAAATTCCACGATTTTGGAACCACTGTGTCTTCTTGTACATCAAATCAAAATTTATTAATATTTAATGAAGTTCTTAAAGATTTAAAGTTCATGAAAAAATCTACAAGATTGTCTTGGAAGCATGATTTGTTCTTTATAGCAATTAAAATCTCTGGATTTTCTTTTACTATTGTTTTTTCTTTACATTAAACCCCTTGGCAGTAATGTATGATTCAAGTAAATATCTAGAATTTTTTTTTATTTTAGCGTCTTCAAATTGCAAATCTTGCTTTCTCCTATGTCAGTAGACAGCTGGTCCTGCATACTGAGGCTGATGTTTCACCACAGGCCTTGGACCTCATTTATAGAGTCCTACAGGTGAGCTTGATTTATAGAGTCTTACAGATGAGCTTCATTTATAAAGTCTTACAGGTGAGCTTCATTTATAGAGTCTTACAGGTGAGCTTCATTTATAGAGTCTTACAGGCGAGCTTCATTTATAGAGTCTCACAGGTGAGCTTCATTTATAGAGTCTTAGAGTTGAGCTTCATTTATAGAGTCTTAGAGGTGAGCTTCATTTAAAGAGTCTTACAGGTGAGCTTCATTTATAGAGTCTTACAGGTTAGCTTCATTTATAGTCTTACAGGTGAGCTTCATTTATAGAGTCCTACAGGTGAGCTTCATTTATAGAGTCCTACAGGTGAGCTTCATTTATAGAGTCCTACAGGTGAGCTTCATTTATAGAGTCCTACAGGTGAGCGTCATTTACAGAGTCTTACAGGTGAGCTTCATTTATAGTCTTACAGGTGAGCTTCATTTATAGAGTCTTACAGATGAGCTTCATTTATAGAGTCTTACAGGTGAACTTCATTTAAAGAGTCTTACAGGTGAGCTTCATTTATAGTCTTACAGGTGAGCTTCATTTATAGAGTCTTACAGATGAGCTTCATTTATAGAGTCTTACAGGTGAACTTCATTTATAGAGTCTTACAGGTGAGCTTCATTTATAGAGTCTTACAGGTGAGCTTCATTTATAGAGTCTAAAAGGTGAGCTTCATTTATAGCGTCTTAGAGGTGAGCTTCATTTATAGTCTTACAGGTGAGCTTCATTTATAGAGTTTTGGCCAAATTATATTTTTAAAAACATTTAGTTGATTCTTCAGACTCTTCAAACTTTTTCTCATTCGAAGAAAAGTATTCTCAAAATATGTACACCGGATGACACAAGTACGTGTAGTTGCAAATAATATGGCATTTGCGCCTCTAGTCCAGAAGATTTGTTTTGAAGTGATGACTAAGTATGAAAATATGATACGTATACAACAGACAAATATGACATGACACAATGATCAATTACAATGAAATTTGTTTTTAGGAAATGAGTGAAGATAATGAAGATGTTCTGTTGGATTTCATTGTGATATACCACCAGGAGGGTGTCAATGATGGCACAGTGAGGCAGCCTGCACATAAAGCTCTCATTCTCCTTCTCACACATCTGTTAAAGTTCTCACTGGTAGGTGATACCTTATGACATGTTTTATGCCATCGTCATGGCAATGCTTATTCCACTCATTTCCTCTATAAAACCTGAATGCTATATCCATATTTTCTGGATTAAATTATGCACTTACTATTCCTATTTTCAAGTCTTGCCTCTTGTCCCTTTTATATCCTTTTGATTCTGTTAGATCTAATGATGAGCCCCATGAGCATAAATTAATCTTCCAAAAACTTTGTAAATGTAAATGTAGACATGAGGAGTCAACGTAATTATTTGATAATTAAGCATTATACTAAAACTCTGTGTACAGTGTACATGTATGGGAATGTGATGTACTACATGTAATCAACTGATGCATATCTCTATGAATAAAGACTTTTAATACAGGGTGACCCAAAAAAAAGAATCCTAACACTATTCAAAGATTTGTGGTTTCTGCTTTTGGACCACCCTGTAGTTAATTTTCTTTCATGGACACCCTGTACATTTTTTCCCTGCATCTCCAGGATCCTGTAGAACCCAACATAGTCTGGCTGCAAGTGCTCAACCATATTGTGGTGAACCATTTTGATGATGTCATGGAGTACATGATTGAGTACCAGGCTGGGGCAAGTGTCATGGGAAACATGGCAGCCCATGCCAGCAATGCAACCATACAACAATACGGCTGCTGTGTACTGGCTCACTTGGCAAACTACAGGCAGAAACCTAATGAACGAGTGAGTTTATTAACCAGTCATAATGTAGCCATTACTAGTATCTTGTCAGTTATATGTGATACATGTATCTATAAAGGTATATAAGAGCAATGCACTGTATAAACAAGTTAAACATTGCATGGTAACTCAATTCAACATTATTAAATGACCAATGGTGAATTTCTTGTATGTACTTATTGAATATCAAGGGACACCATTTTGTAATATTCAAACCATTGTAGGGATTATGTCAAATTTTCAAGAATTCTTCTTTGATTGGAAATTCACACCTGATTAGTTAACTTTCTGGACATGTTTTTGGACATTCTTCACAATGTGTTTTAATTTTTTCTTTTGTATGGCAGAGTCCTGTCCGAGAGGGTGGTTTGGATCTTATAGTGCAGGCTATCTTCAATCATAGCAATGACCCCATTGTGGTGGAACCTGGATGTAGGGCACTAGCCAATGTTATAGGAAACCTTATCAGCACACAGGAACAAGGTACATATACATCTATGAAGTACATTCAGGATCAAAATAATGTGCATGTTTATTTAATGCTTATATTAGTGCAATAGAGTATACGTGCAGTGGAGTTTTTGCATTCATATCTACAACTGTTAAATTGATAAATATCATTATTAGTATAATTAGTAGAAATAACATAGACCATAAAGAATAGTTTTTCAAAGGAGGACAAAAATTACTAGCAAGAGTTGGAATGATAGAATGATGAATTCTCATTGAGGTCTACATTATCCCTTCATATACTTATTGCTTATTGCATTCTTAAAATGTCTATATTAAGAATTCCCCTTTCAATCCTATTTTAGGTACTCAATTGAGTAAGAGGGAGATGAGACGAACAGACACCTTATGGGAATTACTTGAGCAGCATGCTCTTCCTATCATCATGTCTGTTGTTCAAACATTCCCTGAGAATGATGACATCATCAAGAATGCATTGTATGTTTTGTCACATGTGGATGTTAGAGCAAGGTGAGTACTGTTATACCTGAAAATCGAATTGAATTGAAGAGTAAAAAACAAAAACTTACTAGGTTATCTTTGTTTTTCATATTTCTTGCTTGCGTGTATGTTGCAGGAGCAGAAGTTTAAATAGAGCAGACTCTACAGAGTCTGAGGCGACACTTTCCCGAGCCAGTAGCGTGCAGGATACAGACGTGTTTAGTGAAGAAGACAGGGTGAAATCTCCCAGAGAGGGCCTCTTGAAGTCACCCAGTGAGACGGCTCTACCAACCGTCAAGGAAGCTAGTCCAGAAGTAGTCAAGAAACCAGAGAAATACAAGGAATCAGACATTGAGGAAGTTTTAGATGTGCCAAATAAGGAAGAGCTGAAAAGTTCAAAGGCTTATTATGATCAATCTGAAAATAGTGTGAAGCCACAGGATAAGGATAATGCTCAAAAGGAGAGAAGGATAGGGGTTACTGAAAATGTAGACAGATCTCATAGTGATGCAATAATAGATATGAATCAAACTGTTGATGCTCAAATATATGATAATAAACAAAATAATGTGAGTTTGGATGTCAGTCAAGCTAATAAAGCAACTGAACGTCCCTCTTGGACTGGTGAACATATTCCAGATGTGCTTACAACATTAATTAACAAATCAGTAGAGGACTCAATCACATCTACTGTTAGTGAGTACTATAAACCGCTCAATAAGGAAAACACTGTTGAGCAATCCTATGACTCCACGGCCAGTGGGGCATATCAATTTTATGATATAGAAGGGCTTCAGCGTCAACTCCAAAAAGACATGGCATCAGATATTGAGCTTGAATTATCAATGGCTGCTGATAGCTCAGTAGCAGATGATTCTGATTTATCAAATTACCTCAATGTCTCTAAACCAACTAAAAAAGACTCCTTTAATGATTTGCTAGAGAGCAATTATGGACTTGAGGAATCGGGTGATATTTCAAACTTACTCGAGCCATCGATTGACGATTTTGAAAGCTTAGTGTTGAAAAATCAGGAATCTGATGAAATCTGGAATAAAGCAGATGTTGAACTGACAAATTATTCAGACACATCAGAAAATACTGCTGGATATCATGATGGATATAAAGAAAACAAAACAGACAATACATCTGTTAGTCCTCCAAATAACAATTTTGAGAATGCTACATTCACTTTGGAGGATATTGCTGAGGAAGAAATGGTTGAGAATGGGGATCAAGATGCTGAGCAAACTGACCAAAACGGAGAAGATGCATTCACTGCAGACCATAACACAGTTGTTGAGACCTTGACAGCAAGACATGTGGTAAGAAATAAGAGTTTTGGTGTTTGTACATGAGATAATAAAAAATGGGTCTACAATAAGCAGAAATTATCCCAATATATTTATTCCATCTTATACTTCCTGTCTCGTTCTATTTCATGTTATAACATAATCAGCCATTGTTGTTTCAGTTAATGGGTTACATAGCTGAACTATGGAGTGATGGTAGTTGTTTCCAAGCACTGAAGCTGTTTAAAATGCCAATGGAGCAACTGTGTCGTGAAGTTGAAATGGCTGAACCGCCAGTGTTCCAACCAGGGGACACTCTTACAACATGGGACCCAATACTTGTTGCTAGCATGTTGGTCAGCCTTGCACAGAGGTGGGCTTCTTTCTCTTTCACATCTATATTTCATATGCTTATAATATAAGTCATTTATTTTCCACCCAAAATATTACAATAATATTATTTTGGACAAACAAAACATTTTACAAGAAATTTCTTGATGAATTCCTAGACATCTGTTAAATGTACTGTACATATAGAATACCTTTGAAAACTACATCAATGATAAAAACATAATACAGTAATCTATAGTGTGGGGCATCTAAATCTAACTGTGAGACACCTAGAATGTTAATTAAATCTGTTGATGGCATCCTCCGATCACAGGGCTTCAAAAGCCAGAACATATTCTTTCTTTTTACCCCCTGCGATAAGCAGTTACCATTTCCCCGATTAAGAACTCGCAATCTGATTGGCTGTCGCAACACTGCGACAGAAATTTTGTATAAGTCATTACGCATAATTAGATCACGTGATTCAGTTAAACCGGGTGCGTCCAAATTGGTTATAGCAGGGGGAAGAAGGAGGTACGGATTCTGGACACCTGCTTAGGAGGATGGTTGATGGAAAAAGTTCAAATATTTCTTTCACTTCCAGGGTGGACAGAAGGAGTATTGCCTTAGAGATCCTTAACATTGTCATGCGCTTGCTAGATGCCCATCCTCTTGCTGATGTTGTATTGAGTTTGCAGACAACAGTTACCACGCTGCTTTGGGGGGAGTTACAGCAACATATCCAATGTGAGTAAAACATTTAACAAGGGCCATTAATTCACACAATCCTCACGTTCATCTAGATAGAATATTGGATCATACAAATTCATGGTCCCTGATGATAATCAAAATTGTAGGTTTTTAGGGTTTAATTAAATATTCACTTCACCACCAGAAGTGGTGACATAAAGTATTGTTATAGTCTCTTTTTTGTGGACTTTGTTCAGCATTTGACGTCTGTAACAAGTAATAGTGTCTTTAACAAATGGCAGGTGGTGACATTTTCCACATTGACATTTTATGACTTTGTCTATGATTTTTACTCGTCATTTCTTTATCACATGTTCCCGTTGTATGAAAGCTTTGAGATAATATGATTTAGAGCAAGCTTTATTTCTATAATTAAGCAATGTTTTCTATAATCTATTGTAGGCACAACTGTAGTAGATAAACTACATGCCAAGGTAGAAGGAATCCTTGCTTCAGAGGATGAAGAATTCAACGATGAAGAACGTCACGGATTGACAGCCATTTTGTATGCCACTCAAAAACAATAGAACATTCCAGAATATTTCCAGGACTTATATCCACACATTCTGATTCTTGGTGTCTTGTTTAGCCTTGCCCAAGTCGGTATTTTTTACTTATCTGATCTTGAATTATTACCGCCTTGTACAATCCAATACATCTCCGCTGCTATTATGCTGAGATATTCAACGGTTTCGAGATTTCCATAATACCTACGCTATCAGGGGTATCGCGAAACCTTATTGATTAACAGATATACGCGTGGACACGACGTGTGACTTCAGGCTGATTGACCAATCAAAACGTTATCAGGTTGAGCTGCACAGCAAAGCAATCTTCCCGTCTACGACTTGAAATTCAATGATCTGATCGATCGTTTCTTTAGAGTTACAATATATTATGTAATTAAATGTACATAGGGAATGTAAGAGTCATTAATATAAATTAAATCATGCAATAGATTTAAAACTGATCTCGCGATGAAAATGCAAGACCTAGTCCAATGTAGCGGGTCATGTAGTCGTCGATCAGTGATTGAATCTCAGCCTACATGTTCATTTGAATTCAGCGATCGTTTCAACGTTTATTGTTGAAATCTTCTAACCTCCGGTTACCGATCGATGTCTAGCATCCACTTAACTCTGATTGATATTTATCTAATAAAATATTTGTATTTTCATGATGAATTCATGCAAGATTTGTTTGTGAAAAGCCCCGACGAAAAGTGTACTTGTTTTTGACCGTGCATAATAATGAGCTAGCGCTGCAGGGCCGTCGTTGATTGGTCAAATTTTACCGACATAAACATTGAGTCGGTAAAGCACGTGGCTTTCTCTTTTGTACAAGGCGGTCATAATAGAAATCAGATAGTAAAAGAGACCGACTTGGGCAAGGCTATGTCTTGTTGTACACTGCAAAATAACCCAATATTGCACTGGCAGTTTTTGCATTAAAATGGTATTTATTGCTCAATTCTGTGCTATTGATATTTCATGAAAGGGTACAGCAAACTTATATAGTAGCAGTTTTGGTCTTATTTTTTACATGATCAACTATACTTGGTTGGTTGGGCTTTTGGCAGGTCTTGGGTTGGGATATATGCCAGGTTAAGTTAATTTTAGGATTAAACATATTTATTGCTTACCCTTGATTGGGGTATCTTTCAGTATGATATTTTAGTGTGGTCTTATTTATGATATTCATTCCTTTTGGTTATTTGGGTTGTCATCCTTTCACCTGTACACTGTATATGATGACGTAATACATTCCACATTACTATAGTAAATATCTATGCTCATGGTTGTATTTTTACACTTTTTACACTTTCATGTTGTGCCTTGAAATATGGTAGACTTCAAAAGTTTAGTGTTTGACAGAAACTTGGATAAGATTATTGCATTTTTTGAGGATTTGACCATGATTTCAGGATTTCTTCGAAAGTTTGTGAAGATTTACTATTGAATCCTTCCCTTATCTTAGTGTATAGTGTAAAAAATGTATGATGCTATTTTATGGGTGGCCATAATATATATAGTATTTACCCTACCATAAAGAAACATTCACAGATTTTTCTTTTGTGTCTAAGGGGTTCAATGGTGAACTATTTGATATGAACTATTTGTCTATGTTATTTTAAATGATGCATTTCTAAATCACATATCATTAGAAAGTCTATATTTTTAATAGCTTTTGCTGTTCTTATAAATTTTTAAAGTGCTTGTAGTTTTATAATATTCTGGAGATTACATGTTCTACAAGGATATAATGCATGCCAGATTCAATATTGTTGCATTCCACTTTATAATGTTCTTATGTCTCATAATGTTTTCAATATTAGAAAATATTTTAAAAGGTTTTTAAGTGTGTTCAACAGGCAATGTATCTAAGATATAAATTTTGGAGCTGATTGTTTTATTATCTGCTATTTAGGAACAACATACTCTGTAAAGATCTTAGAAAATAGTTCTTAAAGTACTAATACTTGTACAAAAGTGCATTAAACGTAATTAAACCTATCTTTGATCTGATGAAATTCAATATGATGAAAGATATTAAAAGAACAATTTGAAATTGGTGATGCAGCACCAACAAGTAGTGTTTCTATAAGATGCTGCTCTCAAATAACTTTGAGGCTTTTGTTCAATAATGAAGTGCATACTTAACATATAAAAAACTATGCAACTATGTAGTGTTGTCAAAAAAGTTCTTAAATACATGTACTTGTACAAAAGTGCATCTAGATGGATTAGATGTGCAATACTGCTTTTTATATAGACAACTCCTTCATCCATTTAGATTCTTCAAAATTAAAAGGATAATAATTTCATGGTCACAAATAACATAATGCCTCATTTATCACTTCAGTATTATTATAGCTGCAATATGGTCTGGTATTTCATTGTTTAGAACTTTGTTATCCATCAATTACATGTATAATCACAAGAAGTAGGGGTTTAACTACAGGGTGAGGCAATTAAGTTTATTATGTCACCACCACATGTGGTGACATATTGTTATAGTCTCCAACTTTTTTTGTGGATGATGGTCGATGGCCAGTGTCTGTAACAAATGGCAGGTGGTGACATTTTGCATGTTAATGCCTTGTTTTTAATATTTATGATTCAGTTGACATTCCCATTGTATATCATGCATAATGAGCAACACATTGGAAAGGAAAAATATTAAGATTAAAGGGACATTTTTGCCCAATCTTGAATATTTAAATGATGTTGATTTTAGTTTAGCTGTTTATATTTCAGATGACAAGAAATGTTTACATAATTCCACAACATGGCTTTTAGTCTCTTTATGCTAGATTTGTGAGTAACAAAGGTACGGTGATTTAAACTCACATTTATACTGGTAATTAACCCAGGGGGTTCACTGCATGGAAATCTTGATTGGTATCGGAGGTTGGACCCTCTAGTATCAATATTTTCCCAGTCATTTGTGTAGAATGCCATACCACATTAAAAATGTCCCAGTCACTATGTCATCTTATCAAAAATAAAGCATAATAAATTTCAGGAAAATTTAAATCAAAAGTGATATTCTATTATATGAAAATAATGTTCTACTAAATTCCAAAATAAGAGGCCATATAAACATTTAGAAATGGTGGTATCCTTACTGTACAATGAAGGCGTCCTTAGTATACAAGAGTGATTATCTGAGCATTGATCCAAATTCAGTCATTTCTGCAGTTCTGGTACCACTGCCATATCCATATGCAAAAATGTATATGTGGGTACATTTGCCACACCAAAAGTGAAAAGGGGTACCCCCAAGCTGAGGATCACCATTAGGTTTTGTATACAGTGAACCCTACAGTATTTTTATGTACTATGTGTCTAAATCCCCATGGCACTCAAACTCCATTAAATTATGAATCTGTATTGTTACTTTATTGTAATAAAATTGTACCATTGTACCACAGATATTCCAGATAATGTACATGTATTTTGGTTATGTATGAATTGTCTGTCTAAAGAAGCATGAAATTAGTTGGAACATCATGCATAAGGTGGTGACATTTTTTATCAATTTAATTTTGAAAAAATGTGAGACTTATTCTACCTGTTACAATGATTTAAAGAGGTGAAGTACCCTTCTCATGTGAGTTATTAATACCTACACTTACATGTGTGTTTACAAAAGCATGTTTACCAGTTGAGTAGAATATCAATATAGTTAACAGCATTTTTTTCTGTGTGATTTTATAAAAAGGTACGTTTATGGAGCTCCTCCGCACCCAATATTTAGAGGGGGCTCATATCTGAAAAACATTTCCGAATTTTTATAAAATCACACAGATACTGCCTGGCTTCCAAGATGCAAAAATGATTTGTGTAGATAGTGTACCTTGAACACCATTTTTTATGAATGCTGGGGACTCAGTATTAAAAGGATAATTTCAAAATATATAGGTCTGGGAAAGGTTTAAGGCACACTGCGTCGCTATAGAATGAATTGCGCTACTATTTTCACAATTGTATTGATATTTGGTGTCAAATACACATATCTTGGTATATTTGAAGTCCCAAAACGGCTTAGTTTCAGAAATATCCCAAATTTAAATTCAAAAGTGACCGTTAGCTCCGCACCCTCCGCTCATTTGCTCCGCACCCAATATTTCCCACAGGCTCTGTCTGCATAGGGTGATGTACAATGCTTTTTAATGTGACCTCATTGAATATGTAACATGGTAGAATTGTATGGTATTGTGATTGTGTTATGAAAAGTATCAATTAAAAAATGAAGTCTGAAGTATCTGGAAACATACCTAAACTTAAGTCTTGTACATGTATATGGAAAGTATCATTTAATAAATGTAACAAACTGGCCAATTATAATCAACAATACAAATATATTTTATTTACAAAAACATAATAAAAACCACAAAGTGGTGTAAAACAATTCTATTTTGGATTACTACATTTGCAAATGCACATCACAAAATCTCACATTTGCATAGATTGGTGTATTTAATATGGCAGTGTTTTCTTTGATAGTAATCACTATGCATAATAATATAGATAATAATATAGACAGGATTGTGCAATGACCCACAACATAAATTCTGTAAAATCAATGTATATCTACATTCTTTTTATGAACAACAACATAAAAATGTTTTATAAATACTATTTTCTATTGGAGACATTTGTATGAACACAATCGTATTGTAGAATTATAAACAATAAACTTATTTACTCAACTTTCTTTGAAAGGAAGTACGAGGGCCAGATTTTTGAAAAAATTGGAAAATTTTTCTATTATTTTTGGAAGCTTTGAAAGGGAAACATTTGCTAGTTTTTCAAAACTCTTAATCCCTCCTTCTTCCTTTAAAGGAAAGCCAGTATAATTCTGTCTGATTAACTTTTGAATTTAGATTGAACATTTTGCATCCAACCATCGTGAGCAAATAAAATACCATTTGTTCACTAGTCTTAATTCCAGCAATTCTGTTTCCATTAATAATGTAAGTTATAAATCAGTCCAGATAATAAAGCAAAGGAAAAAATAACTTATTAACAATTTTTGTTATTTAAGATTACTACATACACTGTATTTCTGGTTTGAGCACTATAGTAATGATGTGAAGAAACACCGGTGTTACTGAGCAATGTTCTTAATCTCTTAATTAAACATTATGCTTCTGATCAATGTTACATTTTACATATTGCTTGATCAATTTGCTTGATCAATCTTAATGACACTCTCTCCCATTCAGACACATTTTAACCGCTCAGACAGCACTGAACAGCTATTAAACCATAACCACTCACCCTAACTAACAGGTATTGAACACACTTAGCCCCAAGGAGAATGCAGTCTGTAGGGCACGATGGCCAAGAACAGACATTTCAAACAGTGTTTCAAACACTACCCTAATATTATGTATATAAATGGATTTACATTAAATCATATGAGCATCTTCCATGTACATGGACACCTACATGTTGCAAGGTTGCATAATTGTTGCAAAATGCAAGGTTGGATTTACATTGAACCAAGTGAGGCCTCTCTTCAGTTAATCTAACAATAATCAATATGAAAAAATCTAATAAAAAAGATACTCGTCTCATATTATTTTAGGTTAAGTTCAATTTTATTATTCTGATTCTTGCACATTCCCTTAAAGTACTATGTGAACAGTTCTTTCGCCTTTGTCTTCAACGAAACAGGCAAAAATGTCAAACACTTAACAAATCCCTACGAATCAGAATCAGAAAATTAACATAGAACTTGTACATGTATGTATTCTTAAAATACACAAACAATGGATCAACAATGATGTGTTCAGACATTGTATTCTAACCAGTTATATGTATTCAAATATCACAACCTTTTGTGTAAAATAATATAATAAACATTTAAAGTACTAAAAACAAATCCATTCTATAAATCAAGTCCTATACTAAAATATAGTAATACAATCCAGTCAATGATACTGTATATATAAAACATTATATTAATGCTTTATAAGTTGAACACTTATATGCTGCCTAATTTGCGATTTTTTACTCTCTGTCGTTGTGACTTTACATTGTTGTCTTCTCAATTTAACAGCTTCTATCAGGTGTCATAACTAAAACTCTGCAAGATAACACATCATTTAATCAAAATACAAGAATAAAATATTAATTTTCCGTGTCTTCACCCCCAGTTCTCTCTCTCTCAAAAACAAGACCTTTTAAGGAAGGGTATGCTCCAGAATGGCGATCAACAGATGTGGTCTTTATACCACTTGAAGTAATTGGAGCACTGTAATACAGACTAACTCATATCTCAACAAATAATATCTTTAGTTATCTTTACTGCTAATGAGAATTTATTGACATATTTATCAAGAAAAGTTCATAAACTTACCCCTGAGTTAGACCTTCGTCTTTTCCAGCAATCTGGATTGATCTTTTTATGATGCTCAGCCAGAACTTTTGCCTCTGTTGCAAATACCTTCCTCTCTTCTGTCTTCATTCGCTTCCATTTGTCTCCTAGCAACACACTTATTGCCCTGGAAACGAGAAGATGTACACAAATAAAAGACATTTCTATAGATGTTCACTGTGTTAGTTTAAAGTCAATCTGATCATTACATCTCAAGCTATCTCTACATTATTTGTTACTATGCATGGTATACAAAATTTGGAATTGATCTGCTATAGAGGCAGGTTTCAAGCATCCTCCAATTGCAGGATATGATCCACTAATGACTTGCTTAATTTATTCTCCATCTTATGAAGCTTTACTTGGAGAATGATTCTCAATACTTTTAATAAATTTACCTGTTGTCTTTGCCAGGGTAAAGCTGTGTATATTCAAGGCGGTATTTTTTGGCAAATATCATAAATGCGTTCATTGGTCGTTTGGCTTTCAGTGAGTCATGCTTGGTTTTGTTGTATTTTCTGCTAGGAGATCCTGGTGAACATGTTGAACATGGACTCAACTCTTGGTCTCGTTTTTGCTGAAAAATCCAACCACATTTGGGTTTAACAAATGCAATCGAATACTGATTTTCTGAACTCAATATTTGGAAATGTTTTTAAATTCATATCAATGAAAACCATAGGAAAAATTACTTTTCCAAAATTTTAAGAAGTTTACATTTGATAGGTATAATTTATATAATAAAATGGACTATTTTATGACGAGTGATATGGATCGAGAAAATAGTTGTTGTCCAACCTACCATAGCCATACTGCTCAATGTAAATACAGCTGATGAATCAGCAGGAGTAAAATCATAACTGTAATATAGAAAATATGACATGTTAACACAGGCGAACAATAAATAACTCCTTCATTGGAGCAATGGCAAATATCTATACACTTGATACAGTGTTGTTAACATCATTAGAAGATATCAATTCTATTATTGAAATTAAAGTGTCAATTCTAATTTATGGATTGTTGGATGATAAATAAACTGCTCAACTTCTATCACAGCACACAACACCAATTGTATTTATAATAAAATGAAAATGCACAAATTTGGATCACTTTGGAATGCACATGGCAATCAAAAATACAAGTTTAACGAGAAAACCATGATGACTGAATTATTTGGAATACTTATTACAGTTTGTATCCATTTGTTTTAACATCTAACACACATTACCATGGACATGACAAGCATACAGTGGGTGTAAGAAATAAAGTAATTGAGACTAATAAACAAAACAACATGGTTCATTGGTCATGCAAGGTCTCACTTACTAAAACTCCTTGTTTAGCATGAAAAATCAGCGTGAAAAATCTACACTGTCATTTTGGTAAAAGTGTTCCAAAAATCATTTTTCAACAAGGCATTAATATGCATAATGTCACCACATGCTTGCCAAACACCTTCCATAAAAAAAGATAACAATATGTCACCACTTGTGGTGACATAAAAATGTGCAATTGTGGTTATAGATTACTAATGCAGATAATATTCCTCGTGTTAAGTTTTATGAATGATTCGTTAGCCTGGAAATAGAACATTTCAATTTAGCCTTCTAAACTCCCAAACAAAATGATATATAACATTTTGTTTCTAGTTCTCTGGATTTTTAATTCAAAGGAACTAACAGATCTTTCTAGACATTCTGTTATTCAAATATACCAAAAATAATAGTACCTTTTAAAGCTGTTAAATACATCTGGCGTATAGATGGTGTCACTATGGTCGGGAGGTAGACACACATCGTTCAGCTCCAACTCACAACAAGGTATTCCATAATGCTCAACAGTGATGTTTGGATAGTAAGAAGACCAACCTTAACAGTAAATAATGAAAAGAAATATCATAGATTGAAGAAAAATTGATTGGAGAAAACTGAAAGGAGATTTACACCCTTGGTACATAGAGCTTGGGATAATGGAGCAGAATGGTAGAAAGAGGTTTACTGGTACAGACCGTACAGTGTAACATTTAATAACTTGCTTACTGCTGTATTTCTAAGCTAACATCTATGATTCCTTTAAAGGCCCCAAGTAAAGTTTTAACCCTTTGGCTTACATTGTTGTCTTACCCAATCTTAGGTGAAATATGACACATAAAACTTGTATTTGGCTTTTTTTATTAGAATTATTCACATTTATTTTTAATAATGTACTCACAAGCACAGAAAAGCGGTCCAGAGAAAAATACACATTAAGTTGAAACCAAAGTTGAAACCAAGTATTTAAAACATGAAAAATAGTTTTTTTTCAAATAAGGACAACAACGTTGCTTTATTGAAAAAGTTCAGCATATTTACAGAAAAAGTTAATGAACTTTGAAAAAAATAATTCTGGATAAAGAATGTTTGAGTGCTTAAACAATATTTTCAAACTTTGCACACAACCTTTAAGTATTTGGACGAGTAGAGTATCAATATCACACACCTTTGTCTTTGACGTAAAATGGATGGTCGAGATCACACTCAGAGATCAATTCAGGAGAACCAACAACATCTGTTGTAAAGCGTAACTCTAATATCCCCCGTGGTGATGAGTCACATGACTTTTCCTCAATATGGAGAAGACGTAACCCATCCGGTGCAAAACTGGAATTGAAACAAATTCAATATAATCTGTGTCTGTTCACTATCCGATAGCTGGGCAATGATAACGTAAAAAAATATTCAGCCATTTTTGGAATTTTCATTATTGGGCATGATTGAAATGATGTCAGTTAGTCAACTCATTCCTAGATACTAATCACATATAACATAAATATTGACCAAAACTCCTAAATAGGAAAATAACTTGACAACTGCTCACTGCGGCAAGACTGAACTGAGTAATTCTACAAGACTGAATGAGTAATTCCAGAGTTATATAAAAAAATATTGCTCACTTATCTGGTGGCTTGTGTGAAGCTAAAGATGTAAGTCTGTCTCTGTTTCCCAAAGCTTCAGCTTTCTGCCATCCTGTCTTAGGTCCTGAAGTGAACCTGATTTGGGTTCCTGAAAAAGTACAAACCGGTGGTTCTGAAGTACTAGCAAATACAACCAGCATCATATAATGAATGACTGATTTCACCAATGATCTCATACATAGAGATTATCCTATATGAGGTTCTCGGGCAGATATATTATATTGGCCAAGTGATAATCACAATATCCTGAACCGACTATAGGATAATATGTTTATCCCATACCAATCTTGGTCATCTGGTTCACATTGTTCAATCGTGGAAATATTTTAGAATATTCATGTCCAGTTTTGTTTTCTTGGCCGTGGGCGGATTTTCCTCTCAAATATTCCCACATTTATTTTCTCGAATTTTTGATTGATTAAGTGGATCCTCCTTCCCTTTTTCAAACCATCAAACAGATCCCGATTGTCTGTGTTTTCTCCATTGTCGTTTACAGTCATTACGCGAACGTTACAAATTATGAACAAATATGCGAACAGATTATGACGTAGCGGGCAGATATACTATATCTGCCCGCTCGGAGCGGGACGTAAAGCTATATCTGCCCGCTGATGAAAATACAAGTTTTTACAAACCGGCTTTATGTACCTGTAAAACGTCCAAGTATGGGATAAAAACAAATATGTTACAGGATATGAACTTACTGTTTATTATGATCGACCCTATTTTAGTTGAACGTTCCTATGTTTATATCAATTGAGAAATTTTACAAGTAAATTTTCTATTAATTACAATACAAACCTATTCCATGACATATGCTAATACCCCTAATTTGGAAAAATGGGCAAGTCCAAAAACAACAGGATAACCTGAATCCCTCTAGGTCAACTGACCTAACACCCCTTTATATGCTATAACTTCATAATTGTACGCAGTAAAACTTAATAAAAATACTGCGGGGAGGCCGGGTGGGCCTATGGTCATGGAATAGGTTTGTATTGTAATTAATAGAAAATTTACTTGTAAAATTTCTCAATTACATACAATCCAACCTATTCCATGACATATGCTGAATTAAAAGTAAAGGAGGTGGGATCCCGATTAAGCCAAAAGTATAATAAATATATATACACAAGTACTTATAATAAAAAGTAAATTCATATTACCAAAAAGTACTCTGATCTCACAAACCATAGTGATCCCTAGTAGAACAGCCACCGTCATCCATTGTAAGGCAGAGGCTGTGACACATCTGTATAACTGTTATTGTCCTATCATAGTGAGCAGTCTTAGCCATCTAAGGGTAATGACAAACTCCTATGAATAGAGACTGGTTAACCAAGAATGGGCCGTTTAACCAAACGAGGCAACCTTGCAGTTCTTCAAGGGTCCAGGTCACAAGCTAGTTGAGTTGAACCCTTCTGCAAAACAGTTCAGCTACACATCTGGGAGACTGTATGTCCTTTCACAGTGAGTATCCTTACCCATCTAAGGGTTGCGAATAACTCCTATGAATAGAACTGGTTAGCCAAGGATGGGCCGTTTAACCAAACGAGGCAACCTTGTAGTTCTTCAAAGGTCCAGGTCACAAGCTGGTTGAGTTGAACCCTTCTGCAAAACAGTTCCACTTACACAAGAACTGGATAGACAAGGAATGGCTGTGTACAAGATAAAGACAAACCAAGTCCACCCAGTATTACTTCCAATCACCAGACTACAGTGCAATACTGAGTTGGTAACAAGTTGCAGAGTACTTAAAGTTGTATCTAGTTCTTGAAGCTGTAGACCCACCTGCAGCTTGGATGAGATATACATGAGTTAATCCAAGCCATTGTTGTAGTTCTTGTCAGTGTAGACAAAGGCATCATCCTTTCATCCATTGGAATTCTAGGAAACTGCCGATAAATCAACTACCATGAGTCACAGCACAGGGTCCTAAAGGAACCAGTCTTGCATACAAAGTGAGGTGGAACACACTACATCTTGTCTTGTCACTGCTCTCAGAGTTGGTTGTTAGTTGAATAAACATCAAGTCTGGACCAGCGATGATCATAAAGCCGTTTCAGCCAACTTGTAGAATGGTTTAACGACAAAGAACAATACCACTACACATCTGCTAAGTGCTTCTTGTCTTTTGGATCCATAACAAAGTTACATGGAGCAAGACACCTCCGTAGACCCAGCCAGTCGAGGTTGGTACAGTCATCAGATAACTACAAGGATAAGTCAAACCATCTTCTTTGTAGTACCAATTAGTATTCATCATAGAACAGATCAACCATTACTGCTGACCTGGGCAAGAAGAGACATCTTCCATCTGACCAAAACAAGTTGTTCAATGGACAAACTAGTGCATCTAGACAGTCTATCCATCTGTATAAAACCTTTAACACAGCTACGCTAGTAGACACAATGGCACATCAAGCACAAAGTGGAACAGCATACAGGTCCATACTTATCTATAAAGGATTAGTATGGAGATGAATCTAAAGGTGGTTGGAAACAAGCTTGCATTTGTTGGTAAACTTGTTAGACATCTTTAAGAAGATGAGGATATCACTGTTATGATTGTCTATAGTGGCCATAGCATAACAGAAAGTATTCTACTGCCATCAAAGCACTGGTAAGTGTTGTTCCCACAAAGAGCTTGGCTTGGAATGCAACCTTCAATTGTTGTATTCGGCATTGTAGTTGATAAACTATTGGATTGTGGTTAGAACATCCATCTGTCCAGGTTGTAAACAGCAAACATCATAGCTAGTGCTGCATATTGACAGAATACTGCAGAAGAATTCAGAAACTCACTGGATCAACAAAATTCTTGGCCTGGAACCAAAAACTTTAAATGTTCTTCCCAGGCTTGCAAAAGACAGACTTGTGGTATCTTCAATGGATAGTACATCTATCTGTCTTAAGAGTATAACAGCATTGAACGTAGAAACTGCTACAAAAGGAAGCACTATAGTATAGTATGAGAGTATAGTAGTGCTAGATCCACCAAAATCTGTGTCCAAAAATGTAACCTTTAAATTCATCCAGGTTTGTAGTTGGCAGCACTGGTTGACAAGAATAGTCAGCTTTTCTCCCGGGTCTGTCTAAAGCTACCAAGAGCATACATCATGGATGTAGGTGTATTGGAACACTACAGTATGTAGTAAGGTAGTGCTGGATCCACAAAGTTCTTGACTTGGAGCATAACCTTTGTAGATCAAATTTGGCTTGGAGTTGAAACTCTAGTATCAACAGGATATACATCAGGCCCGCATGGTCATCGAAGTACTACTGCATGTGTCTACCAGTCAATGTTGGATCCATACAACACTTGGTCCAAGAACATTACTTTTCAGTAGTCTTAAGCCAAACTTGCAGTTGCTCAAGGGAAAAAACTATATCATAAAAACATGATAAGTTTATCCAATTGGTAAAACTTCCAGCCCTTTACTTGTTAAATAGTAGTATAAGTACTATGAACTAGTAAAAATATAAAACCAAATGAAGTCTGGACTGGAGTGAAACCTTAAAGCAATCCAGGCCCAAAAAGCCCAAGATTAATTCCACAAATAAGGTGACTTGTAGTTTCTCAATGGAAAAAAACGATATCATAAAACATGATTAGTTTATCCAATTGGTTAATTCTACCAGCCTGTTCTAGTTAAGTAGTAGTATACGTACTATGAACATGAACTAGTAATAAAATAAGACCAAAAGGAGTCTGGAACTGGAGTGATACCTGAAGGCAATCCAGGCCCAAAGACCACAAAGATGAATTCCACAATAAAAGTGACTCGCATTTTCTCAGGGGAAAATACTATATCAAAAGAAACATGGTCAGTTTATCCAAGTGGTTAAAACTACCATGCTTTTAATAGTTAAATAGTAGTATTAGTACTATGAACATGAACTAGTAAAAATATAAGACCAAATGAAGTCTGGAACTGGAGTGAAACCTTAAGGCAATCCAGGCCCGAAAACCACAAAGGCAACTTTCACAATCAAAGGGATGTGTTTTCAATATTAGATGAAAACCACCTTGTTTGAAAATAATAACCAATCCACGAATGAATAAGTACTATGGTTATGAATAAGAACGAAAATGAAAGAAAACAGGCTCCAGAAAATAAAAATGAGAGCCTATCACTTAGAAGCATGTTTAAAACACAAGATTCATGGTATAAAGAACCTGAAACGATGCGTAGAATCCTCTCTTCTACTGTTGATAGAATAATATAAAATTATATTTCAATCAAATGACTTATGATCTGATCAATTTAAGACAAGATTGTAGAACAAACATCCTATGCCCTGGTATAAATAAAGAATGAATATGTTGTGACCAGAAGGCATTAATGAGCCATTCAATGTATCTTAAAGTAAGGCTTCTGTAAACTAACTAATTTTACACGAATGTAAAATTAGACCTAAAATTAGTTGATGAATAAGAAATACAAAAGTAAAAGCTGAGTGTATCTGTAAGCAGAAACAAACAGAACATAGAAAACAAGTGATGTGAAGAGAAGCAAGTGGATGAAACGTTCACATCTCTTAAAAAGTCAAAAAAAACTAATATTTTAAATTAATTGACTAAACCACACAATTCCATAAAGTGCTGGAACCTGAAGAACCCTACAAAAGGGTGTAAAGTGATTGTGAATAAAGATGAGAATTAACTACATCTAGGAACAATGCAGATTCAATCCAACTGAAAAATATGTTATCTAGTCAAGCTAGTTACTAAACTAGAAACAAAGTTAAGACTTATTCCCGACTAATAAAAAGTAAGAAAAAGAAACAAGAAAGATCAGAAAAAAGATCTTTCAATACAAGTAAAGTGTAATAATAATTTACACTCATCAATCAGTAGAGTTCTTAGAAAAACTCCACCTATTCATAATCCCTGAACACAACATTTCAAAAAAGAAAACACTGTTCAGTGGATAAGCACAGCTTGAATGTAATGATTACTGAGTGAAAAACTAAGGAATAGTCATTCAAAGAAATGAACTCCAACAAAGCCACTGTAGGTGCATGAATAAGGGGAATAACCTTTTGAACCTAGAAGGCCATCATTACATAATAAACTACACAAAAGTATAGTCATGAACTCAAAGGATTAGAACCCTGCTAGTAAAAGTATACTAGTATAGGGTTAAAGAGTAAAGGTCCCTTATAGGAAGGTACAAGTATGAGTGAAAAACCTTTACAAAAAAGATAATACAAGCCAGTAGGGGTCAAATAAAGTTCAACTCGGTCTGAACTTATTGTCCCAAAGACAAGCTAGGCTAACCTAAAATTGACTGTTAGGTAAACATGTTGCTTGAAAATAAAATCGATTGAAGGATTTCCTAAAAACTGACCTATTTCTAGTGTTAGAAGTACACTAAAATACAACCACAAATGAGCTCACTGCACTGAAGAATGACTTGTGACTCTGTCCAAGTACCTTCTGCTGCTGAGGAGGCCCTGCTGAGGTATAGTCTTGAAGATCTGCCATGGGATGGTGGGCACCAACTCCCTCAGTAAACTGCTACTCAAGTTGTGCATGCTTCTAATATGCACCTTGCTGTCCCAAAGATCGGCTACTTGGTCATCTGTGCCAGTTCAGATTGTAGATTTTCCGACTTCTGTAGACTATCATGTTGACTAGGTTCCCGTAACAATCTGGTAACCCCTAGTCCTGCATTTATCTGCCATAAATTTACCAATTATCTAAGAAAACTTCTAGCAGATAGAGTAAAAAACTTTACTCGAGTCTCTAGCTTACAGCTAGACGAAACTTCATTGATTTCGTATGTACTGTGCTGCACGCACCTACACGTACCTAGAACTCATTTTTAATAAATTTTATAAATATTTTTAAGAATATTAATCATATTTAGGATGAAGCGTTGCTTGTCTGGATTTAGATATTTCAAAATTTCATTTCGGAGTTTGACACATGGTGAAATTTTCTCGCTGTAGCTAAAAATGGCTTCCGGTTCTGGACGTGAATAACATTTGAAATTATTCTCGCTTAAAAGAAATCAAATATAACAATAGATTCAGACGGGGATGTGAGCTGATGTTCTTCAAATCTATACATAAAGGTATATTTCATATTATTATGCCATATTTACTGTGCGTGTGACACAATGATTTAAAATATTTATAATACTAAGGCAGCTCAATCTTCCTCCTCAAAGCCGGAATATAGAGAAGGCTTTGGACCGAAGTAAAAAAAACTGGACTCTAAAGTTTTTCCACTTTTCCATACATAGGCAAGTACAATTATGAAGTTATAGCATATAAAGGGGTGTTAGGTCAGTTGACCTAGAGGGATTCAGGTTATCCTGTTGTTTTTGGACTTGCCCATTTTTCCAAATTAGGGGTATTAGCATATGTCATGGAATAGGTTGGATTGTATGTAATTGTATCCTTCAATGCATTAAAAAACCTTATACAGTACATCTCCAGTGATATATTATGACTGAGATTCATTGACTTTGCAATATTCATACTAATTTATTATCAATTAAGAAGTACATATAGTAAGTAATTAGGAGTGAATCATTTCATGATTTTGGTGATTGAGCAGTAATCATTGGTGACATACCTGCAATGAAGCATTGCCACACTGCCCTGGGCCAGCAATTGTCACCATTGTCAACAGGATCAGTCGGAAATGGGGAGGAGGACGTCACATGGGTATCACTTGTGTCAAAGCTACAAAGACATGAAGAAAAATCATAATACATGATTGTGCCTATTGGGTAGCTAGGCGTTGCCGTCCGTCAAATAAACAATAATTGTTTGCTTGGAACTAGTGATTTTTTCAATTTCACATAATTATGTATACATGTACAGTATCTCCTTCATATAACATATATACACATACATACCTGGTACAAACAATTTATTTACTATTTGTCTTCTTTTATGTTAACTCATTGAAACACCTTGGAATTTATATTCAAGAATTAATTGCAACCAAAGAGAAAACAATAGATTTAAATATGTACCTTATGCTTCTAGATGTTTTAGATGGAGTTTTGATTTTGGATCGAACTTTCTCTGGTCTAATTGGAGTATTTGGTGATTTGGCATATGAATGAACTGCCTTTTCAAAAACTGCTGGATTATCTTCTTGGATTCTCTGGGTTTTGGCCCTAAAATACATGATATGGTTTGCATTTAAGAGATGATTTGAAATCTGAACCCCCAATTCACACTCATGGTACTATGTACATTAAGAGCATGGTAGGCCTATTGTACGGTGCTGTTTGAGTATGGTGCCGTACTGTGTAAATGATGTATTTCAGGCACATGTACAAACTAATCACAGTTGATGCCAGGTGGTAAGGTGATTCCAAAAGGCTCATCAAATAACATAAAGGGCATCATTCAAAATCAGATGAAAAAAGTTTAAAAGGCAAGGCAAAACTTAAAACCAAAGATGATATTACCCTTCTATGGAACAACATTTTCAGATTTAGTCGAAAAATATTTTCTGTAAAGTTTTGATGAGGCAGTTGCCTTGCATGCCTCACACACTGTTATACAATGCAAAGTATTCAATGATTATTACTTACAAAGGGTGTTCTCTTTCATGTCTCTGCATTAAAGGACTCTGGGGACCAGTGGCTATTTCAGCTAGTTCCTCAAGCCAGTTATGACTCCCCTGACTTTGACTATCCTGGGACTGAATATTATGGGGACTTCCTAAGCCAGGACCAACTGGACTGCTATGACTATGAGCATTTACATCATGTTTTTTATAGTTGAGGGCACTAAATGTTTGTGGATCATAATGAAACGTTTCCACATCCCCAGACATATGAAAATGAGATGAAGGCTCTGTGGTGACAGTTTCTGTGGGGCCATCTATGACATCATAATGAAGATGGGAAGGTGAAAGATGATGTCTGTCCATTTTTGGTAAATCTTGATCAGAATCAGAATCTGAAAGTGAAAAGTTCATATTAAGAAAGTACATTATATAACAGTACATGTTTTGTTTGACATTTGATTATAGTTTCTTGATAAAACAGTGATAAGTATTTAAGACAATTATTAAGGAAATGTTGTTTTCCATATAATGAGAATTGTTACATTGTCGTATTGACATCACTGATAATACACTCCTTCTAGGATCATATAAGATTTCTAAAAAGAAATCAAACACTTTCACTTGTCATTACTGATGATACATGTACTTGCATTTTTTGAATTTGCTGTCAAGAAAACATGATTTTTCTAGGTGTTAATAACTATTCGAACATGACTGTATTCACGCCTTGTATAAACTGTAAACAAAGTCAACATTTTACCTGGGTATATTCGCGAAGTATAGTATACCCCTGGTAATACGTGTAATGTGTGACATCATAACGGCGGGTCATAGTAATGGAGGACCATAATATATATTCAAAACATTTTGGTGAATTTTCATGTTCGAATCTTAATATAGACTTCAGAGCAGGGGCAATATCATCGAATACACCCCTTAGGGCTAGGCACAAAAGCTAGAGTTGTTTGGGATACAAAAAACATTTGTGCCTAGCCCTGCGGGGTGTATTCGACAATTTAACCCCTGCTTTTCAGTCTATATTTCTTAATTAATATACCTGGTAGTCCTTCTTCATCGCATTCTAGCGATATAAGGTTGGTCACTGCTTTAGGTTTGGCTGAGATGTAATTCATCTGATGTGAAGGACTTGAATCATCACACTTTGTCTTCTCCAAGTGATATTTAAGACCATTGGCACTAGAATCATACAGAGACATCATATGTACATAAATGTAAGAGAACATGGGGTGAATATACTTAAGTTAACTGTGATGCCATTCAACATATCAGAAAACTAGATATAACAAAAATCTAAATGAGTGAGGGAAACTTTGACTAACATTAAGGCTGATCTCTAGTTACTAAACCTGACAGGTTAACTGTGTGTGGGAGCATTATAAATACATGTCAGATAAAATCTGGGAAATCTAAATAATATAAGCAGAGTATGGAGTCAAATGCATGAGTTTATATTTACCTTTTAAACGTTTTCTGACATCTATGGCATTCATATGGTCTCTCGACACTGTTGTGTGTGCGCATGTGATATCTCAGTCCAGGGGAGCTTGTTAACACCTTATTGCAACCATCCAAAGGACAATGAAGAAGCTTTGCGGGGCTTATACCACTCTCCCCATGGCTGCGTAGGAATTCAGCCATCTTCTCTGTTTTTACATGAGGTCTTTTCTGAAATAAATAAAAGTAAATGTAGTCTAATGATTGATGAAGGGTACACCTACAATAATATTTGTGAAGAAGTCCATGGAATTATAGTCTTTAAGGCATAAGCTAGCCTATGAGGCTTAAAGTTTTTACAATGCAGGCCCTAGATTGGCAAAGATGAAGTAAAAATGGGACAGTATAATGTCATCTTGACTTCATGTAATTTGTATCAAATATGCATTTAATGAAGAAATTTCTAACATTGATCTCATAAGAATATTTTAGGTTGCTGCCATAACATAGCCTCAAATGACCTTGCAAAGTGTAAGCAGAGAAAAGGAAAGTAGACTGTCCTCACTTCAAATGAAAAATTAGCTGCCAAAACCTTATTCAAAATAAATCTTTGTATGAAAAGTTTGATCTTCAATTATTTATCTTTCAGAATAACATTATGATTGATTGCATACAAATATTCTTCTTGGACAAAAAGTCACTTCTTTCATACCTATTTTGAACCAGATTTGCAATAAAAAATACAACTCATAGTAAAAACTTTATGACAAAAACAAAAGAGGTTTCTAGCCTATCGATGGAACAATATGCAATATAAAATGGACCATTGGTAGAATTCATATTTTTCAATGATGAGCACATGGTGTCACCTTGAGATTATCGTTTCTGATTGAGTTATTTTGACTTTATTTATCAATAAAAATTTAACCTACCTCAACTGACGCCATTATTTCCAAAGTTTAGCTTTGTTGACCTACTTATGATTAGATTTAATACCACGTGATCAAATTTGAAGATTTTCATTGGATATTGAAAAAGATGAATATGAATATGCATTAGCAAACACCTGTAAAACACTGGACTGAAGAACATTGCCTAATGGCCACTAGAAGAGAGTGTAGCTAGGATGAAAATCGAAGAGCATATCTTCATGATGTGCTAAAAACTGCAAGGGAAGTATAAGCTAGACCGTAAACACTTTTCCGCAAAGGTTTCAGATTCTATCAATAGTTCTGTATCAACCATTATACAACGAGTGAACTCTTAACCAGTGATAAACATATCGGTCACGTGATATTCAAAATGGCGAACGTTCCGAATCAGTCAACGTTGGCATTTTTTGAGGTTTTAGGGATTTTCCTTGGACTGTCGGGCTGTTTACTATTGAAAGTCACACACGTTCAGAATGGACCATATATGGACGAAATTTTTCATATTGGACAAGTCACAAAATACTGCAAGGGTTTGTTTGAAGAGGTAAAGTGATTTTTTCAAAATAACATCTGCAGTGCAGTGCAGCTGCCTATAGTATCACAGTGTCAATATGACCACAAACTTCAAGAGGAGGGAAACCCCAGAGCTCAGAGATAACCTCAAAATTACCACTTACGTACCACCTTCGTTTGTCACAAAATTGCCACCATTTAGTTTTTAATTGACCACATACGTAATGACCACATACATGTACACCGTCAATCATCAATGTAAACTTATAACTTGTACATCATATCTTTCTTTGTCTTGACGTCAAGAAATAACAAGTTACAGGGTCCTAATTATTGTACGGTCCTAATGGTAGCACGATTGTCCTAAATATTTAAAGAGATCGAGTCGTCCAGATTTCTATTGTGGACAATCAGTAACATAGGCCCCGGGAACATGTATAAACATACATGACCACATACATGTACACCGTCAATCATCAATGATGTAAACTTATAACTTGTACATCATATCTTTCTTTGTCTTGACGTCAAGAAAGAAATAACAAGTTACAGGGTCCTAATTATTGCACAGTCCTAATGGTAGCACGATTGTCCTAAATATTTAAAGAGATCGAGTCGTCCAGATTTCTATTGTGGACAATCAGTAACATAGGCCCCGGGAACATGTATAAACATACGTGACCACATACATGTACACCGTCAATCATCAATGATGTAAACTTATAACTTGTACATCATATCTTTCTTTGTCTTGACGTCAAGAAAGAAATAACAAGTTACAGGGTCCTAATTATTGCACAGTCCTAATGGTAGCACGATTGTCCTAAATATTTAAAGAGATCGAGTCGTCCAGATTTCTATTGTGGACAATCAGTAACATAGGCCCCGGGAACATGTATAAAATAGCGAGTCGACATCTGTATTACTACTTCTTAATACAGATGTCGACTCGCTATTTTATACATGTTCCCGGGGCCTATGATCGGTAATGTGCCAATATAATTGCTCATAAAACATCTTATCTACACTTAGTGTACTAAATGTATAATAACATTGAAAAATAAATTTGATATTTATTGGCAAAATAAATAACCGGAGGATATCGTAATGATATACTCCCGGCAGAGGATATCGTGACGATATACTCCGGAAAACCAATATGCGGAGGATATTGTGACGATATACTCCGCTTGTTGATTTCCCGCCAAATTGACTCTATTTGGCATGGAATTCATTTTGCAATGATATTATACATTTAGTACACTCCTTGTAAGTGTAGGCTAATAAGAACATCCTGTGATTTTTTTCAGAATATCATTTTAATCTACTCGTCATATTGATATATGCACTTGTTCGCTTTGCTCTCTCGTGCAGATATCAATATCACCTCGTAAATAAAAATGATATTCCTTAAAATCATAGGATATCCTATAAATATCTACCTTAGATATATCTTGAGACCAAATCATAAACACGATATCGACAATATACTGAGGATATCAACAGGACAACCAAAAGAACAACCAACTGTCAGAATTGAACGCAGTAAGTGGAAAACAGAATACAATGTAATCAAGGGGTTACTCTAATTGTGTTTTTAGGAGACCCAATCTCTTTAAAATATGCATCCACCTCTTTATAGTGATATTAGCACCAGCTTTATAGATGATGACACACTGTCTTTGATGACTTACTTTCTGAATCTTGTGACATGGCAAAATATGCTAAGATACAGCAAGACAAGAGACGAATTGAGTCATCTTTGAACTCTGGGGTTTCCCTCCTCTTAACTGTCAATACCGGTCAGTGTCACTACTCATAGTGTCATTCTGTGTAACTTTTCAAGTTGAATATGTATCTCAAGGTCACCATTATCACAAGGAACAAAGCTTGAAAGAGATAAAGTGAAGCCCTCCATCTGACTGTCTCTTTCTTCTGCACGGCCCTAATGTACGGCCATTGTTCATGTGCCATTGAGTCTCTATAAGTTCCTGCTTTACACTCTCGTGGTATTTTATTATAATTTCAGTGGGATCCAAAAATCACAACATTACCAGGATTATACCTGCTTTCATCATCCCTTATGCAGTCACTTTCCTGGTTCTTTGGATATCGCGTAGCAGACCTATGCACTGTCTTCTGGTTAAGAGGAATCAATGTTATCCTGGCTACTGGCAATTTCTGTTTGTTATTTGCCTTGCTGAGAAAACTTCATGGAGGAAACAAGGTACAGTGAATATATACAACATTTAACATTTACAATATATATACTAGGAAGGCTTATAGGTAAGGACCTGAGGATAACATCATTGGTCTCTCTCTTTTTAAGGAATTATAAAATATGAAAAAGATATGAACTTGTACAATAAACATTATTTTATTTTCAGGGGCTATCATCCACATGGTACCTCTTAAACACAGCTACCCTAGCAACATTTCCTGTACTCTACTTCTGCACATTTCTCTATTACACTGACACTGGTTCAACATTCTTCACACTAGCGATGTATCTCATGCATCTCCATGGAAACAGCAAGATGGCCGCTGGTGTAGGAATAGCTGCAATTTTATTTCGACAGACAAATATTATATGGGTGATATTTGTTGCAGGTAAGTCAAAATTTTGAATGTCAGGAATTTATCCCAAGTTTTATTAATTTCCTATCAAACAAATTGGGCAAAACCTGAATTACATAGTGTCTGCATTGGCACTTTTTTGTTATATTTAAATGCATATGGTCTATTAGCCTTGCCCCAAGTCGGTCTCTTTTACTTATCTTGATTTCTATTATGACCGCCTTGTACCAAAGAGAAAGCCACGTGCTTTACCGACAGTTTGTTTATGTCGGTGATTTTGACCAATAGCACGCGATCTTTCAATGTCTAAATATAGGTTACAAACACACGAGGTAATGCTAATGTCGATTTTGCTCCAATCAGCAAGTTAGTATCTGAACCTTTGATAATGGCATTGTGGGAAGTCCTACCTCGCTTTACTATCATAAGCTTTGAAAACTGAAAATGACCCTCGCAAAATTGATAAACGTTTTATTTGCTAAATATAATTGAAAGTAATTTGAATGTATTTTGAATATTGAACCGATTTAATATCAGAGAGTTGATGACTGATCGGTTCACATATAAACACTTATAGTTATGCTGTAAAAAGGATAATGAAAAGTAATTATATTTCTGGTGAATGCGTTTTATTGTAAGGGAGATACCTGGATTTGCAGACTGCAAGCATGCCGCATGGTTGTTATAACTTCACAACCGCATGGCGAACACGTGGATTTATTTATTGATTTTGTATACGACTACCGCTATTGGCTAATGCTATAGCGCACGCGTCATAGTTGGTGCATAATTTATCATAATAACAGTGGAGACCTATCGGATTACACAAGGCGGTAATAATTCAAGATCAGATAAAGTAAAAAATACCGACTTGTGGCAAGGCTAATGGTCTATGGGTATAGATGTTCTGCTAAAATGCTATTTTCATGATCCCTACTGGTTTTAAGATGGTCTCTAGTCCAACCTAGGTGATGTGATATGCATGTAATCAAGTTACGATAAGACAATCCTATCAAAAATAAATCAATTTTGTACCACAAGTTTTGTAAGGTGTTGTTATTGTAGAAATAGAGGAGAATTATATGAAATTGCAGGCCCGTAGCCAGGATTTGCCAAGGGAGGGGGGGGGGGCTCAGTATTCAAAAATTTCCAGGGGGGTTCATATTTGACAATTTTGGCCCAAATATGGCTAAAATCACTTGAGAAGTGCTCAAAATGGTGAAAAACTGCATGATTTTGAAAGACACGTTTTCTCATCGCTATTGTGAAAATTATTTCACTCTAGTGATCGTTATAGCTACTTAATAAGCAATATTCAAATTGGTTGTGACGTTATTGCCCCCCACGTGATCTGGGCCAATCTGGTTGATCAGTCAATTTTATTACGTTATTTATGACCATTGACAGTTATCTAACATTTCTTTTATAATGGCTATCGTAAGAACTATACGTTGGGCTTACAATGAAGAAAACCACTGCAAGTTGAGAAAACCTATTTCAGTTGCCCTTTAAATGCCATGTTTTCTTCTTGCAGGACTCACTGTAGAGAAGGTCATCAATGATTATATTCAACCTGAGAAGAAAGAAATCACTCAGGAGGACATTCAGAACCCAAAATACATTGGGATAATCCTCCTACGAATCAAAAATGATCTTCAAAACAATAGAACAGGAATAACACAACTCATAATGAATCTCATCAAAGCAGTGTGGATGTACATCATTGTTGGATTGGGATTCACAACATTTGTCATCATCAATAATGGAATTGTTGTTGGTGATCGCAACAATCACGAGGCGTGCTTACACTTTCCTCAAATATTCTACTTTTGTTGTGTGGTGGTAGGATTTTCCATTCCACATTTTCTCAATGCACAAACAATATTAGGATTTTTGAAATTTGTTTTGAAGCATCCATTTGTGACGATTTTAGGAAGTGGTTTATGCTTTTTAGGAGTTCATTTTTTCACATATGAACACAAGTTTCTACTGGCAGACAATAGGCATTATACATTTTATATATGGGCAAGAATCTTTAGAAGACATTGGCTGATACCGTATATGTTGATCCCAGGCTATGTATTTGCCATATGGACTGTTAGCTCATTTTTGAAATGCAAAGGTATTTTATGGAAACTAGTTTTCCTAGTATGTCTTGTTACTGCTACTGTACCTCAAAAGCTGCTCGAATTTAGATACTTTATTATCCCATATTTGATCTTTAGACTGAACATGAAGCCTTCCTCTTCCTTCCAAACCTTTTTGGAGTTTTTGTTGTATTTTGTTGTGAATGCATTGACTTTATACATGTTTCTACAAAAGCCATTTAGTTGGCCAAACACAGACGGAGTCCAGAGATTTATGTGGTGATGTTGCATACATTAATGGATAGTGTAATTAATAGACCACTATGATGAAAATACACCCGTTGTATTTAGGGATACTGTTGTTATGCATTTACAAGAAAATATTTTCTCACCAAAATATTTATCACTTTTAAATTGTTTCCTCATCTTTGACATTTTTGAGCATATTTTTCAAAATATACAGTAATCCTGTTGCTAGGTGTTCACTGCAGATAGGGTAATTTATTGATACAGAAGTCAATCATGTTAATATAGAGAATGTGCAGAGGAAGGGTGTCCACTCAAGACAGGTGCTCACTAGAGAGAGGTGTTCACTAAGACAGGTTTTACTGTAATACATTCACTGGCATATATCTGGGTTTTTTGGGTAATTAAAACACTTTATTAGCATTTTAGCACAAAACTAGATTCTAGACATGATCATTCTGGACTCAATATGACAGCAACAAATTAAAATGCATCTGTATTATTCTGTACGTATACCAATTGAAACATGACTTCATCAGGTACATTGAATGCCATAGTAAATCCCCTTGAAAAAAACAAATTGGCAGATAAGGCCATAAGAAGTAGATTCTTTGTTTTGCGTCCTGGCAAATTCCAAATCATGCAAGGGTACAAGGAAAACAAACACAGACCCAAGAAAAAACACAAACATACATTTTATGGGCATAAAAAGGGATGACATACGAATTTGCAGTGATTACAAACACATATCTATACATTTTTATATACAATATATTTAAACATAGGTATTATTCAAGGGTAAAAATAAGAATGAATGCCAAAGTCATCAATACAATGTCAACTTTGACGCACGCCAAATTATCCACCATTTCGTCTGATTCTGATTGATCAAGATGCGATGGTACTTTCAGACCCTAGTGATTGCTATTTGTATGTGTTTGTTTTTTCTGATTTACTCCAAATCGTGCAAGCAAGGGGACGCAAAACAAAGAATCTACTTCTTATGGCCTAAGTTCAGTTCTACATGTATGTTTTAGACATTCTAACTTCAATGAATTATGGAATTTAATTCGATTCAAGACCTATGCATGCCCCAGAACTCAAGAATTCTACTCACACATGGTTATGTTTAGGTGTTGGTGTCACACTGTATGACAATCTTGGAAAATTAAAAGATGTGTTTTTGCTATTCTAAAATAGGAATTTGCCAAATTGAATGTGTAAATTGTGTATTTTCATTAAATGTAGTAGGACTGATCCAGGGGCGGATCTGGGAACCAACAAGGGGGAGGGGCCCAAAATTCAGGTCAGAAAAAAGAACGTCTGCGCATGCGCAGAAAAAAAATTTGGGCCCCTAAAACCTGAAAGTGGGCCCAAATTTTGAAATTTGAGGCCCATTTTCTTCAAAATTTGGCCTGAAATTAAAAAATAAGGCCTCAAAAGGCCCAGTAATGACCAAAGAGGCCGACTTTTTGGGGCCCGAAGGCCTTTTTTGGCCCCAAATTTTTTTTGGCCCCAATTTCTTTTTCTGGGCCCACCCAAGGGGGGGGGGGGGGCCCGGGCCCCCAGGCCCCCCCCCCTAATCCGCCAGTGTGATCTGTGAAACATAGACAATACTTCTGAAAATGTATAAACCGACATTGCTTAGAATCTCATTTTCAATCTTGTCAGTGTTTTAAATAATGTTAGATTCTATGTAAAATTTAATAAATATATTATTAAAAATACGTGCAGCTGTGTATTTAATTTTTAAATTAACATAGGAGCAATGCTGAGAACAAACAACTTGCACCACAGTACATCTCAAGCACATTGCTAAAAATACTTACATTGTATTTAGAACCAGGTTTTGAGACACGTAGAACAATTTTGTCAAGTATTATAATTTTACTTTCAAAATGTTGCAATTGGTTTGGTTTTGTTCGTTGATGGTTGTTGCAGTTAAAAGTAAGTTTTTTGTCAACAATTAATTGTAAGATTAGAAGATTTGTTCACAATGAAGATGAAGCGTTTGATATTTCAATAAATAGAAAAATACGTTTTAGAGAATGATACATCAGTGCCATTTTCAATAGATTTTACTCTTAACATTGCCATATTTTAGGAAATTAAACTGAATCACAATTTGAAATAGAGCTGACAAAAAGTTTTAAAAAGCAAGCCCAATATCCTGTTTAAGAACCCCTATTCTTACTATTGAAAATGGATTCTTGCAATACTGTCCAACATGAATTTGCTTGTTGAGACTCAATCAACTTAAGTTCTAAGAAAATGAGGATTTCACCAAGAGTGCCATTGACTTAACATGGAGATGCTAATTCAATTGACTTTTATCCTGCATATCTAAGTAAAGTGTGAAAGTGGCAAAAAGTTCTCCAATTTGTTTAATAAAGAATTCTATATTTTAATGTTGTTCCTTTAGGCCAAGAAGCCTGTCCCTCAGAGTGTGTCAGTTTCTGCCAGGAGGATGATGACTATTCTGGTGGTACTACCCAGTGTGTCCTAAATGTGTCGGGAGAATCTGCGTGCTCAAATGTAGATGGGGCCATTTTTGATGGTTTGTGTCTCCCTGATGATGCAAATGATGAAAACATATACAATTGTTGTTTCGTAGATGGACCTTAATCAATAAATCAAATGTGTGTTCCCTGACACTGGTTGTGTTTTGATTTAATATATAAAACACAATATTCTGTACACATACATGTAGCAGATTTACTGTTTTGTATAGCTATCTCATCAAGTGCATGTGAATGAACATGTGCATGGTGGATATTTTAATGATCTTATGTAGCATTTAAAGTTTCTGTGAGTCATCCACACAGAAGACGATACAAATTTTGACAAAATTTGAATCAATTCCATTGGGAGCAAAAATAGGTGGTCAAATTCAGAGTATCCATAATGTTTCCAAAGTCCCCTACTCCCTATGACAGCAAAGAATTGACAGTTCAAAATGAATTACAATAAGAACAACATATTCAGAAGTGGGATTGAACTGAATAATCAAACGGGCCATGGGTATTATTGTCTCAAATAATTCAGCTCTGACCCGGGAACTCTGCCAACGACTATTTTTAAATTCCCGGGAATTTTCGTCACATTTTGTGGACGTTTCGTTCATTGTGTTCCGTTTATTGTGTTTCGTCCAGTGCTTTCTAAAATGAAAAAAAACATTTTTAAAAACAGGCTAAAGTAGAGGAATATGAAGCCGAGCTACAGCAATCTGACAATTGGAGATTAAAAAGACGTTCATTAGTTGTGAACTCATTCACTTGAAGCGGGGAGGAAAGGTAACAGTATCCCGAAAGCGACTGAGCCAAACCTTTCGATTCAACAAATTCAAAATCATGAAAAGTCAAGTGAAAATGAATAAATGTTTGGCAAAACCAGTCCATAACCCGGGGTTCCAAAGAGAAGTACATGTACATGGACGTCTAATACGTTCTTCGAACGAGTTAGATATCAATAACAGGACTGGCAACAAGATCCAAGTATTTTTCAAGACCGCCGACTCTCATTGGGCTATTTATCCCTATTGACTCAGTTGTTCATATAAATTTACGTACCCTAGATGCTTTTTAATCGAACTAGATAGAAAATATTGTTTTATAAATTGTTCTAAAAAGCGATTATTATACTAAATATACTTTGAACAGGTCGACTGACAAAAAAGACGGGCTTCTGGTGCAAGGTCACGTGATCTATTCGGGAGGTTCACCATTTAACCAATCAACATCGAGATAAAATTGATGACGTCACCGCAATCGGTCAAGGTCAGGTCAAAAGTAATCCATCTTGCCATTTGCTCAGCCGAATCTTACCAGTCGACAAAAAACAATGAAATCACTTTAAAAATAAAAAATACACTTTAAAATTGAGACTGATTGAATATGGAAAGACTCCATTGAATACAGCTGTACAATTTACAGTCTCCAAGATGAGCTAATTTCGGAGAGATTCGGAAATTAAAAAAGGTAACTTTATATTTTTCATTCGTGTTTCCATGGGCTTTCAATTAAAAGGGTTTTAATGCAACTCTGTGTAATAAACATGAGAACTTCAAAATGAGCAGTGCCATGCTTCCCTTTTTCGTAATATTTGAAAATGTATTATTTAGATATGCATGTTTTAGTATTATTTTGAATAAAAATCAATTTTCAATATAATTAAAGCATAAATTATGTTAAATCTCATGTAAAAGTTAACAAAAAAGACCTATAAGAGTAAGAGGTATCAAAATGTGCTCTTCAAGTATTGCATTTTGGGTAATTATTCAAGAACACATTCCCATAAAAACACAATTTGTGGGATAATGTTCACTTCATTGCCATTATTATGATAAATTCCATTTTTTATTAAATTATCAACATGTATGTGGATAATCATGTTTTTATTTTTGAGTTATTTCTATAAATCATCCATAAAAAGTACAAAATAAGATATTCTTGGAATGTGTACATTCTCCAAGTTTGAAAACCAAAAGGCAATCCTTATGTATGAATAATGGGAAGTTGCCTACCCTTCTAGTTGAAAGCCCATGGTGTTTCCCAACTTCAAGAATTTGGAATCCCAATCTCCTTTTGCCAGAACATTCTCTTCGACTGTGTACGTGTATTTATAGATGATTTTTATCGTTTTTTGTGTAAAAACACTAAAAATGATACAAACCAGATGTAAATAGTTCTCTGTGCGGGGTTTGAGGTGAAGGGGAGGGGTTATTATTCATACAGTAATGGAAACGGTTTCAAATTATAGAATATACATGTACAAACCTGTAGGCCTACAGTTGAAAATTTCAATAAACCTCATCCATCAATAGTTATCACTATGAGCTAAACTCTCTAGTTGAAAGCCCATGGTTTCATGTCTCAAACCAAACGGTCGAAAAATAATTTCCGTTCACTCCTAAGTAGATCTAGCACAATAAATGAATCCAGACACATATACAATGTTTTATATGTCTCTGATGAATCCAAGGCTTCACACCTGCTGTAAATGATGGATAAATTCCTACAAAATCGAACGAATGTCTTCATAGATTGCCATTGTTGAGATCCAAGGTTGATTGGCTCCCAGAATCAACAATATTCTGCCCCATATATGGTATTGTGACCTTTAACCTTATGTTGCATTCTGGAAGCCAATCTTCCTTGCAGCGTAATCTTGCTCCAAAATTACCTCAACATTTGAAGAGTTGGCATTAAAATCACTTAAAAGGAGGGGGAGTTGTTTGTAGAATGAATCGGGGAGTTTTTTGATGCATTTCCCTCATATTTTTAATCCCAAAAAATCAATACACTTTAAAACATTTTATTGTCTATAAGATTACACCATATAATCCCCTAAAATATTTCTCATTTTCAAGGATTATCTATGGATAGATATTTTCATTTTTCAAACTTCAGAGGGCTGGGAATCATTGATAATCAACACTTTTGAATAATATAAAAGCTGTTTTAATAGGTTTCATGTATGCCAATAGTTTCTCAAATTGTGTAAACTGTACACATTCCTTAATTCCTAGAATTTTCTCTTTGAGGAATTTAAAAAAGCAACATTTTTCAATATGGTTAATGTATAAAAAGATTTGGATATTACATAATTGATCTCCAAAAATAACAAAATAACATGGATTATGAGATATAATGGATCATAACAAATGGATTATGAGATAATCCCTTCCTTATTTTGTTATTTTTTTCTTTTTGGAGATCAATTATGTAATGTCCCCCAATCTTTTTGTACATTTACCATAATAATAATTTACCATAATTCACCATTTGCAAAATTGGTGATGATGGGTGGATTAATGACAGCTTAGGAGATAATCCAATCGACTTTACTTTCATTCTATCGCCCCTTATTGAAGATAATATATTGGCCAAACGCATTTGTTTTTGTGGTCAAATAATTATTAGAACTTAAGTAAAAGCTGTCTAAAAAAGCTTGCAATAAAGTACCTTCCCCTTTATTGTTTTAATATACAGGTATTCCATAATGTAACAAGATAATGCTATTTCTTACAATAGAGTTTATCATTAACCACAATATCAGGCTTTGATAACATGCGTAATAATGAGTAAACAAAAGTTTAAGTGTGTCACTCCTGTACATAGAATCTTTACTTAAACATTTATTCCAGATTGTTCCCTCTAAATATATTGAAAATGCCTATTTTTCAGACTTACTGAAATATCAATGTTGACCTACCTTTCATGTTGACCCTTAAAATGTAGAACATGTTATTTTCACTCTTGTCACTTTGTGTATTTAAGGTTAACAAGTGCAAGGGGACATTTTACAATAAATGTATATGTCTCAGAAATAGCACTACAAGGTCAAACTCTGTAGACTATTCATATATAGGCCTGCCATCACGTCTTAATGTACAGATCTTTTCAGATGAGGTCTCAATACTTGAGGAAGCTATTCAGCTACTCCAGGCTATCCAGGGGCAGGGTAGAACACTTAATCCAGACTGGCAATGGCTCATGTGTGGTTAGTAGCACACGAATCACCGGATTGGTTAGTATTGCACTTACACGGCAACTCAGCTCGACGGGCTTTACGAAACACGATGCTTATATTGATGGTAAATGGATTCCTGCAGACAATGGGGACAGATTTAAAGGTAAGTGTTAAACTTTTACAGGAAGCTTCAGGTCTAAATGGTTGCTTAATATTGCAGGATTAATTTTAATTTGTGCAAATTTTAATTTTGAATTTCTTTAAAAGCAAACCTTTGTTTTTGATACACTTAAAGCAGATATGAAATGGTATTTTTAACCTAAAGGAATCATTATAATTTTTTGATAAATGTATTTGGACATGTTTTCTCATCAGTAGTGTGAAAATTATTTCACTCTAACGATCGTTATGGCTGCTTAATAAGCAATATTCAAATTGGTTGTGACGTTATTGGCCCCCACGTGATCTCCCCACGTGGCCCCCGTTTTGGTCCATTAGATCATGATGTCATAATGCCAAAATGTTTTGTTATTTGTTTACACAATAAACCTATTGTTGCCGTGACGTTGTGATTACTAAGGAACCAATAAACCAAAGCTATATTTTGTATATGACGTTACCAATCACATGGGGGCCAATTTGATTGATCAGTTAGTTTTATTTCGTTATCTATGACCGTAAGCAGTTATCTAACATTTATTTTAAAATGGCTATCGCAAGAACTCTACGTTGGGCTTACAATGGAGAAAACCGCATTTTTGTAGCTGCAAGTTGAGAAAAGCTATTTCAGTTGTCCTTTAAATACATCTTCATGTATGTTCAGCCACTCTAGAATGTCAAAAATGTAATTAGTCAAATGCAGTTTGATCTTATATTAAAGAAAGAGCTAAAAAAAGTAACTATTAACCAGATTGTATTGTTTTATGTTAATATCACTCCCCACTTGGTGAAATTCTGATGAAAAGATCCTTTATGTGATTTTATTTCAGTGACCAACCCAGCAACTGGTGAAGTGATCAGTCATGTACCTAACATGGGTGAAATTGAGGCCACTAGAGCAATAGAGAGAGCAGGAGAGGCCTTCCAAACATGGAGGAAATATACTGGCAAGGTAACAAAATTAGAATAAAACATTTACAATGTTCTCCACAGGATAGCAAAGTAGGTGCAAAATTCTCATTTTCACAAAGCAGATCGAAACTGGTCAAATTTGCCCATTTTTCATGATTCTTCTCATTTTCATTGTGGGTGCAAATGGATTTTCAGGTGGGTGTAAGCCTGTTTTTAAGATCTCAGGTGGGTGCTGCGCCCACTTGCTTTAATGCTGGGGAGATCCCGGATTTATAATGCTATAAACAGATAAAAGTAACTTTTTATTCACCTATGCTTAATTCAATGACGATTGGTTCAATAAGCTTTCCTGGCAATGGTTTCTGGGTGTTTTCTAATGATTTAAAGGCCCTGGCTGCTTAAAGCTTTAATCAATTAAGCTTATATTGCAAATTTACCCAATGCTATCAAAATGTTATTGGTGAAACTTTTTTTGAAGGATTTTTGATTAAAAACTTGTAAAAAAGACTTTGCACTGGGCCTTTATTTGTTATTTTAAGATGGTGTGACAAACATAATCTGAGAAAAAATGATAAATATGCTAGCACTAAACAAATACTGTGATATACCTACGATAGGTGTAAACTGCCTTATTCAGAATTAAAAAAGAAAATCAGAAATGTGTCAAAGTCATGGAAATCAAATTTCATAAACATTGTTATTGAGCATCCTGAATAAAAAAGTCTGGAAAAAGGGAGAACATTAAAATCTTCTTTCCATCACCCTGTGTATTCCAATATTGTTATTTTACATTGTTTTTGAAGGAACGAAGCAGTATATTATACAAATGGCACAGTCTTATAGTGGAACACCATATGGAGCTTGCAAGGTTATTGACCACTGAAAATGTAAGTCCATGTAAAGTAACATGAAAAATATGTCTATTGTGTTCATTAAATATACTGACAATCAGCTATATAAGAAATAGTCACGCTAAAATCACTCTTTGACATCAACTGAAAGACAGAAAAGGGTAGAGAGTTAAAAGTATTTTCAATCACAAAAATCTCTAATACCATGAGAATCTAATATCTGGAAAATATTTGAGAAACAGTAGAATATTCAAAATTCAATTAATTCAGTCAAATTTATTTTGTTAGGGTAAGCCACTGTCTGATGCCACAACAGAGACTTTGTATGGGGCTTCCTTCTTGGAATGGTTCTCTGGAGAGGCAAGGAGAATGTATGGTGACGTCATCCCTACTCCTGCTGCAAACAAACGAATACTTGCCATCAAACAACCAATAGGTGTCGCTTCTTTGATATGCCCAGTAAGTGAGTAATTTGTTTACAGTCATGTATGAATAAGTTCAGGTAGTGAGTAATTTGTTTACAGTAATGTATGAATAAGTTCAGGAAGTGAGTAATTTGTTTACAGTAATGTATGAATAAGTTCAGGAAGTGAGTAATTTGTTTACAGTAATGTATGAATAAGTTCAGGAAGTGAGTAATTTATTTACTGTAATGCATGATCAGTGAGTGAAAAATTCATTAAATAAGTTCAGTAAGTGAGTTATGCATAAATATGAGTGAGTAATACTTAAATAAGTTCAGTGAGTGAGTAATGTATGAACTCCAGTTATCTAGTAAATGAGTAATACATAGATATGTCCAGTGAGTGAGTCAAGCTATGAGTATTGGATTTTGATTCAATATATATTTTGCAAAACTGCATTTCCTTCTTTCACTGTTGTTACCATGTAGTGATTCTTCTATTTTCTAGTGGAATTTCCCTGTTGCCATGGTGACAAGGAAGGCTGGAGCAGCTCTAGCTGCTGGGTGTAGTATTGTGATAAAACCTGCTGAAGACACTCCATTGTGCTCCCTGGCACTCACTGAGGTACATGTAGGATAACAAAATATCAATCCGACTCTCCAAAAACCATGGAATGGAACGTTACCCCAACACATATTTTAAAATGTCGACTAATTTTCTGAAAAGAGGGTCTTGTTTTTCTCATTTTAATGCTAACTTACCTCTTAAAAACACATTATTAGGTATTTTAATGAAATATGTTGTATTTGTAGTCAGAGTATAGTCAAGATCAAAGATATAGCTGTCTAATAATTTGCCATACCATTTCATGTTTTCCTAGCTTGCGGAGGAAGCTGGTGTCCCACCTGGTGTTCTTAATGTGGTGACATGCTCCCGGGAGAATGCTCCATCTGTAGGGAAAGTCATGTGTGAACATCCTCTTGTAGGAGCAGTCTCGTTTACTGGCTCAACTGATGTAGGGAAGGTGTGTGTCATTTTGAATCTGAAGAGTGCTTAAGTACAGGGTGTTTCATATGAATGTACCCCCCTCTAAACTCATACATCTAGCATTACCACTCTATCATGTTAAATATCATTTTGTGCCAAGCTAATTATGAAATTCATATCATTGTATCCAGGATGTTTTTTCAGCTAAATCCTTATTTACCAGTATTGGTCAACATACATCGAAAGACCTTTCCAAAAAACCCTGCCACGTGCCACCCCTTGACAAATCAGAGAAACTATGATACATTGGCTAAATTGATGATGTCATTGGTAGTAGGTAAAAATCTGACCATGCAAAAACAAGATTCACTTTTTGCTAATTTTGAAAAAATACAACCCATGACATTGAGAACATCAATCTACGAGCCAATATATCAAAGCTTCTTTCGACCAAAAGGTGGCAGGTTTATTGGCAAGGCCTATGTAATTTTCAGATTTTCAACATAGTGCGAAACCAAGTTGCTCAATTGCAAGGGAGATCACTGACTTGTTTTTCAATATTGATACTCGTTATTAAATGTTGTAGATCCTATTGGAGCAGTCTGCAAAAGGAGTTAAGAAATGTTCAATGGAGCTTGGTGGCAATGCAGCATTTATTGTCTTCAACTCAGCTAAAGTGGACAAAGCCGTAGCTGCTGCTGTGGCCAGTAAATTTCGCTGCAGTGGTCAGGTACTATATAGTGTGTTTAATGTAAAGTCCTCTAGACCTTTAAACATCAGGGAAATGTATTTATTTTCCAGCACCTGGAAACAGCAATTTGAAATTCAGCCAAAATGGCCTAATCAAGGAATAATGAAAAAATAAAATACATCAAATAATCAAGGAATTTTGTATTGGAGCTGAAATAAGTAAAATGTAACGCTTTTAGATGGGAAGTTCAAATAGGACAAGGCATTGACATGCAAAATGTCAACACCTGCCATTTGTTACAGATGCTGACCGCGGCACACCGAACACCAACAACCTTCCACGAAATGTTAGAGACTATAACAATCTGTAAATAATATTTTCCAGACATGTGTGTGTACCAATCGCATCCTGGTCCAAGATGGTGTCTATGAGGAATTTGTTGCCAAGTTCACCAATGCCGTAGAGGCATTAGCAATGGGGAATGGTCTGGATGAGGGGATCAACCTGGGTCCTGTTATTAACCAGAGAGCTGTAGAAAAGGTGTAACCTTTACAGAAAATATTGTCAAATTGTTATGTTTGGCGTGAAATAACTAATTTATCCTAGAGTTGACTCTCATTCAACAGCGCTTTACCAAAGGGATCTAATTTTACATATTATATTGAATTAACTGCCAAAAATACATTTTTATTGTTGCTTTGTCTGGAGTAATTTATTATTGGGATAGTGAAACCTATAGTCTGTGAATATCTTCATCATTTTGATGATAGATTTGCAGATTATTATTACAAGATGAGCTTCATGTTTTATGCAATCACTCAATGTACATTTATGTTGTGCCCAATAGGTGGAGAGACTGGTCAATGATGCTGTCTCTAAAGGATCTATGGTGAAAACTGGGGGGAAAAGGCATAAAAAAGGTGGGAATTTCTATGAAGCAACAGTCCTTACCAATATCAACGAAACCATGGAGATTTCACGCGAGGAGATATTTGGTCCAGTGGCTCCAATTATTAGGTGAGTGTAAAAACAAGTATGGAATAACAATGTGGTTTCTTTTGAAAGTCAGAAACAAGCAGAAGAAAATAAAGTTATCATTCAAGACTGGCATTTTGATGCTTAGACATGTATCAAACATTTTCTGTGTTGGTAGATATCATGTTCAAGATTGAGATTATTCCGAGGATTATATATCATAGAGTGCCAGTGCTCAAAGAATAACCCCTATACTCTTGACTTAAATTGTGAAAACATTTGAGATGCATCACACTTAATCTACCATTAAATGCCACCATGTGATTAACCTTGAAAATTGTGTACCTGTAGGTTCCAAACAGAAGAAGAGGCAGTTAGGGTGGCCAACTCTACATCATATGGATTAGCAGGTAAGATAAATATGGTATGGTAAATCAAAGTTCCTACATATATGTATAGGTAGGTGTTTCATAAGCTTTGATAGGATACTAGGTCCATTTAGGGGTCAAGTCATTCAATAGGTCAAAATATGGATATCTCTTTTTTGGTGACATAGTGTTATAGTCTCCAACTTTTTTTAATAAGCTATATTAAGATATTGGAATTACTTTTTCTCGAAAAACATTGATCAATTACATTGAAATTAACTTATGTTGAATTAATAGAATCACTCCAAAAAAGTTATATGTACTGTCAGACTGTGATTGTCACTTTCATTTATTTTTCAGGTTATTTTTTCACAGAGGACATGAGCCAGCTGTGGAGAGTGGCTGAGAAACTAGAAGTTGGTATGATAGGTATTAATGATGGACTCATCACAGCTAGTACTGTAGAAGCTCCTCTAGGGGGAGTCAAACAAAGTGGACTTGGACGTGAGGGTTCAAAATATGGTGTGGATGAATTCACAGAGTTGAAATATTTATGTATTGGCGGGATCACGGACTAATGAACAAAAACTATTGAGACTATACTGCAGTAGCTATTTTGGGCTTTTCTCACAAGGATCTCTGTGAGAAAAAATGTCCACTTAGTCAGTTTGAATAAAAAGGGTAATTTATCCCTTCTATGCAGAATAGAAATGTATAAATGGTACACAGTTCATGGGATATAAAGTGTGTCCCTGTCAATCAATTTGTTTTATGATAGCTCAATATGGCCTATATATTATAGGCATCTTTCTTTGTATTCAAGCCCAAAGTTTATATAAGTTTTGCTCAAACGCTGATTTTCAAAATGACAATCAGTTTTTAACATTAAATACAATCAAAATCTAAATGAACCATATTGTTTATATTTAACAAGTAAAGATGAGGAAGCATGGAGTAGAATGGAATATTTGTAAAATAACATACATAGATATATACTTGTTCTTTATCCTTATTTATTCCTTTATAATACACCACACCTTAACAAAGACGACAAATATACATTACTGTTTGTACAGCCAAGTTATCTACATTTTATGTATATTTTTATCATTTTTAATTACTGTAATGTAATGTTTTAAAGTGCAATCCATAATATGTTAGTCTTTGTATAAATAAAATATTGGACTGAAACTGAACTTATGTCATTTATTTCATATGGCATTTGCCTCTTGATATATGGACATTTCAAATTCTTCCGAACATGTCCTGTCCAATCAGATGAGGAGGGCCCATTCCCTGCTCTACATCTCATGATGGTGACGAATCGACGGAGATGTAAAACCTGTCTAAGTGGAACACCTTTGATACCTCTAAAAGTGTTCCACAAGGGAGGTGTTCCACTTACAAAGGTTCATTTAACATAAGTCAATGATCTTCTATCAGAGGTGTTCCAATTTACAGGTTTCATTGCACTATTAAACTGAGAATATTTCAGTCTGAGAAGGCATCCATGTATGCTATTATGGGTCTACCCATTGTGACTAAACAAACCCATTGTGATGCAACAATGATAATAAAAAGGAATGTTATTTGTCATAGTGTTTGCATGTTGCCAACTTTTACATTCCGCAAGAGATGAAAAAGACAAACTATTCTAAAAGCTACGCCTTTCATAAGTCAATATGACGTATGACCCTACCTCGATAACTAATTTTTGATAATGAATTGTAAAAATTGTGATTTACATGATATGCTGGAAAGTACTGTACTATTTAACAATTGTTAACATTGTGAGCTAGTCTAGTTTTAAATAACAGAATTTGGAAATACTTTGTATTTTACACATGGACAGCAAAGGAAGATATTCTTTCAGAAGTATGTTCCAATGATGACTTAATCATGCAAAAAATATCCAAATTATCCCAATCAAATTTTACCAACTTGTGGAATTTTACTATATTGTGGAAATATCACATACATATGCATTTAGTGTTTTCCCTTATACTTGGCCTGTTTGAGCGCAGAAAGTAGTTAAAATTGTTGTTGATAGAAATGATTCCTTTTTAAAAGTTCATTTGGACTCTGTAGCTTTGAGAAAACAAAGAAGGATCTAGCCCAGAGTTCCTGCTATGTACACAATGTGGATCAATCCCAAAATTCCCATTCTATTGTCTCACATAAGGATTGTCCCTTCACACCAATCCAGGCTCTGCAATAGATCCTTCTGAAATCCCAGTTTATAATTGCATTTATTTTTTCTATCATTTTGAAAGCTGTTCAGACAGCCAGTCGAGTCCTTCATATAATCCTTGTCCTTGAGTGGCACATGTGGCCTGGATATACCACTGCAATTAAAAGAAAAAATAATAAATACAAATCACATACATGGCTGTTAATCACTCAATCTACAGAAACTTGTTTCTCTCAACGTCAAAGCTTCAGAATGACCATTACATTGTACTTGTACATGAATTAGAAATCTATGATTCAAATTTATTTTGATCAGAATTACAGACACTGGCTCTTCAAATGGTAAAAGGGAAATGTTATTATGCAATCATTAGTCACAATCCTGTTTTGTTCTTTTACACCCCTTAAATAGTAAAAAATTTACACATAAAGTGTACACTTGTCAACATTTTTCACATAATTTCCATAAATGCAATAGTATAAGACAAGGCATTAACATGACAAAATGTCACCACCGAGTTTTCTCACAATATTATGAGTTTAATCTTAAGTCAGATTTGAATTTTAGATGATTTTGCAAAAATAAATTGGGCAATTTGAAGCAATTTGAAAAAAAGACCTTTTGACCCTAAGAAGGTCATTGAAGGTGAAATCTCAAATCATTAAAGTCAGATTTGAACTTCTGATAACTTGTAGATGACTTTGAAAAAATAAATTGGTCAATTTGAAGCAAGTTAAAAAAGAAACCTTTTGACCTTTTTTGACCTTGAAAGGGTCAATGAAGGTCAAATCTTAAATGTAGTCAGATTTGTACTTCTAAAAACTTGAAGATGATTTTGACAAAAAGTGAAGTCAGTCAAAACAGTATTTGTTAAGTTATTGGTAGTTGTAAGAATGGTAAATGGTAAAATTCTAAAGTTCTTACTGTTCTGCCTCTGAGCGTATTAAGGCCTAGTTTGTCTGTAATCTCTGCTGCTGTCAATGCATTCGGAAGATCCATTTTGTTAGCAAATACAAGCAACACTGCATCTCGTAGTTCATCTTCACCAAGCTAAAATATATGCTCAACCATATATATTCATGTACATGTACACATTGGAAATGGACTGTTTTCATTAACACGGAGATGGGATGAATGGAATGGATTGGACACCAAGCTAGGAAATGGATTGTTTTCATTTCATTGTTTTCAAGCTAAAATATACACACAACCATATATTTTCACGCAATTGGAAATGTTATAGGGAAGATGGACACTGAGATGAAATGAAATAATTTAATGGACACGATGGAGTTGGGATGTTATGGGCACAATATATGGTGGATTCATGGACAATAAATTGATTCATTTATGTAATAATCTAAAAGGATGACTCAAATCACTTTCTCAACATTTCAATTTCAGTTCTGTTTAAGACAATTGTTTCCAATATATGGCAAATGACTAAAATAAAATTATTGTAAAACTGTAACATCAAATAATACCTGAAAATGGGAGTTTACATTCAAATATGAACATTTTTGGCCCACCCTGTATACGTACAATTATGTACATGACTCAGTGATCTCCCCTGCATTAGAGCAAGTGGGTGCAGCATCCACATGAAATTTGTAAAAACAGGCTTGCACCCACCTGAAAATCCATTTGAACCCACTTGAAAATGAGAAGAATCATGAGAAATTGGCATATTTTGACCAATTTTGGTCTGAATTGTAAAGATGGGAATATTCCACTCACTTGAAAAAAACTTCTGTGGAGAACACTGTTACTTGTTCAAAGTGAATATAAAATTCAAAGTTAACTAACCATTTTTGTTAGTTCATCTTTCGCCTCTGCCATTCTCTCCTTGTCATTGCTATCTACCACAAATATTAAACCCTGAAACACACAACAACCACATGGATATTATGAATATAGCTGAACACTGCACATTGATTTTTCATTTTAAAAAATTGATTTCAATTTTCAAGAATTGTATAGTTTTACAACTAGGGCCCTCTATCTGGTCACTGGTAAGATTATTTGGCTGAGCATACAGTTAGTGTATCATGATCTAACATTTTCCATGTAAAATTATAGTGAATAATTCCCAAATTGAGACTGCAATGTGATATTTGCTTGCACATTATTAGAGAAAAGTATTAATGTCTAGTCACCCTATCCACCACTCATTTATTTATTTCAATCCTGTGACCATATATTTGTATTCAAATGTATTTGAATGCAGCTATTGATGTTTTAACACACAGATACCACTTGAACTGATTACTTACTAAATGAATAAGACTGAATTAAAAAAATAAATAAATAAAATTCCTGCCTGCATTTATGATACCCTTTGTGATCCCTGCATGTTCTGATCACTGAAGTAAGAAAATGTAATTACCTGTGTGTTTGTGAAGTAGTGTCTCCACAAGGGTCTGATTTTGTCCTGGCCACCAACATCCCACACAGTAAAACTGATGTTTTTGTACTCTACCGTTTCTACATTAAAACCTGAAAATAACAAAAGCAAGCAAAATGTATTTTTATTAGGGTCTACCTAGCTAGTACTATTGTAACTTAAAGAGTTTACACTAGCTACTATAGTGACTTTGGTTTACACTAGCTACTATTGTAGCTTAGGATTTCTACTAGCTCCTATTGTTACTTAGGGTTAACACTGGCTACTATAATGTAACTTAGGGTTAACACTGGCTACTATAATGTAACTTAGGGTTATCACTGGCGACTATAATGTAACTTAGGGTTAACACTGGCTACAATAATGTAACTTAAGGTTAACACTGGCTACTATAATATAACTTAAGGTTAACACTGGCTTCTATAATGTAACTTAGGGTTAACACTGGCTATTGTAATAATGTAATTTAGAGTTAACACTGGCAACAAATACTACATATGTATATTATATGTAACTTACCTATAGTAGGTATAGTTGTAACAATTTCTCCTAGTTTCAGTTTGTATAAGATTGTAGTTTTACCAGCTGCATCCAAACCAACTGAAAATATCCAACATATTAGTTATGACTGATTATGACACATTGGTGGTATTAAGTAGTCGTAGACTAACTGTAGGGGCTGTCAATATCAGCAGGCAATTCTCTGATTATATGTTCAAAAACCACCTGTTGTTTTAAAGAATTTTTCTTTGTTAAAATTATAATTTTGCATTTTGTTTTCATTTGTTTCGCTGGTAGTCAGATATCTGATGAAACCCCTATGATATTGACAGCAATTTCAACCCCACTCATCCGTCTAATAATTCTGTAAGGAAGCAAGGGGTTATAAGTATATTATTTTTTTATTTTCTTTATTTACTCATGGGTTTTCAAGAGAAAGCCCATGATTTACTCAAATAAATGCTTCACAGATTAATCTTTATAAATTATTATTGGACTTCAAATAAAAGTGACTGTTACACAAATAATATAACCAAAGCTTTTGTGCCTAGCCCTAAGGTATTTATTACTCGATATAATACCTGATCTGAGGTCTATATTACAATTGGAACATGAAATCTCACCAAGATTTTGCAAAATTGTCACTTCATTTTCCTACTTCCAGTTTACCATTTAGCACTGAAGGAAAGACTTGGTACAGACCAGGTATATCAATATAAATAATCAATCAATAAATACCGGGTGAAATATTGACTTTGTTCACAGTTCATACTGTAATGACCCTTGGGCACATTCCTGGGGGAGCTGTAGTATACCGAGCCAGATACTAGACTCGAAAGAGAGTGTGCTATTATCAATGCCCCGTACGGGAATCGAACCCAGGACCTTCCGCTCTCGAGTCAGACGCTTTCCCCTGAGCCATAAGGGCTAGCCACTACAGCGGAGACAGTAGTAGCGACTTGTTATCGAAGGTCATTACAATACTATAGGCATGTATACTGTCATGTTCGAATGTCTCATGGGGGTTTTCAAACATTAAAACAAACCATCACCCAAATGGATTAGCGCCTTGGCAAAATTATTAGGACTAGTTATTTCTAACATTCTGCTTCAAGGAGAATTGGCTCACAGAGTGCAACATCGATATTTTAGCCATAAATGGGGATGTCGCCATTTTGTTCACATCAACATTTGAATCGTGAATGTTGCTCATATTTCTGAACGAAAAAATCTAAACCTACATCAAATTATAGGGAGTCAGGTTACTTTTTGAGATATCAGCGTCTGTTTATTGTATTTGCCGGGGTACCGACAATTGTCGGCACTCTATCGTCAACTAGTAGTGCCAGATAGAGAACCGACAATTGTCGGTACGCAAGTGGCTGCTACGTGTTTTTGCTAGAGAGCCGACAATTTCATAAATAAATGCACTACTTTTACTTTTAGAAATAACCTCATCACTGGTAGCCTAGTGGATAGCGAGCACGACTCGAACACACTCGGTCTCGAGTTCGAATCCCGGCAAGACCTACTTTTTTTCTTTTGAGGGGGGGGGGGCATAGTGCTTCTTATGCAGTATGGAATCGTACAGGCATTAACTTGTAGTGAGCCATAATTTATTTCGACAAAAATTGATTCAACTTCCATCAAAATTGTCCTACAAGCTTCAATTAAACAAACATTTTAAAGCTCTTTTCTTGTTCTATCTAATGGGTCGATATATACAGTTAGGGGAGGGGATGCTTTCGCCCCCGTCGCTCTCTACCCTTACTACGCCATGGCACAGGAGAAATATCTCATTTGGAATATATCACTGTTTACTTTGCGTTTGGTAGCTCTCTCATGCGAGATGGAATCGTGGCCATAACTAAGGGAGCCAAATGCAACTTCCATCAAAAATTGTGCTATAAGGTATGAGTACCGTAATCCAACAGCAAATTCGAAAATTCAATACTTTGCACATATGGCGTTCGTGACCACTATGAAACGCTTACCCCCCATAGTGTTATATATCAAAATGCACCTGTCCATATAGGGGTTCGATTGACCTACATCAAATTATAGGGAGTCAGGTTACTTTATTGTAACTCGCGTTTGCTACCACTTCCTCAATTCTGATATGACGGGCAAACGCGTAGTAAACATGCTCACGTTCGGAACTATTTTGACCTACATCGCTATTTTCGTAATTCAAATGAAAGTTGAACTCCTCTTTATTTTGACACCAAATAGTGGCATACTAGGTACCCTAGAAAGAGAAGCCAACTATGGGTTATTTAGAATGATACCACAGGTTTTTAAATGGACTATATAGGGGTTATACCTTTTGGCGGATGGATACGGAACCTCATACCATAAGCTTCAAATAAAAAACATTCTAGCTATTTTCTTCTATCTAATGGGTAGCAAACGCCCCTTTCTACGCCTGATCGGCTCAGGAGAAATATCCTGTCTGTTTAGAATATATATAGCCGTTTACTCTGCATTAATAGCTCTCTAACGTCTTACTTGTTCATGTTTTTTATTGGGCCTTTCAACGTTTACTACCATTCCCTGTTCCCGGGCTACCATTTTTTGACTGGGTTTGGTAATCCCCGGGTAACCGGGCTAATGCCCTCACCGGGTTTTGCACTTGTTCCCAAAATATCCGTATGATATCTGAAATATCCCCCCGCGCATTGCGCATGCGCCAGAAAATTCGAAAATCAATATTTGTCGGTCCTCTAGCGTGTAAACACAGCATATCTCCCGTACCGAGAATTTATTTGTCGGTCCTCTAGCGTGCCACCACATCAGAGTCTTGAGTACCGACAATTGACAATTGTCGGTACTCTAGCCTTTACGTTGAATTTATAGTCGGTTATAATTTCAGAAAATAGCCACATTTCGACGTTTTCATACCCCACATTTTTACAGCCTCGACGTGAGGAACTTGTACAAATTGTGAAAGATTAATTTCTGTTATTATCAGCTTATCTAAATATTCAATAGATAAATATAGTGATTAGACTAGGCCTACATCTAAGCTAGATCTAATACTCACCCATCAAAATTCGCATTGCCTTTTTTCCAAAAAGCCTGCCGAAAAGTGAAGAAATTGTGAGACCCATTTTATGTAATTTTGATTGATTTGATTTCCTCCAAACGCTCACAAGATGTGTATAGGAATTCCTTAAATTATCCTAGCCAGCACCAGGTTTCAATTTTAAGTATATCTAATATAAATTAGGAAAAACTGCTTCTGCCACGTCAATTTTGCCAACCAGTATTGCTCGTGACGTCATGAAGTTTACTTCCGCCGGGATGCTTCCGCCTTGAGTACAGGTTGATGTACTATGTAAGCAACCGCGGGAATTATAAAATTTCCTAGGCGGACTTCGGATTCGGAACCCGAGTTCGGAACGCGTTTTGAACAGTTACAAGATCATGATGATATCATGTCCAAGATTCACATTATATTATATTAATTTTATCAAGTCACTATATCGTGTCATTGAAGGTCGTCCACAATTTTACACGGAATATGAATATACAGAAAGCCTCCGTGTGATTGGTTAAAAGTGCTTCGAACTAATATACACTCCCCTACATAAGTTTGGCAACCTTAGCTCCCACATTGAACTACGTGTTAAAGCCTCTTTACCTTTGAATTTTTATTTACTCAACCTGCGATGAAAATATTCAATACTATTGATGGAAACGTAATTTGAATTTATTTCCAATACCGGGCTCCAAATTTTCTCAATTTTTTTCCTCGATTACAACATGGGCTTTCAACTAGAAGGGTAGGCAACTTCCCATGTTTCATACATAAACATTGCCATGGGTTTTCAAAATTGGAGAATGTACACATTCCAAGAAAATCTTATTTTGTACTTTTTATTGATGATTAAAAGAAATAACTCAAAAATAAAAACATGATCTTCTACATACATCTTGATAATTTAATAAAAATTGGAATTCATCATAATTATGACAATACAGAAAGTGAACATTCTCCCACAAATTATGTTTTTATTGGAATGTGTTCTTGAATAATTACCCACAATGCAATACTCAAAGAGAACATCTTGATAACTCTTATTCTTATTGGTCTCTTTTGTTTACTTTTATATGATATTGAATATATTTTATGCTTAAATCATATTAAAAATTGATTTTTATTCAATATAATACTAAAACATATACATTTATCTAATACTTTTTGAAATATTGCCATAAAAGGGAAGAATGTCATTGCTCATTTTGAAGGTCTCATGTTATTACATAGAGTTGCACACCCTTCTAGTTGAAAGCCCATGATTACAATAAGTCGAAAATTGATGATAAATTTGATGAATTTTTGAAAATCGACATTCCAATGTTAACCAATGGGAAATGGTAGGTTTGCCGCAAGTCATATGACAGAATATCCATCCATCCGAGTTCTTGCAAAAAATACGAGTTAGGCAGGCAATTGAATTTGCTAACTTTATTTAACAAAAAGTTGATATGTTTCTTCAGGTTCTCTCCCATTGAAATAACACAAGAGGCGAAAAATTATTTTTTTAAATGACTTTGAAGCGCTGTAACTTTAGTATTCATCAAATATACTAAACACTAAGTCTTAGTGTACAAAAAAGACAATTCAATTTTCTATATCAAAATATTTTTTGCTGAATCTTTTTCCGAAGAGATATCCTGATTTCTGATTTGCCCCGAACCCTCCAGTTCCCATTGGATTACATGGGAATAACGATTTTCAAAAATTCATCAATTTTATCATCAATTTCCGACATATTGTAATAGAGGAAAAAATTGAGAAAATTTGGAGGTATTGGAAATAAAGTCAAATTACGTTTCCATCAATATTATAAGTTATTTCATTGCCTTTTAAGTAAATAAAAATTCAAACGTAAAGAGGCTTTAACAGTAACACGTAGTTCAATGGGAGAGCTAAGGTTGCCAAACTTATGGAGGGGAGTGTATGAGAAGTTGCCGAATGATACTACAATATACTGAAAGTATCAGAAATTTGTAAAGTCGTAATACATTAATACTCGTGTTATGTAAGCTTTTACATGGAGATAGTACAAATAAAAGTGTTTTGACTCATATGGTGCTTGCTTACATAGCATCAAGGCCACAAATCAGCACGTTCTCAACCAACCGTGATCCCGGGGATCTGGCGTTCCTCAGAATTGCAGAAAAGGGCCCGTCGTTAGTTTATATAAATAAATCGAAAGCCCGTTATGCATCAGCCCATGGTTTCACTGACTTAATTTCAACTGTCATCTTGAAATCAACCGTAGACTCCCGGGCGTATACTCTATCGAATGTATTTGATTAATTGAGTAAACCAAAAATACCTGGGTCAAGTCCGAACACTTCGGAAAGATAGCTTACTGAATACTAGGGTAACTCAGAACACCGACTTGGAAAGAATAATCACAAATTCACCATGCACTGGCCCGTAGCCAGAGGGGGAGCTTGGGGAGCAGAAGCTCCGCCCCCCGGCCAGAAATTCTTTCAAAATCATGCAGTTTTCACCATTCTGAGAACTTTTCACATGATTTTCAGCCAAAATTGTGAAAAATCTCCCCCCCCTGGAAAAAAGCTCCCCCTCCTATAGTAAAAGCTGGCTACGGGCACTAAGCCAGGGATTATCCACTAAGTCCAAAGCGATATCCGATAGGACATGTTCTACATATATGGTGATAACCAAAAAGTCACGGCCATTTCGGATCTTGGACATTATTGGACCCCTAAAATAATATACCGTGCTGAAATTGATGGAACACTTTTTGAGTTACGGATGATAAAAATCAGTGAATTTCCGGCAATAAAAGTGACGGTTACAGGCGAGTTTTTGAGTTTTTTCAACAGAACGTTAACTATTGAATTGCTAAATGAATACAATGTAGGTGCATGGCATTGTAAATATCTCCACCCGATACGCTTCTCAGATGTGAGATCTATTAAAAAAGGCGCAACGTTACTAATGTGCAAACATCAATGTTTTTGTAACAATGGTCTACACGACCTGTAATAAATAATTATAATCACAAAAAATTAATGCCATTAGCTTACTAGCTATTAAATTAAGTTACCATACGTTATATAAAGATAATCGAAAATGATTTAAGTAAAGTCACTAATAATTATTTATTACAGGTCGTGTAGACTGTTGCAAAACAACATTGACTTGCATGGGAGTGAGGGTTGCCTATGTGTTTAAGGTGGAACAAAACCCGCATTCGTGTATTTGAAAAATGAACTCAGTAACTCAGTAACAAAATGGTTGTACTATTTCTAAAGAGTGAAATTTTGAGTTATAGGAAATAAGGTCAAGTAAAATCTCTTATCATGTCTTCTAGACATATTACTCGTGCCCCCCCCCCTCCATTCAATTTTTTGACTTTATCTTAAAAAAGCCAACAACGCAGTGATTTTTTATTTAATTTTGTGGTGATAACGTCACTAAAACAAGTATATAACAAAACAAAAAATCAACGTCGAAGTTCTAAACGTGTAAACTATTAAGGTCAGCTCCATTATAAGCAAAAATACTGATTTTGACTAAACTTTCATATTCCAATCATTTATTTCTTCATTATACCGGAATAACTTCATTTGCAAGTATGTATTTTTGACGCAGTATTCTTCTTCAAAAAATGTTTCAAACGAAAGACAACTTTATAACCAGGGAAAATCCTTACAAAAGATGGCATATTCGGAATCTTATGATAAATTGCGTCATTTATTGAGAGGTAACAGACTTCGAATCTCTCATTTGCGCAGCTAGTAAGCCTGTATTTACCACCCTGGTGTGATCATGGTCTTGATGGTGTTATCAGGATATGGGGATCAATACACACTTACAAACCTTATGACTAGATCCAATGAAATGCTTTGTTTGTCTCAATGCATGTATAGATAATAATATGCTTCGATTTTTTCTGCAAATAAAGGTACAATAGGTTGCCATAACAACTGAAGCTGAAGCCGTTTACTTCCGTTGGCCTAGTGGTAATTCTAAGCTTTTAACGATTGTCGATGTTTTAGCGAGTTTGAACTCAGAAAATCGAACGACACTAATGTAGATGTAAAGGAATTTAAGACTAGAAGAACCCCACCTAGACGTATATCTATGAACGATTAATAAAGGGGGTAAGTAAAATTCGTATTTTACCTCTGTATGGGCCTATTATATAGTAATTATGCTTTTACAGCATAGGCTTTACATATTATCAGTTGGTACTAAAATATCATTGAAGATGTCAATTTACGATATATTTAACATATTACACCCCTTCTTCATCAATCGAATTGGAAATTGAAATGTATACTAGCAAAAAACACCTAATTAAATGGTGCATGATTCATTGGAGATATGAGGGGGGTCATATATATTACGATCCGAGGGAAGGATATACAGTGGTCTTCCGAATAGCATCAGTATCAGATTCCATAATTGCATTTGTGAAACGACGCAATAATTACAATTCAATATCTCAAACACAGGAGCGCCGCAAGAGTGTTTATTATGAACATGCAGTCAGGTGTCACTAGAGTCTATAGTATGATAAAAGTAGAAAATAGATCAAGGAGACTCTCTGTGAATCGTCTCCTTTCCCAAAATTTATTGCTACTTGCTAGTCTTTGTTCGAACTGCATTTGTCAAAGATGAATTTTAACAAAACAATTCGTGGGCATCTATTATCTAAATATATGAATTGTCCTTCTTATCTTTTAACAACAAAATCTGATACATTATTATTAGATCGTCAAATATTCCGCTTTACATTGTAAAACTAAAAAACATCTTCACGCAGGATGAACACCGTCAATGCGTATCAAAACTGCGTTACGTTCCGGAAAACTAGTACTTAAAATTCGAATCTGCTGATATTCAAAGATTGCAATTTTCTGAAAATGAGATTTTTGTCTTTGCTATTTAAAGTCATTCGAAGGGATTGTTGTCAATGGTATAATCCTACTTATAGATTTTAATTGAATAACATTGTTAACAATTGTTAATCAATGATAAAATGATTTACCTGGTAAATCTTTTCGCTCTATACCATTGTGAAGAAACTTTTTCCCCCATACTTTGATATATGGCATCAATGTACATGGTAACATTCTAATACTCATAGCATGTTTCTGTTTCACTTGAAACATACATTTGAAACATATCTGGGCTGAGAAGAAATGAGATGTGATGATGACATGGTAATATTTGCAAGGTAGGGATCCGTTCGCTGATGAACAAGATACCTTGCACATGTTTCAGACTCCAACATACACACTGGTGGATCGGGGGGGGGGGGGAGGCAGAACAAATAGTTTTCGTATTGCCTCAAAAAATGGGCCTTTTTGGACATAACTTGGCCTTTTTGAAAAATAATTGGCCTTACATTTTTTCCTGACTTTAAATGTGCCCACCTCCCTTCTTAGCGTCTGGATCCACCAGTGATACATGTACTAAGTTCTATCTAAAGTCATGGGGTTAGCCAGGGGGAGTGCCATATGTGCGAACGCACGCACTCTCCCCCCCCCTAACCAATAAAAATAGAACCATTAGATAGAATGAGAAAAGAGCTTTCAAATGCTTTATATTTGAAGCTAAGCTTCTAGCTCAATTTTGAAGGAAGTTACCTCAATTTTTGTAAAATTAAGCTTGAAAGCCCATGATATAATATAGTGCTATCTTAATGGTCATTAGATCTTCTTTCAAATGATGTATCGTAGTGGTACAATATATGAAAAATTGCCAAAATAGTTGATCTTTCACGAATGCAATCAGGAATACCAATTAGGTTTTTAAGGAATTTCTCCGAAATCATTGACGTTGAAAAAAGACTACAGAAATACATATGTATTTTCTTACCTTTAATTTTGTAAATATCGTATGAAGATATGAGTTAAATGTAACGATTGGCGTGGAAGGCCCGCGGGATGCAATATATAGCAGCAGAATTCGTAAATTAAATGTCTCTAAAATAATCTATTAAAACAGAGACTCTGATTAAAGCTACAAAATATTATATAAGCTAATCATTGCACCAAAACTACAAGATGCAATGGAATACTGCAACAGAGGGTAAACAAATTAATTGAATAATAATGAAATATATCTGGCTTTTGCAGCAAGTCTTGTACCCCCTGACCCAAGCATACCTCACATGTATACTAATGTGTTAAAATTTCCTAATCAGGACAAGATAGACTATATGCCAAGATAATTGGACTTTAATATGATACACACTTTGGACTTTTTATTTCAATTTACAAGGTGCGCCAAAAAAACCACTTTTTTCAAAATGCTATAACATTTTTAATATTTGATATTAAATCATAATTTGCATACCAAATGAAACTTGAGGTTGTTATCTAGCCATGGATCATGAATTATACACTTTTACTTGAATAGAATATGTCACCAGCGTCTCACTTAAACATGTGGTGTGCCATGAGAAATAAGCATAATTTGCAAAATGTTCCTGAACTGATACGGCCTGATGATCGCCAAGCTAATAGCCCTTATGCAAACCCCAGTGAGTATAGGGTATGGGAAGGTCTCCAGGAGATTGTATGAAGGCACCCAATCTATTAAATTGCTCAACTAAAGCTGGCAATTAAGACAGTTTGAAAAAAACTTAGCTAACATTTCATTGATACTGCAATATCAGCAAGGCGACTAAATCTAAAATATATCATCAATTAGGGTGGCGGACCAATTGAACTCCCCTTTTAGATCAAATATAATCCAAGTTGAAGGACTTGTTACATTACATTATTACTAAGAACCCTTGGCACTATATAACTGCAAAATTTGGGGTATGTAGGTTGGAAAATAAAAAAGTTGTAGTGTCTTGAAAAAAAGTGGCGTTTTTTTGGCCCACCCTGTATATAAGCTTGTATTCGCGAATGCAACTTTCGGCTGTCGGCTACCGGATTTACCTAAAAATTTGGGACAAATTCATTTAAATATGAATGGAATAGTGGCAAGTACTAGTCATATTTAAATTAGTTGCCCGTAAAAGAGTAGGTTAATCCGGAAGTCGGCAGCTGAAAGTTTTTCGCCCAACTGTATATTTGTAGGATCATTCTAACATGAAGCAGATATTTTGAATTGCCTAGAGGTTATTGTATTGTTTGGATTGTTTATAACAAATCGTGCCATTATGATCCATTACGGGAATTCCTCAAATCCCTTAAGTGTTATTTTAATACTTATACTGATATACATATTCTGATCATATCTGTTTTCGAACTATCGTATGTCAAGAAAAAACTGATATCAGACTTTGATCTTTCATTATGCTAAGTGTTTGGCTTTGAAATTTCCAATTCATTGATTATGTTTATGTCTAAGCTTTTTGTTAGATCAGAACATATTTTATTGAAGAGCTTTTATATCATTTTGTAACTTTATGTTACCTAGCAACCTTGTAATAATAATTGTCTTCATGAATATTTCATGATGAAATTAATATCTCACAATTCAAAGCATGATTACACGCGCAGTTTGTTTCAATTTAAATGGAATGTTCATCAGTGAAGTCTCTAAGTTCTAAAATTCTTATAGACGTATGTAATAATCATTTATGTGACAATAGGGAAATGTAAAATAAGCCTTAGTTGAAATATAATAACCGAATTTTAGTCTTTGACATGGTTAATCTAATTTATTGTTTCGTGTTCTGGTACAATATTGTTTGAATCAAGGTCTTTGATGCATTTTAATGAGGTATAAATTATCTTCTTCAACATTTTGCGCTTCGGAATCAGCTTGTTGTTTAACATTATTTTACCAGTTCACTGGTACAACAGGATGATTGGGAGTTAGTATCATTCAAGATGGTGGACAAAATCTTCTCGATATCGAAGACAAAATCGATGAACTTTGATTTTTACTAAACCAAGAAAAACTAGATTGCCAATATTTCGCCATGCAAACTTCTAAAATTTCGATTGTAAACAAGTACAATGAAATGCTCGTTTAGGATAATTTCCCCTAGAGCATCATGATCATTGATAATGAAATTCACGTCACATATCGACGCCGTTATACTATGTATATTGATCGACTGTTTTGAACAAGTCAGTGATTGACTGTTGGTTTACACAATTTGTTTTTGATAGTTACCATGACGTTTGGAGTTCTTTAATCAGAGGAATTTGTGTACGCCATTACATAACAGATGGTTAATATGTCATCAAGAAATTGTGACATAATGCTATGGCCTCCATTTTTGTGACCGTCGTTTCGGGGTTGGCACTCGTCTCCAATTACTCACCATGTGGTGATATGTTGTCATGTTACAGTTGATGCATTCTTTAATGGAAAGGAGTGGTATCGATATGGAGAACTTTTTGAGCACACGTTTCTCTTAAACCAGTAATAAAAAAAATCTAAAAATTTAACACATCGTCAATTTAATGGTCATCTTTTGAATGGTAACACTACAATTTGAAAAAAATATACTTTCATCTATATTGTTTTAGAAAACACATCAAACACTTGTTTTGTTCTTGGTATCATGTTTCCAGAGTGAAATGAAACATCTTTCCGAACCTCATTGGAACAAAACGACATAAACACAACATGTTTAGGTCTCTCAATATTGTAATTGTGCAAAGGAAATTTTGGTTGATTTTAAAAAGTATCTTGTTAATGAAATAAAAGGTTTATCTTGATTTTCATCTTTTTTGGGGGAATTTTGTTTTAATTTTTTGAATACTTTTTTAAAATCAACCAAAAATTCCTTTGTTTAACTATAATATTGAGAGGTCTAAAAACATGTTGTTATGCTATTTTGTTCCAACAAGGTTCGGAAAGACATTTAATTTCATTCTCAAGAATTGGTAGAAAGGAGCAAAAACAATTGCACTAAAAAAACAAAAAATGTTAACAAAAACAGTTATATAAAATATTTCTAAATAATTTTTGCATTAATTTGTTGTCAATCAGTCAACAACTCAACATTACATAAATTACCGTGTTTTTTTACAGAATGTTTTGAATGATTGGTTTAAGAGAAAAACATTGTTGAATTCAGTTCTCCATATCGATACCAATCCTTTTTGAAAAAAATTATGCTCATGACGATAAACTTTATAAATGACCGACTTCATTTCGTGTATTTGCACAAATTCAAATGTGCATTTGGTATAACTCGATAAATAAGAATTATGTATTGGGAGGTTTTTGGATAAGGAGTTTATCCAGAGCGAGAAACTAGTATGCTACCCGAAGGACCGTGTGGACTGAAAGTAGATATGCATATCTCCCGAAGACTACTTTATCCTATACCCAGTTGAGTTTCTTTTTAATTTCTTTCATTTTTTCAATTTTTTCAATTGTCGGAAGTGGGAGGATACGCCCTGGAACGGGGGATATGGCGGGCGGTATGCAGGTTCTGGATATGGAAACCTCAAAAGCAGCAGGATACAGGATATATCTTACCAACTTATCTCCCTGGGCATAGGATGATATATATTTGGGTGCTGCATCATCATCTGTTGTGAAATGGTGCATTGCAAAAAAAATCATATTATCTGGATATCTATACCATGGTATCATCTAATCTTTGTAAACGTGCTCTGATCTTATTTCCCACCTTCTCATCAAGAACATTCTGTCCTCTTGCAGCATTAAAACAACAGCACATATTGAAACAGGTATAAATAAAAGTACCCATATCGATCCTTCTCCCTCCTCATAAACATATTCTTTGACATGGGAATCTATACTCCTTACCTCTCACGGCATTTTCATTGATCATGGTTGCTGAATATTTTAAACTGAGTTAAGGTCGATTAATGTTTGTTAAGACGGTAATATACTAGATACACCAAGTCATTGACATAAAGCTGATATTGTGAAATTTACCCCATAACAATCAATTTTCCAATAATTGTAAATTGTTTTTAGAAAAGAAAAGGCAATTTTTCTATTAAGACTGAAAACAGAGAGTCATTAGCCTAATTTTACAGAGTACTAATATTACACTTATTAATTAGGATTATTAAACTGAAGTACATCTTTGGAATTGCATTCATAATGATGCTTAGTTTCTATCTTATTTCATAATTACCCATAATGCATGAGTTCGTCTGCTAAATCAATGTTTTCTTTAGTTTCAGGTGGAGGAAAATAGAATTACTGCTGACACACTCCAGCAACATGGAGGCAAAACATTGCAAAGATTATGTCTTTTTAATTGGTATTTTGATAGCAGTTTTAGCGCTAACAGGTAAGTTCAATTTTGTACTTAAATTCGGATTTCAAATTATGAAATTTGATTAGGAAACTTACTAACGAAAACCGAAAAGCCATGGTCATAAACATAAAGATCGAAACAAATCAACTCACAATAATTTACAGTCATCAAAAACTTCACCATGAAGAAAATATCATCTAAAACTTTCAAAATGTCTTAAGTTATATATGGAATGATAAATAACACATTGGTTGAATAGTTCTGTTTCCAGCTTTGTTATTTACTGAGATATTTCAACATATATTTTTTCTATAATTTGGTAGAAAATATCTACTACTGATATGTAAAGTACTGATAAGAACAGCTCAAGTGATGTAAATGAGCAGCAGGGATATTCTACGCAACTGTTGGGAAAATATACCTCAGTTCGGGTCATTGTTCTCATTTATAAGGAGTTAAATCTCTGGGATATATTCATTTTTAGTTTATAGACAGAACTTGTCTTTGAACGGCTTTAATCATTCCAGTGTCTGTCAGGATCGTGCCACGAGAGGTTATAATCATACATTATTACCCACGTATGAAATATCATGATGTTCGTATTTTAAATGCAAAGTTCAACGAAAAGAGGGGAATAAAAATGAAATATAAATTAAGTTGACAACAAATACGTGTAAACTTTTTTAAATATCATACACATACTTTGACTTTGGTGAAACAAAATCGCATAGAATTAGTGTCTAGGTAAATGTACTGACATGTCGCTTGTGAGTAATCATGTTGAGGAGAATAAGAGAAGCATGGAGCGTCTGTAGCTTATTCTTATATTAATAATATAGATGTTTTCATTTAAGATTTACTATAGCATGAAACAAAGATTGTTCTACAATGTCACGGCCATAAAACGGACAAAATTATTTTCGGATTGTTCGATTTCTACTAGAGAATTCAGCAAATTTTCGAGTTTTATTTTCCGTGAGAAAGTTTACATGAAAATCGCTAAATGAAAGGGCCCATAATATGGTAAAATCTGCACTCATTTATATGGAAGACACATCTCCAACACTTTTCGCCTGGTCGAAAATTATGGACTTTTATGACCCTACCGTATGAGTAACCATGTTTGTTTGAAGTTAGACATTCCCAGAAATCCAACAGTTGTGTGTTTAAAGAAAATGTTATAAATGTATAAAATTCCAATATTTATCAATTATGGGAGTACCTGATGATATTATGGGATTTACCTGATATTGTTCTATTGACTTATGTCTGTCTTTTGGAAAGATCACATCAATGATTGCGATTAATTGATTAACATATCGGTCTTTTATAAAGCCGTGACAGCTATAAGCCTAGAAGTGGTCAAGAATGTCCGTTCGTTAAAAAAGTGATAGGGGTTGGGTTAGATCTCCAAAAGAGGAAATAGTCCGACTATTTTTTAATATGTTCAGTTTTATTAAAAGGATTGCTTTAAAGTTGCACGCAATTGTGTGGAAAGGGAATTATTGCTTAATAGCTGTTTAATGAAAGTCTGCCCATTGAAGTTAACATTGATTGTTTGAATTATTAATGAAAACAAATTGATTGTCTCCATCACTTTGTGTATTGGAATCCATTATAAATATTGCTTTATTGTTATTTATTCTGCTTTAGACAATGTTTTAACAGATCAATCGATACCCAGGATGCGCTCACTTTTGATTGAATCACAGGCGAATAAAAATGAAATGGATTTGGGAATGTTTTGGCATGATTTGACATCATGATATTGGCGTATTGGGATTTGTTCATGTTTGTATCAATAATTTTTATTGAATAATGTAAGGTGACAACTCCACAGGATGAATTCCATATTGTTTCAAGAGCATCGAGAAATCATATCCATTATGTATGGGGTTTTCAACATTTTAAATTGCCCACTGCTGTGTAATTTTAAATACGTAAAAATATTGAATCTACATGTATTTTGATGAACATACCAAGTGTCAATTTTTGCTTTTTAAAGTTTGTTGCAGAATTTTTTTTTATTATTACTTTTTTATTCCAAAATTGCCATAAGTAATTGATTTTGAGAATAAGCTGCTGAATACATAAAACTGAAATTTAGAATCGGCAGATGGATATGTGAGTTTGAGAATTTCGAAATAATTTTGTTTAATCGTAAGCAAAATAACGAAGGATTTCCTAATTTCATTTCAATGTCATTTTTCTTGGATTTTCCCCAAATTTATATCCAGATGGCGGGTCATTCTAAAATATTCCAAAATAAGAGAGCAAATACACTTATTCATTAAAGATAAAAATAAAAGAGAAGAAATACATTTCACAACAAATTGCTTTCCCAAATAAGTGTCAAGACCCGATAAGGCAATGCATTTGATTTATTAATAGAACATCTGAACTATAATCAATTTCTTTTTCAGTCCAATGTCATGAGGAATGTCAACAAAAAGATGGAAGGTGAGCTCACTTTTATATAAATATGATTATATAGTAATAGCTGTTAGATTACCCTTTGTAAATAAAAATGCGTATGGTGCTTAGCAATCACATCATTTCCATTTTTCTGTATTATCATTCCAACCATTCAAAGGTACAATAAAGGTAAACTTTGACCCAATGGAGAAAATCAATGAAGTTCTCAAATATGGTAGTGTTAAAAAGGGTTGAGTACAGAACAGGGCTCAATGTGAATAAGTTTATACGAAAAATCGTTTTCCTGTCTTGTTGTACGTCATCGTCATCGCGAGTTCGATTCATTTAGATGCTCTCATGACAGGAGTCATTCACTTGTAAAACGTCCTTTATAAGTAAATTCTCATTTAGTACTATTACAGACACATTTCTTGATCACAAATCACTGTACTACTTGGCGTAATGTTTCTATGACATGTAAATGTAGTGAAAGAAGTATTAATTTCCTGTTAAAACTACATTCAAACTGATTTATTACAATCCTCTTTTTACACAACAATAAGTACGATTATTACTTATCTTTGTATAGTGAAACATTCTTCAGTTCCTATTTTTAGAAATGTGTTATTTCACTGTGATTATCATACGTGTATGTATGCATGTATTTTGAGTTTTTTCTCCCTGCATCATGTCATTAGATGTATTTGATGAAGATGATTACCTTAATTTTTGATACTTTTGATAAATGAATAATGTCTATATATATTTATTAACTATCTTCATTCAAAGTGTTAAAAAATTGCCCGTGAACCTACAGTAAATGGTAAATATCGGCATCCTATAAAATGTTATATTGGAAAATCGGGAAAACTTTAATCCACATTAAAAGAGACAATTGGAGATACAAATACCATGAAATGCGTCATTGTCAATTTCAGCCATTTTATTGGTTGCATAGCAATATCAGAATCTAATGGCCAGAATTGATCGAGTGGTTGAAAAGGTGTATTTTACGCAGTGAATTATACATAATTGAGCTTTGAGCGTATAGTAAACTATTGATATCTGTTGTTGATATTCATAACATTGCCGTACGAAAATTACTAGTTTGCGAAAATCTGTGGCTCATGCCAAACCATATATCAAACCTTGAAGACGATATAGTTCATCGAGCATGCTAAAAGAAAAAAATTACATGTATATTTTATAAAAAATATCCTCTTTTATTTCAGATTTTAAATCATTTAAATGTATATCAAATTATCAATCGTATGAAGTTCAAAATACCAAATCGTTACTTTACTTTTGATTCAATTTTTGTGTGAGTTTTGGATGTAGTGCTTTTCTATTTGCATATGTTTTTAATTCAGTGCTTTTTTTTTCTTTATTTATGAAAATGTGTTTTACATCATAAGTATACATTATGACAGCATACTCATAGTCTTAGGTTATTTTAAAATGTGCATTTTCAGTCAACTCGAGTGCCAGTTTGGAAAGTGCGTAGATGGGAAATGTGTATGTGACGACTGCTGGGAAGGAACTGCTTGTGAAATACTGAGTAAGTATAGTTTCTAAATAGCTGAATAACGCTGACATAATAGATGTCTCCCTTGTTTGTCTTTGATTTTCTTGGGCCACACCTCCATCCACTTCAATGCTAGAAACTTGCAATAGTCACTTAATTTCATGATTTGTCAAAAAGTGTTGGTTGAATCTGTCTGAAACTCGAATGGCATATTATCGGATGACACTGTCAATGTACATATTGTGATTAAACATGAAAATGTTGGTTGTCATACAAATAAGCAAAGGTTTTAATGAATCTCAGCATTGCACCAATGGAGATTTGGCCCAAGTTTTTTTTTGAAATGTAATGGAAAATGATTTAAATAAAATAACTGTGTAAATCAAACTTATTATTGAAGAAAACTTGTCACTGAATTCAAATATGCTATCAAAAATATAGAAAAGAAAGTCATTAGAGGTAAAAAGTGCAAATCTCTAAAAATCTCATGAAAAAACGAGAATTAACGAGATTTTAAAGCTATTTAGAAACTCATCTATTGTGGAACATACAAGCATATTATAATACAAGGTAGACCGCAAATGGACAAATACCCCAGCTATAGTTTTAATATCGGAGTTTTGTATAATGCTGACACCGGGTGCTGACAGTGATGTCAAAGCCAGTGTGTAGAATACGAACCGAAATACACTATACGACATTGTTATCCTTTCAGAAAATGACCACGTTCCAACATTTGACAGCCCAATTCAACATTTTATGAACAAAAATGGCCGCATTGGAAAAATAAACGCCTTTGACGCTGATTGCAACAATGGAAGATGCCCTTGTGGAAGCGTGAGCTACAAAGCAATTGGGGGTGACACGGGGGTTTTGGCAGTTGACGAGAAAACTGGAGAAGTATCTATAATCGGAGACGCTGCACCCGGGGAGCAAAAACTGTTGGTCGAGGCATACAATGCTGCGCCGGCAGGAAACCCAAAACATGGAAATAATGAACTCGGGAACATCATTGAAGTCATTGTTGAGACACCTTACGAATACGACGAAGACGAAAAACTCAAGTAATAACCCTTATTTCTACATACGAGAAGTATCGATTTAACTTGCTAAAGAGAAAAACATAAGTAGTAATATACCCTATTTCGTCACCACCAGAAGTGACTTACTGTTATACTTTTTTTGTTGACGCTGTTCGGTGGTCAGCGTTCGGTGTCTGTAACAAATGGCAGGTGGTAACATTTTGCATGTTAATGCCTAACCCTTGTTAAAAACTAAGCACAAGTACCAAACGGGAGAGCTCAAAAACACATTGCGAGACGTAAAAGGGCAAAGTTGAATAACAATTCACGAACATTAGTTCACAGCAATTGTTCCTCGATGTCAGTTTCCACTAGACAAACAATACACCACTTTATAACTTATATTGAAGATAAATTATTCATGTTTCTCGATAATAATTTGTTTCTATTAAAAATCGGTTGTTATGCTTTACATCTTGAGAGTATATAAACACGCGTGATAAATAATCCCAACCATTTTCAATATAGTTGTCACTTGTCATAAAAATGATCAATGTCGCTCTTTGTCTAATGCACGAGAGGGCTTTGTACTCCAAGAGATATAACTCAAGAGAGTGGATTCTGAACTAAGATCACTAATTTAGTGTAAAACTCTATTTTTCAGGAATAATGCTGGGCCAAATTTTCTTGAATTGGGAAACCATGGCTATGGAAGTGCCAATGACGTGGATGCATTTGGAGGTTACGGAGACTTTGATGCTGAAGAACTGCATAGTCGCCACAAGAGAGTATGTCGTTTCTCTCAATCCTGAAATACTGTATATTTTATACAGTTCTTATATACTTTATTCTACTTCATAGAATCCTTATTTTAAGTATACGTGTACACCTGAAAAGTGGAAAAGGCGTTGGGGTTGGGGAGGTAAAAAGGCGTTGGGCATTTGAAATTTCATAGATTCTGAAAAAGTATACATGGAAATCTAAATTTTAAAACGTAAAAAGATAATCGAGACTCTTAGATTGTGTTACAACTAATCAAACTAAACAAAAGCCATAGATCTCAATCCAAGACTCGCACTATTACTACATGACATTAATATTTGTCATACATTAATATTTGTCATCGTTTGTTTTAGGCTGCGCCGTTTTATGACAATGTGACCTTAACTTTATCCGTTGAGACACCAAATGTAACAACTGTGTATGTGGGCTCTGAAATTTACTTCAAACTAACGGTTGGCCTACCAGTTGGTAAGTATGATTTCAATGGAATATTAAGCTTGCACTGTTTTTTACAACGTAAACGTTGACGAAAAGATGTGTGCGTATTGAACTCGGTATCGGAATTGCAGCGCGCATACTTTTATATGCGCTTCAATATCTGTTCAGTTTCATTTTTTCGTGTTAAGATAAACAGGAAATTTAAAATTAATTTCACGTTGTTGTCAACGGGAATCACCATACTCAATTCTATTGAATACTATGCAGGCAATTTTGATTTCGAATTAAATGGTTTCCACATTTTTGGATACAACTTTGATATCGTTTGCTCAGTACGAATTACATTTGAAATGATGGTGCATTTACTACGAGAACACGATCCAGGCTTCATGAGTTCTTATAACCTATGATCGACATGGTCAAGACTGACATGTTTGGTTAACTGGCAGCACTCTTTGACAGAGGCTGCGCACGTATAACACGGGTTTCAGCGTTTAGACACGGGTGCATATAAAAAATCATTTTCGATCAGTGTTCATTTTGGACTTCAAAGGGCAGGTTGTTATGATAAGTTAGAGCAAACCTAGTGGATCAATATGGAATATTGGGAATTTCTTATTATTTTGAGTATTGTGATGATGTATCACGTTACACTGCCTTTGATAAAATTAGAAGTAATTAATTTCAATTTTTGTTACCTTCTTCTAAGGTCTCCACTATGTTATGGCTAGTTATTGGCTAGAGACTCAGAAAAATATGACTCGTTTTAAAATACATATAAAATAGTAAACACGATACATTAACTAACAAGCAGGTTATGAAGAACTATCTATATTTTAAAAAAATAAAAATACATTAAACAGTATTGAAATACTTTTCTATAAAATATCACCTTTTTGCGACTTGTCCATATTCTGTTTGTACACCATCGCAGGTTTGACTGATATCAGTGTTGAGCTGTTCACACCCGACAATGACACGACGGTGATGGTACTGTGCGGCATAACAGTGGGAGATATCGGAGCTAACATTGCAGGCAGTGTGAATCTTACAGCAATCAATGACAACATAGTGAAGGATGCTAGGGATGAAACAAAGAATGTAAGTTTCAATAAATCTTCAAAAGAACTGCTGAAAAACAACATAAATGCGTTACATGGTCGTGTTAATGAACGTCATGGAAACATAGATAAACAGAGATACTTATACTACAGAAGTCAAAGATTCTACATCAATGAGGCTTCGAATAAGAGTATGCTAAAAATCATTCAACAAGCAACTTACTAGGTTTCAAAGATTTTTTTGTCGGGATTTTTTTATTTAATATTTGAGCACTGAAAGGACACCATTTGAAAGCTATTATTGCTGTCATAAACGTGTTGTTACCAGAATGAAATTTTTGTTCTAATGCATATTTGTATCAAATTTCTATTATCACCGTATTGAACGCGATAGAATCAGACAACATAAATATGCGTTCTTTCGTCCTGGTCACGTTTGATACTTTAAAAGGACTAAACATTTACAGCGATTGATACGGGCGTCTTGTCATCAAGATCAAATATGGCTCACCACATTTTAACATTGGAAAGATATTATTGGGCTGCAATTAAGGCAAATTCCAAGATTGCTCCTGAGATCCCAAATTGATCTTTAAACCATCGCAAGAACACTGGTGATCCACTCGATTACGCTGGTTACCGAAACGGTTCGTTTTGGTAACAAAATGTCGGAACGTCGAAGGTACGATTTTTCTCTTTTCCTTATTTCACACGTTGTAGGCAGAATTCCCACGACATTTTTAACACAAACGTGTATCAGTATCATATGTTTAAGAAAATGTACATATGTGCGAAGTAATAATTCAGAAGACAACAGAATCGTCGATTTAATTCTTCACTTAGTTACATAAACGGTATTTCGAAAAACAGTTAAGATCTGCACTTTTAACCCAAACCGTTTATGTAACTTAAGTGAGGAATTAAATCGACGATTCTGTTGTCTTCTGAGCTATTTTTTCGCAAACATGAACATTTTCTAAAACATATGATACTGATATACGTTTGTGAGAAAAAACGTCGCGGGGATTCTGCCTACAACGCATGAAATAAGGAAAAAAGAAAAATCGTACCTTCGACGTTCCGACATTTTGTTACCAAAACGAACCGTTTCGGTAACCAGCGTAATCGAGTGGATCACCAGTGAAGAATAAACACTAGACTATAAGATTTTGAAAGTTTTTCCTAAGCTCAAACATTGTTAACCATAAACGTTGAACCTCTTGTATTATATTTTTGATTTCAGTGATCAAATATCAAATCAAAAAATTCCCATGGTTATTTGCTAAATCTTTAAAACTTACAGTTAAGAACTCTTGCACACCCAGTACTGGTAATAAGTCGCACGTCGAAGTTTTTAAAATATTCCCTTCTTGTTTGGGAATAACAGAAATAACATTGCGATAATCACCTGAGAAAATGATATTGTTCAGGGAACAAAACGATTTCAGTTTAGCCCGCTTCTAATAGCCCCGTATGTTTTTCCATCTGATTGCAGTATGACTGGGCAGTTTTAGATCTGGGCACTATTGATAACGTAGGCACTGTTGATACATCAAATCCTCAAGCCAATGAGTTCACAGTGACATGGAGTGTTAAGATGATTGACAATAATGAGACAGTTAATGGTACCACATACTGGGTCAGTGCGGGTGCTGAGTACGACAATCAATCCTACTGCTGGATAGGGCAAGCCTCTTTCGAAGCTCTTATTGATGATTTCATATCCAATTATGTAAGTTATAATGAGGAAATCACTATGGTACCAGTTTATTTATTTGCAAGAGATGTTTAATCTACTTGACAATTTCTAGAAATTTTAAAATGTAGCACATCACTATTTTGTTAATAAATATTTCATGGGCTTCATATATTATACACTGGCTCTCAGTATAATCATTACTTCCAGATGTAATAAAATTACTTAAACCAATCATTACTTCATTTCCTCCTTAGCCTGTCAGATTTCTTATAGTTTTTCATTATCCTCTTTCGTTTGTTAGATTACTTATATTCTCTCAATGTCCTCTTCAGCCTATTATATAACTTAAATTTCTTCATTATCCTCTCCAACCTGTTATATTACTTATATTTCTTAATTATCCTCTTCAACCTATTATATTGCTTATGTATCCTCATTATCCTCTTCAACCTGTTATATTACTTATGTTTCTTCATTATCCTCTTCAACCTGTCAGATTACTTACATTCCCTCATTATTTTCTCCAACCTGTTTGATTACTTATATTCCTTCATTATCCTCTTCAACCTGTTATATCACTTATATTTCTTAATTATCCTCTTCAACCTATTATATTGCTTATATATCCTCATTATCCTTTTCAGCCTGTTATATTACATATTTTCCTTCATTATCCTCTTCAACCTGGTTTATCACTTAAATTTCTTCACTATCCACTTCAACCTGTTATATTACTTATATTTCTTCATTATCCTCTTCAACCTGTCAGATTACTTATATTCCCTCATTATTTTCTCCAACCTGTTTGATTACTTATATTCCTTCATTATCCTCTTCAACTTGTTATATCACTTATATTTTTTAATCATCCTCTTCAACCTATTACATTGTTTATATTTCTTCACTATCCACTTTAACCTGTTATATTATTTATATTTCGTCATTATCCTCTTCAACCTGTTTGATTACTTATATTCCCTCAATATCCTCTTCCACCTGTTATATAACCTTTATTTCTTCATTATCCTCTTCAACCTGTTTGATTACTTATATTCCTTCATTATCCTCTTCAACCTGTTATATTACTTATATTTCTTCATTATCCTCTTCAACCTGTCAGATTACTTATATTCCCTCATTATTTTCTCCAACCTGTTTGATTACTTATATTCCTTCCTTATCCTCTTCAACCTGTTGAATTACTTATATTCCCTCATTATCCTCTTCAACTTGTTATATCACTTATATTTCTTAATTATCCTCTTCAACCTGTTATATTACTTAAATTTCTTCATTATCCTCTTCAACCTGTTATATTATTTAGATTTCTTCATTATCCTCTTCAACCTGTTTGATTACTTATATTCCCTCAATATCCTCTTCCACCTGTTATATAACCTTTATTTCTTCATTATCCTCTTCAACCTGTTACATTACTTATATTTCTTCATTATCCTCTTCAACCTGTTATATTTCTTATATTCCCTCACTATCCTCTTCAACCTGTTGAATTACTTATATTCCCTCATTATCCTCTTCAACTTGTTATATCACTTATATTTCTTCATTAACCTCTTCAACCTATAATATTGCTTATATATCTCTTAATTATTCTCTTCAACCTGTTATATTACTTATATTTCTTCATTATCCTCTTCAACCTGTTATATTACTTATATTCCCTCATTATCCTCTTCAACTTGTTATATCACTTATATTTCTTAATTATCCTCTTCAACCTGTTATATTTCTTATATTCCCTCATTATCCTCTTCAACCTGCTAGATTACTTATATTTCTTCATTATCCTCTTCAACCTGTTATATTACTTACATTCCTTCACTATCCTCTTCAACCTGTTGAATTACTTATATTCCCTCATTATCCTCTTCAACCTGTTATATTACTTATATTCTTCCCTCATTGTCCCTTTCAGCCTGTACCTCAACATAACCTGACCGGCCCAGCAACCATGGCAATTGGAGAATCTGCCAAATTCACTCTTGATTTGACAATCGAGTATCCAAGTACATCTCTCGTAATTGATGTTTATGCACCATTGAATACGACTGACACCATGTCTGTGTGTTATATCGGGGTGAAGAGTGTTGGCTCAAACTATGCCTGTTTAGAGTTTACGTCAATCGAGCCAGTGCTTTATCCCGATGGAGTGCGAGGAAATTCACGTGGCCAGCTGGATTTGGGGAAAGTTACAAACCTTGGTATTGCTATTTTTCATTTGTATTTGGAACAGAGACTTTTTCAAAAAATGAAGGAAGCCTTGTTCATTTCTTGACCTAGCCCAGATGCTTAATTTACTTTCTTATTACAAAAAAGTGAACTTAGTTATTAGTGAAGTGAACTAAGTGAAGGGTAATCAAAAGGATAAAGGTCATTCAATAAAACATATGTGTTAGAATAGACATTCCTCAATATTTTAAACAATAGGCAAGATTTTGAACACGAGGCAACATTTCAAACCGAGGCAATGTTTTAAAAGTTTTATATCTTACCATTTTCCATGCACTTCAGAATAATAATATAAAACATAATTTCCATTGTAGGATCTCGACTGGATGTACCAGATTCAAGTCAGTCCTTCATCAAAATTGAGATAATTGTCTACATGTATAATAACCCTGACTTTGTTGGCACTACACATAGTATTGGATTCGCAGTTGTATATGATACAATGATATGGGCTGCATATGCGGATGTAACTGCAACTGCGCCTTCAACACCTGTGTCAGCGGTAAGCCAGCTGCAAGATAAATCACATGTTTCATAGTACATAGAATAAAAAGAAATTTGGTGTACCATAATAGATATTCTGATGTATTACAAAATATCATAGCTGCTTTAATTCCATTTATGACCATTGTAGAAAATACTACATATGCTGACTTTTACATATGATTTAATCACACACATAATTTAATTACACACTGTTTCTCCATTTCAGAGTGGCTCCTTACCTACGGTCAGCACAGCAGTGGCTGAAGGAAGCAGTAACAATGTCAGCATTGGAGAAGTTGCCTCTCTGGACTTTACTGTCTCAACTGCTATGGACACCAACTTCAATTATATACTAGACATACTTACTCCATACACTGCTAGCCAAGCAGTGTTCAAAATCTGTCGTATTGATATCGTAAGTAATGGGGTGAATGTTCCTTGTATGCCTGACCCAGAAGTGCTACCAATATATGAAGCTAGAGATGATCCAAGCAGTGCTACATATGATAAGGCCACATATGACATAGGCCACATTTTGAATACAGGTAAGTTGATTTTCCTATGTTGCATTGAACACTAGAACGAAGTTAAAATTGTCTGGGGGGGGGGTGTAAATGATGATTTAGTTTGTGAAGAGTGTAGAGTGTAGTGTAGTGTAGCATGGCATCTGTAACAAATGAAAGGTAGTGACATTTTGCATGTTAATGCCTTGTTAGAAATGAAATGAAATATATTAATTTTAAATTGTTTTTCAATTATCTATTTAGGTCTGAAAACACAAGCCGTTGATCCCACAGCTAATGACTTCACCTTCCGCTATCATGTCCAGGCTTTAAACCATCCATCAGCAACAGACGGTTCTGTACACCAAATATCCACAGGCCTTCGTGTTGGCACAGACACAATGTCCGCATCTCTTGACAACCTTTATATCACTGATCATTATAACCCTGACCTTGATGTGAGTAGTTTGTTGTTGTTTTGAGAGATTTTGAGAACACTTAAATATTTTCATATCAAAGCATCACAAATATGTATAAATTGTAAAATGACTGTAGTATACTGAAAATCAGGAAATATGAAACAAAAATTGAACAATTTGAATTCTCATATTATGCTGAAAATAGAATGGAATTGTTTACTATATTTTTAGAATACGACCCAACCTGAATTTTCTTTGGCTTTTCTGTTTGGTGGTGATGCCATTCACACAGGACAAACATTCGTTGTTGAGCTGACAATTATCACCAAACGTGGAATGTCATATAAACCCATGGAATTGGAGTTTAATATGCCATTTGAGAATAACTCTGCAGTGATTACAATCTGTGATGTGAAAATAACGGATGTTGGTCTGAACCTGCCCTGTTTCAATAAAGATGAAATTGTTCCTGTATATTCCTCAAAGTAAGTATGGATATACAAAACAACAATAGTACTAATCTTGAACACACTCAAAATAATCTTGAACAAACTCAAAATAATCTTGAACAAACTCAAACTAATCTTGAGCAAACTTAAAATAATCCTGAACAAACTCAAAATAATCCTGAACAAACTCAAAATAATCCTGAACAAACTCAAAATAATCCTGGTCTAACTCAAAATAATCCTGAACAAACTCAAAATAATCCTGAACAACTCAAAATAATCCTGAACAAACTCTCCAGTTATAGTTTTGAACCAAAGACCATCATATAATGCATTGATCATGAGCTGAGAATACAGATTTTATCCTTATTCTCACCATAGGGTATTATGATGGCAAATAATGTATTATTTCAGGGCTAACAATACAGAGTATGACAAAGTAAAACTTGACTTTAATGCATTAAACAATATCGGATCCACAGATGATGAGCCTAATGATGAACTGGACACAGTTAAGGTGCAGATTAGAGCAAAACTCACAGAAGCACATGTAGCTGTTAGCAATGGTGAGTTCAGACATCAAAATTTGGTCATTTTAGTGATCTAATTTTATAGACTCCTCTGACGTAGCTAATGCATATCTATATGTTTTAATTTGGTAGAAGGAAAAGATGAAAGCCAAATGATACATTATTTCATTTGAAGCATCATCAAAACCATGTATTGATACACTGTAATTTGTAAAGTAGAAATACTTTTGCATGAGGGTTGTGGAACTTGTTTTAAGATGTATTAATGAAAAATGTGTTTTAGGTACCCTGGCACACTCAAATTCACCAGATGTTAAAAATCTAAGAATAAAAGTATTTTCTTTTGAAATTCTGTAGATTAATCAGAAGTTAACCCTTGTATATAGAGAGGTTATTTACTGAGAGCGATTGGATATGGGTTATATATGATATATTATATGTTCTGATTCATTGATTGTAGGTTCCGAGCATTGGTTTGCTTCTGGTGTGACGATTACTGACACCCTTCTTTATTGTGGTATGATAAGAGTTATAGCTTTGGTCAATGAGGATGCACTTATAGATTCCGTTACTCAGGTAAGTTGTGTTGAACCTTAAGGTGTCACAGTGATCACAATAGAATATGATAAGGGCTGATCAATAAGTTATGGATGCTCCTTTACATTACATTACTTATTGAACTCCCCTCATATAAGCATTGTTAATTATTTCAAGATCTCTAAATGATGAATGTTGCTCAAGTGATCTATAGCATACCATTGTGTTGTTATAGTGATTATAATGTAGCATTGTTTTTCTATGATGATCTATAATATATCATTGCGTTTCTTCCAGGCGCCTGTCCTTGGTGTTGATTTGGATTTCCCTGAGACCAGCTCATTGTATGTGGGGCCTGAGGGAGGCAATGGTGCTGTGTTAAAAGCACTCGTTAAGCCCTCAACCTATACCGCCTCAAGATATGTCCTCACTGTTGATGTGCCTGCCACGATGACCATCTGCCACATGCGAATCATCAAAAAGGGAGACCATGTAAAATGTTTTGACGAAACCAAGACATACAACATAACAACTGAAGGGTCTTTGGAGGGACAGGTGACAACAGCTACATACTATCTCGGCCTTCTGACTAACACAGGTAAGAAGATATCATAACACATCGAAATCCCAGTAAGGGTGGCAGCATACTGTACATTAAGGCTGCACTTACACTGATGTATAAGTTGTATTACTCAATAGAAGTGCTGCTTGAAGGATGCCATTAGGTCAAAATTACTGATTTTGTAATCCCTTTTATATACCGTTGCTAGGTAACATAACAGATGCTGATAACCCTGGTAACTATAACTCCACCACAGAGGATGATGATACACTGACTGTTGAGATAATTGTGAGGATTGCTGCTAAACAACCCTCAGTTCCGGATGGTTCATTACTTACCACGACTGTTACTTTGAAATACAATGAGGAAGCAGATCAAGTTGTAGAAACATTTGACTTAACAGCAACCCACACACAACCTGCTATGGCTGTAAGTTTAATTATCTCAACCCATACACAACCTGCTATCGCAGTAAGTTTAATTAACTCTCAACCCAAACACAACCTGCTATCGCAGTAAGTTTAATTATCTCAACCCATATACAACCTACTATAGTAAGTTGAATATCTTTCATCCCCCTTAAAAAGCCTAACATAATTATATTTTGCTAAGAAACTTATGTAATTGTATTCTATATTATACTATTGGTGTATTCAAGGCAAACAGCACTCCAACAAGTACTATTGACTTTGCGGCAGACACCATGAACTTTGCTGGAGATGAGTTTGCCCAAGGCCAATCTGTGATATTCAACATAGATGTTACATTACCAGATTTTCATGAGAACGAACTGATTGTGAAACTCCTAACACCAGTGGACGTAACAGATGCTATGGAAGTGTGTAATCTTGCTGTTGTTGATGTAGGCCAGAATCTGCTGTGTACACATAAAGCAACAGCTGTGCCTGTGAAGACAAAAAGGTCTGTATTTGAATCCAACCAAGGTCAGTATTGATATGTATACTGTGGTGTGAGATGGTGTGAATGATCACAATCACCAGGCTCAGTTTCATATTTGATATGTTTTAGGGGTGCGAGAAGCAATATATAACTCAGTGCCATAAGACCATAGTCGTCTCAACTTTCCCTTGATAATACTTGTTTATCTGTATATGGTTTCAGCTGGTTTATCCTTTTGTCAGGAATATCCCCCATTTCCATACCACAAATCATCCTGAACTAATTCATATTTCCAACCTGCATCTTAACATTCCAGATCTGGGTCTCTCTATGATGATACCATTGAGCTTAATTTGGGGCCTGTGTTACAGTTTCCTGTTTACCCTAATGATGGAGCAGTCAATACAGTAAGACTATTCCATGAGTTTTTACTTTTCATTTGGGAAAATACATTCTTTATTTTCTTCAGAAATAAATATATCTTGTTTCCATTTTTGTATTCTTAGTGACATATATTTTACAAGTAGAAATAGCAGATATTTTATTGTGTAATATACTATATATATGTAATCACTGGCGGATCTGGGGGGGGCCTGGGGCCCACTTATGGGTTTTAGTTTTTTCCCTGACCTGAAATTTGGGCCCCCCCCTTGTTGGTTCCCAGATCTGCCCCTGGTAATATACAATGGCTTAATTGTTATATTTCTATGAATCCCAGTTACGTGTAGAAGGAACGATGAAAGTCCTTAGAAGTGCAGTAGTTGGTGCAAATCTTGTGGTAGGCCAGACTACTTGGGCGAATTCCAATGAAATTTCCGTCAACACCGTGGTAGTCAAGGTCAAAGACAACTCTGACTTTACTGACATTAACCCTTTTAATGTAAGTAGAATTTCAATGCATAAAATGACTACTTAAATGCTGCACTAACTTATGTAATATACATGTATGCTCAGCAATAAGCACATAGGTCTGTTAACCCATATGATAAACTCAAATTCAAAAACATTTTTCATTGCAACTCTGTGTTTGAATAATTTGGAGTTTTCTTTTTGGAATGTATATGGCATATGCACTTGTTGTGTGATGTCAATGTAATAAGGACCTAAATACCAAGGATCAAACGCTTGCATATGCATCATTGGATATTACAGGGTAATTCCAGTGCTGCACCAAATGTGACTGCCTCACCCATAATAGCAAGCCCAACTGATATAGTGGTGATCCCTATTGTGGTCTCTATGCCTCCTAACAGTGCAATAGCTGCATACATGGACATGAAGATGCCACTTGGTAGTGTAGGTGGCTCAGCTGTCATGACAGTAGAGAGTGAGTATTTTTCATGTTCACAACTATGTCACTCAAGATTCCCATGCTATTTCATTCCAGATCCCCATGCTATGTCACTCCAAATTTGCATACCTCAAATTCCCATACTATTGTCACTAATGTGCAGTATTCCCATAATGTCACAAAAGATTCTCATACCTCAACTTCCCATACTATGTCACTCAAGTATAGTATTCCCATAATGTCACACCAGATTCCCATACTATGTCACACCAGATCCCCATACTATGTCCCTCCAGATCCCTATACTAGGTCACACCAGATTCCCATACTATGTCACTCCAGTTCCCCATACTATGTCCCTCCAGATCCCTATACTATGTCACACTAGATTCCAATACTATGTCACACCAGATTCCCATACTATGTCACTCCAGATCCCCATACTATGTCCCTCCAGAACCCTATACTATGTCACACTAGATTCCAATACTATGTCACACCAGATTCCCATACTATGTCACTCCAGATCCCTGTACTATGTCCCTCCAGAACCCTATACTATGTCACACCAGATTCCCATACTATGTCACTCCAGATCTCCATACTATGTCCCTCCAGAACCCTATACTATGTCACACTAGATTCCAATACTATGTCACACCAGATTCCCATACTATGTCACTCTAGATCCCCATACTATGTCCCTCCAGAACCCTATACTATGTCACACCAGATTCCAATACTATGATATTTCAGAGCTCTGTGCTATGTAACTCAAGACTTACACTTCAGATCCTCATAGGTTGTCATTTCAAAATCTCATTTTATATAACCTTTAATTCCCATTTATGTCACTCCAGATTCCCATAATGTGTCAGTCAACATCTCATGCTGTCACTCCAGATTCCCATGCTATGTCACCTCAAATTTATATTGTCTTCTCAGATTTTCAAACCATTTCAATACAATGTAAAATGAAATAAAAGTTCTTGTATTATTTCAGGTGTTGAGATAACGAATGTTGGACGTAACTTGGGATGTTTTGACAGTTTTATTGGCGATGACTGGCTTGACTGCAGTAATACGACAACATGCCAGAATGTCAGCTGCGTATTAGATCTTGGCATTATTACAAACTCAGGTGACCCATCTATTCTTATTTTAATTTAAAATGAATATCAAAATTTCTCAAGTGTTTTACATTGCATGTACTTACAGTTTATATCATTTATGTCTTTAAAATTGATTATATGGATTATTGATCATTAGAAGAGACATTTGCAATGCCTGATTATTTCTCGCATTAGGAGCCATTTTATGATTATTTCTCGCATTAGGAGCCATTTTATAAAATAGAATTGGTTAAAATGTACCACTCTTTTAAGTCTACTGTTCTTCTTTGGCCTACTCGACTATCTAGTTGTACATGTATATACTTTCTAGGTTTAACATTGAGGACTGAGGAATACATGGCACAAGATGATGAGTTCACCGTTGAAGTGTCATTAAAAATGGCTGATGCAGCTGAGGCTAATGACGCCACACAATGGGACGTGAGCTTTGGCCTAAAGAGCAACCAGACCATCATTGTATTTGATAAGGTGGTAGAAGTATCTCTTACTGGTACAGAGGAACCTGTTATGGTTATGGCAGTTGACCTCATTGAAACAGCTCCTGTTTTGACCCCAGCGTAAGCATGAGTAGCTGAGAATCTATCTTATGATTTAAACATGAGCTATGATATTTTTTCGATGTGACTACAATCAGTCTTATTAGTATGACTACAATCAGTCTTATCGTAATTATATTCAGCCTCTTTAATGTGGATACAGTCAGTCCTATTAATGTGACTTCTACCAGTTTTCTTAATGTAACTACAATCAGTTTTTTCAATGCGACTACAATCAGTCTTATCGTAATTATATTATTATTACTCTTTAATGTGGATACAGACAGTCCTATTAATGTGACTACAATCAGTCTTACCAATGTGACTACAATCGCCTTATCAATGTGACTACAATTAGCCTCATCAATGTGACTGCAATCAATTTTATCAATGTGACTACAATTAATCCTCTAGATGTGACTTCAATAATTTAATGAAAGCTATACAAAGAATTAATAATTACAACTTTAATAGTCACACGTTGGCATATTCATGTTTGCAGTAGCCCATCGCTTAGTATAAGTGTGAACATTACTCATGATGATGTAACTTCAAATGCTGAGGGGGTCGATTGTGCTTTGACCTTCTTTCCACCATCTGCTTTGATCTATGGGGGAATCACGACCCAAAATTACACAGGCAGAATCATAGTGGAGTCACAAGGAGATTATTACAATTCATTTGAGGTATTTATGTTTGGATATGAGGATTAATAACATGTTTATTATGCCCTTTCAATAAAATTTAAAAAACACTAATTTTATTGTATTCAAGGCTAAAAGCACAGCTATAACCTCAATTTACGTATCTGTATACAATAAAATTCATAGCCATGGGCACATTTTTTGGTAGGTGCATAATGGTCAAGTACTCCCTCGTGGGATATTTCATTTACAAATTAATATGACAAATACCTCCTAAAAGCAATTTTATTTAACTCTGAACACATCTGTATACAAAATCTAATGCAATGTATGAATTATTGTTTCAGTTCAGTTCCATATACTTCTGTGATGAAATCTACTTTGAGTTCACGTACACCCTGAACACTTCATCCATCTTTCCTCAATGGGCCCAGGGTGCTGAAGGCCGTATCCCCTATGAGCTGTCGTGTAAGAAGAATCTCCATGGTGGCCTGGACAATGACTACCCCACATATGGACCTTCATTGGAGTTCATTATGAGTGGCTTAAATGCAGGAGGTATGCATACATTTAAAATAGTACCCATGACACATATTTATTTTGCTATATGTTCATGTATAATAGTACCCCAGACACGTAAAACTAGAGTTTAAATGTTTAAGTTCTTCATCCACATTCATGTTTGTACTCTGAATAGGAGTATTAGGACACACATGAGTATTAGTAGCATTTGTTTTAAAAAGTATTGTATTTTTCACTGGGAAATAATTTCTTATATGGTATTCAATGAAATAATATTTGATATGTTGTTCGTTTATTAAAAGCATCAAAATGTTTGTTACATTGTTTGTCATTTCATGTAATGTGTTCTGTAAATGAGATGAATGTACCCAAGAGAATATAGATCAGAATAGTTGCATGTCTTATGTAAAATAAAATTTGGAAAGACATTTATGTTTCTTATGTATGTTTTAACTACTTCATCTTGATATCCAGCTGACAGTAAGTACAAATGAACAAGTGAAAACTTCATAATTATTGTTTTTTGAAATCAGTATCTTTTGTCTAATCCCTGTTATCCCAACAAACAAATTTTGGTATGATATATCGAATATACAGCGAAGCTAACTGTCAGTCCGTTAGTTGAAGTAAATGATAGTCCAAAGTGCTTGAGAAACCAGATATTTTGTTTGTTGGGTAAGACTACTTTAAACTAGATTTGGCATTTTCCACTTTTAAATAACCTCCACTTTCACTAACTTTTTGTATTTTGAGTTCTTAAACTAATTCTGAAATTACTTATATATTTCACAAAATTATAGTGTAAATTCTCTTCACATGTCATTACTATTAACACTGACCTAAAAGTATTAACAATATGCACATGCATGTACAACATTGACCTTATTCCACAACACTGCTCTAATTGCATAAAACTGTCCTAATTACCCAAATGCGAGTAGGTAGTTACCAGTTTCACCACCAGGTGGCTGATTCGGGTCAATTAACATGGCAGGTATATAAGAAAGTTCCCTTAAACTTGAATATTATTAATTTAAGTGGCTCAATTTTCATATAACCCTTATGTGTCTGATACTTATACAAATGAAAATATGTCCAGTAAAGCAAAATATTATCTGTCCACTAAAAGAAGATATTTAATTTTTTGTGATTTTATAGCATGGGGTCTATGGCGAATCTCCCCGAGCTAGAAGTCACATTTTCAAAGAAAAGATACATTTTTCAAAGTTGATAAACACTTTTTAAAACCACATTTCTAGATGTAATTTTACATGTAGATTTCAAATATGATATTACTTTGACTGAATTTTTAATGACGTAAATCAAGATTATTTCTACTCGCATCTGGGTTATTGCATATAAAGAGAAATATAACTGCACAACAAATTTACCTGCACAACACTGACCTAATTGCATATAAAGAGAAATCTAACTGCACAGCCTAAATGTATTTAAAGAGAAATCTAACTGCACAACCTAAATGCATTTAAAGAAAAATCTAACTGCACAACCTAAATGTATTTAGAGAGAAATCTAACTGCACAACCTAAATGCATTTAAAGAAAAATCTAACTGCACAACCTAAATGCATTTAAAGAGAAATCTAACTGCACAACCTAAATGCATTTAAAGAAAAATCTAACTGCACAACCTAAATGCATTTAAAGAAAAATCTAACTGCACAACCTAAATGCATTTAAAGAGAAATCTAACTGCACAACCTAATTGCATTTTAAGAGAAATCCAACTGCACAACAAATCTAACTGCACAACACTGACCTAATTGCATTTAAAGAGAATCTAACTGCACAACCTAATTGCATATAAAGAGAAATCTAACTGTACAACCTAATTGCATTTTAAGAGAAATCCAACTGCACAACAAATCTTAACTGCACAACACTAACCTAATTACATTTAAAGAGAAATCTAACTGCACAGCCTAAATGCATTTAAACAGAAATCTAACTGCACAACCTAAATGCATTTAAAGAGAAATCTAACTGCACAACCTAAATGCATTTAAAGAAAAATCTAACTGCACAACCTAAATGCATTTAAAGAAAAATCTAACTGCACAACCTAAATGCATTTAAAGAAAAATCTAACTGCACAACCTAATTGCATTTTAAGAGAAATCCAACTGCACAACAAATCTAACTGCACAACACTGACCTAATTGCATTTGAAGAGAAATCTAACTGCACAACCTAATTGCATATAAAGAGCATATATACATGTAAAGAAAAATCTAACTGCACAACACTTACCTAAATGCATTTAAAGAGAAATCTAACTGCACAACCTAGTTGTATACATATGTATAAAGAGAAATCTAACTGCACAACCTAAATGCATTTAAAGAGAAATCTAACTGCATAACAAATCTACCTGCACAACACAGACCTAATTGCATATAAGGAAAAACAAACCTATATTGTTTATATTAACACTATTAGTGTTCAGCTCTACAATTTTACCTTTTTGCTGTTACAGTATATTCTATTCAATGTCTTTGATGTTAAGAGTATTTTGTATTATCTACTTGTCGAACTGACAATAATGGTATAATGAAAAAGATTGTGATTAGATCCCTGAGAAAACAAAATGAAAGAGAGACCCTAATCCTTGGGAGTCTCTATATTGCACACTCATTTATCCAGGTTTCCTAAAAAGGCATGTAGATGTAGCTGAACAAATTACAAAGGCATTCAATAAATCTTTATGTTCATTGAGAATAAAATATGGAAATATGAAATGAGCTATAATGTGTGAAAATGTTTATTGAGACAGGATTTCATTTCATGAGGTCTTATTTGTTTAATGCTTTGTGTGATGTCATGTGATATATTCTTATGTGATGTTTTGTCCTATGTGCTGTCCATTTTATTTGAAAACATGTTCTGTGTAATTTGAAGTGTATATTTAAAATATTCCATGTTATGTGATTTAAAGACACACATCATGTCGCATATCGTGTTATATGATTCCATTTGTCATTTAGGCTGCGGTGTACTGGGTATGGATGACAGCAATTTGATAAAAGATTCACAAATTGCTGTTTCCGGAAGCAAAGATGTTGCCCATGGCAAAACTATGTTACGACCTTCGAGTGGAGGGGGTAAGTTTCTACTTTATCATTCAGTGACATTTAGTCATTTACTAAACATATATAAATGTATTAATGATATTTAGAAGGGGCAGGGAACACATATATAATATAGAAATCTTGATTTCTAAGACGAATATAAGTGAATATGTTAGGGAGATAGTTAGGGGCAAATTGAGTGTGTTTTAGGAGCAAATTGATTCCAACAAAATGTTGGAAAATCATTCAAACATTATTTGAAATGTTGAGCTGTTGCTATGTTGAAAATATGACCAAAGCAGATTTGATATATGTTTTCATTCTTCAGCATGGTGTGCCAAACCACGACAGGGCCCAGATCAGCAGTTTATTGTCATAAACTTTGGTCAACGAGTCCGTGTGTTAAAGATTGCCCTGCAGCATGAAGCGGCTGTTAGTGCAAACCGTGTGACCCAATATAGCCTTGCATACAGTGATGATGGACTTATCTATGAAGATGGTGAATCGGTAAGGTTTTTCACTTTCTTGTTTTCATAGCCATGATGCATGTTCATTTAAAATAAAATCTTTTGAAATCTTAATTCTATTTCACTGGTGTAATTTGTTCAAATCAAAATTCATTGAATCATAAACTACTCTCCCTGTTACAGATTGTTCCAAATCCACTAAGCTACACAACCTCTGATGATGCACTGTCAAGTCCTCAAGAATACCGCTGGCTAAAGTTGAAAATTGACAGCCATGATGGTGCGAATGCCTACGATGACATCTGCTTCAGACTGGAGATTTATGGCTGCACAACTACTTCTGATCCAAATCCTAGTAAGCAACCATTTGCATTTAACAATATACATTAAAACCTGTGAAAAGTAGAACATCCTTGCTTCTGCTATGATAATGTGTGCTTCTTAAGCATTAAGTCAGTATTGTGGGCCACAGGACTGTGAAATATTCCACTTACAAAGGCTTTCCACTTTGATGTTCCACTTGATGGAATCTACTGTTTTACCTTTTACATGCATATACCTTTTGAAGAATTTAACTTTGGATTGGTTTCATTTTTCAAATTGTTCCCTCATATTATATGACAATTGACTCAACAGAATTGGACTTAACTTCATAGAATTGATCTGCTATTGACTGTTGTATCGATCATTATTACAGCACACGTCATGTACTTTGATTCTAATGTATTTCCAGACCTTGATGCCAATGTCCTGACTTACTCTGCAGATTTTGACAAACCATCACGTTCCTTGCTCCATGTTCCTTCAATAACTACTGTCTTCTTCTGTGATGTTAACCCTGGGTAAGTTCCTCTTTTAGTCACATGACTTACTCTCTAACTCTGAGTAAGTTCCCCTTCTAGTCACATGACTTACTCTTTAACCCTGGGTAAGTTCCTCTTCTAGTCACATGACTTACTCTAACCCTAGGTCACATGACTTTCTCTCTAACCCTGGGTAAGTTCCTCTTCTTGTCACATGACTTACTCTTTAACCCTGGGTAAGTTCTTCTTCTAGTCACATGACTTTCTCTCTAACCATGGGTAAGTTCCTCTTCTAGTCACATGACTTTCTCTCTAACCCTGGGTAAGTTCCTCTTCTAGTCACATGACTTACTCTCTAACCATGGGTAAGTTCCTCTTCTAGTCACATGAATTCCTGAAATGAACTTCTGAGCTACATGATATTTCAAATTAATTACATTATGGGGGCAAGTGCCTATCTCTGATCCCAAAATACAACGAAATTGAAAAAAAGCAAAATACTGTACCTTGACACACTAACCTTGTGAATGGATCACGAGACTTAAAAAACATTATTTTCTGTTAAAAGTGCAATGCTTAAAAATTGCAAATATTGGCACTATAAAAATAAAAAAAGGGCATGTATGCATCCCTTATAATTTGCATACTAGTACATGTACAAGGAGGATTGGCAGCCATTGTTCAAACTCAGTCTTCCGTTGCTTGGCATGGAACAATTTGGAAACAATACTTCCCATACTGTATGTTGAAGACTACCACTGCCAAAGTTTGAATATTACCATAAAACTCATATGACATACAATATAGACTAGATACTGAGTCTCAAGATGAACTTTATACAAATATTATTACTAATTGTTCCTTGCCAGGCAATGGAAGATCGACAAGTACAGAGACTGTTTAATTGATTGTACAGGGATACATGACTTATGTTTACTTTTTGTGTTTACTTTTTAAGCAGATCTGGCAGGTCCAAATGTTGGGGATCATCTGATGGAAATACATGGACAGGTTAGGAAACAATTAAAGTGGGTCCCAAGTTTATTCATATTTTGGGGTACCCTGTATATAACACCCTCTATATAATAACTTTAAAATAAAGTGATTTGTTTAATTTTTAATTTGATATTATTTAGTTTGTTTAATTGCAATAAAATTCTCGACTGATCATATCAAATGAAAGACAAATTGTATACTTTGCCTCACTCTAATTGACTCCAATAAATGGAATTACTTATACATTATTTAAGCATGTTTAAATGCAATGAAGAACTCTTGATAACGCTGATCATTTCGCTTAGTCCATATTCACAATTTCAACGTGATATTCTATTTTTACTACTCCAGCAGACAGATTGAAAATTCTTTTTTAGCCGTTGATGAGCGTGTCCACTTCCTGTTGGGCTTCAACTCAGATACTGGTTTCATCTATGGCATCTCAAGAAACCACGGCTATGGCTCTTACATGATGAGTGAAGACAGTGGCGCCAGCTGGAGTGTGATCCCAAGTGATAGGTTCAACACAGACAAGGCTACAAACTTCAATATTGGATTGTCAATAAAGGATGAGTATACCCCAACTTTTGGAGCAACTGGTGCTCCAGATAACACATTCAGGAGCCCTGATGCTAGCGGCCAATGGGGAGGTATGTTTCGTACTTGTTTAGAACTAACAAGATGTATTAATTTTAATTCATATAGTTTAAAAATAGAATATGGCTTGCATCTCTCCTCAAATATTGCTTATTAGTTTCCATATGACCCCCATAAACATAACATGCATGCCATAAATACGTAATTTAAAATCATCTAACTTGTGTTTCAGTTGATTATAATGGAGTGTATTTTGAGACCAGCCCAAATGTGTGGAACATGCGCGTTCGTTGGACATCCTGTTGCACACCCTAGTTACCACGGCAACAATGTTAAGAGCCACTTATAAGCTATTTACCAAACAATCAAATTAAACCTCAAGGAATTGTTTATACTATGGTATTAAAAGATATAACATATGGACATAATTTGCAAAATACAAAACACATTTAAGACGCACAAACAAAAGTGCATAGAATTCAGATATGGGAAATAATCTGAAGATGCAAACATCAATTCAAATATTGGATCTAGAATCCTTATTTTAACTTCTCGTTTGTTGTAGTATCATAAATGTAAACTGTGATATTTTAAATACCGTCCATGTAAATATAGTATTATTACACAGAAAATTATAAATTAAAAGTTATTATCCCACCCTAACGTGCATTGAAAAAATAACAGAAATACTTTTTAATACTCTGATAGAGTTGTATACAGTGAAAATGACTACAGTATATACAATTATTAATTTATATTACATTGTTAATAAAATAATATAGTCAACATATTATATAACTGTATAAAGCACTCAGGTTGGGATAATAGTGAATTGAGAATTTGCGATGTTGAAGGGTCAACCTCAAAGAATGAGGAGAAAGAAAACTAATGGTTGAAGTCAGGAAATACAAGCAATGGATGAAGGAGTGGGAAATGAAATTTCAACTGCAAATGAAAAACATTTTCAACATTTTTAATTAGAAAATAACATGTTATGATCTAGTTTTGGATCACTTTGTTCATATTTATTGAAGACATATAGTAGCCTGGACAGATTACTTCATTTACAAATTTGAGACAAAAATAAATTGAGTTATGTCAAATATTTCAAAATTATAAATGTGTAAAATTTAAAATTTCATATATATTCCTATATCTTTTTGTTCTAGAATCACATTTACTCTACTAATCTCTTTGAGAAAAATATTTAGACAAAGTGACCAATAAAGTAAAATGTCCAGGCTACTATATTATTTATATATATTTAGCATGTGTAATGTTAACAGCTTATTTTTCTAGAACTTGACCAGTAGTCCGTCCATCAAGAAATTTAATTATCCTGATCGCCTTGAAAAGTTTTTTTTGTTACACAGTTAACAAAATTTAAAGTTTTAATAATTATTTAATTTTTCTATACAATTCAAATTAAAATGCTATTATTACTAAAGTAAAATGTTGAGAGACAGTACCAGATTCTATCATTAATGAAGTTTTGTTACATGGCTCAAGGGCCATCTATTGAAAATACTTTCAAAACAACACCCATTTATAAATTATTTCAAGAAGATCAGTTTTTTTGGTAATCTTAAAATGATATGTATTTACTGCTGAATGATCTTATATTGAAGTGAAGTGTTGTGTTTAATTTTGCAAATTTTATCATTAATTCGCTTCATAAAATACGTAACCTATATTGCCAAATTGTGCCATATTAACCGATCCAGGATGAAGCATCCTCCCAACACAGGCCTCCAGAACTCATACCCCATTCTTTCAAGGAGGAAGGAACGTAGTGGATGATATCTGGAGCCCTGCATACGGAGGATGAGGATGAAGAAATATTCATCCTTAAATTGAGTAACCTTAGACAATATTGATATTTGACATTAAGCATATCTTAAACTGTTAGTTAATTGTTACTTAAGCATAATGCACTTAGTAGTGCTATCCCAATCTGAACAACATTAGTTAAATGTATGCTATTCCCTCCACGACTGACAACTTCATGATTTGAAGGCACTCTAAGTTCTCTAATTTTCGCTATTTTTATTTGAAGTTTATACAGATCATTTGGAATAAACTTCAGACAAATTTAGACATTAATATCTCGAACATCTCCAAATCTATCGTCTAAATCTCTAAATAATTGCAATACATTAGAGAACATACTTATCATCAATGTAGAAATCTGAGTTTTCTCTTTGTTTTTGAAATTGATTACACTGAAAACAATGTTTATGAAGTGAATATTTGTCAGTTTAACATATGATTTCCCCAATTCTGCTCTAAAAAATCCATACTGTACTTTTAATGGCCTTTTCAGAAACAATAAATAAGTTACATTTTCATTTCAAGAATTTTCAACCATATGTATTGAGTGAATTTGTTGGGTCTCGATGAATGTGCAATATGCCATGTATAACAAGTAGAATCTAGTATAACATTAACATATACTGTGTTTACATATATTTATATCAAACTTCAATTATATTTTTCAATCAAGCGTATATATATTAAAGTATATAAAGTAACATATAATGTTGACAATTATATTCTTATTTGTCTGTAATACATACAATACATGAATCTTCAAAACCCCTTTTCCATGAAGGATTCATTTCAGAAATAAATTGGATAACGCACTGGTCTTAACCATATTACGGTGACTATCTTACAAAATATATAACTTTTTAACTGGACTTTAAGAGAGCTAAACTAATGATATATTGAAATATGGACATAATCAAACTGGAACAGATAATAGGAACTAAACAGAAATATAGTCTCTAAGTGTAAGATATACTATGTCTTATATCAATATTGGAAAGAAATGTGAAAAATCATTGTTTTCATATTATAACCATGATCATAATGAATGCACAACTTATTTCTTTCTAGTATGTGAGCAATGAGCTGATCTTATAACAAACAGTAAAACCTGTATAAGTGGAACACACATAGTTTCACCAACAAAAATGTTTCAATTAGGAGCTGTTTCACTTCTGATTCAGGAGGTTCATTCCTTCTCCATCTCTGTCCTTCTGGACAAAAAAACATCTGCAGAGCACAGAGAAAAGAGATGAGAGTTGCTAAGAACATCAGAATGAGGTTCAAACAACATGAACTCAATGCTTCATGTGACTGTAATGTGTTCTTCTTGTGTTCCACTTACAGAGGTGTTCCACTTACATAGGTGTTCCACTTACATAGGTGTTCCACTTACATAGGTGTTCCACTTACAGAGGTGTTCCACTTACATAGGTGTTCCACTGACAGGTTTTACTGAATAAGTACATAGATGTGCTTTGTTTTTATTTTTACTTGTTACATATGAAGTATTAAAGATCTATTAGATTCTTTCTTATACTCTTCCACATTATTTGTGAATTTAAGAATAAACTAAAAACTTGTATTACTACTTACTTTTACTGAAGAACTCATTCCTCTTAAATGTACATGTAATAACCAGGGGTTTTAGTAGATACTCTGACAATAGGCAGAACAAATGAAAACAACTGAAATTGTCTCTTGGAAACAATTGCAAAATTATTAAAACCAGTAATTTTTGTTAAAAATTGAGAAAATCTCCTGCTGCTAATGAAACCCCTGAGTTACTATGGCTTTCCATGATATGAATTTGTTGCAAATTGAGTAAGAGAAAATGATTAAAATTATTGGCTTTATCCCTTTTACTTATACTAGAAATATCACACATGTGTGATAACCTATACACCATATCTCAATGCAATGTAATGCTATAATCAAAATAGATTTAACAAAATCATTGGAAACAAACAAAATTTTGACTCCAAAAATCAAATTCATGGGTCAGTTTAGTTTGTCATGCCACAGTTGCGACACCCACTTTATTTTGGATTGTAGTTGTGAAGAGCATTACTTACTCCATTTCTGTAGCCTCATGTTTTTCCGAGGTCCCTTAAATACTGGAAATCTCTAATTGCAGAGGGTTTGACTTCACTCATTGAATCGGTAAATTCGACCAGTAATTCAAAATACCCACCATCAATTCTGGGAACTATTTCCAAATTATTTTCCAAGCCAGTGCAGGACATTTTGAAAGTTTTGATAAATGAAGTCAGAATTTTTAGATGCTCTTCACAACCACAATCTAAGTAGGTGTGGCACATGATCAGGTATATAGATTTCAATGTATAAAGATTGTTACAAAATTTAAATGATCATGTGAACAGTTACCTGTGAAAAAATAATTCTTAGAATGATTCATTTTAGTTTGAAAGTACAGTACAGTTACTTATTTAATAAAGTAATTTACCAAATTATTTTTTAAATTCATACCGTGATTCACTTCTACTTTGTCCAAGATTTTGTAACAACCTTTAACATTCTGTACATCAACTCACATGACAAAGCCAGTGTCTAGCCTTCAAAGTACCACTATAAAGTTATTTTGAAATAAACTTTCTGTCTTAACCAAAATACCTGTACCTGTAAAGCTTTACTGAAAAATAGATGAAAAATAAAACTTTATTCTTTAACTTTATGTTCTGTTGAATGAATTATATATATTATTATATCACTGTCATATTCCTCACTCTCTTATTGGTCCAAGTCCTACACGTGACTAAAAATAACTAGCGATATTCAACGGAGGTGAATATCAAATGATATTCAACGGTCATGAATGGACATTTGAAAAACATTCCCAACCGTGCTTCCTACATGGCCAATACTATGAGTATGAACACAATGGTTCCATTTTCATTGACCCATTGCAATTAATTATAATGTTAACATGAAACCTTAAATTAAAATACTACAACCTTGGAGTTGATATTTATTGACTATACAATTTGGGAGTTGATATTTATTATCCCAACGAACGAAGTTCGGTAGGGATATAGTGAAGCCCTCCATCCGTCTGTCCGTCCGTCCGTCAGTCCGTCCATCCGTCTGTCCGTCCGTCCGTCAGTCCGTCCGTCCGTCCGTCTGTCCGGAAGATAACTCAAATATTAGTCGACAGATTTTCTTCATATTTGGTGGAAAGATGTATATTGATGAATAGTTTTACGCAAAAAAAAAAATTTTCAAGATGGCCGCCGCTTAAAAAATGACGGGACTTTTTCGCAAAAATCATAAATCTTTCATTCTAAACCAAAGTAATTGATATTATTGTTTGAAATTTTGGTAGTATATTTGCAACATCTATCTATTTCACATATATTCCGTGTTTTTCATCCTGACCCCCAGGGGTCGTGTATGGGGGGTCAGGAAAACAGAAATCTTCGCTAATTTTTAGATCTTTCTGAAGTATAGCTTTATTATACTCAAATGAAAGGCAATTAAGAGTAGATTGCAAATATTGTATCTTTTTTCTGATTCAAGCCTCGTAAAATTCAAAATGGCCGTCTAATGTATGATCCCTTCAAAGTATTGCTATATTATACTCAAATTGAAGGAATTTTGGAGTAGATCACAATTATGGTATTATTTTTTAGATTTGTACCTCAGAAAATTCAAAATGGCTGCTTTGCAGGAATTCGCAATTCTAAAATCTAAATTTTTCAATTTTAACCATAGTAATGCGTATAATTGATTGGAATTCAGTAATTGATATTTTGTTCGTTGGGATTTGCTACTCCGCGGAGTTGCCGTTATCTAGTTGTATTTTTTGTAGTTATATTGTTAGAAGAAATATAAATATATTTCAATGTTAACATATGACTTATTTAATTATAGAAGATGTTATGACAGTGATATAATAAAACAAATATTTAATTCTATTTTCGGTGAATACCTGTGACACTTTCACAAGATGATATTCCACTAGCCCTTCGGGCTTCGTGGAATATCACTTGTGAAAGATGCACAGGTATTGACCTCAATATAATTAAATATTTGTATAGTATTCGACAACATGTCTGACGTGGCATTTATTCAAAATATAAAATACCTCAAACGTGAATTCCCACCATGAATGGGAGATGGTATGATTTTTTTTGTGTATTTGAATTCCAAATATGGCACTCACATCACAAGTGATATTATAGTCTGTGCAATCATGTCTTGAAACATCAAAGCTAGGATTCTGTGAATGTCTCATAAAGATAGACGGCTTTAATTTGCATCGATATCTTTAAGTCATGCTACAGACCACTAATGGCCCATTTTCCTGAATTCAATTCCTCTATACCAGGTATCTTCTCAGTTTTATATCTCAGTTCTATCTCTCAATCAAAACTAACATCATTGTGGACATCATTGTCTTTGTTGGTTGAACTATTGGACTGTAATTCCTCTATTTTAGCCTTATTGTTTGTTTTATGTATTTTCATATTATGTTCAGTTATTTCTTCCATGTTAATTGAGTCATCGGTGTCCGAGTCTGAATCTTGCTCATCTGAGCCTTGCTCAACCATTGATAGCTTCTGAAATGATTATAATACAATCTACTGAACATACTATGATAATTTGTTTTGAGTAAATTCCTAATCATCTTTTTATCTTATACTTTGCCGCTAATGTTAATAATTTAACAATGGAAATATTTGTATATGTATTTTCACTCAGGAAACATAAACAAATGAAATTGAAAAATATAATCTATTGCACTTAAGTTCGGACAACCAGTAAATCAATGATCATTAGCAAATTAGTCATTTTACCCAGTCAACACTGGAAGCTCCTTTTCATATAGGTACATATGGGTTAAACATAAATAACATGAACAGAATGGCTAACAGAACATTCTAGTTGCATCATACTATCCTGCCAAAATTTCCCTTAACAGGTTACTTAAAATACAGACAGCCAAGTATTTATATGATAAAAGTCCTTACCATTTCGATGAACTGTCCTTCTTTGTCATCTGGCACAGGTTCTTCTATACTAAAACCTTCTATTTCTCGATTGTTGATTCTCATCTGGAGGACATCATTAGCTGCGGCTATCTTAGGGAGGAATGATCTTACTTGGCCCAAAACTGAAACAAAATAATTGAGTATACATGTATAAAGCTGATGTATTTTTGATCTACTTTAAAAAACCTTCTATTTTCTTGTAAATTGTCATGTAAGGCAGCCATTTTGGATTTTGAAAAACAAGTTTCATTTAAAAAAGGAATTGAGGACATAACTTAAATATTAATATTTTTCTGTAATTACTACAAATACATTTAATAAATTTACATTTAATAGGTAAAAACCCAAAAAATAATTGTACAGCCGCTAGGCCACTACTACACCACCTTTTAGACAGCATTTAACAAAGTTTACCTAAAATCTACATCAAAATTAAGTTTGATAATTTTAAAAGGTCACTGTTTTAGAGGTGAATAAATAAACAAGTGTTGCAAAGTTTTATTGGAAATTATACCTACTTTGTGTTCAAGGCTTCAATTTATTGGTAATCCAAATGTCTTTCCAAGAGTGTATAATACTATAATATGCACCTTAGTTATTATCAATGAATCAAATAGAGAGTGGGAAAAAAGAGAAACAAGACACACAGTGATAAATATCGCACTTTGAAGAGCAAACTGGCCACCATGCAATTTACCCAGCATGGCCAAAACCTAATCAGACCTTGGCACTAGTCTGCTCTTGCATCTGTAAACATTTCAAGTTGACAAGGTTAGCGGTTTTCCTACAATTTTGATGACAAGAATTTATTTGTAGTCTTGAACTTTGGGAAAAATTAGATAACATTGTTTGTGACCTAATTTGATGACCTTCGACCTTGAAAATTTCACTTTTTCAGACCTCAGTAGGTGTTTTGTAATTAAGCTGACCTAAATTTAAATCCAAAATATCAATTTAGAAAATCAAATTTTTGACCTTGTCAAGGTCATTTAAGGTCAACGAAAGGTCAAATCTGAAATCTAAGGTCAGATTTGAACTTCTGAGAACTTGTAGATGTTTTTAAGAAAAAAATTTGGTCAATTTGGAGCATGTTGAAAAATTCAAAATGGCCGCCAAATTGAAAAATTCAAAATGGCCACCATGTAATTCAGCCAGCATACCCAAAACCTAATCAGATCTTGGCAATAGTCTGCTCTTGCATCTGTAAAAATTTCAAGTTGAACGGATAAGTGGTTTTCCTGGAATTTTGATGACAAGATTTGTTGAAAAATTCAAAATGGCCGCCACGTAGTTTACCCAGCATGCCCTTAACCTAATCAGATCTTGGCACTAGTCTGCTATTGCATGTGTAAAAATTTCAAGTTGAACAGGTTAGCGGTTTCTTGGAATTTTGATGACAAGAATTGATTTGTAGTCTCAAACTTTGAGAAACTTGGATAACATCATTTGTGACCTAGTTTAATGACCTTGACCTTAGACCTTGAAAATTTCACTTTTTCAGACCTCAGTAGGTGTTTTGTAATTAAGCTGACCTAAATTTAAATCCAAAATATCAATTCAGAAAATCAACTTTTTTGACCTTTTCAAGGTCACTGAAGGTGAATGAAAGGTCAAATCTGAAATCTAAGGTCAGATTTGAACTTCTGAGAACTTGTAGATGTTTTTAAAAAAAAATTTGGTCAATTTGGAGCAAGTTGAAAAATTCAAAATGGCCGCCAAATTGAAAAATTTCAAAATGGCCACCATGTAATTCAGCCAGCATACCCAAAACCTAATCAGATCTTGGCAATAGTCTGCTCTTGCATCTGTAAAAATTTCAAGTTGAACGGATAAGTGGTTTTCCTGGAATTTTGATGACAAGATTTGTTGAAAAATTCAAAATGGCCGCCACGTAGTTTACCCAGCATGCCCTTAACCTAATCAGATCTTGGTACTAGTCTGCTCTTACATCTGTAAAAATTTCAAGTTGAACAGCTAAGCAGTTATCCTGGAAATTTGATGACAAGATTTGGTTTATGTCCCGCCCGCCCGCACGCCCGCACACCCGCCCGCACGCCCGCCCAACAGCACAAGACGACGACAATATAGCACTTTTTCAAAGTGCGATAAAAAATCATGGCCAACATTCTATCCATATAACATACATACATACAGGTTTTAATATTCTGCAAGTCACAGTTACCTGAGCTATTCTCCATACGGAATGTCTTACGCTCACTCAATGGAGTCACTTCATTTTCCTTCTTCTTCTTGATAACCAAGCAGCTCAATTCTACAAGTAAAATAGACATTTACAGTGACTAATTCTCATATTGAAAGATAATCACAATTTAATTATCAAGGCTTTAACATGCAAAATGTCACCACTTGCCATTTGTTACAGAAGCCAACCACAGAATGCCAAACGCTGACTGCCAAAAGCCGAACATAATCCACAAAAACTCATGTCAACTCTTGTGGTAGTGACACCACTTGTGGTAGTGACATAAAAATAAGTCTAAAGCTTTATTTGCATTCAATTTAAGGTTCAGCTGGAAAATAACATTTTGGTAAAAATTGCTATACCTGAACATGTTATTTTCTGATACAAAATTAAGTATGAAGGCATGTGTATATTTTCTTGCTTTTTTTCAGGAAAGTATCATTACATTGTCTTCTTTTAGTATATCTGGTATATTTTCCAGCTGTACCTTAAATGATTTTTACATTCTAGTTTCATGTCACGCAAAAAAAAACTAGTGTAACTTCAATTCCTTCAACTAATGTGTGACAAATAAGCAAATTGCTGGACAGTTGGGCAGCCTGAGTATAGGCCCTCTACTGTATCTGGCTTGTTTATAGTTCAACATCGATAAACTCAATAATGGCATTCTTTAATATTAGGAATTTTCTTGGCCCGTTATTGAGTTTAGCCTCCTTACTATTCTTTCCTTTGTTGCAATTTCTGGATCCATCGAAACCATTTTTCCGCAATAACATGCAACTGATACTTAACAATAATATAAAAACACATAACATCAAGTGATTTAACATGTCCCTCATTGTTGTCTGTTCGTCCGAGTATACCGGATCATAAAAACTATTAGCGAAACGAAAATGTTGTCAAAAAGATTGATACAGTAAAACCTGTCTAATCCGAACACCCATGGGACCAGCTAAAAGCGTTCAAATTGGCAGGTGTTCAAATTTCTAGGATTTTGTTGGTCAGGGGGGGGGGGGATTTTCATTGTTCAGTGCACTATATTGAACACTTAATACTAAGTCAGAAAACAATACATGTTGTTGATGAGTTAATTCTACAATAGGCCCATAGCCTATATGCTATGTTTTATTTATATTTTGAACAATTTCATCATTTTAGTAAAAATAACTCTTATATTTTGGCAAAAACTTTGTAATACACTGTAAAAGTATATGATAGTCTCGTACGAAATCTTGTGCTTATCAAATGGCTTATTCCATATTATGGTTATATAGCACTGCTTTACTTTTGCTTGAAAAAGTCCTTCATTGTTGTTTGTTTCTTGGCACTTTTAGCATTAGCAATATTTGAGTAGATATCCTCTTCAAGTAAAAATAATTCTTCATGAGTGTTCATTCGAGATGATGTATAATCCTTCAAAATATCAAGGGCATTCAGGATGTCAGATGTATGCGAATATTACGAAGTTGGATTTTTTCTCCTTCTCGTGATATAATCGTGTCTGCAAAAGGTGTCTGTGTTGTCTTTGTGATTATAAAACATTTACTGATTGAATCTTAGCTATCATAACAGACCCATGGGATATAAAACAGTTAAGACCTGTTCATAATCCAAATAAAAAACATCCAGTTAATTTACAATAAGGATAAACCAATTATCTCCCAGACTCTCACCTTTCTCTTAATCCAAATCAAAAACATCCAGGTAATTTCCAATAATTATAAATCAATTATCTTCTTGATTCACACCTTTCTCTTAATCCAAAAATAAAACATTCAGTTATTTTCTAATAGGATAAACCAATTAACTCCTGTATTCACACCTTTCCAAAACATCCTGTTGTTTTCCACAAATTAGGGATGTCACTGAGACTAAATAAGTTAATTAGGACGATTGGTTCTTTGATTGCATTTGTATATATGTAAAGATAAATAACAACTATAACATTGACTCAATATGTGGCTTTAATTGAAATGTCCAGACATTTGATTTCTGATAAAAATGTTCAGATTAGACAGGTCACTTTTTCAAATCTGCTTGTTCACTGTTCAAATGAGGAGGTGTTCAGATTTCAAGGTTTTTTTTAACAGGGGAGTCAATGGGAGGAAAAAATGGGACCGAAAAAAAGTGTTCAAATTGGAAGGTGTTCGGATTAGCCAGGTGTTCAGATATACAGGTTTTACTGTAATTATTATCGCAATTACTCGGGATAAAAAGATCGATTTTGAGGATAACAGGTATCTTTGATTGATTTATATAGCACGTATATACACACAAAATAGTTATTAATTGCAAACCTTTGTTAATGCAGTGCCACGATGACGGTTAACTTCTGATACGATTTGCAATTTCGATGTTACTGGATTTGACTGACATTTTCGTTATATTCCAAACCTGTCTCCAATATTTTTGCAGTTATGCATCAATAGGGTCTAAGGGAGATACGGGATGGTGTGTATGTATTCATATAAGGTATGTATCCATGCTTGAATCACATTTTTTATGTAATATTACCATGTTTTCAGGGTTTAATTAGTTCTGCTTGTCGAAACCTGAGGAACGATTAACTAACGCATCAAAGGCAAAATGTTCATGGAGGTTAGACCTAGCCTGGGCCAAAAGACATGTCAGATAAGAAACGAGGCCAAGGCTAGGTCTAATGTTGTTGGACTAGCTCGTTTAGTTGTACACCTAGACTATATCCTATTTAGTCTGAATTATATTCAGACTATAAGGCACCTATGTTAAAATTTGGTAATTTTTAATATTTGTTTACATAGGAAGTGCTATTCAAAATGGCTGATTGGGTAAAATTAATTTGCACATTTTTACTTCAACTAGCCTTATTTCTACTTGACAATATGCTGTGTTACTTTTTATGGCATTTAAGGACAGGGTGCATGTTGGGAAATTTTCTGCATTCCTCAATTGAGTCACATGTTATTTTTCAAACATGAATAACTCCTTCCCCACATTGTCTACATCTTCCAAGTTTGCACAAAGAGTGCACTTCTGTGCCTAGAAAAGCCTTGTGAGAAGGTTTGTTTTGTAAAATGTATAAAAAATGAGAAAATTCAGTGAAAAAAATTTCTGAAAATTTTCTGATTTTTTTCACTGAATTTTCTTGTTTTTTATACACTTTATCAAAACATTCTTCTCACAAGTCTTTTCTAGGCATATAAGTGCACTCTTTGTGCAAAACTGGAAGATATAGACAATGAAGGGAAGGAGTGATTCTTGTTTGAAAAATAACATGTGACTCAATTGAGGAATGCAGAAAATTTCCCATCATGCACCCTGACCTTAATTGTACCTTACTATTTAATTGAAATTTTGTAATGCTTATTTCATTGAAGAAATGGTTCCTCTAATTGATAATTTTGTGCAAAAAATTTCACTGAAATTTCCACAGGAAAGTAGTACATCATAACAGACTGACTTCTAGTCAGTCTGTTGGATACATACTAGTTGTACACCCCCAAAAGAAAATCTGCTAAATCTTTGTATTCTCGACTCCAATCGAATTCAGCCAGGGTCTTCTACAAAATCTAGCAAGTTCCACTTTTCGATACAGAACTTTTTGTTGGATAAGCTTATAAAAGATTCAATCTGATTTGAAAATTTTCAAAAAAAATAAAAATAAAAATAAAAAACACAAATTAGGGCTATCCCCACATATGATGTGGTTGAATACCTTCTGTTGCGCCGACATCGAGTAGTTCCTTTGAGCTTGAAGACATATTGTCTGTATAAATTAGATAAAATACATGCTATAGGAGTTAAAAATAACTAATTTGTCTAACACGCTTTCGTTTATTTTTCCGGAAACGGAAGTCTCAAACCGGAAGTGACAAGAATCAGCTCATCTGAAAATATGTTGGCATTTATTTCAGTAAGTTTTCTTATATTTTGACGTTTTAAAGCCAAATATATTGAATTAAATAAATGTAATTGTATCTGTGATGGACATAAGTACTTACTGAACAATTATTTAGGAAGACGACACATATTTGCGTGCGTTATAGGGATTGGACCATTTTATTTTCAAGAATAATTTTTTATAATAAGCTTTAAGCTTAGGCCTAAACGCCGGTAGGCCTGGGCTATACTACTCGTTATAGTCTAGCTTTATCCTGTGCCAGGACTATAGTCCTGAGAACGTCTTAATCTTTTGCCTGTACGATTACAATATGGGAGAATTTCCTACGACTCTTACACTAAGATAGCTAAAGTGGGGGACAAAAATAAATCTCAACCCTCAAAAGTTGTCACAATGAGCTAAATTCTAAGTTTCATGTCTCAAACTCTCCCAAGTGTTAGAAAAATAATTCCCATCCACTTTAAGTAGCACAATAAATGAATCCAAAGCCTCATACCTGCAAATGATGGATAAATCCCTACCAAATCGGACTAATGTTTTCATGAATCGCCATGTTTGTGATCCAAGGAGGATTGACTCCCAGAATGCAACATCAAGTAACCTTATTTATTCGTGACGTATTTCAAAACGGCGGAATGGCATTTTGAAAGCTGACACGTGTCATGTTGCATTCTGGGAGCCAACCCACATTGCGGCGTAATCTGGCTCCAAAATCACCTCAACATTTAAAGAGTCGGCATTAACATGTGAATTCCACATCAAATTTTTAAGTTCTTATTTGTCATTATGGATACAAATTCCACTATATCTGGACTTACTATGACGGAGAAAATAGAGCACAGAATACACTGAGGTAAGAATTTATTACATATGCGACAACATGTAATTTCCATAGGTTTTGTAATTCTTTATGCCCCCCACTGTACTTCAATAGATTCCTTGGTATTTTAGCATTCTTTTCATGTAGTTGAATCCACAATTATCTGGGTTTATCGGCAGAACAAATAATTTTCGTTTTTGATTGCAGTATTTGCGTGTAATATTTACTTATTTCAACCGTCAAATTACTCCATTTATTGGTACTTCCGGGCTACTTCCTGGCCAGTCAAACGGGGAATCCCCTTTTAAATCCAACTGCCATCTTGAAAAGTGATGGAATCTCTCTTGATGAAAAAGAAAAATTTTTCTGTTCTGCCGATAAACCCAGATAATTGTGGATTCAACTCCATGAAAAGAATGCTAAAATACACAGGAATCTATTGAAGTAGGTATCTTAAGTGTAAGAGGCATAGAAAATTCTCCCATGTTGTAATCGTACAGGCAAAAGATTGAGGCCTTCTCAGAACTATAGTCCTGGCGCGGGATAAGGCTAGCTAATTTCACAGATCCCAAGCTAGATCTTGTCCCCATTGGTAGAAGGCTCAATGAAATTTGTCATTTGTCAATCACGGAAAGTGTCGACGGCAATCTTCGGCACTTTCCGTGATTGGGAAAATAAATTCCCGCGTAAATTATTGTGTTCATTATACCTTCAGATTGAGAGGTAATTAGAGGTAACAAGTCAGATTTTATTATAAAGAGAGAGAGTCCAGAGAACGTTTCAATCTTTTGCCTGTACAATTACAACATGGAATAAAAGCTCACGCATCCTACTCTTAAAATACCTACCTGAATTAATTCCTGGGTATTTTAAGCATTCTTTTTATGTGCTTGAATCCCCAATCATCTATAGTCGAGGACATTTTCCTTTTTCATCGGAAGAGATTGCTTCACTATTCAAGATGGCGGTAGGTTTTAGAGGTGGAACCATATTAACTGGTGCTGCAGATCCCGGATGAACCAATAGATGAAGGAATTTTTATGGTTGAAATGAGTTCAAATACAGTACAATCAAAAATTGCAATCAAAAACGAAGATTGGAATGTTCACAGAACTATAGATCTCTCAAGCATCGAGTGATCAATATTCACCCTGTAATCTCTTTTTCATAATAAATATTTCAAATTTTCAGAGCGGAAAGAAAATGTCCATATTGGGTAGTTTCTGGCAGTGTCCAATGTTCGTCTCTACCAATGAAAGCAAATGATCATGTTGCTAAAACAAACCATGTTCTACAGGATTTTAAGAAACTTCATGGTGAATCTTGGTAATCTCTGGTGTTATGTCATCTGGAGTGGCGTCACATTCTCAGAATAGACATTTCATCTCTGCAATAGACATCACATTCACCAGAAATTGCCGAAACTATATGAGCCTGGCCATAGGAAAACCAGTCTTATCACAAAAATTAGAATTGTGCTACAGAGCCAAAAATGTGCCCAAGATTAAGAGGAAAATATGCTAAATTAAAATCCGACTTTTTTGGTCTATATGTGCAACGAAAAATTGTTAAGAAATAAGCCATGGCTCATTTGAAAGGTCTCTTTGTGCTTTCTAAGATAAACAAAAATCAGAATATTGAAAAAATCTGTGATAAGACCCCTTTTCCTTTGGCCTGGCTCATATATTATCTTTCCGCTCAGCTATTTTGTGCTTTTATCAACAGATGCTAACATATACAATACATCTATTTATGGTTTAAGTGATTGAAGATAAAGCTGATAACACTGCATATTTTTATCAAATATAAAATGTGACACGATGTCACAATAGAAAGAACAATTGATTTACTGGTCTATATTGGAGTGTGTCTGACCGCTAAAATTCAAAATATGCCCAGTTATCATGATTCTTCTCATTTTCAAGTGGGTGCACATGGATTTTCAGGTGGGTGTATTCCTATTCCTCAGGTGGGTGTTGCGCCCACTTGCTTTTAATGCTGGGGAGGGGAGATCACTGTACAGTGTTAATAACAGGGAATTCCCTACTGTAACCTACAGCCATCTTGACTAGAGTTGTCATGGAAAAAATTTGATCTGCGAGTGCAATGAAAAAATTAATTTGCCTTGAAAATTTACGAGATTGGGGAATATAGAGCTAGTTATTCACTGGTTGCCCTATTTGATAAGCATGGCCACTGAATATGTACTGTATATGATATCTATGATTTTGAGTAATATCATTTTTTATCCACGAATTAATATCAATATCTGGACGAGTGAGATTAGCGAATGAAAGCAGAGTGGATTAAATTGATATCATGAAAATTCATTATATGCTCTATTTATCCCATATTAGTTCACTTAAATGGACCTGAACATAACAGTCTTAAAGTCTGTGATGATAATATTTTATGTCCATTACTAAACCAAGCATTTCAAAACAACTTTCATTCATTCAATCATCACATGACGTCATTAAATTATCAAGTAACAATGCACAGTGTCGCATTGGTGGGAGTCTTAAAGTGTCTCACATATTCGATCAAAATTTGCCATGCAAACATGTTAGTCTACTTTACTGGCCCCCCTTGCTGTAACAAGGAACACAAAACACATTAAAACGTAGACATAAACCAATTAGTCACTTCACTATGAAAGTGGGGGTGTTAGTGTATTAGCAGAATACTGTGTGCATGGACTAACTCAATATCAGTGGTCATTTAATGTGTCAACTTAGTAACCCTTGCATATCGTGCTCACTCAAGTATTGAATATTTTTTATGATCTAAATGATTGTGGTTTATCAGAAAAGTGTTATATTTAGTTAGAAATACATTAATAAATATATTCATTCAAACAGCACTAGAATGCGGGAAGAAAGAGCAATGATGACAAAATGCAGACAGAATTTTCCGTAAGGGTTTCAAACATTTCTGGACACAATCATACATGTACTTCATGTGTACTGTTATTTTTAGTGCTGTATTTATAGATATAATTTCACGTATTAAAATCATATTTTCCAGCAATGACTTCAAATTCGGAACCACACCCATATCACATTTTCTTCAATAACTCCAAACATGTGTAAACATTGACCATGTGCATATAAATTCAGATTTCACGAGCTCTTTCCTATTCGAGTACCTCATACACCCCTGCATGGATTTGAGTTGGATTCGCCTTTTATACGTGAGCCGATACACATCGCAAACGCTGATTGGATAAAGATTGCGAGAATCTTTAAAATCTTTGGAAAAATGTAATATCTGTGGAATATTCTCTGTATTCCACAGATATTGCTTTTTTCCATGCATTTGCAAAATATCATAAATATATTTACATGTTATCACACAGATTTGACCTCAACTATTGACGTGTCGCAAAAAGGTGGCGCATTTGTTTTTTAAGGGTATCGCATGAATGTAACTTTGATTCCCCGGATTATAAGATAATATTCTAATTGAAGTTATATATCATTTTAAAGCTGTTTTGATGAAGATTTTAGATCAACTACACTCCGTTCACATTTTTTGCGCGTTCGTTTTTAAAAAAGAGTTTTTTACCAAAACATCTGGCAAATATCCCATGTTGACACGTTACATTTTGAATTATTTTTCGTCTTTAAACGCTTCTAACTCAAACAATATATGACTATTATACTTATTTTTCGTCTTGATAAAGGTAGATGGAAGTTTTATTTCAAAGGATGAATTTTAGTAAGCGTCTCATATTGTGACGTCATAGAGTCTGAAAAATAGAATCTGTTGACAGCGACTTTTTTGCTCATTTTTGGTACCTTCAACTTTTCAGGTGTACATTAAACAAAAAATACGAGATCAATTTTTAATAAATCATACATGATTAGTTTGCTCCTAAACTCTAGTTTATTAATAAATAGTTGATTTTGTTCACAAAAGTATTTGTTTTCTGTTGTATGTGGAAAAGTGGAGGACGAAAGGTTTTCAAAATTCATTAAAATAGGGCTAATTTACGCCATTCGCCTATTTTCAAGCACAGCAACACGTATATTCATTTCACCTAAAATATCAATTGATTCGTGTTTTATGATGCTGCTAGCCCATTAACAATATATATATGATATCAGAGTTATTCGTCTAAATGTTTTGAGATATAGAGGTAAATGTGGAGGACGAAAGGATTTTCATGTGTGTACATTTTTCTCAAAAACGTCACATTCTATCATGTTAAAATCGAGGATTACGCCACAAAATGTGTAACAATGCGTGCGCGAGCTTTTTGCGACACGTCATTGGATAATGTCATGGGCTTTCTTTCTCTTGAAAGCCCATGGATAAATATTGGTTATTTACTGGGAGGAATTGAATATGGGTTTTATTTCGAATGGACAATATCATATTTTCCAAGGAATAAAACCCATATTCAATCCCGACCAGAAATAACCTATTTATTCCAGAATACATCTGTCTTAAATGTTACATTTGGATAATGCAAACATTATATTAATAAATGCACATTGTTTGAATTTAAATTTCAGATTTTATAAACCAAAAATAGGTTAAGACGCTCCAATACAATTTTTCATGTAATACGCCCCAATACAATATTTTTCCCGAGGACAATACGATTTTTATTCCTTCATATTTACCTGGAATAAAAGTAGTATTATGGAATAATATACAAACATTTCATTCAGGTAAATACCTGCGCATCTTTCACAAGTGATACACTACAAAACTCAAAGGGCAATATTCAAAGTAATTGAATTTTGCTTTTTAATAAATTGATTTTAAAATTGTATTCAAATAACAGTAATACGAGTAAAAATGTAAGAAAAAATATAAGTATAAATACATGTATACATGATTGCATGTATACAGGTTATGTAATGTTACCCCTCAGAGGATAATTGAAACACCAGATGAATGAGATACACTACCTGCATTACAGACACTAACATGCTAGTGCTACATGTAGCGTATTATTGGAAACATCTTTTTTGAAAGTTGAGCACATAACAGTACATGCTGAACTGTCAGAGGCACCTGCTATTTCTTCCAAGCTGAATAAAAAATATAGCGGTATCTATATAGAATTAGTGCACTGTATGAATGTAGTTTGATATATTTGTTGTTATGTACAACTCGTACAACTCACGATGGTATTTATCTGGCACATACTAATAAAGCACTTTGATTTTAAGTAATCGGATGGGCAATTTGTAGGACATTGCTTTTTTTCATCCTGAATGCCTGGTTTCGAGCTTTGAAGGGAATTGCATTTAATTTGGCTTCTTAAGAACTTCATTTTCTTTAACTTTCTGAACATCCTGGCATTCCTGATGTTAGCATTTGTGAATATTTCCAATAATGTTCGATATGAAAATGTCATGATATGCTGCATAATATGGGAAAATAACAGTCTGCTTTCTATGATAACAATAATTGAAATGAATTAAATTTATTACCAGATTGCATGTACTGTATTAGTGTATTTCTTTTGGTTGATTTATTTAAATAACAACTAGGTAACTTTGTGAAATGGAAATGATCGAATAAAATGGTATCGCGTTGTTTATTTCAGATGATGTTACTTTGCTAATGCTACCACAGTGGGGATGCGGTGACAATGGCTGATACTGCAGTGACAAGTATGCGTCAACGAAGGTCTCATGCTTTAACCGACTCCTCCCCACCTGACACCAACATTCCAACACAACAAAACAATCAAAAGCTCATTGAAGGTATATCAAAACAAGCTAACAAAATGGCTTTAACTGATAGTGACATTGAATTGCCTCTACTTGAGAATGAGGCTGACCCTAAAGTGGTCATAGAGGACAAAGATATAAGTGAAGAGGAGGAGACCTCTCTCAGTATCGCCTTACAGGTGTTTCTGCCTTACATTATTGCTGGCTTTGGTACAGTTGGTGCTGGCATTGTACTGGATCAAGTCCAGGTTTGTATGAATTATCATCATAAGTTTAAGTTTATTCTAAGTTTGTTTTAACATTGCATATTGAAATAGTCCAGTTTGTATGAATTCAACTTAAGCTGATACTTAATACTACTTGTGACAATCAATTTATTAAGTTATTTTGTTTTTTATAAGAATGTATTTTATGTTCTCAACAGTAGCTGAATAATTTACTTGTAGCACTGGGAAGTATTCAAGGTTGTCTCAGAGGCCTTCATCTTGGTACCTGCTTTGCTTGGCCTCAAAGGTAATCTTGAGATGACACTTGCCTCCAGGCTCTCAACTCAGGTACATGTAATTTATTTTAAAAAAATTCTTTTATATTCAACATAAATAAAGATTCCTTGCCTGTCTAACCAAGTGTACAGAATACCGATAAATATTAAAAATTTTATATGGAAAAAATGGACCTTTAAAGAAAAGTAATAGCAATAGGTCAACTAAAGATCAAAAACTTGTATCAATTTTGATATCATATTCTGCATCAGGCAAAATCAATAGAGTATAGACAAGATTCTCTTCTGGAGTGTAGCAATGATATAGTACTACAGTAAAACCTGTGTATAGGTTTTACACTAGGTTTTTTCTCTGCAAAAAAAATGTTCAGTGTTTGTAAGTGTTCACTACAGAGAGGGGAATTTATACAGAAGTCAGTAGAGTATGTGTGGAGGAAGGGTGTCCACAAGAGATAGGTGTTCACTAGAGAGAGGTGTTTACCAGCACAGGTTTTACTGTATGTTACAAAATCTATTGCAGAACCCCTTCAAGTATTACTTTCCTACTTTGTAGGCAAATTGTGGCAACCTGGACTCAAGAACAGAGCAATGGAAGGCTATAGGAGGAAACCTTGCCCTAACACAGGCCCAAGCCATTGTTGTAGGGTTCCTCGCCTCCATGGCTGCTATGATCCTGGGCTGGATCCCACAAGGCAAATTTAATTTGCAGCATGGTCTACTGCTGTGCTCAAGTAGTATGTTAACAGCATCATTAGCCAGTCTTGTCCTTGGTATGTTGATTATAGTTTTTCAGAAGCTATTATTTCCCTTTTACTCAACAAGAAAGGTTATGAGACTAAATTAAATTGTTTATCATTTCATTATGCATCCATTCCAAACTCCAGTCAAATCTTTGTTAATATCTCAGTCACAGTTTGTATTGTAAAATATTTGGCATCCAGATTCTTCTTAATTTTCATTGTTCTGTTGGATTTATCAAGAAAAATTGTGATGAGTCAATGTTATTTGTGATGACTCTAACTGAAGCAGTTTGCTTTATCTTACTATGAAACAATGCAAACTTCTTTGTCATAACCATTATACATGTAATGTCACTGCCTTTCAGGTACTGTTATGATTGTGGTGGTGCTGCTCTCTCGTAGATTTCGTATTAACCCAGACAATGTTGCCACCCCTATAGCAGCCTCATTAGGAGATCTCACCACACTTATGCTTCTTTCTGCTATCACCACATTCATATATAAAGCAATACAAGGTATGTCTTCATTTTGTATTGGATTCTATGACTTACATATAATATGTAATTTATGTGTGCACATGCGTCTTAAGGAGCAAGACGAATAACACCCAAAGAAAATTATATAACATCAATAAAAATTCAATATCTCAAACTATGATTAAATGCACTAAAACAATGTTTAACACTACTTTTCTTGTTTACAGCACAATCTTTCTGGGTGGCCCCTGTGATAATAGGCATCTTCCTGCTGCTCACCCCACTATGGGTGTGGGTCTCTGTCAACAATAAATATGTGAATGAGGTCATCTACACAGGCTGGACTCCTGTCATATGTGCAATGGTCATTAGCAGGTAACACCTCTAATTTTAGTTTCAGTTTTATAATTCTTTATTGAAACAATATATATAATTCAATATTCAATACCCGCTATGGCTCATTGGCAGAGCCAAAGTTAACACTACCACTTGGCCCTGGGTTCAATTTATGGTTCAGACTTTATTTGTGTGTTATGTAATTCAGGTTGTTTAGTGGTCTGTAACCTGTATACATGTATATCTGTATATCCATGCACAAAAAAAACATACGGTTTGGTCTTTGGTTGGAATAGAATTTTACTATTTTTACAGTTTCAATAGGTTTAACATCCTCCTCCTCCATATAACATCATTTTGAAATATTGATTTGTCTTTGGCATGATTTTTTGACTCCCTAATGGAATTAACTTAGAATATTTTAAAGCTGTTATTTGGACACCATCACTTAGTGTATGCAGTAAATGAGCAAGATTATTCAGCCCACTAGAGTCAAATAAGATATTGTATAAGTACTGTTCATAACATTTTATATGAATAACTGCCATTATTATATCACTATCTAGCTAGCGACAGTATGATTGGTCAAAACCGGGTCACATGTCGTGGGATATCTGGCAATATTCAATGGCAATGCTAATCAGATAAGACTACCGTGAGATATATAGAGATTATCCTATATGAGGTTCAGGATATTGGGATTATCCCGAGGCAAATATAATATATTTGCCAGAGGGCCGCAGGTCCCGAGGGAAAATATATTATATTGGCCAAGGGATAATCCCAATATCCTGAACCGACTATAGGATAATATGTTTATCCCATACCAATCTTGGTCATCTGGTTCACATTGTTCAATATTGGAAATATTTTAGAATATTCATGTCCAGTTTTGTTTTCTTGGCCGTGGGCGGATTTTCCTTTTCTCTCAAATATTCCCACATTTATTTTCTCGAATTTTTTTATTGATTAAGATAAGTGGATGCTCCATCCCTTTTTTAAACCATCAAACAGATCCCGATTGTCTGTGTTTTCTCCATTGTCATTTACAGTCATTACGCGAACGTTACAAATAATTATGAACAAATATGCGAGCGGCGATTATGACGTAGCGGGCAGATATACTATATCTGCCCGCTCGGAGCGGGACGTAAAGCTATATCTGCCCGCTGATGAAAATATAAGTTTTTACAAACCGGCTTTATGTACCTGTAACACGTCCAAGTATGGGATAAATAGCGATATCCCACGCTCCCGGGAATTTTCAAAGAATTTGTTTTTCGTTCAGTGTAAATGATTTAGTTCAGTGTAAGTCAAAATGGCATACGAACCGAGTAGAGATATATGTATTTCAATGTTAACCTATGACTTAATAATATTAGGGATGTTTAGCTAGACAGTGATATAATAAAACAAATATTTCACTCTATTTTCGGTGAATACCTGTAGCACTTTCACAAGGTGATATTCCACTTGCCCTTCGGGCTTCGTGGAATATCTCTTGTGAAAGATGTACAGGTATTCACCTCAATAGAGTGAAATATTTGTTCAATACTATTTTATTTACATTTTCTTAGTTGTGGGGGATTGATATTGGATGCAACAGTCTCAGATCCAAGATATCACGGCATGGCGGTATTCCAGCCTGTCATAAATGGTAAGTGACAAGTCTTAAAACATATATTTTATTGACTCTTCGTAATCATGTCAGTCTCTCAGCCATATGGGTCACTTTACATGTTTTATGTGTGTTTTATACAGTATATAAAAATATACAATGACATCAGTTGTATATTGTAAATGCATCTATGATACCAGCATCAGTCCTGATATAATGAAAGACTTCCATTTGGAGTACATAGATGTTATGATAAGAAGATTGACTGTAACAACTCTTTGTATAAGTTTATATATTAGCAGGTTTCTGTCTATTGAGTCAAACACTTGTGTCAGATCAATGAGACAACAATATATAGTAGTCTCTAGGGGTTCTCTTAAAAAAGGCCGTTAACTTCTGTTTAGTTAGTCCAAATCGTTTCTTATGTTTATGGTTAATCCAGAACTTTACATCTGCCTTACCTTAACTTTGGTACACCTGTCCCCTTTCCAAACATCATATTAAAACTGTCACCCATTCATTGTCTGTTCTTTTTAATGACTAAAATTACAATAAAACCTGTAAATTGAAACACATCTCGAAGTGGAATACAAGTGGAACACTTTTTAGAGGGTACTTAGAAGGTGTTCCACTCAGACAGGTTTTACTGCAGACGCAAACATGGCCAAAATGTTCCTGATCTGTTATCTCATCGTATCTTTACTTCATTGAATAGGTGTAGGTGGCAATCTTGTAGCTGTGCATGCCAGTAGGATGTCAACAGCACTACATAGAGTCTCAAAACCTGGAGTTCTACCAGATAACTTTCTCAAGGGGTGCCCAAATATATTCAGTTCATTTTGTGGAAAAGGTATGTTCAATGCTTTGTTAATGTAAGAAAGATGCTATAATACAGCACTGCAAAATTATAGAACAAATCATATATTTTTGGCCTAGGAATATCTAAAAAGTCATACAAATATTTTAAATGATTAAATGTGAATAAATGCTATGTTGTTTGCAATTTTGAGAAATGATTTCTAGCAGTCTTGCAATGAAATATTTAATGGGATTAGGTAGTTTAGCATGTAAATTATCGCATTGATTTACATTTATCACTTTAATATTATTTTGATACTGATATAGGGGTTTTGCAAGGTAGTGTGCTTAGTACTTTTTTATTCAATCATTTCATCGATGATCTTACTTTACAATTACCAGCTCACTGTGGTGTTATTTTAAACGGTAAAAGGTTAAATCATCTTCTATGGGCGGATGACCTTGTATTGATCTCAGAATCCAGTGACGGATTGCAGCTATTGCTTGACACACTTTTTTCTTTTTGTAAGACTAACAGGTTAATTGTCAACACGATGAAAACTAAAGCACTTATCTTCAATTCTAAAAGATCATTCAAATTTGAATTTAATGACCAAACTATAGAATGTGTCAAAGAATACAAATATTTAGGTCTCATTCTCACCAAAAATAACAGTTTTGATCTGAACACTAAGTACCTTAAAGAACAATCAAAAAAGGCACTTTTTAAGATAAAGCAACAATATAAGAAGTTTAATGATGTACCACCGGATGTGGCTCTTCATCTGTTTAATGCGTTAGTTAGTCCTATTTTATGTTATGCATGTGAAATATGGTATGATAAAAAGCAAATGAAAGCAATTGAGTCAATTCATTTGTCTTTTTTAAAGTCAACATTAGGTGTTAAATCACAAACTGCAAGCCCAGCTGTATATGGTGACCTAGGGAGATACCCATTATCAATCAAAATAGAATCTTACATTATAAAATACTGGCTTAGGTTTCAAAATTTTCCAGAGAGTAATATATTAAATCAAGCATACTTATATGATAGGGGTAATCAAGAGTTAGGGTTTAAAAGTTGGTCAAGCAAGGTTTATGATATACTCAGAAAATGTGATTTATTAGATTATTGGAATAATCAAAATTTGGATACTGAAAATCTGGTGAATATGGTTGAAAAGAAATTAAAAATACTATTTGTAGAAAAATGGAAAAATGATTTGAACACTTATCCTATATTGAGAACGTACAAATTATTTAAAAATGATTTTGGTAAAGAATTGTACTTGAAACTAGATAATAAAAAGTATAGATTGGCTACAAGTAGATTTAGAATGAGTTCTCATCAGTTAGCAATTGAGACTGGAAGACATACAAAGCCAAAACCAAAACCTTTAGAGGAAAGATTATGTAATATTTGTAAAGATGTAGAGGATGAATGTCATTTCTTTTTAGCTTGTACAAAAAATGATGAGAATAGGCAAATATTATATACAAAAGCCCGTGAAATTTTACCTAACTTGGATTTACAAAGTGAAAATTTATTTGTCAATCTTATTTCTAATTAAAATGTAACCTTGCAAAGACATATTGGCAAATTCATTTACCATTCATTTAAGAATTTAGCATGGTCATAATGCATTGTGTGTGCACCACACTATTATTGTTACCATATATATTTTTATATATTTTTTGTATTTTTTAGTTTAGTTGGTGTTTTGTAGTTTAGATATGTAGTCTACCATAGTTCTGACTAATGTAATCATGTTATGATACTATATGTCAATAAAAGTTATATATATAATATTATAACATTCATAATGTTTAAATATATTTTAAATTTTGTTTATATTTTCTTTTCCAGGAATAAGTGCCAAAACCAGCAGGGTATTAACAGCAATGGTTATTCCCGGACATTTAGTGTTCATGTACTTCATCTCTTACATGAAAGCTGGCCATGTTGCATTTACTATTGTCTTTGCTCTAGTCTATTTATCTGCGTGCATGATACAGGTATGTACTAAACCATACCAATACCAATAACTACAGGAATCATCTTTTGATTACTTTCATACATATTTTCAATGATTTAGCCTGGGCATCTATTTTTAAACAATAACTTTGTAAATTATGACGACTAGATTATTTAGAGGAGATTGACATAATTGTGACTTTGCAATTTAAAAAAACAATTTGACATGAGAGCATGGCTGGACAGAAAACAATTTATCTTAAAGTGGTTGATGGTGGACATATAGAACACACCTTCTACACATGAAAGTTCAAAAGAAACAGTCATAATTAACTGGTAAATATTACTTCATTCATATATGTACTCATAATATTACATTTTCCAGGTGCTATTGCTGCTATTCATTGCAAGTTGGATGGTGCACAAGATGTGGCAGAGTGGAGATGATCCTGATAACTTTGCCATCCCATACCTCACTGCTATAGGTGACTTACTTGGAACAGGACTCCTAGCTGCAGCATTTGCCTTACTGCAGGCCATGGGGCATGTCAATGCTAATACTCTCGAAAGATGATCAATAAGTCATATGGCAGGAATATACATGTCAGAATATAGACTTAATTGTAAAATGTTATGAAATGGGAATTATTATTGTACCATTTTTAAACTGGTTTGTTTATATATTTGTTGAGATATTGGTGTATTTTTGGAAAGGCCATAATTGTTCACTGCCTATGTGTCTAAGGGGCAGCCTTTCTTCCTCGAATTCCTGAGGTCCAGGGGTCAATTGCCTTGGGAGGTTACACCTACATATGTTTGAATGGTGTATTTATGGACATTACATGTTATCTAAAGGGTATTTTTAAATGGATTTTTACAGAAGTATATTTATTTAGTTCATAAGATTATGTTTGAGAATGGGTTCTACTAAAATGTGTTTTCAGCAAAAATGAAATATGGTTTACACTGGTTGTACTTTATATATGTTGATAATTTGGTGGCCTGCTATATTGATGAAAGAAAGACTATTGATCCTATAATAAACAGAAAATCAAAGGAAGCAGAGTCCATCTAATGCAGTCCGACAGCAAGTATAGAAACGGAAGCCTAATGGCACATCACTTAAAATGTTATGTTATACAAAATATTATGCAAAATACATATCAAAAATATCACCAACAAATTTTTTTTATTTGTGTAAGCATACAGTTATACAAATTGCAACTGCTGTATTTGTAGTTTAATTTGTGTTACCCTGTATAATGAGACCGTCTCCTCATTTTGTGCATTTTGTGACCATATTTGGAGTTAAGCTATTGGTTGTCTGTGTTGACATTATTATTATATTAGGCATGTGTAACTAATTTTACTCTTTTTGTAACCATTTTCTAAAAATCCTCAAGGTGCATTTTACTTAACTGTTGACTATGTTTGTACAATACACTGGTTGATTTCGGCAATAAACTCAATGAGAGGTATACAATTTTTCCAGTCAAACTTCTAGTAATTCATGTCAATAGCCTTAGCAACAGATAAATGATAGATCTCGGAAATGAACAATCATACTTGGGTTTATTAGGTGTCATTTTTCCTAGTATTTTGAACTTACTTGTAACTGTATTGAGGCATAATTGATGAGGAAATTCCTATTCTAAGAACATATGCAATATTTCAAAGGAAATAAAAAACCTTAGGGGGGAAATATGTTCTTTTAGTGATATCGTATCTTTTAGATAATTTTGTAGAAAATACCTTGCAATATGTGAAAAGAATTTAAGCCCAAGACTCAATGCATTGTGGAATGACCATTCCTTTCAGGTGTTGTTTCCTAAAATTAACACTCGATGCTCCGCATCTCGTGCATATTTTGGAAAGCAACACATTCAAGAAATGGTCATTCCATATTGCACTGAGTCCAGGGCTTAAATCCTTAACTAAACAATGTAGACATTGATTCATCCTACATACAAGATGCCTAATGTGGCCAGTTTTATTGGACACTTTAAAATTTCCATTTCTGTGACCATAAACTCTGAATTAAAAAAAACAATGAATCTAAAAACCTATAAGAAAATCACATTTCCCCTTGAGGCAACTGTTTTCCTTCCTTGAATATGTTATTGCCCAAGATCCAGCCTAGCTGAGATCATTGTTTAACATTTAATTGTAGTACATGTATATTTAAACTATCATGATTGTATAGATGTCACTTTTTACCACTAGGTTAAATCTACATGTAAACACTAAACATCGACTTCAATTTGCAATTCAGATCTCATCATCTCAATAGAGTACTGTATTTGAAAGAATAGATAGATGCCAGAGGCATGAAAATGTGATGTTGCATGAAGTACCGAAATTCTTTTTTTCATTTTAGGCCTCATTTTCAAATCATTCTTCATTTTTTAAAGAATGGGCCTCAATTTTCGAAAGATGGGCTAAAACATTCTTGTTGTGGTCCTATAGGAGAGGTATCCATATGGTGAACTTTTTAAACACGCGTTTCTCTTAAACCAGTCATCAAAACATTCTGAAAATTTTACACATCGTCAATTTAATGGTCATATTTGGATGGTAACATTATAATTTGAAATGTATATATATACATATATACTTTTCTCTATACTGTTTAAGAAAACGCATCTGACACTTCTTTTGTTCTTGGTATCATATGTTCGGAATGAAATGAAACATCGTTCTGAACCTCATTGGAACAAAACGACATGAACACAACGTGTTTAGGTCTCTCAATATTGTAATTGTACAAAGGATAGTTTGGTTGATTTTAAAACAGTATCTTGTTAATGAAATAAAAGGTTTATCTTAATTTTTATCTATTTTGGGGGGTTTTGTTTTAAGTTTTTGCATACTTTTTGTTAAATCAGCCAAAGTTTCCTTTGTATAACTATAATATTGAGAGGGCTAAGAAAATTTTGTATATGCTATTTTATTCCAACAAGGTTTGGAAAGACATTTTATTTCATTCTCAAGAATTGGTAGAAAGGAACAAAAAACAATTCCACTAAAAATAAAAAATGTTAACAAAAGCAGTTATTAAAAATATATACATGTATAAATAATTTTTGCATTAAATTGTTGCCAATTAGTCAACATTACATAAAGGACCGTGTTTTTTACAAAATGTTTTCAATAATCGGTTTAAGATAAAAACATTGTTGAATTCAGTTCACCATATCGATACCTATCCTCATAAGATTATCATGGTAAAAGGTTTGGCGGCTATACAGGAATATATAGCCGACCTTCAGCTCCATTGACTTCAATACAAATGCTTCGCTGGGTATGTAATACTTTACAGTAAAACCTGTCTTCGTGAACATCTCTCTCTGTACACCAGTCTCTAGTGAACAACCATCCTCCACACATACTTCACTGACTTCTGTAAATAAATAACCCTCTCTGTAGTGAACACTTGTTATCAACACTGAACGTTTTATCTTGGCAAAAAATGTTCAGTATACACATGTTTTACTGTTTATGTCAGGTTACGAAGTAGTACTTTACATATTATAACAATTATTTCAAATAAAAACATGTTTTTGAAAAGGACATGTCTAAAAATACCAAAGCAAATGCCTCATTAAATGCATTTTTAGATCCATTTTAAATTAAAGTGGATATAATACTACAATTGGCTCTTAATTGCAGTATCAATTTAAAAATGTTTGAATGAATAATTTTCTATTAATGTTTGGTGAGGCACTTGACTCGCTTGCCTCATTAATGGCAATGCCCTTATTTGGTAGGTTCATTTCAGACATATATATTTGTTGGAGATAATCCAATTGGAACAACACTATCTATATTTCACATATTAATGATACAAGTAAAGATGTTTTAATGTGTTTTTATCTCAATCAAAGTGTGCTAGTATCTCCCAGGCTTACAATACACATGTCTTTCCACTTATAAATTCATGATTTATATTAGGTCATTCTGACATGACGTTCTTTGACACACTGTTATTTTACATTTTGTTTGCTGACATCACTGTTTAAATAGCTTTTAAACAAAGTACACAGTGTGTTTATCTTTCGTACTGTATGAGAGTGACATTTTTAATTCACGAAAAATTTGTTTTTCCTGATTTGTCGATTCAAGACATAGATTTATGTTCAAAAGAACTGTGTGCATTTCATTATTTATACATTACACACAGGTTTGTGTAAATCTTTTTGTTATTTTTCCTGTGTGATTTGAAGGACTTTTTTCAAGGGTATACATTTATATGTTTTAAAAGGTTATATTTATTTGTTCTTAATGCTTCGCTGCATTGCTAATTGTTTTGTTTTAGAGGTGGAGCTAGTGAGAATTTGCAGGTGGGAACCAAAACATATGTTATATATTAAAGGTGGGTACTTCGCACATTTAAAAATGAGGCCCAGTTAAAAACTTAGACCTTAGCACTGTATTGTAAGGCTTAAAATTAAAAACAAAATCAAGATATTTTTTAGGTTTATCTTAGGTATTTTAACTTCTTGTTTTGGTTTATGTACACTAAGAGTTGTTTTGATCATACATATAAGGCACATTGATTTAAAGGAGATTGTTAACATAAATAAATTAAACTGAAAGTGTTTATAAATCTACATGATATAGCCAGAATTTATTGAAGTACAGGTGAAAGACATGTACAATTTCTCTACCTTGAAACTTTTAACCTATAGAGCCTATAGTGTTAAAAAACCACATGAGTGCTGCAGTAAAACCTATATCTTCATTAAGTGGCCATTCGCTATGTTGTTTGAGATATGCTGAACTTTAAACTCACCTTTTGAATATCTCAATTACTTACTCCTCTGTGAAGCTACTGGTAAAGTTGACTTTTCAAAAATGTATATTTAGCTTTGAAATTATGAGACAAATTTGTTTTAAAATATGAGTTTATTGAGTGCAAATAAATGGTCTATTTAAAATTGATATCCTGAATATTGAATGTTCACTATATTCTAGTCGATGAGAAATTATGACTCATGATAGGAGTTACTAAGTTTTAAACTCATAGTGTCTGTCTTCAAATTTTCTTTTTTTGTCAAAATTAAACAGAAGTTAGGAGCGGATATGATCACTTGGCGTTCTTAGAAGAATATTTATAAAATGCTGTTTCGTGAGGTCATGCCCTCATAGCCAGCCGGCCCACATACAGGACCTTGAGAAAGAGGAATGTGCAACAATGAAATTGATATGCCATGCTCATAAGCCATATGTCAGAAAGTCTATATCTGCTTTTCAGATCCACTCCACAATCTAGAGAGCAGGGAACAGCACTATTACTACAAAGAGCACATATTGGAACACTATTACTATAAAAAGAACATATTGGAACACTACATCTATGTTATGGACTTTATTGAAAGATACTCATATCAAACCTGGACTAGAAAACTTCATCTTATGCCATTCGACAGAAAAACTACATAACTGGTAGGTAAGTTTCATCCTATCATCTTGATCTATAAAAGTATTCATTTTGGTTTCACTGAAGTGTATTTTGGAAAGGAGTCAGTTCATATCACATTTTCTACTGATTTATATCTTATTCCTGATGGTCACCTTAAAGTGTTTTAAAAGGCATTATTTTTGGATATGCCCCAGAAATAATAGAGCCAATACCAATAGGCAACAATTATGAGTCACTTTTAACAAATTGTATGATTATTAAGAGGTGACACTTATATACAGTGTATAAACACAGTTCAGTTAGGTACATTTTATGGAATATTAATGTTAAAAGTATAACCATAATAATATATGGATAAATAATGCCATAGAGCATGTCACAGGCACAGAAACAGAAAGAAAACAGAGGGGGGCAACTCTACACTCTGTTCTGGTGCCTATGGAGCATATATACGAGTATATAATGTACATGTAGGTATATAATGGATGGTACAACAGAGTTAATGGATAAAGCTATCACCAACAGTAAGTACTTTTGTCAGTAAGTACTTTATCAATAGTCTATTACATACAAGCTGTGGGAAAAATTCAAATAAAGCAGAAACTTGCTATTTAACCATGGGCTTTCAATTAGAGTTGAACGCCCATGCTTTAACATGTAGTTCAAATGGGGGGGGGGGTAGGATTGTCAAACTTTTTGTGGGAAGTGTACATTTACATCAAATATTGAACTATGCATGTCCAGTAACTTATATATTATTATACCGGTAAGTCTATTCATTTAATAATGTCTGCATCATAGGATAAAGTCTATACATAAGTAAGTGATACTGTTTTAATGACCAAATATGAGGATGTAGTGGGTACCATAGTGTGCCATCGTGGTAACCATAGTATGCAATAGTCAGGACCATGGTGTGCGTTCTTGGTAACCATAGTGAGCAATAGCGGGAACCATGGTGTGAAGTAGTGGGAAATAGTAGTAAACAAAAAGAGAAAATATACTGCAGGTTAACTGGATAAGCATGAATCATAACTGTAGGATAGACATATGGCATGATTTTTAGATTGTTTAGTTGGGTTTAAGTGGTATACAGTTTATCACTCCTTCATTCTCACGCTATAACTTGAAAATGAATAAGTTAGTATGCTACCCTATTGAGCTCTCTTGGTCTGATTATATTAATTTAATTTTTTAAGAGATAGATAATAACAATAAAAACATTTGATTGTTATGCATTTAGATGTAGCACTAGAGATGGCCATTTAGAAATGTTAACATTAGCAGGAGATTAATTTGTGAAGTTGCCAAGGACAATTTAAATTCATTCCACTGTCACCTTTGTTTACAGTTGTTTATAAAAGGTATATTCTTTAAGTGTTTTACATTACATTTGATTCTTTGTTTAAAGTTGCCTGGATGTCATTTTACAAACATTGTCAGCAGGTTACATATTCACACACTGTTCCTTCATTCAATCTCCCATATCAGTCAACCTCCTAACACTAACACTTATGCATGTATATGTCCATGACATAATGTCAGGATTCAACTTATCTTTTTAGCCAGAATTGACATTTGTATATTTCTCAAGTAGGTGAGTCATAATTAGATGTTGCTTGATATTTTAAGCCCCTCTGTAACATGGTGACAGATTCTACCATTTTACAGCTTAGTTTTAAAATTACTTATTTTAAAAATCAAGGTGTAGTTAGTTACACAGTCCTTGAACTCCCTTTATCTTGACCTTATACCTATTGCTTTTCAAATTGTTCTCTCTATTCATTATTTATGAAGGACTTAAACTACACTTTTTATAAAACCTCAGAGGTCATATGAGACACATTTTTATCAGTTTTTTTTATTTTAAGTGAATGGTAACATTACATCTTGTTTTCATGAAATCATTCATATAAAGAATGGCATGTTTGTAGCAATTTTCTGGTCCATAAACTCAAAAACTGTCATAGCAATTAATTATATTATATTGTATGGGATTTTTAATGTCATAAAAGATGCCATTCATTACTGCCACAAAACATGCCATTTGACAGCTAAATTAAGATAGATATTTCATAAATACAATGTGCATAAAGTAGATAAACACAGAGACATACTTTTACTGTATATGTATTTTGTTGTTGGTAATGTGGTTGATGTCAAGATAAAAAACTCTTGAACAGTTGTCATAGAGTTCAGATTTCAAGAAGTTATGTAGGGGATCAATTCCGTTTCTATGGTAATAAAATCTGGTTGCTATAGCATTCTCTTTGTTGTTAAACATCAAGCTGTGTTATATGTCTGGGAATCCTTAGTCTTTTATCTTCTTGAACATTTAAATCTAGATTCATTCTCCAATGCATCTAAATGAACATTTTTACATGTTTTGTTTGGAAAAAATAAAACATGAAAAACCTTAAAAAGTTTTAATTTATTCTTTCAACTTGTATCTTTTGCATAAATGTTTCAATGAATACTCTTGTGGTAATCTACCCCCCCCCCCCCCCCCTACACATCTTTCACCAAAGTAGATAGGGAATCCAAAGGGTTGATGCAAGACTTTTAATTTGATTTAAGTAAAACTTGTCTGAGTGGAACACCCTTTGTACCTCTAAAAAGTGTTCCACTTAGGAGATGTTCTACTTATGGAGGTTCATTTAACATTAAGTCAGTTGGTCTTGGGACTCTGAAAAGTGTTCTACTAACAGAGGTGTTCCACTTTATATGTTCTACTAACTAAGTGTTCCACTTGTAGAGGTGTTCTACTGTACATCTTATGTATCACAAATATATTTATTCATATGTAAGCAACACATAAGCACCTTGCACCTATCCAGCTACATAACTTTGGAAACAGTAACAATAAACTGCTTTGGATATCATTTTGAGAGAATCTTCTTCAAAACCAGATCTGTCAACAACCATTTCAAAAATCGTTTTAGTTCTAGGTATGTTCAATAACTTTGTCATTTGATAAGATATCATAGATCTAATTTGAAATACTATTTTTGAGATGGTATCCAATACAAATGGCAGGTCAGTGATAACATTACATAAATAGATTTTAGTCTGCAAGAGATACCAAAACTACTTACTTAGTGGTGAATATGGGGGGGGTATCAAACTGGCATTACTGGGGCCCAAAATTTTTTAGGCCACATCTACATTTAAATGTCAGATCCCGCCCCTGTTATTGGTATGGAAGATAATTAGATTATTATTATGTATTTTGGATGAGAATTTATTCCTTGTTATTTAGGTTTATAAACATCAATCATATGAAGCATTCATGTAATTATTATAATGGCACATATATTAGTGCTATCATACCAGGCCAGAATAGCACAGATGTTAAGGTTAGTTAAGTTATGGACTGGTAAAACAGGGCCCTATATGTTATAGCATAAGAACAATGTTTTGGTGAGGAGGCCTCTTCAGTTTTAGGATATCAAGATAATAACTACCCCTACATGTATGAAAGGACTACAAATAAGGTTGTCACATGAAAGGTATTGGATTCTACATTAGAGGTATTGAATTGTCATATTAGAGTTGTTAAGATGTCACATTAGAGGTATTTTATTGTCACATGAGGGCTATTGAATTGTCACATTAGAGGTATTGAATTGTCACATTAGAGGTATTAATATATCACATTAGAAATATTAAATGTCACATTAGAGGTATTGAAGTGTCACATAAGAGGTGTTGGATTGTCACATTAGAGGTATTGAAATGTTTTAAATAAGTTTTTTGGGTAATGGAACATGTGGGTCAAAATACTAAAGGGGAAGCATCACAGCTAGGAGAAAACTGATAGCTTTGTTCAACCACTGTAAGATTTTGGATGTTTACATAATATGGAAACAATCATCTCATTAGACTCTATTATGGGCGTTGTAGGAGCCCATGACTCTACCAACAAAGCACATCTTTGAAGAATATAGAGAGGACCAGAAATCCCATCATGCATTATGAGGATGTGCCATCCCAGTATGCAGTTTAAAGATCTGCTATATAATGCCACTAGTACACATGCACATACTGCTGGTAGTTAATTTATTGCTTCATTTTTTTCAATTCAAATTCTTGTGATCATCAAGCAATGGATATAATGAGAAATCAAATGTTTGAATCAATGCAAACAAGATATCAATTTTATTAACTCCAAAGAATTGCATATCAACATGCTTTGGGATGAGTTATATTTAGCATCATTATTTACAAACAAACTGAAATGTTAATAGCATATTGATCCAGGTTGACAACTGGCATCTGCAGCTGTCCTAAGTTCCCCTATTGCATGGTATTACATTGGGTAGCTCGATGCAGGGGAATTCAACCTGCTCGTCTACTGACTAACTGAGATGATTTACCTTCGAGCAGTGATTTCCCTACTTGATTCTGCAATTATTTACTTCCCACCCCAGTGTTAGGGTATTATAGTTTATAAAAACTACTTTACCAATGTAAATCTCATAATAACATCATATAAAAGTCAAAATAAAATTTTCAGCGTTAGACATGTTAGAGGTTACATGTTATGAAGGATCCTTGGAGCCTCACTTTGATCCAGAGTCAGCATCTGTTTCTGGTTGATTTTTTAATTCGCCTAATTTGAAGAAATATACATTATAAATTGCATGTACTGTAATAGGAAAAAACCTAGCACTAAAATTAGTTTATTTACTGTTTTTCAGGTCCTAGGCAAATAACCATACAACTGTGGAGAAATCCACTGAAACTCGCATCAGAATGGATTAGTCTGAAGATAAATAAGTATGTAACATGGATGTGATAAACAGAACATCAGAGCAAAGGAGCTGATAGTGTCAAGATAGCAATTATCTTGTATATAGGTATACATATACAGCCAGCTAGTGCAGAGATTGATCAGCGATGGGTGGAAACTTGTTCAGTTGTCATTCAGGGGGAGGACGGAGGGCCAACAAGATGCACAATGGTGAGTGCATGTCATGTTATTAAATTGCTTATTGTTCCTCCTCTCAACGTTTATAGTTAGAGCTTATAGAGGTGGATTATATAGTAACTGTACTAATGAAGATTACGATTGGACATGATCTGCAAGTCTTGTCTGTAAGAGGATGCTGGGAAGGGTTTTGTAATAGTACATGTTGTTGTGATCTCCCAAGCATTATAGCCGAACTGGTTTTTATGAAAATCTCAAAATTGCTGCCCACCTTGTTGAAAATCTGGTTGTTCCCTGGCAAAATGGGGGACTGAGATATTTTTGGTAAAGCTGCTTGCGAGGATTCACTTCATATAGGCAATGGGTCCTAGGTATGGTTTAAGCCTATCAATAGACTAGACAAGGGTGCTTACTGCTTATCATGTCCACCATGTGCATCATGGTATACAGTATCAACTAATATCAAAATAAAGTTCTTCATTCAATGCTACTCTATACTCCCATGATAGGGGCATTCAACTTTCTTTTTGATGAGAGGTGATAAGAGTACAAATATCTTTTCTGAAAGGTAAAGGTTGGAATGTAAAGGCAATGTAAAATACAAGTAGAATGAATTAGCATGGTTGGTATCCATCACTTAACTTGGACATGAACTTAAAATACATTTAACTAAATAAACTTGTTTAACACAATATTTCTCTTACATCCTCAGGTATGCTATAGCTGTTAATACACTGTAACATATATTAATAGTGGTATTTACTATATTGTAACTATATATGCCTGTAGCCAGGATTCACCATGGGGAGCGATTTTACCAAGGGGGGAGTTTTTGCCAAGGGGGGGAGCTTTTTGACAGTTTTGGCAAAAAATCATGCGAAAAGTGCTCAGATTGGTGAAAAACTGCATGATTTTGAAAGAATTTATGACCAGCGGCCAGTCCCTCCGCTCCCTCTGCTCCCTCTGGCTACGGGCCTGCTATATTATTGCTATTCAGAAATTAACACATTTTCTGTTTAATTCAGACAAGGCACCATTGCTAGCTCATACACCCATGAAGATTCATAGTCAATGTGTATATCAATTTTCTTTAATGTGTCAATGTCTAACACATTCCATGTTTCACATTTAGTAATACAGTCCTACAAAAGTGTTACATAACATTCAATCAAGAGTGAATTCCTCCTCATTAGCACCAGCTCTGAACTATCTTATACTAATAGACCACATAATCATGCAGGAGTCAATATACTTGAGTACATACATGTAAGATTGGTAGCCAATTCTGACTTGAGGTCTTCAGGAATATCTTCTTGTTTAAAAACACATTGAGAAAGGAATTGTGTCTGATAGCTCCATACACATGTATTTCACTATTTGTATAATAATTGTATTTTACTTGATTTTGTCCACTTATATCTATAGTATATTTTGCCTTATATTTCAGAAAGTTTCTAGTTTTAATTCGGGGTTTGTGTGTAAGATCCAGTTATCTAAATAAATAAATAAAAGATTACTTCTTATTCTAATGTAATATATACACACATTTAGCTTGGACTTATCTGTGTTATGCAAACTTTATTGAAGTAGCTCTGGACAAATGCAGATCAATCATTAAACATGCATATACTCAATGTTAAATCTACTATTCTATATATTATACAATACCGCAGTCCATAAACTGTGTTGTCAGATCTCTGGTTGGTCTCTTGCCATTTTACTTAGGTCACAATGTGTCTTTTGGCAGCATGAACGTCTCATGAGTATGCTTTTTAGGGGTTTGATATATTCTTATGAAGCTTGTTTGAAATGTAAATAAAATTTTTTCATCAAAAATATTTTCTACTTTGATAAATTGGATAAATCGTAAGATACATGCAAAGGATTTACATTTGTAGTGGTTGATAATCAAATTATAAGTACCTTCCCAAATACCATTGTACAAGTTACTCTACACTGGCGGATCTTGGAGGAGGGCCAAGAAAAAAAATTGGACCCAAAAAAGGCGAAAAAAGGCCTCTAGGCCCTTAAAAGTGGTCTTTTTGATCATTACTGGGCCTTTTAAGGCCTTATTTTTTACTTTCAGGCCAAATTTTGAAGAAAATGGGCCTCAAAATTTGGGCCAACTTTTGGGTTTTAGGGGCCCAAAACTTTTACGCGCAAGCGCCTAAGTTTTTTCTGTGATCTGAAATTTGGGCCCCCCCCCCTTGTTGGTTCCCAGATCCGCCCCTGCTCTACATATGTGAAATAAGAGGGATGAAATATTTGCAGCCTTACAGGTTAAAATAAGATTATTTAAAAAAAATACTGTGCTGCTTTTAGAAGTATGCGTTCATTTTTCTCAATCAGCCAGTTAATTGTATGTTGTTTAACTGGCAGAGAAGGGGGTTGGGTTAAAACATCAATTATCATCAACATTTATTTTGTGGGGTTGGGGGGTGGTAGAAGCTCATTTCATTTTGTTTATTTTATGTTTAGTCAAGGGGTGAAATGTAAGTAAATTCTCTCATTGAATATTCCACCAGTTAATTCCCATTTTGGCCCAAAATATTTTTTCAAACTTCTATAGCAGTGCTACAGTAGTGTTCAACACGACTATCATCTCAGCTTCCATTGCAAAATGGCTAAATAAAAATCATGTCATTGAGATATCTATGTAGAGTTTACTGAAAATCATACCACCAAACAAAACTTTTTAAGTGTGTATACCGTAGGTCAATGTGACAGTTTCGTTTTGAAGGTAGGGGTCATGTCAAAACAAAATTAATATATTTTTTCTTGAATTTTGAATATTTGAGCCAACCCCTTACTGATATTTGTAGAGCACCATTTCAGCACTTGTCATGATCATTTAGCTTTAATATACCATAGTTTTAAACACCAGACTCCAGGAAGTAATCTGTTACTGCTTTATAAAAAGATATTTCATATATTTCCGGAAATATATGAATCAGTTTTTGTGGATGATGTGAGCATATGATGTTACAAGCAACAAAATATATCTGCTTGTAATCATTTATAAGTAACAATTCATACACAATGTTTTATATTTATCACACCCTTGGATCCTATTTTGTAATCAGATTGGTATATTAACCCTTGTTGATATTTTATTTCAGGGTGAAATATGGTTCTGTTTCTTGTTGTTCTAGTATTGCTTGTTACACACATAACCTTAAAAAATGACCTATTTTCTGTGAAATTTTGTTTTTCCTATTCTTAATGGCTAAAATAAACTTTAAAGTTTTGGAGTAGTCCAAATCACTTTGTATCAAGACTAATGAGGTTTTGTTGGAACAAACAATTGACCACTTTAAAAATGAATAAGTTGTTGTTCGGGGAACTGAAGGTCAAAATGTATGTGAATGTCATTAGGGGCAGATAAGGTTCTTACACAAGCTCACATAAAATACAAGGCCACAGAAGATTACAATATCTCCATGATAATCTCTAACCTCTATAAATATACTTGTTTGATTAATAAGTTAACTGGCAAAATATCATTTGTATTTACATGTTTTACATAGTCATCCTGGCATCATAAGTCACAAAAATACAAAATCAAGAGCAATCCAATATTTCACTGTCAATTAGACTAAGAATAAACATAACTTATAGCAAATCATAAATATACATGAAGTATACATCAGCACTACAGTCAGTGGCACTAAACCATTCTGAGAAAGTGGGAAAACAAGAAAATGATATATTAAAATTTTGTTTTTTGTTTTTTAAAGATTAATATGGTAATTGATAGATACAGTATTTGGTAATGAACATTTTCAAAGTGCAATGTATACTGACATCTGAAACCTGAAATGGGAATCATTATTAAACTTGTAATAAAAATGTACCATTGGGCGGAGGTAATAACTTTTTGACTGCAATATAATTATTATTAGGGTGTCATCAATTTAAATTAATTATCACCTTCAGGCTTGTGACTATAGGTACTCCTTCACTTGCCAAAATTAAGTTATACTGTGAGATGTAATGTGAACTTACAGACATTCATACCTAATGTGGTAAAACTGGTTAAAATGGGTAAGATAAGGTGTTTCAACTTATTGAATACAATATACATGTTATATAAAAATGCATCAATTAAGTTTAAGTTAATGGTGTGTTTGAGCTGAAAATCTCAGTAGTCATTCTCAGCAGTATGAAATAATTATTTGTGTATGTATTTACAGGTAACAGGCTCTCCAGGGAGGATCTTAACTTCATCTATCAGTATAGTGGTAGCACCCCCATATCCCCAAGTCTCTCAGGGGGTGCTCCTGTATCTCCACTACGCAACAATGGACACAATCAGAAGATCCCTGTCCCCATGCTAACCTCTACCCCAGTAATACAACCAGAAAATGGAACAGCTATTAAACTTGCTGAGGGACCACTTTGTGTGGACATTAGCCCTGCAGGGTACACGACCACTACCTCACACTCTAAGATCTCCCTAAATGAGAATATATATGATAAAGTACAGCCATCAAGTGCCCCCTCTAGTCCAACAGTTAGGCGGAAAGCCCCACCAAAGCCACCACGGATGCGTAGTGTCATACAAGTGGATGATGACAACAAGGGCCCAGTGCTTAAGGTGAGTACACTCATGAGACAAGGTATTATTGAGTGTAATGGATGGAAGAATCTTGAAATTCACAAGGAGGAGGGCAAAAATTTATTTATTTCGAAAACCACTTTCAAATATTTTATGTTCAAAATGATGTTGGGTGGATAGTATTGCACCCTTGAGAAGAAAAAACGTTACATATACACAAGCTGTGGTCAAAGTTTGGGCTCATATCATTTTTTCTTTCTAAATTATACCTAACATGACATTTCTCAATAAACCCTCACTTGATATAGATAACTGAACACACCCAGTACATCAGGATATTAAATCAATAGTAAATCAAAAATACAAGCTGTTTTACTTGCAAGATGATTCTACAAGTTAGTGTAGTCTCTATGTAAAACTTGTAGACTACAGTAAAACCTGTCTGAGGGAACACATTTCTGTAATAAAAATATCTCTACAAGGAACAGTTTTAAAAAAACAATGTTTTTTTGCATTGACTTGTTAATGAGAACCCTCTCTGTAAGGAACACTCGTCTATAAGTGACAGCTTTTGTCAGCATGGACAATGTTCCCTGTATCCAGGTTTTACTGTTGTGATTTTAATACAAGAGTTCAATTATTTTTCCTCTCATAAACTTCAGAGACTAGAACTGTGGCAACAGACAAAAAGTACTAAGTACAACAAGTACTTTATCTAGTATATGTTTTGACATAATCATATTAGATTATTGATCTGTTGATATGCAGCACGCGTTCTTAAATGTTTTGAAATAAACATAATCCTGTGAAATGATTCATGAAATAGGAAGAATACAACAGTTCTGTAGAGTTGTTAGTTCCTAATTCAGGAATTCCTGAGTCATTGCAACCCACTGTGATTACAATCATATCCTTCTTTTCCCACGTCAAAACATAGAATAACCTCAAGAAAGATGTCGGCTTTTAGTTTGATTCATGTTTTATTCATTATAATTTCCAACAACATCTTTGTTTTGCAAGTTCAAGTAACATGCTCTGATTTAGGATAAGACTTGATTTGTGATCCATATATTAAGTGAGGAGTTATAATGCTGGTAATATATTTATTGCCCTTAATGCCCAATAAAACACAACATCCCAGATAGCACAACTCTGATGGGCCAACGTTGGCCCAACAACTACGTATCTGTTGGCCCAACGTTGGCTGTCGTGGTTGGCCCACCGTCGCTATGTCCATCGGTCCAACGTTGGTCCACCGTCGCTATGTTCATTGGCCCAACGTTGGTCCATTGTTGGCCCAACACGATTTCAAGCTACGTTGGCCCATAGTTGGCCCACTAATAGTAAGAAGACTGGTTGGCCCGACGTTGGTCAACAGTTGGTCCGACAATGTTAAGAGGGATGTTGGCGAATTGGCGGTCAAAACTGGTTGGCCCAACGTTGGTCAACAGTTGGGCCAACTTTGGCCCAACGATTACGTATATGTTGGTCCAACGTTGGCTGACGTGGTTGGCCCACCGTCGCTATGTCCATTGGCCCAACGTTGGCCCACCGAAGGTCCATTGTTGGGCCAACCATATTTTCTTTCGGTGGGCCAACGTTGGGCCAATGGACATAGCGACGGTGGGCCAACCACGTCAGCCAACGTTGGTCCGACATTGGCAGCCACCACAGAACCAACGTTGGCCCACTGTTGACACAATTTACTTTTTTGTACAGCCATTGTTGGCTCCCTGGGCAGCCAACGACAGGCCACATGAATAATTTGCCAACTGCAACCTTGAGAACCAATGGTCACCGATAGCGACGTTGACCCAACGTCTTTGTGCTATCTAGGCATTCAGTACTGCTACTGTAAATGTGTTCACATATTATATCCGTTTTACATCAATAAAATATGGTGGCTTGTTTTTCCATACTAAATATATTTGGTAGCCTTATAAGTGGTTTCAACTGTATTACAAGGCGAAAATCCATATTTTTGAGGTGAACAACATTATCAGATAATTTTGAAAGAAAATATTACAAAAATTTACCTTAATTTTTTTTTATGACTGCTGGTATGTTTTCTTCTATTTTTAAGCATTTGCAATGATTTATCGATAGGTGGCTTCCTGGTATTAGCGGCAGCCAACAACGGGCCAACGTTGGCCCAACTACAATTTGCCAACTGCAATTTTGCACTGATCGATAGGTCCCAGATAGCACATCGCCAATGGGCCAACGTTGGGCCAACAACTACGCATCTGTTGGCCCAACGTCGGCTTGAGCGGTTGACCCAACGTCATTTTGTCCAGCGGGCCAACGTTGGTCCAACAGTGGCAAAAAATTATATTGGCCCAACGTTGGTCCAATGTTGGCACAGATAGCACACCGCCAGTGGGCCAACTTCGGGCCAACAACTACGCATCTGTTGGCCCAACGTCGGCTTGAGCGGTTGACCCAACGTCATTTTGTCCAGCGGGCCAACGTTGGTCCAACAGTGGCAAACAATTATGTTGGCCCAACGTTGGTCCAATGTTGGCAAAAAATTATGTTGGCCCAACGTTGGTCCAATGTTGGCTCGACAGTGCTTTAGTGCTAATGGCAATGTTGGCCCAACGTTGGCCTTGCAGAGGGAACAGATAGGTGGGTGGCCCAACGTTGGCCCAACAGTACTTTAGTGCTACCCAGATAGCACAACGACGTTGGGCCAACGTTGGTCCAACATTTGCAGCGTCTACAACGTCAGCGTACAGCCGTAAAATTGCTGACTTCAGGCCAACAGAAAAGTGTACCTTGACGACCTCGTACCAACGTCGGCCAAACGTCAAAGTACCGCCCTAAAATTGCTAACTTCAGACCGAAAAAGATGTGTCATTTGCCAACCTTGTACCGACGTCGGTACAACGTGAGCTTACAGCCGTAGAATTGCCGACTTCAGGCCAACGGAGAAGTGTGCCTTGACAACCTTGAACCAACGTCGGCCCAACGTCAAGGTACCGACGTAAAATTGCCGACGTTGGGCCAACAAAGACGTGCTATCTGGGATGTATCATATTCTATTGCAACTGTCATTAGATGTATGTGTTTGATATTTCTTTTACAAAGATGAGCTCAGAGGAGGTCTTAAAGATATAGGATCTGGAATGTTAAATCCAAAACATTATATCATGGCATCTCATTTCAAAGCAGTCTCATTACAAATACACGTCATTCTTGTCATAACAAAAAAACTGTGTTGGAAGAATTTATTTGTGATGCATTCCATTATATCCCATGATGCATCCCATTATATCCCATAATTCATCCCATTATATTTCATGATGCATCCCATTATATCCCATGATCCATCCCATTATATCCCATTCTGGTCTAGCATTTTGTAAGATTCAGATCCTCTCAGTCTCTTAACTGTAGCTTTAAAATCAGTATGTAAATATGGATGAATAAATACTAATACTGGATTTTGAAATATAAATCTTGATAAGAACTGAAGGGAATGCATTGAAATGCCATCATAGAGTATCATCATAGAGTATTCATCCGGCTACATTATACTCAAATAACAGTATACTATATGGTTTAGAATAAAATAAAAAGTACAAGTGCAAAATTGGGATAGAGGATTACAAAATTCAGCGAGAAAAAGTAAAAGTAAGTTAATGAATGAAGAGATTTATTTTGTTTACACTAATGAGTGACTTATGGCCTCAGACCCAAAACATTGCAAGCTGTACTGTAGGCATTCAGGTTATGCCAGATTTCCACATATAATTCACGATTCAAATGCTTTAGAATATGCTCAGATGATGAATGCTTACAACAGGTATATAAATAAGGGTTATGTACTGGAAGGTTTTGGATACAGGGTTTATCCCAAGGGAAATATGTGTATCTCCCGAGGGACCGAGGGAGATACACATATTTCCCGCGGGATAAACCCTGTATCCAAAACCGACCGTACATAACAGATGTATTTCATACCTGTTGTAAGCATTTCTAGGTACATCATACCTTATAAAGATCCAAAATTCCAAAACATACTTAAGGTACTAGGCGTTTTCTTGGTCTTAAAGTTTGCGAGATTTTCAAAAAATTTGAAAAAAATAAAGAAAAAAATGTGAAAAAATTGAATTTTGGTAAAAAAAGAATTTTGAAAAAAAAAATTGAGCGGGACCGGGATGGATACAGCGTGTATCCATCCCAGTCCCTAGATACACTATATATTCCCGCTCTTTATGTACCTAGAACCTCAGTAGGTATGAAATACAATACTGTACTAACTGACTCTTCTGGTACAAGATTGGTTTGTGAAGAATTATAACAAAAATATGAACACAACTAGGTAGATTGAAGAATACCCCGCATGATAGAGCCTACATGTAGTACTTACTAAGCTCTGAATGGGACAAATATATACAATTTTGGTTGTGATAAGGCCTAGGTTGGCATGACCTAAATCAAAGTTTGAAAATGAAATAAATACAGGGAATGCAATTCTGATTGTTTACCAGTTTGATTTTCAATGTTCATACCTTGATTATCCAAGATGATTTGCTAGCTGGATTATTACTGATTCTAGATGAAATGAATTATCACTTACTCAAGAGTATACATAAAGCTCCTTTTAAAGTACCTCAAACTATCTCTTGGAACTAGTAACTGAAAAAAATTAATCTGAATCCTCAATCATTGGATCGGACAAACATTACAAATGTGTACTATTTATTCAAATACATTGAATAGATTAGCGAACTCCAATGCAGTGTCTCGATATAGACACTGCGGCGGGCAGATGAAGCAAATCCCCAAAATTTGGGGAAAATAGTTCCCCTTTTCATCGCATATGTGGTCAATTTTCACACAACTTATAAAATATGTATTCATGAATGTTCCCCAAACATTATTTTGTCAAAATATTTCAAAATTATTGAAATATGAGAAGAAATCACCGCGGAAGGAATTCTGAGTAAAAGTTGTGTTGATAAAAGTTTACCGCACGTGTTGTTTATTAGTTAATACGCGCAATTCAACCAATGAAATTGTCTAAATTTTACAATCACGCGACCTGAGCATGGGACTAGAACCAATCACGTCAGTTGTTTATTACGAAGTTACCATGCTTACGGTGAGATACCTGCCCGCCGCAGTGTTATGTTGAAGACTAACACTGCACGGGAGTTCGATAGATTAGATACAGTGAATTAGGAGCATTTAATAAAAGTGATATACTTCACAGAGATCATTGATATTTATTCATCAAGTCTTGGGTATTACCCAGTTGGTTTTCAAGTTGGAGTTTATACATTTGTATATCTCATGGCTCATATCATGCACTTAGGCAACCTGTGTTCACTGACATAACATGTACACATACTATTTATCTCTAACACAAGGCAGACAGAACTATCAATCCCCAAAGGGAGATAGCCTGCCAGCTTTGAAGAATCTGGGTCAACAATGTAATAGACTATCAGACTAATACAAAATATCTATCACTTCCACTTAATTTGTTTGAAATTAAAGTAAGATTAAAGCATATGCCAATGATATGTGATGTTTTTAACCTTCAATATCTTCTATTGTTATCTATTTTTTGTAAATCTTATGTACAAAACACAGAAAAATACATAGCAAGCAAGTTTTTCCCTGTACAAGTATGTCCCAAAACAGCAATGAACGCCTGCTTCGATTTAAGCATAGCAACCACAAGGCAAGGGAAGCCTCATCAAAATTTGACAGAAAAATATTGATTTAGATAAAACACTAAAAATTAAGTTAATGATAGCATTTAACTCAATTTTCCTCACCTATTTCAATTTACCCCACCTAATATTGATTAAGATAAAAAAAAATGTAAAAATGAAGTAAATAATATTATTAACTCAATATTCCTTACAACATATTTAAATTTGCCTCGCCTATTTGGACGGGTGTCATTAAGGGCCCTTTTTAGCCCCCAAAGATATCTGATAATAATGCATATCATATTGAAGAAAAATCATTTGTGCTTTATAAAAATACAATTTCAGCGAATTTTGACCTTTGATGTTCACACCACAGTCATTTAAAGATCATATACCATTTTTGGTGTTTTTACAAAAAATTCTTTATTTATTGTTGTCTAAGTAAATAGTATATACATATTAACCAATTTGAATATATTAAAATGTAATATATGAAATACTGAAGAAAAGATACGATTAAAATTATTTTCATGGAAAAGCACATAGGGCAATATTGACAAAATGCAAATGCTATTTTGGTAGGTTCTGGGCTAGCAATGGGTACATTTCAACTGTGACTGTAATGGATTACTATTGACTTTTATCAACATCACAGGGCAACATTTAAGCAACTTAAATACAAGGAAAATCAAAGATTTCCTCTCATTTCTAAAACGAGGAACAAAAGCATGAATTCAAGGAAAATAAATGATGGCCTGTGCCAAAATATATAACTATGAGAAAGTTGTGGCACAGCAAAGGATATGTATAGGATATTATATGATTTTAAATGATTTTATCTTTATCTCCGAGTTGATATCAATATCTTGCCAAGTTAGAATAGCGAATTAGCGCAGATAATGATATCAATGAGTTGGATTAACACAATATCACGAAAATTCATAGGATGTTCTATTTTTCCCATAGTTCACCTCTAAAACTAAACAAAACATATCAAAACAACATCCATTCATCCCCGTGATGTCATGAAATCACTATGTAACAAAACACATCATATTGGTGGTAGTTTTCAAATCCCTGCCAAAAGGTGATATCTGTGAAATATTTTCCGTATTCCACAGATATCACTTTTTCCACGCATTTGCAAAATATCACAAATATGTTTTCATGTTACCTAACAGAGCGGAACAGAGTTCAACTATGGGATAAAGAATAAAAAATAGGTACATAATTGAATTACCACTCCAAAAATATTAAATATGAGGGTTTAAAGAAAGAATATTGAATATGAGATTCAAAAAGACAAGTGGCCTCATGTCTCACATTACCCAAACCCCAGATCCTCGATGTCATATATACTTGTATACTGTATATCAATGTTATTTACTGGGAGGATTGAATATGGAGTGTATAGCAATGGTCAATACGATATTTCCAGATAGATATTTTTCCCTAGAAGTGGAACCCAAACTCAGTCATGACATAGAAGCTAACTTTTGCAATTAATAGAAACTTGTTTTTTATTATATTTTTGTGTTTTATATTTGAGATGAAATAATATGAGATGAAATAATATGAGATTCATTTCTACAAGGATGGAACGAATGTGAACTTGTATATTGAACTATACTCCTTTTCTGAATAAACAGAACAACATTTTATCCAAGCCAATTAAGAAAACCAAGGCCAATGAGTGTAATTTACGCCCAGTTAAACTAACACAATAACAACTTTTTGTCTGGACTCACTTATTATGTAAGAATGAATTGTATTACTGTTTACTGCATTAAATGTCAAGTATACTATCTGTATTTAATTTCAAATGCCTATCTCACTTATCGAAGGTATACAAGAAATGTTATTTTGAAACAAATTCAGCACAACCAAAACCATGTCCACATATAAGAGGAGGGAAAGCCCCAGAGTTTCAAGATGACAGACATAATTACCTCTCTTGCTTACCACCTTCGTTCGTTCGAATTTTCATCGGCTAGTTATCAAATACTACACTTCGATGGGATGTTATAATTGATATAGGCATATTCCGTACACCTTTCTTTATCTTGATGTGAAATGAGAAGCTATGATATTGGTTAACACGCCAGAAATGAACATAATATTATTCGAAGCGTATTTCGAAAATTTTGAAACCGCCATTGATGACGTCATTTGTTTGTCGACTTTTGACCAATCAGCGACCGTGTCATCTCAATACAGATTTACATTATAAGCGTATGTCATCTTTGAACCCTGGTGTTTCTCCCCCTCTGTCCACATATATGACAAATCCAAGATGGCTGCCACAATTTTAGATCCATGCAGATGTGAAGAAGTTAGAAATACACATGGTCCACAAGTTCCATCCCCAATAAAATGGGAAGTTTAAGGTTTTCACACATATCAACTCTATTCCTATATACTTTATATTTGTGGTAAGGCTTGTGATCTAGGTAAACTTAGCATGTTCATGTACCTCCTATCCTCTGAAGCTAAAAACAGAAATAGTGACTTCAATTGAGAAAAATGAATCTTATGGGCTCCATATACATTTTGAGTGGCTGTCCGGCTTAAGTTAGATACTACTGATAATCTGAGATTGAAAATTATGTCAAGTTTAGTCCTCAGCCTCTCATAACGGATAACTTCGAGGTAATTGTGTTGTCACTGCAAAAACCTCTATTTCTTCATCACAAATCTACCATCTTTTGCATCTGTCAAAACCCTTCATTTCATGTTAATTTTCAGACTTTTGCTTGTGCTATCATTAAATATATATATTCAACTTGTTATTCAGAATATTTTAAGAACTTTTCATGATTTTTTTATTTTCACACTTTTGAAAAAATGACTAAGTCAGAGAATGGCCTCTTAATGGCATGTCCCCTTTGCCTCACCTTTTTCTAGATCCTGCCCTAAAGAAATATTTATTCAAAAGTTATCAATTTTCAAAATTATGTTTATAGGGGCCATTAAGTTATATTTAATATTTTTCATCATGGAATATATTTTATTGAATTGTCACACATTTATAATTATTAAATATTGAATTTTTCCAGTTTAGTTCAAAATACATAAAGACATCATTTTCTGAATCAATCAGCATTTTTTACTTAAAATGAACTTTAAATTTGTTTTTCCTGTCCAGTGAAATATCAATTTCATCTTTCACATAAGAGTCAAAATCTTGCAATGGGTACCTACTACATGTAAATAAATAAACATATAGCACAACTTTTAATGTTAATACCTAAACAAAGAGTGCCTTAATTGTCCCCTCAAACAATAAATCCATACCTCTTTCCAGAATTCTTTCACACTACAAGTTTTCATACCACACACTACAAGTTTTCACACTACATGTTTTCATGTATTTTCAGGTGGATGATCATCTGTACGTGAACATATCAGAGCTCTCGCCATCGCACTCTTTGAGGTCATCCATGCCCCCGTTATCTCCACAAACGCCAGTCCGTAGCTCCATGGAAGACATCACGAGCATGTTCAGTGAAAATGACTCTGTATAAGCAGATGGGAGATCCACATTATCAAGGACACATATGACATCCAGTATGAAGTCAAATTCCAGTAAGATTATCATGAGGGGAAAGGTATATGACATGATCCTACAGACCAGAGGGTATTTATTACAGGAGCTAGATCCTGAAGATATACTGAAACATTTGAGTGAACAAGGTGCTATATCAGAACGAACTGAAGTAGAAATACGAAAATGTCGAAGTAAGGATGCAATGTGTGAGATCTTATTGGATGTTGTAATGAGTAAAGGACATAAGGAGTTTACGATATTCTGTGATTGTTTACGTCAAGTTGGTGGCCTGGGCCACTTGGCGGATTTATTGGAGGTGTTAGATACTCTAATAGAAACTGTAACTGAGACCCATCATGGGTTCCGCAGAGGGATTACCCCATCATATATTGAGTCAAAGTGTCACCTATGTGTGGCAGAAGCAGATGAGGAAGACTCTGGAAGTAACACTCCCAACTTTGATATAGACATCAGTTACTATGACAACGAGGGTCAAACAATGAGGTCAGTAAAGGAAATTGCCAAACTGAAACAACAAGAGAGATACAAACTCGCAAGTACTGTAAAAAGCTTAAGTGTGGAGCAGTTGAACAGATTCATCCCAGTTATATCTGTGAGTTTCTACAACCAGTGTCTAAACAATGAAGGACTTACAACTTTAGCTGATTTACTCTCAAAATATAACTGCATTCGTGAGTTGAGCATTGTAAAGAATCATATTGGTGAGGATGGCATGGACCAGTTGGGGAAGGCCTTACAAAAGAACCATGGCCTAACCAAGCTTGATATAAGGCTGAATACAATTGGTGATGAAGGTGCCACTAGCCTACAGAAAGCACTAAATGAAAACCGCACATTAAAGATATTGAATGTGACAAGCACTGGACTATCTGGCTTAGGATGTAACAAACTTGTACAGGGCTTACATAAATCTACATGTTTATCCGAACTGGATGTGGGATTTAATGACCTACGAAATGAAGGCTGCAAAACATTTGCTGTTGTCTTAGCCAATAACTGTTCTCTGAGGAACTTACGCATGAGGGATAATAATATTGGAAAAGACGGAGCTATCCTCATATTCCAATCTCTACGCAAGAATTCCCGACTTACAGCTCTGGATATGAGCAGTAATAAACTAGGAGATGAGAGTGTGAAATGCTTATCAGAGGTGCTGTTGGTAAATAGGGGGCTACGGGAACTTAATCTTGAAAATTGTGCAATTTCCAGTGGGGGTTGTCCAGTTCTTTCAAGAGCTCTGAAAACTAACACAGCTCTACGGATTCTAGACCTCAGTATGAACCAGCTGTGTGACTCTGGAGCCACTGCATTGTCAGATGGACTTAAGTACAATAAAACATTGACAACACTTAGTATGAATATGTGCAGTATAGGGAACATAGGCTTCATCCCCTTATTGGATAGCTTAATGTTCAACATAACGCTTGTGACACTGAAGCTATGTTATAACCACATCGGAGAGATCCCCCTCCAGCCACCTCCTGCTGGGAAACAGAGACACAGACATGTACCAGTTATGGGCACCCAGGACATACACGTAAGGAGCAATGAATTGAGGTTACCCCCAGATAGATTAGATAAGCCATTGTTAAATCTGCAAGAGAAGTATGCAGAACTTCTTAGCTGTAATCCGGAATTGAAGATTCTGCTCTGGGGGAACAAGCTGGAGGACCACTGGAAGGGAGGGATACCAGAGACCCCTAAATCAATTGCTTCCTGTAACTTTTAATATATTATATACTTCATGGGAAAACAGAAAACCGGATGAAAAATTTCCCATGTAATTTTCTTTTCTTTACCCAAAGGGAAAATAACATGGGAAAATTTTATTTCCACATTCCAGTTTTTCTATTTTGAAAATATATGAATAGATATATAAAACTTCCCATATACTTACTGGGAGGAATTGAATATGAGTTTTGTGCAGATTGGTAATATGTTATTCACTAGGAACAGAGGAGATTGAGGGAAATATCATATTGACCAAGGTATAAAACCTATATAGAATTCCTGATCAGGATATAACTGTTTTATACCATGATATTGAATGATTGAGCGCTGATTTAAATATCACATGATTATCTACATGAAAATATTACTGTAAACTAAATGTTCATATTTCATGAAACCTTTATTGATGATAATTATTAAGATAAACATCTAATCAGATTGAATGTTTTCATGTGTTGTTCAATGTTTGATAAATTAAAATATTTTGAAAATTAAAATTTTTGAAAAGTAAGAAGTTAGGGAGTAAACTATGGGGAGGACAAGGTGAATATGAATCCAATATTAGGGACAATTAGGTAAATACAATTTTTCGTGATTTCTTCAATATAATTTAAATTTCCTGGGGTTTTTCATCAGGAAGTAATAGTATCATGGTATAAAAAAGATATATAATGAGAATTGCAAACTCAAATAATTATATTTTGAGATTTTATTCCGATTGTTTTTCATGGTTGTGTTAAGAGTGCACAAGGCATGGGCATGGAGTGTGGTCAATACTTAAAGTGATAATCAGAAATACAATATTAAATAGAACAAAACAGTTCCTGAATCTTGATGTGCTTTAAACTTACTGTATATAAGCTTGTGTCATTTCGGCGCTTCCTTTATATTAGGGAATTTGGCACTAAAAAACTTGTCGTAGTATAAAATAAGTGTGTTCTCGTACCATGGAGATGGTATTGATCCTCATAACTGGGTTAAGAAAAATGTAATTGATTGTGCAGCTGTTTAACTGATGTTACTGTTTATGAAAAGGCAAAAAAAATGAAAAAATATGGATAGCCTCAAATTAAGGTACAGTAAAACCTTTGTATATTGAAAATTTTTTGCTGAGAAAAAACCGTCAGTGTTGGTAGGTGTTCACTATGGAGAGGGTAATTTATACAGAAGTCAATAGATTATGTGCAGAGGAAGGGAGTCCACTAGAGACAGGTGTTCACTAAGAGAGGTATTCACTAAGACAGGTTTTACTGTAGTTGTATACTGGCAATAAGTGACTCCATGCTATAGCATAGCAGCATTAATTTTACAGGTGTTCTTCTGTAGGACATATAAATTTCATGATATCACACTTTTAAAAAATGAGTTTTTTACTTTATATTGCTACATAAACATAATTTTTACCCACTAAAGGCATTTTAATGTATTTTTGTCACAGTTTGGTACATAATTGGCAACATCTTAGACAAAAACATACAAAACATTAACTTTTAATTATTTACACCTTCCAGTGTGCCAAAACTTTTAGGCCCCTGGTAAACAGCCACCTTAATTCAAGTTACCTGTTGTTTGTGTATAAGGATAGAGGATGAACTGTGTACAGTAGTTTTTCAAAGTTACTTTGCCTGTCATGTTTATATTTATTTCTGCTCACTGAATATTTTATTGCAGAAAAATAAAGCTGTATATCTCATATATATGAAAGATTATATGGCATACCAACATGTTTTATTAGCTTCTGTTAATTAAGATGCTTGAGGACCTGTGTAAGTTAAGAAATGTAATTTCCAGGAATATTGTCTTAGTGTGCATTGAAACCAAGCTTGCCCTGACTGTGCATGACACTATGGTCTTAACTGTATCCATTGGTTTGAGGACTATTTCTTGCCAAAAAAGATATTTTGATCTACACATCAATTATAATCTGATATAAATATACAAAATATCAACAGTGGTATAATGGTAATATTTTGAATATTGTCCCCAGGAAATATTGTCCTAGTTTGCATTGATGACTACATGTGTATGACAATTATTGCCTTTACACTGGTTCTTGAAGACCTTCATGTATTTTTGTGGTTTATATGAATGAATACTGAATATTTAAAGGATATCCTACGATTTTGAGGAATACTGTTTTTATCTACAAGGGGATATTGATATCTGCACGAGAGAGCAAAGCGAACGAGTGCATATATTAAAATCACCGAGGATAATAATGAATACTGCACCATTATGAGTTGTGTCTAGTAAAGAGTGATAATATTTTTAAATATTCTAGGCAAACTGCATGTATATGTATGTATATGCTCATTGCTCTACTGTAGAAATTGTGTATATCTTCTTTGTCAACAGCAATGTGAATATAGTGGTGATTAAGCTACCATGATGAATAAATACATATTTATGCTCAATAAATCATTTTGTGATATAAATTGTTAAAATAAAATTGATGATAAAATAAAATGGCACAAAACAAACATTCATCAATGACACTGTTTAGATACTATATATCTAGTATATCATTGAAAAGGTAAATCTTCCAGAATAAAGGCTGACCCGTGGTTATAAAAAAGAATAATTTATTTATATCCAGGTATGGGAATTGCAAATGATTTAAGACAGACATATCAATAAATACAGCAATTTGAAGTTAGGTAATCAGGATAATGAAAATATCAATCCAATTCTCTTAAAAAACCATTGTTAAGGACCCCATCTTGACATTTCAAATTGTCAGAGTTATTTTCTAAAGAGGAATTTCCTTCTCACTTTACCACATCAAAAGTTTCTTTTGTACCATACCAGTAACTTCTGAAGGGGGAGGGAAGCATTGAAATGTTATAAGGTGGAAAACAACATATCACATCTTATTTTCTCAAATGGAAAGCTCTTGCTATCCATTGTTTTCAGCCTAATTTTGGTCACCAGAATTTGACAACTTAGATTTTCAATTCCAATGTCACTTCCAATGCCAATATACCCTTCAAGATCTTTTGTTGTATAATCTATCTATGCAATACAAATGAGAAAAATAAACCCTTAGAAAATAAGTCTGAAATTTTGAAAAAAGCGTTGAGTTAGGGGTCCTATCATTGGTTTTGGAAAGTTGAATAGATGATTTTATCATCATGGGGACCTCACTTAGAGATAAACACATTATTTTGATGAGGAATGTTGTATTTATGGTGATAAAATAATTGTGGTAAATTGTCTAAAATCATTTGCCATACCATACCTGGTCCTTTTTATTATCCTTTTTACACTCACAATAAGAGTGAAGAAAGAAAGAGCCTAAGAATATCATTTTCCCAAAACACATGAAGTATAGTGAACATTGGAAATAATGCTTTATTAATTGGTTTAGGAATTATATTTTGATAAAATCCCTTTGATGTAAAAGTTACAAAAAGATATACGCGTAAAATGGAACAGCTCTGTTATTGGAACACTTTTTAGAGTCTCTACACCAATTTACTTAGTACTAATGTTAAATGAATCTCTATAAGTGGATCACCTCCCAAGTGGCCAAGAGACCATGTGATAGGTTTTACTCTACAATGAAACTTGTTTTTCCGAACACCTCTCAATGTGAACACTTTCTTAGGTCTCAAATTTGTTTTTTCCCATGGACTCACATTAAAAAACCTTGAAATGTGAACCCTGCTAATCCATCACTTTTGGCCAGTCCCTGTGGTGTTCGGACTTGACAGGTTTTACTGTATAGCAATCTTTCATATACATTACTTTGGAGTAAAGAACATGAAGGTAACATGTTTTTGTAGACTTCTGATCTCAGTGAGACATAAGAAAATGTAATTCACTTGGCGCCTAAAAATGTTTAGTTAAAGGATGTGAAAACTATAACCTTGTCCATCCAGTCCAGTTAATGATAATTCCTCATTTCATCAAAAGAAAACTTACCTTGGTTAAATGAACTTAATTTATAAATACTGAGAAACAATTTGGTGCCTTACACCACAGAATCTGAATGGACTGTAAGGGTGTACCAAGATTGTCCCTGCTAACTAATAGTGCTTCTGTACATGTAGAATGTCAAGTCTCCTTGGAGAGGTTCATTTAATACACCAAATATATCATCAAATCTCCAAACCACCTAATATCACTTCATAAAAGGTGGTATGAGAGGCTAAGAGATACTTGGATTGATTCGATTTTCAAAGTTTTTATTTTCATCAATTCTCATAATGATTTGCAATGGTGAAAAAGGACAATCCTGTTTTTTATAATTAAAAAGCCTGTCAGATGTAACCTTTAGTCTGCTTTAATTCCCAAAGAAACCTTACATAGTATGGGATCAGAGACACTATGGAGAATCCACCAGCATTCAAGGTTAGGTATGACGTGACTAGGAAGTATATTATCATCTGGTGAGAATATCTTGTCTTAAATTAGATGTGAAACAACACATTTCTCACCATGGCGCAATTCCAATGCAGCTTAGCTATTAAACTCCTAAAAATCTAAGATTAAATAAACATGTCTAATCTCCCAATACCCAAGGATAAATATTTTGTTAAGCCTATAAAGAATACCAAACATTATCATGATCAGATGATAGACTTCTTGAATGGTCTTTCAATGGAATCAGTTTAGGTTGTTTCGCATATTTTGAATGCTAAAGCATTTAAATGCAATGATTAACTTGTTGCCACATTGAGAATCTCACAGACTTCAATTTGATAATATATTGAGCTAGGGATGAACTATACATTCATAAATTCAAATGATGGCAATATACTCCACATAGAGTTTAAAATTAGTGCTTTCCTTTTATTTTGAATTCCAACTTGCCTAAATGGTATAAATACTCAGATCCTTCCCACGGAGATATGCTGAGTACTAAAATAGTAAAAAATTAGTACTAAAGTAGCACTCTGGCAAAAGCGAACTCATGAGCACTCATGCTACAAGTGCTAATTTAGGACTAATTCATAATATGAGTACTCATTTAATACTAAAACATGCACTTAATCAGTGCTCCATAGTATGAATGCTCTGACTGAGTAAGCAAAAGATCAATGAAATTAGTGCTATTTTATCACTCATCATATGAGTACTCATTTAGTACTAAAACATGCAATAAATCAGTACTCATGTCATAAGTGCTCATTTAGTACTAAATACTTGTTGGAATTAGTACTCAACTAGCGCTAAAATGCCATGTACTCAGCATATCTCCATGTGAGCCTAAGATTCTGTGATTTCCCATTTTGATTTTCATCTTAGAGTTTGTTTTAAAATAGATTTTCTTACAATTGGTATATATACAAAATAACAACATTAACTACTAATTATTGACACTCCATTTTTACTAATTATTAAATAAGATTTTCCCTTGTTTTTAGAAACCTTGATTTTTAAATTGTTCAAACACCTTGTTGAAGAAAATCAGATTTATTTTTTGGAGATGCAAGTTTTCAGAGAATGGCTAAGATTTTTCCTTGATTTCTTTCAAGCAACCTTGACGTAAAAAGTTACACTGAGTTTTATTTGTGTACTTGACATGTATGTGTATGTACAATATGTTTTATTAACACTATACACATACCTCCACCTGTATTTGTACTTTTTGTATTGCTGTGATCCACTTACACTGTCGTATAGACATCTATCCCATGCCTCAATCAGTTCAGTTACACTCCTGACATCTTTAACAAAATCAAACATTTGTAAAGTAATATAATTTACCTTTATTGCACTGTTTTCATATAACATAGCATTAACTTTATAAATGATGAAACTAGAAATGAGAAGACTATTTGTGTTGTGCATAATATTGCCTACATTGCACATATGAAGCTGTACAGTACCAATATCATAATAATAAACAAAAGGGAAATGTACATAATGCAAAAACATGACTTTGTGTCAGTGGAGTATTGTTTATTCCATAGTACCAGTGATTTAAAATTAAAATGCTATTTTAAAAAGTGGAAAATGTATTTTTAACAAATTTTCACTAAACCATTGAATATGACTTCTAAACCACGAGATACGGTGCTGTATCATATGGTTAACTCATTTATGCTACTTGACTCAAAACAGGTTAACAGTAACAATGTCTGATCGGATGTTTGGAAACAATTGACATACAACCTTTAACTAAGGCATGAAAAAGAAAATCTTATGATTTATGAGTGGTTTGATTTTTATTCACTCATGGATATTGATATCTGCATTCTCTTGCTATGCTCACATGTACAGATATCATATCCATTCATATTCAAAATCACCTTATTCATAAATCAGAGGATATCTTACAATATATATTTATATTACAATAATAACAAAGCATTAACATGACAAAATGTCACCACCTAGTTTCTCACAATATTTTGAATCTTTTTTTTACCTTGAGAAGGTCAAATATATTTTGACCTAAAGAAGGTCAGATTTGAACTTTTGAAAACTTGTAGATGATTTCGAAAAAAGAAATTGGTCATTTTGAAGCAAGTTGAAAAAATGCCTTTTTAACCTTTTTTGACCTAAGAAGGTCATTAAAGATGAAATCTCAAATTTAAGTCAGATTTGAACTTCTAGACGATTTTGAAAAAATTGGAGTCAGTCTAAAAAGTATTTGTTAAGTTATTGGAAGTTGTAAGAATTTGTTACAGATGCCAACCGCCAACCACCAACCTCCACCAGCCAATCACCAACTGCCATCACAAAAAATGGAGATCATAACAATATGTCACCACTTTTTGGTGGTGACATAAAAACCAATTTAAGCCACGATGATACCATGAGCACATGCTTTGAGGATCCGCGTTGTTTGAACCTACCGCCGAGCTCACTTATACATTAAGCCCAGTTACACAGTCATGATACCGCTGAGCAAGCTCATTGCATCATCGGGTCTGCTTTATCCCCGTGAGTGTTATAAGTCACATTTTTAAAACCCTTGGCGACCAGAGCAAAAGCATTTTAAACTTTTGGCCTGCTTTTGCCATTCACTACAATAATATATATGTGCTGTTCAATTCGATAAATGTAGTACAATTAGACCCATAACACACATTTGATAGCTTAATTTGTGTTTATTTGATAAATAATTGCTATTTTGGTGAAATATTGTGTGACTAGTTTTCAATGCAAACTTTGCATCTTTCTCAATTTTGGGCCCCCTTCTGAAATTAAAAGCCCATTTATGGCACATAGTGAGAGCACATGAGAATATACATGTAGAGTACATATGTTACTACCCCATTGGAATCCTCCATAGGAAACCTGTGTTCGAGGAAGAAATGGAATGCAGGGGCTTATTATTTAGCCATTATTGCCCAAGACAATTTCCAGCTATCAGCTCTATCTCAGTATCGCCCCATCCTTGGAATGCTATACAGCAATATTTAGAATCCTGATTTGATATATGCCTGTTGCGTTAGACTATCTTTGGAATCCAGCAAGGCTGCCTCTTCAATGAACCTGCTCTCGAGTATGGTATATTTAGAATCCCGAAGTGATATATGCCTGTTGCGTTAGACTATCTTTGGATTCCAGCAAGGCTGCTTCTTCAATGAACCTGCTGTCCATACCAGTTATTCTTTGGGCATCTCTTGATATAAGCTTAGGATCTGAAACAAAATAGAACACATGTGAATACAATATTTCATTCAAATATTTCCAAATATATACTATTTTACGTAGTTTCCTAATCCTTTGCTGCTACACAGTGTATAGCTGTACTCTGATATCATATACAGTACTCAGGGTGTGGCAAAATACCGATACACAAATTGAAAATGAAATCAAAATTTATTCATGTCAATTTTGGCAGTATATGATACATCACCCTTACATAATATCCAATACTTTCTTACACACTAAGTTTCACTATATGTGAATCAACATTTAATTGGGACTATAATATTAGAGAGGTGAATGAGAGCTTGGTTTGCTTCAGGGGTTACCTTTCTGTTCCAATAGTTTTAAGAATGTACTGAGAGGGGGAAAGGGAAGATTGGTTGGTGTGGCTGTACGGCTACCACTAAGACTAGCACTAGCACCCATGGAGGTCGAGTCAGGCAAGCTGGCTTCAGGAAAACTGGCACCAGGGACTGAAAAAATAATGAATTTTTGATAAACATAAAGCAATGGCTGCTTTTCAAATTGTGTATTTGCTATATGCCTGGAGAGTTTGTTCTTCATCTGACTGACAGAATGCATTATCATTTATATTATGAGCAATGGCAAAAACTAAATTTGGTTTATAAATCAACGATTATTACTTATTTAAGACACAGTTTATCCCAAAAAGTAACAATGCAAGAACTGTAATGTTTTCAAGAGTTTATCAGAATTATTTTCATATATCTCATTACTTTTAGAATGCATCACCCCCAAAATGCAATCTGATTTCGACGCTGTTTCGGCACCAAATGGACTGACTAGTCCGGTGGCTAATTTTGGTGTCCAAAGGTTTCGGTGCTGGAATGGTGCCGGAACAGTGCCGAATGTTTTCGATGCCGAAACGGCGCCGAATTATATCGGCTGTGATGAGTTTAAGTCATCTGATTTGAAAACTATGAATTAACAAATGTTACCTTGTTTAAGTATGTTCTGAACATACTGATTGGCCCTGTACTTTATACTGATTTTATTCCCCCAGTGCTGGAAACACCCCATGGCTTGCTCCTGTAGATATACAAATAAAAAGACAAACAATGATAAATATCACACAAGAGTAAATGGCTGCTATGTCATTTACCCAGCATGCCAAAAATCTAATCGGATCTTGGCAAAGAGTCTGCTCTTGTATCTGTAAAGAATTTTTCCTGGAATTTTTATGACAAGATCTATGTTTATTGCCAAATGCTTCAATGTGCAGACCAAAAAATATTCATGTCACTGTGTAACCCAAAACAGAAGTAAGACAAATGTAAATCTGGAATTCAAGGTCAGAGCATAGGAAATGACAATCTATCTAGTATCTACTATTAACTGCTGACCAAGCAACACAAGAGCAGAAGAATGTGAAAATACACCATATATATATCACCACTTCTGAAAAACCAAATAACAGTTACATATGTACCTTACTGCAGGCCTGTCAACTGTCCCGCAATTTGCGTATTTGTCACGCATTTGCTGAAGAATTTGAAGTCACGCCAGTTTTTTTTGCGTGACAGAAAATGTCACGCAAAATACGCATTTCACCTGGCAATTGTCAAGCAAAAATATTTCTGAAGAAATTTTTTCGAAATATGTTTACGATACGGTAAAAATACGAACGTCGGAAAAAACCGAACGCAATTTGTTCGGATTTGTCACGCGAATCCCGTATGTGTCACGCATGTTCATTGGAAATTTGTCGTCCCTACCCCCCCCCCCCCCCCCCCCCCCCCCCGTTGATGACAGCGCGAGCGTAGCGAGCGCGTAAAATTTGAGGTGTTCAAAGTTTGGCAAAGGTGCTCAAACTTTGGCCAAAGGTGTTTAAAAGTTGGCCAAAGGTGTTCAAAATTTGGACAAAAGTGTTCAGATTTGGACTTAGGTGTCCAACATTTTGAAGTCACTCATATTAGGTGGTCCCAAGTTGACAGCCCTGTTACTGTGATTTAAATGACTCAAATGGCTGTCAGATTTTCCTCTTCCGAATGAAAGACAAACTTAAAGTCGAATCATTATCTCACCTTAGGCAACTTGGTAATCAGCTGGTATTTTATTCTAACATTAGATGGCGTATCTTCAAGATCCTCAAGGACTTGACGTATGAAGTCAGCAGTCAATCTCAGTACATCTCTGTCCACATACTGAATGAATAACCTGTAAAAGTCACGATGTGTTCATATTTCTGGCAATAAAGACTTCAGGATTTAAACCCAGGTGTATGTGACTAACTGTGGAACGTTTACCCCTCATCATGTTTTATATCAAATTTAACTTAATTCTGAGATGATGTGCAAAGTTACGTTGTTAATTGTGTTGATGATGGATTCTAATTTATCTAGGTTTTAATCTTGAGCTTTTCCTTTAAAAATGCAGAAAAATGATATAACGTTACCTAAAGTCAAGACATCTAAAGCCCAAGGCAGCGAAGAAAGCATCAAATCCTGGTGGAAGGGGGAATGCTGTCTCTATGACAACCAGATAATATCTTTCCATTAGCTGAAACAGTTCATAATCTGATTGGGTGGAAGGCACATTTCTGGAAAAGAACAATCATATAATTTGTCGATATAGGGTAAAAACCAGGAAACTGAGTACTCAGGTAACTGAGGAGTCATTAATAGAAATGTTTGTACAGTTAAGAAATCATAAAATCCATTGTTTTCCTACTATGACATCATTATATCCATAGCTAAAGCAATCGGTTTAAGAATTTTTAAGTCAAAGTTTATGTTAATGACCACCTGCTCCATTTCTTATGATTTATGTTTTCACTGAAGGGTTGATTTTAATTTTTGTTTCACAAAATCATATTTTGTGTTCATTCTTTCTAAAGGCAAGGGATCTTTGGACCTTAAAATACACATGTCAACTTTAATGATTCCTGGAATTTGAAATCTGTGGGCCAAAAATAAGATATCTTGTGTCTTCTATAAAGGCTTTTTAGCTACTATTACATGTATTCTTTATTTTACAGTATATGGATTTAATTTGTTGAAAGTTCCTACTTTACTCAACTTACAGTGGAATATATTGGTCTTGGTTACAAGCCATGACACTCCATATCATATGGCACAGTAATCTGGATTGGTGGATCTGAAACCAGTAGGGAAAACATAAAAATAGTACCATGGGTATTTGGCTTACATGGAAAGAACAAAGTACATGGCATGAACAAACAAGGCATTAACATGACAAAATGTCACCACCTAAAACAATTTGGTCAATTTAAAGCAAGTTGAAAAAATACCTCTTTGACTTTTTTTTGACATTGAGAAGGTCATTGAAGGTCAAATGTCAAATCAGATTTGAACTTCGGAGAACATGTAGATGATTTTGAAAAAAAAATTAAGTAAATTTGAAGCAAGTTGAAAAAAGACCTTTTTGACCTTGAAAAGGTCATTGAAGGTCAAATGTCAAATCTAAAGTCAGATTTGAACTTCTGAGAACATGATGATTTTGAAAAAAAATTAGTCAATTTGAAGCAAGTTGAAAAAAGACCTTTTTGACCTTGAGAAGGTCATTGAAGGTCAAAGGTCAAATCTAAAGTCAGATTTGAACTTCTGAGAACTTGTAAAGTCAAATTTGAACTTCTGAAAAGATGTAGATGATTTTGAAAAAAAAATTGGGTCAATTTGAAGCAAGTTGAAAACAGACCTTTTTGACCTTTTTTGACCTTGAGAAGGTCATTAAAGGTCAAATGTCAAATCTAAAGTCAGATTTGAATTTCTGAGAACATGTAGATGATTTTGAAAAAAAAAATTAGTCAATTTGAAGCAAGTTGAAAAAAGACCTTTTTGACCTTTTTTGACCTTGAGAAGGTCATTAAAGGTCAAATGTCAAATCTAAAGTCAAATCTAAAGTCATATTTGAATTTCTGAGTACATGTAGATGATTTTGAAAAAAAATTTTAGTCAATTTGAAGCAAGATGAAAAAATACCTTTTGACCTTTTTTGACATTGAGAAGGTCATTGAAGGTCAAATGTCAAATCTAAAGTCAGATTTGTATTTCTGAGAACATGTAGATGATTTTGAAAAAAAAATTTAGTCAATTTGAAGCAAGTTGAAAAAAGACCTTTTTGACCTTGAGAAGGTCATTGAAGGTCAAAGGTCAAATCTTAAGTCAGATTTGAACTTCTGAGAACTTGTAAAGTCAAATTTGAACTTCTGAAAAGATGTAGATAATTTTGAAAAAATTTTTTTGTCAATTTGAAGCAAGTTGAAAACAGACCTTTTTGACCTTTTTTGACATTGAGAAGGTCATTAAAGGTCAAATGTCAAATCTAAAGTCAGATTTGAATTTCTGAGAACATGTAGATGATTTTGAAAAAAAAATTTAGTCAATTTGAAGCAAGTTGAAAAAAGACCTTTTTGACCTTTTTTGACCTTGAGAAGGTCATTGAAGGTCAAATGTCAAATCTTAAGTCAAATCTTAAGTCAGATTTGAATTTCTGAGAACACGTAGATGATTTTGAAAAAAAAATTTAGTCAATTTGAAGCAAGTTGAAAACAGACCTTTTTGACCTTTTTTGACCTTGAGAAGGTCATTGAAGGTCAAATGTCCAATCTAAAGTTAGATTTGAAGGTCAAATGTCAAATCTAAAGTCAGATTTGAATTTCTGAGAACATGTAGATGATTTTGAAAAAAAATTTAGTCAATGTGAAGCAAGTTGAAAAAAGACCTTTTTGACCTTGAGAAGGTCATTGAAGGTCAAATGTCAAATCTAAAGTCAGATTTGAACTTCTGAGAACATGTAGATGATTTAGAAAAAAAATTAAGTCAATCTAAACAGTATTTGTTAAGTAATAGGAAGTTGTAAGAAATTGTTACAGACGCCGGACGCCGGACGCCAACCTCCAACCACCAACCGCCAACTGCCAACCACCAACCACCAACCGCCGTCGCAAAAAAAACGGAGACCACCACAATATGTCACCACTTTTGGTGGTGACATAAAAATCATGGCTGCCAGAAAACAAGATGCCTGTGCAAAAGTTGATCAGCTGGAGATTTTAATATTCGTCATAGAGACAACATATTCCGATGGTGTGAGCAAAAGAGATGCTCCAATTTCATTTGGAGTAAATTTTCAATCATCTATTATTATCAAGATACCAGGCATCACATTTAGTTTTGTCCATTCTGTCAAATAGTCCAATAATGAAGTGTTAAAACATTCAATTTTCATGTTAGTGTACCTGACAAGAAATATATTCAGTGCTCATGTTCTGTATCTTCTGTATGCTGTCACTCTTCAAATAGTGGCATAGATGTTGGGTCAACCTATCCTTTGTCTGCAACAAACAACAACAACAATTGCAATCTCAATGCTTATAAGAAATTTTATGAACGGTGCTAAATCTCACTCATGATAGTCAGAATATGATAATGTTCCTTTAACATGGTGCAACTGATTTTTCAACAGGGTGGAATGTATTTTCTAAATTTTCAGCAGGGCGGAGCACACAATTTCTCTAATACTGGGGAGATCACTACCCCTACCAAACTTAACAATTGAAAAATTGATAGACTAATACTAATACTATTAGTATTATAAACAGTTTTTGCTGTAATAAGATTTTGCCAATCTTTCATACCAATGCTGCAATACGTTCTTGTTTTAAATCGGCTTCTTTCTCATCCATGAAATGTGGCATTGTACCAAGAATCTGTTCTGAGCGAGAAGGGGGGCGATCTTTTTTGTCTGGTCTTGGGCCAAATGCTCTGTAATGACATACATACAAGTTGTAGATTCAATTAGTTCAATTACCATAAGGTTTAAGACTGACATGAAAAGTATTCAAGAAATTAAGCTATCCCCATAATCAAAAATAGTGATCTAACATTTGAAGAAATGGTATCTAACACCACAATTCAAAAAATATTATCGCATGCTAGCAGACACATTAAAATAGAAGATAGATGGCTTGTCAGTTTTAGCCCAAAAATAGTTTAGTTGACTCAACGAGGTCAATAGGAGAGCACTCAGAGCATGCAAGAAAGTAGCTACGAAATAAAATGACAAGAAACACTACAAATCACTAGGAGGATATTAACATCATAAGTATTTATAGATTGACACAAATCAAATATCATTATAGAATTTAATTGAAAAACATACAGGTGCAAATCATAACTGATGAAAAAGTATATTTGACGTGACTTATTGATCAACCTACGTGCATGTATATTAACCTTACAACAAACATCCTAAATTCGAACATGACTGTATTCACGCCTTCTATAAACTGTAAACAAAGTCAATGCTTCAGCTGGGTTATATTCGAGATCAATAACCCAGTTAATACGTGTAATGTGTGACGTCATAACGGTGGGTCGTAGTAATGGCGGACCATGATGAATGTTCGAAACAATTTGGTGAGTTTTCATGTTCGAATCGTAATATAGACCTCAGAGCAGGGTTACTAGTTTTGAATAACACCCCGCTGGTCTCGGCAAAAAAGCTTTCGAACCCCTCACTCCCTTCGGTCGTTCGCGGTACAGAAAACGTTTGTGCCGAGACCAGCGGGGTGTTATTCGAAACTAGTAACCCTGCTCTTTGGTCTATATTTCTTAAATAACATGCAAAAATAACATGCAAAACATTTTGAATCAAAGCTTGTATAAAGAACTTACATTTTAGCAGCTGCTGACAATTTTTTGAAAAATGAGCTAGATTCTTTAGACCCAGTTGGTGCCTATAAATAATCAAATCATAAAGAATAGTATACACTCAAATATGCCAAATATGAAGAAAAAGACTATGAACTAGGCTAGCCTAATAACAAATCTCAGTTCTTAGCAAAATTGTTGCCCAATTAAGTAGCTCAATTTATCCTTAAACTACGATAGCCATTTACCCAAAAACCACACATTTATCTTCTACCACAGTCTGCCCCCAGCCCCCTCCCCCTCTGAATCCTGCAACGACCTTCTGTATTCATCATTGCCGATTGGAGATGTACCATATTTAACTATTCCCATCAAATAAAAATAAATACCAGTGAAAAATGATGTCGATTCTGCAGGAATTGATTGAAACATCCATGATTGGTGAAATGAAAAAGTGGATGGAGTTGTGTGGTGGATTGAGAGAACATGTACCTCATTGAGAGACAAAACTGAGACAAAATCTGTCAAGTAGCAATCATGTTTGATAGGTTCAGTGTACATTTCAGGTTTTGCCAATATAAATAAAATGAAATGATGTTCAATTTTAAAAGTAGTTTACAGGAATATCTAAAAAGGAATCTGTAATCTATGATACAAAAGTACATCTGTAATAATGATATGGTATATACTAGATAGAAAATGCAGACATATTCCATATACATGTATGGGTTTATTTATTCCATCAAGAGAAAAATAACTCAATAGTAGATTTGTGGATACATTTTCAGTTGATTTATGCTAATGAAACCTAATAACATTCATTCTAACAATAACAATACCTTTTCCTCTTGCTCCATCTCTAGAAGTTGATTGTAGACACTTCTATTGTTGAACCTTTGCAGAGGCTCAGTCTGTACTGTTCTAAGTCTCCTACAAACACTATCCCATAGGTCTCCTGAAGCAATAAATTAATATATTTCAGTTTCTTGACTAAGCAGAAAGAATGTACTTTAGCAATGCCTGTTCTTATTATGCAAGGATTATTATAATACTTTAGTGACATCTTTCTGAATCAATCAATCTATCTTAGTGACTTCTATACATATATTTCAAGGGCAAGAACTCTAAGTGTGGGCCATACCTGAAGTAAACTTGAGTTTCTTTGTGAGTAACGTAAAGGCTTGTTTTATGGGTGTGTATGATATCTGGGCAACTCTCTCCCCAGAAGACATCTAAAAAGATCATGTACAACATTGTATTGATATTATTAAGTAAGAATTCCTTTAACCACTTTACCTGTAAGCTTTCAATAATGCCTGCCTGTTTAAAATTGTACTCATCTTAAACTGAGCAGCCAAACTGAACTTTTTTCAAGAAGTGGACTAAGCCCAAAGCCTTCCGATTAGTACCTTCCTAGAGGATTCTTCACAAGGGAGAGATGTCCTGAGTATCAAAATGATAAGGCCGACAAAACTGGAACCCAATATGTGATATACACATTTATAAATCTAATATCCAAATTTGAAAATTCATTTTTTTGGTAAGTCTTCTTGTATAAGTACCTTCTCATTTTGGCCCCTGCCTGTCTCAGATGTTGTAAAGGGTAAAAGTCTCATGGTGTCCCTGTCCAACTGCTTTCTCATAGCTGAGTAGCTGTACCCTGGAAATACATAAAACAAGAATGTTTTAGATGCAATTACCTATTTAACAAGTGCTTGTCTTTTGGGTAATCATTGCAAATTATGTTTGTGAAACTGGTGTACATTTTACTCTCAATGGTGTTTGTCCTTTGTAAATTTATGTATAGAAGATAAAAAATTGCAATTATGTTATACAATTTAATTAAGTTAGTATACAATTTGGAAAAACTGGATTCAGATTGGTCAATGGGTGGAAAACAATAGGTTCTGCATACCTACGTGCGAAATATTATTGAAATCATGATAACTCATGAACTTACATGGATGTGAACTCTGATATGCTTATGGACTTTGAGATTGGATTTTGTCTATCCCACATCATTTGAGACTGAATGTTCTAACTTGTATGAATACTTGTATCATCACCTTTAGTTGATGTAATGAGTATTGGATGTCAATCTTAATCAATTTTTCAACATGCATTGTAATGTCTGTAATGTTATGTAACTAGTTCAAAGAGTTTATGTATCAGTGTCTGTTAACTAGTTTAATATGTGCAAACTAGAGCGCCATCTGGTGGCTGAATAAACACGTTTTAATGTCAACACTTGTCTTAGTTTTATATGGTGTCTAGAGTGGAATTAAGACCAACATGGAACATTTAAAGCCTCCAGGAGAGATGCTATTTGTAGGTAATGTTTCAGAGAACTACAAGAACTGGTTGACAAGGTTCAAGCTGTATTCTCTCGCCAGTGGACTATCTGAAAAAAGTGAAAAAATTCAGTGTGCCGCTTTTCTCCATTTGTGTGGTGATGATGCAATCAAAATATTTGAAACTTTTACTATCAGTGAGCATGATAGAAACAAGATTGAACCATTGGAGAAAAAGTTCCAAGAATACTGTGAACCAAGAAAGAACATAATACTGAGTAGACACAAGTTCTTCACAAGAGACCAGGAGTCAAATGAAACTGTAGATTCGTATGTTACAGATTTAAAGTTCAAAGCTAAGGATTGTGAATTCGAAACACTTAATGACAGTCTTATTAGAGACAGAATTGTGTGTGGTATTACTAACGATAATCTTAGAGGTAGGCTTTTGCGTAATGATAAGTTGACATTGGAAACTTGCATTGATGAGTGTCGTGCACATGAACAGTCCAATCGTACGTTACAATCATTCAAAGAGCAGTCAAACCCTTCTAGTGTGGATACTGTTAGTAATAGTAGCAGTTCGTCAGTCCCATGTCGTAATTGTGGACATACTAAACATAGACTGAAAACCTGTCCTGCCCGTAACGTGACGTGTTACAGATGTTCACGTAAAGGACATTATGGTCGTTGTTGCCGTTCCGAATCCAGTTCTGGTGGTCGTAAACCAAGTTCAGAGTCCAGTTCCAGTGGTCAGCCCAGTTCCCACATGAAAGACAAGTTCAGCCGTCGCAGCCGTCGTCGTTCCAAATCTGCAAGTGCGCATGAGGTCGAGTACGAATCGGATACATCATCCAGCAGCGTTGATGATGAACATTTATTTGTTGGATTGGTAAGTGCGAACGTGAGTTCTGTAAACACGATTCATCACTCTGAAGGTTCAAGTTTTTTGGCAAATGTCGAAATTAATAACAATACTGTGTTGTGTAAACTTGATACCGGTGCAGATGTAAACATGATTTCATATTCAACTCTGTCAAAGATTTTAGAGAATCCAGAGATAACGGGTCCTAGAATTAAAGTTAAGGCATATGGGGGAGGTAAACTTAAGACAATGGGTCAAATCAGGCTTGACTGTAGTTACAAGTGTAGAAATTTTATACAGACGTTTCAAGTTGTTGATCGCCCAGCCCCTACATTGTTGAGTGCCAATGCATGTGTTGAGATGAATATGGTAAAGCGTGTTGATACCCTCATTACAGCAGATTCAGTTAAGTGTCCCTCTGGTGAAACACTTTCTTGTGAAACGCGTCCATCGTGTAAATCGCGTCAGTCTAGTGAAACGCGTTCTTTGTGTAAATCGCGTCAGTTTAGTGAAACACGTTCAAGTAACTCGCATCAGGTAAGCGAAACGTGTTCGTCTAGTTACTCGCATCAGGTAAGCAAAGCGTGTTCGTATAGTAAACCGCAACAGTGTCGGTCGAGTAAATCGCAATCAGTTCAGGATTCAAGCAATTCTAGTAGCGATAATGAGACATACAGTAGTAAAAGATGTCGTAAACGTCATGTAAATCGTAAAGTTAAGTCAGAGTTTCAGGGTAGTAAGCAAACTCATACTAAGAAACCACGTACATATAGACGTAAGTATAGTAATGGTAATTACAAAGACACATGTTCATTGTGTTCTGGAAATAACAAACCTAGTCATGTAGATAAGTCTGAGTTACCAGTGAATATTCTCAATGATTATTCTGATCTATTTGAAGGTCTTGGTTGTTTAAAAGACTTTGAATGCCATATCGATGTTAAGGAAGATGCAACTCCAGTAGTTCATCCACCGAGAAAATGTCCTGTCAAGTTTCATGATAAACTTAAAAAGAAGCTAGATAGCATGGTAGAATCAGGTGTTCTCGAGCCAGTGAAAAAACCAACTGAATGGGTCAATAGTATGGTAATGGTAACTAAACGTGATGGTAAAAGTATCAGAGTATGTTTAGATCCTAAAGACCTGAATAAGGTTATTAAACGTGGTCACTATCCAATGAAAACATTTGAGGAAGTTTTTAGTAAACTACCTCCAGGTCCTAAAGTAATGTCTGTTTTAGATGCAAGCAATGGCTTTTGGATACTTCGCCTTGATGAAGCTAGTAGTAATCTATGTGTCATGAATACACCATTTGGCAGATTTCGTTTCAAACGTTTACCTTTTGGCTTGAATATAGCTCCAGAAATCTTTCAAAAGGCAATGATTGATGCTTTAGATGGTCTACAAGGTGTTGAAGTAGTAGTTGATGATATGTTAGTTTGGGGAAGTTCTCAAGAAGAACATGATCAGCGTCTGATTGAAGTATTAAATCGATGTAGAGAGAAAGGTATCAAACTGAACAAAGAAAAATGTCAGTATAACAAAACTGAATGTTCATATCTGGGTCATGTTTTATGTCCTCAGGGTGTGAAACCTGATCTAAGTAAAGTTCAAGCAATCTGTAGGATGCCCCCTCCCACTGATGTACAAGGAGTTCATAGATTCTTAGGGTCAGTGAATTATTTGGGTATAGACTCAAGAAATTGCTTTCTGAAGCACCAGTGTTAAAATACTTTGATGTAGATAAACCTGTGACAATTTCTGTTGATGCCAGCTCAAAAGGAGTAGGTGGTTATTTGCATCAAAATGATGGTCCAGTTGCATATGCGTCCCGTGCTCTTACTAAAACTCAACAAAACTATGCACAGATTGAAAAGGAAATGTATGCTATAGTGGTAGCTTGTGAAAAATGGCATGAATATCTATATGGTCAAGAAACAATACATGTAGAAACTGATCATAAACCACTAGAGTCAATATTTAAGAAACCTTTACATCAAGCTCCGCAAAGATTACAGCGTATGTTATTGCGCGTTCAGAAATATTCTCTAAATGTAAAGTACCGACCAGGCAAAGAGTTAATTGTAGCAGATATGCTTTCAAGAGCTTATCTTACTGATACAGTAGAAGATGATGGTATTGATGATTTTGATGTCAACATGATTCAGATGATTCCAGTTTCACCTAGTGAGTATTCTAGAATTCAAACTGAAACAAAACATGATGTTGAATTACAATCACTTATGTCAATGGTAATGTCAGGATGGCCAGATGTTAAATCGTCAGTTCCAATACAGGCTACTCCATACTGGAATATTAGAGATGAGATTACATGTTATGATGGTATACTGTATAAATCACAACGTATAATTGTACCAAGTTCGATGCGTAGTGATATGCTCAAATTGATACATAAGTCACATCTTGGAATAGAGAAATGCAAGAAACGAGCCCGTGATGTGTTATTTTGGCCTTGCATGAATGCACAAATTGAAGAGCTAGTTTCTAAATGTACTACATGTCAGAAGTATAGGTCTAGCAATTGTAAAGAACCTCTTAACTCACATGAAATACCAAATAGACCGTGGGCTAAGATTGGTACTGATTTGCTTGAGTATCGCAATCATGATTATCTTCTATGTGTAGATTACTATTCAAAATACCCGGAATTACAGCTTATACGTGATAAAACAAGTTTATGTGTCGTGCAGTCGCTAAAATCAATATTTGCGCGTCATGGTATTGCGGAAACAGTTGTGTCGGACAATGGTCCCTGTTATGATTGTAAAACATTCAAAAAGTTTTCTAAAGAATGGGGATTCCAACATGTTACTATATCACCTCACCACAGCCAATCAAATGGCCAGATTGAAAATTGTGTAAAAACTGTTAAAAATCTGATGAAAAAGGCAGAAGATACTCATTCTGATCCTTTAATTGCATTACTTGAGTATAGAAATACACCAATAGATGGGGTTGAACTATCACCAGCACAAATGTTATTTGGTAGAAGATTGAGGTCATTTATTCCAACACACAAAAGTCTTCTTCAGCCACAGGTCCAGCCTTCTTCAACAGTTCATGCTAAACTTGAGAAAAGGCAAGAAAAGCAAAAGTTCTATTATGATAAGTCAGCTCATGATCTGAAACCCTTGTCTGATGGAAAATCTGTTAGATTTAGACTTAATGAAAAGTGGGTACCTGGTACACTAGTTGAACAACACAGTAATAGGTCATATACAAGGGGCGATCCATATATTCTGATAAAAATGCTCTCATTTAGTGATTTTTTCACATATCCCTCTCATTTTTTCAGAAAATGTAGATTATGTAATTACACATACAATGCTAAAATAGTATAGCTATATCTTACATTATCAATGAGATAAGGCTGCCATGGTAACCTGTATTAAGGGTAGGCAGGTCAATTTAATTATAACATATAAATATCAAAATAACTTGTTATTTTAATTATTTTAAAGCATGCGGAAATCATGCATTTTTTCTAAAAAAGTTTGGTATTGTTACTTGTTGTTTGTTGCTAAACAAATGTTTATATGTGCTCACTATAACATCACAACAAATCACAATAGCATTATAGGACAGAATGGGCCAATTGACATTACATGTTATGAGACACACCAAAAATCAAATTGTCAGATTAAGTTAATGTGGCTGATGCAGAGTGTCACATTAACGGATACATTAGGGAATACCATTAGATTTGATTTTCTTTCAAGAATAAGTAAGAGGACACTGTCAGAAACATACATGGACTCATAAAGTGCATGGGCAAGGTATTATATCTGCATAAAGAATATATACGGTAGGTAGTATTGTAAAGAGGAAAGCATGGTCACTGTTGAAGATCATCCGCAATCTGGTTGCAAGAAGAGCTTGCGGACAGAGAATAACACTACGATAAATTGAGATGTTACTTATGAAAAGATAGCTATCCCACTGTATAAATTATCAAACAAGGGCAACAGGGGTATGGAACAGATCAATGAATAGTTGACAATGACTGGAAGATGCGTTTGATCTGCTAAAAATAGGTACCAAGGAATGATTAAATTAACATATTTATCTATTTTAGACATTATAATTTAACTGACCTGCCTACCCTAAATACAGGTTACCATGGCAAACTTATTTCAAAATTAATTTAAGATACAGCTAAAATATTTTAGCATCGTATGTGTAATTACATAATCTACATGTTCTGAAAAAATGAAAAGGATATGTGAAAAAATCACAAAATGAGAGCATTTTTATCAGAATATATGGATCGCCCCTTGTATTTTGAAATCAAGTGAAACTGATCGTGTTTATAGAAGGAATCGTAAGCACATAATACCAGTGCCAACTCCAGACTGTCCAGTAACAGAGACAGGATTTACCAGTAGTGACATTATACCTAGAACCACAGATTCTAGTAGTGAAACAAAATCAGTGAACAATCCTATAAGTAGTGACATTGTTCCAGGATCTGCAACGCCGATATTGAGACGTTCTACAAGAATCAGAAAAGCCCCAGATAGACTTGATCTGTGAAAGTTAATAGATAATTCACAGGCGGATGACAAACTGTCTATTTCATGTATAGTGCTATTGAAACTGAGTATGACAGTATAGAAACATGTTTAAAGTATAGACAATGAAAATCTAGTGATACTACAGTTACATGTTGAAAGTTTAAAGCACTATATTTATTTGAACTGTCTATGTTATAACATGCATTCATATTTTGTTAATAGAGACTCTTGAGTAAACTTGAGTTTAAAGTTTAAAAAGGGAGATGTAATGTTATGTAACTAGTTCAAAGAGTTTATGTATCAGTGTCTGTTAACTAGTTTAATATGTGCAAACTAGAGCGCCATCTGGTGGCTGAATAAACACGTTTTAATGTCAACACTTGTCTTAGTTTTATAATGTCTTCAGGAAGTAGAACAAAACATATTTTGATAATAAGTGGCCATCTTAAAAATATTTTCTTGAGCAGAGTTCCTTTGTCCCCAGGTAAAAGCATACAGAATTTAAACCAAATATGTCTAATGACATTTGAGTTATCTAAAATGACATTTTAACTACAGCCAATTTGTTAAATAGAGGCCATCTTTAAAACATCTTCCTGAGCAGACATCTTTTATCTCTAAGCATCAGCATATAAAATTTGAACCAAATCCATCCACCGGTATTTGATTTACCAAGGATAACATTTTTTAACAAAAATGGGAGCCATTTCGAAATTCAGCTGTCATCTTGACCAGATTTCCTTTGTCCCTAGGCATTAGCATATAAAATCTGAACCAAATCCATCCAATGACATTTGAGTGATCAAAGATTACATTTTTAACTAAAAAATGGCAGTCATTTGAAATTTAGCTACCATCTTAAATAGAATTTCTTGAGCTGAGATTGTTTGTCCCTATGCATTTAATATATATAAAATTTGGACTAAATCTGTCCATCCGTCAATACGTCAATTGGCATTTGAGTTATCATGCGATTATGTTCACGAAAAATGGCTACGATTTTGAAATTCAGCCGCCATCTTAAAAATTATTTCTCCAATGGAGCTACTGTTTCCCCAGGCATCAGCATTTAAAATTTGAACCAAATCCATTCACTGGTAATTGAGTTATCAAAGATTCAAACATGACTGTATTCATGCCTTCTATAAACTGTGAACAAAGTCAACATTTCACCCGAGGTATATTCGCGAATAATATTCCTAGTTATATGAGTAATGTGTGATGTCATAACGGCGGGCCGTAGTAATGGCAGACCATAATAATATTCAAAATATCAATTTGGGGAGTTTTTATGTTCGAATCATAATATAGACCTCAGAGCAGGTGTAATACTGTCAAATACACCCCTTAGGACAAGGCACAAAAGCTTTCGAACAGAAAACGTTTGTGCCTAGTCCTGCGGGGTGTATTCGACAATATAACCCCTGCTCTTTGGTTTATACTTCTTAATTACGTTCTTTTACGAAAAATGATGACCAGTTTGATATATAGAAACCATCTTGAAAATACTTTCTTAAGTGTCCTTAGGCATCAGCAAATGAAATTTGAACCAAATCCATTCCCTGGTATTTGAGTTATCAAAGATTTCATTTTTATGAAAAATGGCAGCCATTTTGAAATTTAGTGGCCATATAGAAAATTCGCTCTCATTATCTTGAATGAACGGATGGACAGATAAAAAAGGACAAACGGCTTCCCTGTTTCCCCCGATAACAAAGCTATACTTCAGAGATCTCAAAATTAAAGAAAATTCCTGTTTTCCGACCCCCATACATGGCCCATGGGGGTCAGGCTGAAAAACATTGAATATATTGAATGATATGAATTATATGTTCCAACGAGGGTTGGATGGATGTTTAAATTCATTCATAAAAACAAAATATAATTTAGAATTCAGTGGTCATCTTGAATTTTATTTAGCTTATAATAGTTGCAGCAAACCCAAAAACTGGTATTTGAATTATCAATAATTACATTTTATTGAAATTGTGGTCATTTTGAATTGAGGGTCCATATTAAAAATCCCTTTTCAAACATACATTCTATGCCCTATAAAGTTTGAACCAAATTGGGATAATAACCAAGTCTTTACAAAAGGGCTACTTCTACAATCAGATATGATGTTTGTTTGACTTAAAGTTTTGTACTTTATACCTCTAGTTATATTTATGCATTACAGAATCACACTGAAATAATTAAAGTACTAATAACAATATGAATAAGAATCAACAACCAAATTACTAAATTGCATTGTGAATGTTTTATTTAGCCTCTGTGCTTTTGTTTGAGTGTACATCACATCTAAATTGCAGTTCCAGGCTTAACTGTAATTAGACAGAACACAGGCAGAAAACACATAGACATTGATGACTTTTTGGTGTAATACAGTCATGACAGTCATATCACAAATTGCAGTCATATCACAAATTGCCAGTTTTGTTGTTTAATGTTGACTGTTCGAAGCTATTAAGGATCATATCTATTAATCCTGTTGGGGTTGTTCAGCATCTTGTTCTTCACTCCTAGGTTTAGCTCAATGTTGCCGTTATTCCATTCACAATAACATCATAGCATTCTCCAAATGCTTCCTTATCCAAGTTGTCTATCACCACAGAAAATACCTCCTCAAATGCCGTGCCTAAATCCTAAAATCACACATTAACAGTTTCCTGACAAAATTGCAATTTTCAGATTAATCAAAGTACTGCTACATGATACAATTAAACAAGACACATGGTAAGAGATAGGATGGTGGAATACAATAATAAGCATAATGCTTGTATTCAATCTATGACTAGGCATCAAAATTCAAATTGCATATTGTTTCAAATACAGTAGAACCTGTATAAGTGGAACACATATGGGACCGCAAAAGTGTTCTACTTGTGAGGTATTCCACTTAGAGAGGTTCATTAACATGGAGAAGATAGGTCATAGGACTTTAAAAACATGGTTCCACTTGTGAGGTGTTCAATTTACAGAGTTGTTCCACTTAGCAGGTTCTACTGTATGGTGTATTAAGGCAGCAATCGTTTCCATGATATCAACTTACTTGAAAGTATTCCAGCTTCAAGTTAGGGATGGTGGTGTGGAAGACACGAATGTGCTCAAGCTGAGCATTGAAGACTTTTTCATTACCCAATAGAGAGATAAGTGAATCAAGGCCTCCAAATACTCTGGTGCAATGAGCTCTAAACTTTGGTGAAGAGGTATCATCGCTGTCGAACTTTTTGAACAAGGCTCTTGAATTAGGGTTCATGGCAAACAATCTGTAAAATGTAAAACATACAATAAATACTAGAATTAGGCAGAAGGTGAAGCTATGCAGACACATTTCAAAGACACCTAATGTGACAATTGTAAGATCATGGAGTAGCAAATCGAACATTCTTTGAGGACTAAATTTCACAACATGGATCAAAATCCATCATTACTTTTGATTTTGTTACATTCCTTAAAGTAGACTAAAGTAGAAGTTTTGCAAAATCTTTGCTGAATTCACATGCTCAATAGCAAATCAATTTGTCAAAGGGAGTGTATCAAACGCATAGAAATATTTCAAGAAAGAAATCACAAATGGCAAAATTTGTCCTGCATGCCCAAAAATGACACGTCATCAGTTCCACATTAGTTCCAAAAAGTTCAAATCATCACAGACATGACGTTTCATACAAAATTTCTAGATAGGAATCAAAAATGGCTGCCTTAAAATTTACCCAACATACCTAAAATCTACATATAATGAATTCCAGATACATTCCTGGAAAGAAAGAATTCTGTCTTTTGGCGTGTTTGGAAACTAATGTAAGCAAGAGATTTCAGACAAGATCTATGTGTGTAATGTAAGTGTATAATATACAACACCACATCAGAGCACACTGCATCTAAAGTAAAGACATTTTTATCCATATTTGAAATGCTCAATGATTAGTGATTACACCATCCATAATGCATAAACAGACAAATTACGCCAAAATGGGGAAACCTGAAGTATTTTAGGAATCATGGCTTTTATCCTGAGCTGTGCCCAACACAGAGTTTTCTTTTGATTTATTAAGTTTTAGCCTTAGTTAACTTGTTTTTATTCCGACTCACGTTCTAAATGCTGCCAGAGCAATATATTCCCTTGCATGTTCGCCATTATAGATTGAGTTCCACTGTTGCTTCAACTTGATGGCTTTGAGTTCATCACACTTCTCACTGAGAGCAATTCCAAATACACACACTAGCACAATCAGTATCTTCATGGCAACTAAATGGAAAATAAAAAAAATAATTAAGAAAATGATATAAGTTTCTCAAACCAGAATGAATAAGTAAACCTGGAATACTTTGCGAATGTTGAGAAAAATGTGACACTTGAGGTATGTTACAACAGTTAATATATGACCAGTTTTGAATGTAGAATCTATTCATCAGGTCATATCAATATCTTCCTTTAGTCCCTTGTAGAGAAATAAGAGTAATAAATATGGTTTAACCTTCAACCAGTTGAAATGTATCTCATTCCCGATCCAAATGACAATATACAGTACCCTAACTGACAATATGAATTAATTACATAAGATGCTTCTAGTAGCTGAGAGATGTGGAAAAAATGAGTTATACCTATTTATTTCATAAACACAAAACATTTTTATTTACCATAGTCTTGAAGTCTATCAATGGTTTAAATCTCTTAGGTTTATATAAAGTCTTACCCAATGTTACCAAAATGAATGCTTTTGAAAGACTTTTTGTTTGAAAAATTGTGAATTTAGTTCAAATGAAATTTTAGTTGTCATGCATATAAATTGAAGCAATAATTTACATCAATGCATAACATATATCCAAACCTATTTTGTGTTGAAAAACATTGGTTGAGAATCAGAAATAAGCACAGAAACATGGTTCAGAGAAAAAAGCATTTAAAGATTTTAGTTCTATTATTGAATCCCATGTTACATAAATCTAAAACATGATAAAAACTTACTTTCACTCTTGATAGACAAACAACATTGCTTTATTTAGTTAGTTTAGCATATAAGTAAACATTTGTAATAGAAAAAATTAACAATTTTGTAAATAAATATTTTGCCACCTGAATGACTTCACAGTATATCATTGTGTCATCACAAATTTCAATGCTCTAAAAGTTTACATAAGCATAAAATCATAGGTTGAATGGTTGAAATTATGTAACTTTTGCCTGATCTTTTTAATGAAGTAGACAACTCACATTTTTTACAAAATGTCTCAAGTAATTTTTGCCTGATCTTTTTAATGAAGTAGACAACTCACATTTTTTACAAAATGTCTCAAGTAATTTTTCATATTATGAAAAATAAAATTTGACTGATAAAACTATATTTTCAAACTTTGCCTTAAAGAAAATTGAAAAAGATTTTTTCACAATCTTAATTCATCCATTCCATTAAGGCAGTAAAAATGAAGTAATTGTAATTGTTTTATAATCACATGATATAAATAAATGTTTTACCTTTTTGTGTGTTCCTATGCTAGTCAGAAGGGCAGTGAAGGAATGGAGAAGTCATATGCCTCATGGTCCTTTTATAGCAAATTAACCTGTGCATTTTCTCACGTCCACATTGGTAATACATACATCAATATTAAATGATAAATTATTGTTCTCATATCTCTGGACATTTTGATTACGTGAGCATACCACTTGTCACGTAATAATAATAAGATAGGGTAAACAAACAACAACAAAAATATGTTTTAAAAATAACATAAAACACACCTCTGAAAAAGAACTTAAAGATGCAACAATTAGTGCAGAGGGGCCATTCAACGATCATGGATCAGTGTCAAAATATATTTAAAAGAAACCCTCTGGATGAACATTATTTCATGATATTCCTCTTGAAACGTGGTGGATCTTAAAAATCTATAAGTGGGACTCCCTTTATAGAAGCTTTCAACTGAATTTACACTTCTTAATGCTAAAATTGATAGTTTATCCATACATTTAAGAAAATAGCTATGTCAAAGAAGACATTAAGCCAAATGTTGCCCTGATAGCTCAGAAAAAGTAAAAAATTTCAAATTTTCTCTCCACAGGGCTTGTTGGCCCTTTAACATATTTTGACCATAAGAATGTAACATATGTGTGAATGTTTTGATTAGCTACTAGCAAGTACTGTAATTAGTTTTCAGTTTTACTAGTTAGGTCAGACATGCAGGGATATCAAACTTGAATAATTAATTGATTTAATGGATCAATTTTCATCTAATCTGAGTTTGATATCTTTTAGTCAAAAAATGTCTAGACAACAACATCTTCACCTAGTTTAACATGCTTAACCATTCAGCCAAATCTGCCAAGTGGCTTTTTAAAATTTGTTTAGAAAATGAGTGGTATAATAATTATATGTGCTTTCCATCAAAGAATTGAGTAAATTATTTGAAGAAAATGAATGGTATGATCAAGTATGATAACATGAAACCCTTTGTGTTGTATATCATGTGCAATGTACATGCGACACATTAATCAACACAGATATCAGAGGTTGTGACATTACGTGATGCTACGCACCAAGTTGATACAATTATCATCTAGAGGTGAGGATTAAGCTCAAGGTTAATAATACACATGTATAATGAGAGATTATAGTAAACATGATTAAAAACTAGAAAACAGCGACAACACAGAGTAGCAAATCCCACCAAACAAAATATGTTTTGATAAATAGCAGCCATCTTGAAGATTTCCTCATGAGTAAAGCTCCCTCATCTCTAGGCATCAGCATTTAAAATTTGAACCAAATCTGTGAAATGTATATTTGAGTTAGCAAAGATTATGTTGTTTTATGAAAAATAGTGGTCATTTTAAAGTTCAGCTGTCATCTTAAAATTCTTTCTCAAGCAAAGCTCCTTTGTCCCTAGGATTCAGCATATAAAATTTGAACCATATCTGTCAACTATAGTATTTGAGTGATCATACTTTTTTACTTCATTTGAGTGGCCATATTGAAAATTCCTTCTTGAGCAGAGGTTCTAAAACCATAAGGCATAAGCCTATAAAATTTGAACCAAATCCATCGACTGTTTTTTTAGTTATCGCCCGGACAAACGAACGAATGAACGGACAGACAAACCAACAGCTTCTCTATATTCCCTACAAACTTCGTTAAGTGGGATAATAAAAAAACACATGTCTTCCATATATGTACTTTTCTGTAAGTTCATGGCTAAATCGCAAACATGACAATATTTATATCAAAGTACAAACTGATATCATCGCCAATACAAGATCTTTTCAGCTATTCCCCTAGATCTATTAATAATATATTAATATACACCTTTAATAGCCTTTGATGAAAATATTATTTCAAACTTGATTTTTCAAAGAGCATAAGGCTATACCATCTCCTACATTTTACCCTTATAAAGGTAATAACTTCATAGGCATTGTTCATCTGGAGCCATTTTCAGTAACTTGATGAATTTGATGTAAAATGAATGTTATAAAGCTTAATACTGTATTCTAGACATACAGTAGATAATCATACACCAATATAGGTGGTGTGGTCACAAACTCATAAAAATGTTATTTGAAATAAAAATACATTTCCATGTTAATTTCCCAGAGTGCACTGTGTCTCGTATATCAAGAGAATAGGGTAATTCACAATACTTAATCTGCACAAGCACAAATGAGACTGGTGGAACAAAGAGAATTGAGAACAGGGAGACTTATGTGAATGACAAAAAGGATGGCATTAAGCTGAGAGGTTTCTCTTTTGAGAGATATATGTAAATGTAGCTAGCTATGGTAGCCTTGCCTTAACCAGCCTCCACTATGAGTGTCTCCATTTCAATGTAAACAAACCCATCAAAATGTAATCCTTGAAGGGTTATTGTACTAGATGTATACCATTACTGTACAAGAAGATTTTGGACTTACCAATTAGGAACTCTTCCAAAAGAGCTGGTATCTCACTGTTAGTGACGTCACATGCCATTACTTCAAATAACTAAAACACAACAAGAAAGAACATTCAATGATCAACAAGACATTCATGGGGAGGGGGGCTGAACGTCTTCTACCTTCTATCTCACTATCTGGTATATTTACCATACATATTATACTACAGACCATTCCATAGCATTCAGTTACAATAATACGGAACATAATTCCCTTGAGAATGTGCAGTATTGCAATTCTCAAGGCATGAATGAAGATTTCATGAGTCTCATCAATTTCAATCAAAGATAGATTATAGTTATAGCAAGATAGGCTATATATATCTTGGATTGTGAATATTTTCTGAACATGGAATCAGATAATGCATGGACATTGAAATTCATACAATGATTAATAAATTCAAACTTATTCATTTATACAAAATGTATGCTAAGGTTGGAGAACTGTATTGATAAAATATAACATCCCTGAGATATTGCAATATTATCAAGGGTGATAGACTCTAGATAGATTCATGCCCCAAAAACAGCTCTAAATATCAACTCCGAGTACCTGTTTTATGAATGGTAATTCTTTATTGTGGACGACAGCATAATGAAGTATGGCTAGTCTTGTGCTGCTGGACACACTCTTGCGGAACATATTCACCAAGCCATCTTTATTTAATGTCATCTTATAAGCAATCTGGGATGCATTGTCATAAAAACATGCACCTAAAATAAAATAAATGAGAAAATCATGGTGATTTGATGAATGAAAGGTCTCTCTTGAATACAGCACTGTGGTTTATACAAAAACTCGCGGGATGTGAATACAATGGTTATATAAGGAATTGAAAGGGAAAATAAAATTTTATTTCAATATCAAAAATAATCCACTGTGTCAGTATCATGGGATAAAATAGGGTAACTGAATATGATCAACAGAATAACTATGAAATTATGATATCATTGCACAATTGTACAACCTGAACTTGCTTTCCTTCCATTACAAGTGGATTGTTCCTTAAATGCACTAATTGACCTCATACGTAATCAAAATGACCTATATAACATTGAATTATGAGGAGGTTTCAAATGCACCCAGTGTACCCCTTTCTGATGGACATATATAGTATATGTATGTGTACTGAATATCAAAATATTAGGTTTCCATTATCAAATATTCAAAACTTAGGCTCTTGGTTTAAGGGAGGAACAATCCACTTGTGACATATTTTACAAGCAAAGCATTAAGTTTGCTTAAAACCTTAAATCAAAACGACATTTTTTAAACATTAAAATATATACCAGTATTTTATTTACAAAAGTGTTTACCATGAAAATTCCTTGAAAAAATGAAATCTTGCTGATTCTCATACAATGTTCACTATCTATAGCTGTATTTAATCACAATTAGTCATTATAGAGTTCAAAGGTTGTCCCTATAATTATTAATTATAGGGCCCACCTAAACACTTAGCTTGTAACCTTGGTCCTATCTAATGGTAAACATTACTCAGCAATATTGCCCAATATTGAGAACACTATTTATCATTTTGTATTTAAACTTTGACCAATGCATAGTGCATTCTTTCTTGACCTAATTCTTGACTGGCTGTATAGATTTTAATTACTATACAAGTACAGTGTAGTTGTTTACAAGCTTTTTTAACTTTCAACTGAACATTCATATTCACGAAAGATGCTGCCATTTTTGAACAAATAAGAAACAAAATGATGATGTTTCTTAAATAATTTTTTGAATGTCAGAATTTTTTTCTAGTTTTCACATAATGTAAGCGGTTTTTGATAATACTGAAAATTGAAAATGTTATTAAAGAAAAAGTGACCCTTGAACAATTCTGTCCAGGTTACAATCTTCTAAATGTAATGCTCTTTTTGCAGCTGAGTTCATCTCTCTTTCTCCAAAAGGAAAACTAAAATATATAAAATTTGAGGGAAAGAACGAGGGATACTGTTTGGCAATTGCATGAAAAAGAGTCCAACTGTTACAAAAGTGTAGATCAAAATAAATAAGAATAAAAAAAGTATAGGTAATAAATAAATATGGGGTACAAACCAATGTCACTGCGGCTTTTTGTTCTATCTTTGCAAAATGAAGACAGATGCACAGATCTATTGGTGGGTGTTTGAGTAGGATGTCTTGGAATGGCTACAATAAAAAAAGAACATTAAAATCATTATCAGTGCAAATCCAGTTCTGATAAACAATACACATATACATTGCATATGTTTTTAACAGTTGTAAAAATGAAAATCTAGAGTCTGTTCCTATAAAAAAAAATTTTCTTCAAGAACCTGTTCATTATAATCTAAGATTCAAATGTATGAATATATATGTCTGATATACAGGGTGAGTGGAAAAAGGGAGACCATAGAAATAGGCAATATCTCATTTAGCGGAATCAATTGGTGAATGATCTTGCGTTTTCATACTTAAGTTTTTTTTGAGTTTTTTTTTATAGTTTTATGTATTTAAAGATATTTAAGAGACAGGGCCCTTTTTCTAAAGCCCTTTTTAGAAAAATAATTGAGATTACACAGGATACCCGTTATTTCTGCTTTTTAACACAATTTTAATAGAAAAATCAAATTCCAAACTCCTTATCTCACTATAATTCACCAATGAAGAATGGCAATTGAGCAACCAAACTTGGCACAGAGTTAGATCCTAGGATAAACTCTAATCTTAGGGCTTTGATTTTTTGTTATATCACATATTTGCCTAGCAACCACATAGCAACCGCCTAAAATAACACATTTTACAATATAAGTCCACTTAATATATGCTATGATGCTATAAGATGCTTAAATACATTTTTTGTCTTACGTATATCAAATTGCAATTCATGTTTCAGTTCTGAGATAAAGTAAACACAAAATATTCATCACATTGATACTTGATACATTTTCAGCATCGATACCCCTAAAATAATACTTTATTTTGGTAAATTGCTTCAATTTTCTTTGCAGGTGCATAGTTCGATGCAGTAGAATGCACCATGGCATTTGCAGTTCCCTTTGCAGTCACATTTGGTGCATCCACATTTAATTATGACTTTACATGCTTTGGATGCTTAGGCAATATTGTCCATCTGGGCACCCACAATCCTGATGGGCTCCTGAACCATCCCCATAGGCTTGGTGAAGAAAGAACTGGATCCACTATATACCACTGTCCCCATACCTGTAAGATCATTACATAAGTTCCATTGCTTGAAAACTGTCACCTTGCTATGATGGTAAAATCCAGATGTGGTATCAGTTCCAGTAAGGGCCTGGAACATTGGCAGCACAAGTGGCCTTTGTGGTCGTAATGCCCAAGCAAATTCATAAATTGGAATGTAGGGTTAGTTTTGCCTTTTGAAAATACTACATGGATCTCAATCTGTAGCTCAGAGGCACAGGCTATTAGGCTATCACAATATTACTGTCCACCGATCTTATCATAAATGTCCTGCAACCTTTTCCGACACCATGAGACACATCCAAAAACATGTGTATCTGCCTCTTCCTGGGAGCAGGGACTATTATGGCATAATTAGCAGGATTACTGATGCACTCTCCTTCAATGGTTGAGACAAAAATTCTATCGTCTGCCATAATATGACTTGTAACAGTTGCTAGTAGTGCAAAGAACTCTATCTTGTTGTCATTGTTTCTGAGAAATCTTATCCTAACACCAAACTACCAAGCAATTGGCAAGACTTTCTTGAAAGATAGAGCTCTTAGCACCATTCCTACATCCTTCAGCATCTCAAGTGGTAAAACTTGAAACTTTAAAATTAATGACTTGTATGTTTCAGCAAAGCCCAGAAAGGATTTTAAGCTTTTAACAAGTATAACCTTGACCTAACGATTTAATCAGTAAAATATGGTGTCTTGATTTAAAATCTATATACTAGTATTTTGGACACGCCCTGTTGGGATACATAAACCCCATATGCTGGGTTCAGTGGAATATTACTATCCAAATGTGGAAAATTAACAATGTCATGAGGCAGATACATATGTTTTTGCATGTGTCTCATGGTGTCGGAAAAGGTTGCAGGACATTTATGATAAGATCAGTGGACAATAATGTTCTTGTGATAGCCTTAGCCTGTGCCTCTGAGCTACAGATTGAGGTCTATGTAGCATTTTCAAAATGCAAAACGTATCGCTACATTCCAGTTCATGAGATTGCTAGAGCCACTAGGACCACAAAGATCATGTGTGCTGGCAATGTTTCACGCCCATACTGGAACTGATACCACATCTCGACTTTACCATCAGAGCAAGGTGACAGTTTTCAAGCAATTGAACTTATGTAATGATCTAACAGGTGTCCTTTTGACTCTAGCAGATCGCCCATTAACCCTAACAACAGAAGTTATGGGCACAATTGAGAGGTTCATTATCCTGGTTTACCAGCCTACAAACAGAAAGACAGGCACATGTTCACTCATGACAGATGGATCCCACTAGAGTACCTCCAACATGCGATGCAGAACTCTATCATGCCATGCGAGCAGCTCTCCAAAGAGCACATAATGGTACATAGTGGATCCAGTTCTTCCTTCGCCAAACCTATGGGGATGGTTTAGGAGCGCATCAGGATTGTGCGTATCCAGATGGACTATACTATCGCTAGCATCCGAGGAATGTAAAGTCATAATTAAATGTGGATGCACCAAATGTGACTGCAAAGGGAACTGCAAATGCCATGGTGCATTCTACTGCACCGAAAACTATGCAACTGCAAAGGAAATTGTAGCAATTAACCCAAATAAAGTATTATCTTAGGGGTATCAATGCTGAAAATATAACAAGGATAAATACGATGAATATTTTGTGTTTACTTAATCTCAGAACTGAAACATGAATTGCAGGACTTTTATTTTTATACTTTTGCTTTATAAATCAAAAGACATACATATTAATTTTCTTCAAGTACATGTGGATATATAGTGAGATTTTATGAGAAACATTGCTATTTTAAGCTGTTGCTAGATCATTGCTAGGCAAATTTAACCATTATTTCAAGCCGTTGCTAGGAAGTTGCTAAGGAAAATAGTCTGGCATAACTGCATCATTTATGCTTAAATACAATTTCTGTATGTTAAGAATTAATGTGGAAGGGATCCAAAGGCATACAAGTGAGTAAATAATAGGAATATGTGTGCAAATGTCAAAATGGGCATTGTAACCTGTTGCCATGTTGTTGCTATGCAACATAGTGATGTCACTTCTGTAAATATGTTTGAATTGTTGTATTTTAGGATAAGAAGACTTTTTGTAATGGTCTTATAGCATCCTAGCATATATTAAGTGGATTTATATTGTAAAATATGTTATTTGAGATGGTTGCTATGTAGTTGCTAGGCAAATATATGATTTCACAAAAGATCAAACCCCTCAGATTAGAGCCTATCTTAGGGTCCAACTTTGTGCCAAGTTTGGTTGCTCAACTTCCATTCTTCATTGGTGAATATTGTGAGATAAGGAGTTTGAAATTTGATTTTTCTGTTAACATTGTGTTAAAAAGCAGTAATAATAGGAATCCTCTGTATTCTCAATTATTTTTCTAAAAAGGGCTTTAGAAAAAGGGCCCTGTCTCTAAAATGTCTTGAAATACATAGAACAATAAGAAAAAACTCCAAAATAAACTTTAGTATGAAAACGCAAGGTCCCTATGGGGGCCTTGCACCAATTGATTCCACTAATTGAATAGATGATTGACATCAATGAAATTTTGCACACCTCAGGACAGATAAATTTCACCTAAGGCAGAGCTGGTTTGTTTGGAAAAATTACCCGTACACATTCAGCCCTCATTCTGGCTTTACATTTGGCAGTGATTGCTCTCTTTAGATTAGCAATTGTCCGAGAATTGTTTCGGTATACATAATGTCGTTCAAATAGCCCCACAAGAAGAAATCATGTAGATTCAATCAAGCCTAGGCTCTATGGTGTTGATTTAGCCAATCGAGTGAGTCATTTTATGTATGGGGAGGGGAAACATCTTGTTAAAACCACTGCATGGGACAATTAAATCCCCTACAGTGACCAAGGGCTGCCCAAAACTTTCTAAGGATGATACTGTAATTCAGTAGCACCACTGAGTCTCAAATTTGGTTGATCTTGTCTGCAGTTTTTGGAGATTTCTTTCTTTCGAACTAAATAAGCTACACAATTTTTATCTTTTCTGTCGAGTCTGCCAAGTTTTCAAGGAGTCCTAAACTTTGCATCCCACTTGAATATGACACATTTTCATGGATAATAATGACATCTAAATTGCATGTGGAACTATTGTTACATTGATACTTTTGATTTGGTCTTAAAATCGGTCGCTACCACAAAACTTATTTATTTCAATCCCATGGCAAATTGGCTAAGATGACATTTCTACAACATTTTCCATTGAATCAGCTATATTTCCCGGAAAAATGAAAACAAAACCATCATTATTAAAGAAGTTATTCAAAATCCTTTGAATCTCCTTTTTTCCGGTCACACCCTGTACTTATCAACAAATTTGATCATTCTATAACTTATAGAATAGTGTAGTAAAGTATTAGTGTATCATACTTTATTGTATCATATTGTATTGAAATATGTTGTATTGAATTTTGTTGTGTTGTATTTAATGGACTGTATTATGAGTATTCTTTTATGCTGTGTTGTGTTTTATTTTGACTGTATTGCATCTAACATACGTACCATGGTTCAATATGTGGTGACAGGGTTCAAACTCAATTCCAATATTCAGCAGATGGACAAAGTAATTTGGTAGATACACTAAAACATAGTCATCTAAAAAACAATGATAAATGTAATTAGAAAATTAGCAGCTTCACAGAATGACAAATCACACAGAACAATACGTTATTTCAAACCAGTACTATGGCTGCCATTTTTGCAAAATCCCTCCAATACTTTTTCTTATAGCAAAAGTGTCATGAGACATTGGAGTATTCACATCACAAATATGAACAAAATCGCTGGTGGCCATTTTGAAAATTTTCTTCCAAGCGAATTTACATATATTCATGCTTTAGTCAAAATTTATACAAATGTATACATGTATAAGTACACATATTCATGATTTAGCCAAATATGTCAGAGTGAAGAAATGTCCTAGTTGCTCACAATATTATTAGTTCAATCTTAAATCAGATTTGAATTTCTGAGATCTTGTAGATGATTTTGAAAAAAATTGGTGAAATTTGAAGCAAGTTAAAAAGAATCTAAAGTCAGATTTGAACTTCCGAGAACTTGTAGTTGATTTTAAAAAAATGGTCAATGTGAAGAAAGTTGAAAAAAAAACTTTTTGACCTTGAGAAGGTCATTGAAGGTCAAATCTTTTTTGACCTAGAGAATGTCATTGAAGGTAAAATCTATAGTCAGAGTTGAAGTTTTGAGAACTTCTAGATGATTTTGAAAAAGAGAATTGGTCAATTTGAAGCAAGTTGAAAAAAAATACCTTTTTGACCTTGAAAAGGTTATTGAAGGTCAAATCTCAAAGCTAAGCTCAGATTTGTACTTTTGATAACTTGTAGATGATTTTGAAAAAGAAATTGGGTCAATTTGAAGCAAGTTGAAAAAAAGACATTTTTGACCTTTTTGACCTTGAAAAGGTCAAATCTTAAATATAAAGTCAGATATGAACTTCTGAAAAATTTGGATAATTTTGAAAAATATTGAAGTCAGTCTACACAGTATTTGTTAAGTTATTGGAAGTTGTAAGAATTTGTTACAGACACCAACCACTGATCGCCAACCGCCGCCACAAAAAACGGAGACCATAACAATATGTCACCACTCTTGGTGGTGACATAAAAATGGCAAATGCAAGAATGGACACGGATTGGATTATTTTTGTCCCTAAATGAAATATGTTTTGTGGGATAATAGCTCATCGTACAAGTACTTTACAAATGAATATAAATTTCAAAACATCAACCTAATTAAAATATTGATTAATTTAAACTAGACACACCAATGATAATAATAATATGAGTAAATATCAGACAAGAGGTCAGACATAAACAACTATGTCAGATAACAATTTGAAGGCAATATGAAAATGGAGCCTAGGCATGATATTTATAGTTGTAACATGTCATAGCAGTTTATCACCTATAACCTACATGTACGCGTGTCCATATATGGTCATGCACTTTAAACTTACTGAGTACTGAGAAATGAATTCTGGACTTCTTTGCTATACTTCTTGGGAACTTTGGGACGGAGCAATTGAGTGTTTTCCCTGCAATAATATCATTAGGAAAGTTTTTTAGTTGTCATTAGTGTGGTTATGTAATATACAGGGTGTGTATTAAGTAGCTTACAATTACAATACAAAGTCTGTGTAAATTGTAAAGATACTTTATAGACAGCCTGTATATCTAAAAGTTATTTACTCATAGAAAGTAAGCCCCTTTAACGGCCATTTGCAACATCTCAAAACATTTTTTATCATTCAAATGTTATTTTACATGCTAATCTTGTGTATGAAGCATTTGTGGATTTTTGTCCATGAATAAATCAAGGTAAGAAAATTCATATATAGAAGAGGATATAGACCAGTGTAAATAAGGTTCCAGCTAACAAATAGTTCCACAAAATATTAAGTCTAGACATTCATACACTATACCTACCTAAGTGTATGATGCATACTGAGTATTTTAGTTCTATCAATTCTTCAGCGAGAGCTCCCTCAAATTCTTGTAACTGTGTATGAGAAAAAAGACAATGGTCATTTAAAAAGCATTTGCATAAATCACTTAACATTTTGATGGTTCTTCTTAAAAAACAATATTTTCGAAATTACAATTGATATTCTGAAAATCACCGATCCAAACCCCATCTGTCTTTTTCAAAATTCAAATCTAACCCTGAAACTGATTTTATCAGGATATTGCATCCATATTTTACAGTCTATCCCTTGCTGCCTGTAAATATGTGAAGATTCCATGATTTACTTACAGGTGCTGATGTTCTAGGTGTAGCAGGGAGAGGATGCTGGTAGCACACACACAGAGTGCCATTAGACTGACTTACTACTTCAATGTTAACACTGCTATCTAAAACAACAAGGGAAACATTCAGTCTAGCTACAAGCCCTTAGATTAATAGCCGCGAAATTTCAAAATGCCAAAAACGTGAAATACAATAGCGTCAAATATTAGTGGGAGTACAGTATTCAACTTTTAATAACAAGTTTTAAAATAGAAATAATTTATAACACTAAAATGAGAGAAATCCTGGGAATAGTTCTGATATGAGATCTGATACAGGATTTTGGCTAATACGGGATCGAATATGGGATCAAATGCGGAACTTTGGCTGATACAGGATTTGATAGAGGATTTTGGCTGATATGAGACCTGATTTTTTAAAACCAATTCTATTCCCTGTTTATTTCCCAGGGAAAATAGGTTATTATGGAATAGAGACCTGGTATGAGTTAATGAAAACACAGAATGAAATCCTGTGTTAAGGGCTGATGTGAAAAAGTCAGTCCACCCCACTGGGGATCGAACCCACGACCCCTCTCTTGCCGGGCGATTGCTCTACCACTGAGCTATAGGACCAACTGGCTCTTCTTGTCAAGGGACTGATACATATGTATGGCTGTCATTTTCAAATGAATAATACATAATATAGGTATAATACCTGGTATGCCAGAGCACAAGGGTAGATTGAGGTAGCTGGATCTGGAAGAGCTCCTGCTGTATGATACAGGAACTTCAAGAGGTAACTCAACCTACAAATACAGTCATTTTACCCATAAGTAATGTTAAGTGTTGAGGTTCAACTGTAGTAGATATAAAAGGGAAATCATTTAAATATAGCTCAGTCTGAGGGCGAATATGAATCATTTACAGTAAAACTTTGAATATGGAACACCCTCAGTTTGTTCCTCAAAGGCACAAATTCCTTTAACAGAACAATTTGGTCAATGGGACTTGGTTGTATTGAAAACTGTTCCATATAGAGATGTGTTCCTTGCAGAGGTGTTCTATAATACAGGTTTTAGTGTACTATCAGTATTAGGATGCATAAGCATATGTAGCTTATCTATTATATCTAATACCAGCACAGTACTATCAGTATTAGCACATATGTAGCTTGTATATGTAATACAACAGTAGTATTCTGGTTGCTGCAGAGGCTTCATTGAAAATATGGAAGTTATTGAATTTTATTGGATTTCATTGGCATGAGATTAGCAGGGGCTAGTATAGCATTACCATAGTTAATCATGAAGATGCCACAAAACAATCAAAACATACCATAACTTCTATATTGGCTTGTCCAGTGAATTGAAAACTGGCTAGAACAGGATCATACTGGCTTCCTCCTGTTTGATTTGGTGATTTCCGGTGGTATATCACATACAAACGCTGGTTCTGCTGGTCAAACTGACACCAAGTGAATTTTTTGTTGGTAACTTGTTGCTTTCTTGGCTGCCCTCCTAGGATCTGAAAATCATCTTAATATGTGAAATATAACAATTTTCCAGAGGTATCCTATGATCTAATATGATGTCACATCCAAATCATCAAATAATGTACAACTAGACAGTAGAATTGCCACTACTAATCTTGTTAAATATTTCGTTAAGCATCAGACAAAGATATTGAATATGTATGGCAACATAAATGGACTCACCCCAACCCAAAGCCATATTCAAAAAATCAAAATTATAGAAAAATGGGGCCTTTCATGGAAAATAATGGTATGCTGAATCACTCAATTAATTTTTCCAAAAAATCTCCATTCCTTTCAAAGTTGTAGCAAAAGTCCTTCCAAATCTTTTTGACAATTTAAACAAAAAAGTATGTTTCACATTCATCATCTTCATTGGTTACTTCATTTTCTATGTACTCAGGTATTCTCAGATGAACATAGTTTTCCAAAACTTAGTTAAGCACACTCACCACAGCTTTGTCTCCCATCTTGGAAATAGGTATGTGATACAGCCCAATAGCTGGAAAGAAATACATTGATAACATTTCTTATTCACAGTTTTTGGCTCACACGACACAAAAGTGGATATTATGTACAATCTTTCTTACATATATAGAGTACTTGCATATTTGTTTGAAAATCATTAATTAAATGTTCATTGTTAGTCAGTGGTTTTATCATTAGAGTTTGCATTATTGACAGTCCTTTCCTTTAAGACATTTGTTTATGATTCTGTATATGATTGATGCTTAAATTCATGTGTTATTGAAAGATGTAAAATAGTGATTTCTTTATATCAACAACATCTCTAAAAGGAATCGCAGGAATTTTACAATAGAATTTAGCAACATAAGGTATTTAAAAGCACAACCCAATAGTGAAGACTGGATTGTAAAGAACAGCTTGAATGCAAATATTTGAAAAAGGTAAACCTACATTCTTTGTGCAGTATGACCAACATATGTGACTCTCTATCGACCTGCCCTCTATATTTGGTGTATAAGAACTGAAGCTTCAATGCATTTGGACGTTCAATGTTCAAGTAGAACACTCTTTCCTGAGGCTGAATCTCTGCTATAAACGCTTTATAGATTTCTGAAATGAATGAATTGATACAGATGCTACATTTACTTATTCAATCCAGGCTAGAATGTGGAACATTATAATACAGGGTGACCCAAAAAACAGAACCCACAAATATTTGACTGAAGCTGCCAGGTTCAGCAATTTGATTGGTCTATATAATAGTTGCTATGGTAACCCAATGTGACCTCAACTGGGGAAAATATTTGAGAGCTTAATCATTAATGATCTTGAGGTAGTAACTCAGTAATGTTAAGTGGAAATGTGTACCGAGTTTTAAGATAATTGGTTCAGAAGTATTAAAATGGGAAAAGTTTTGATCATACTTCTGGATCACCCTGTAATGGCCTGTATATCATAGAAATATCAGGTGTTGGTTTTACCTCGAGGTCTCTGTGTTGGGGAGCCTGTTCCATCTGCGCTATCATACTCTTGTGTAACAAATCCTGAAAGCATATATTTTCACATGTGCATGTCATTATCACTTAATATTAATTAAATATTCCATTCTATTGAGGCAAATACATGTTCCTTTCCCTCAGTATATTTCCCACAGTCCCAAGGATAATATGCTATAGATCCAGGACTTTTCTAACATGATACTCCAAACAATCGATCTGCAGATGGAGAGTGTAGGTGTGTAGTGTAGGTAGTGTAGTGTAGGTAGACAGGGGAATACACAGTCATCTTACTAAGCATGTGCTCAGTTCTTACCCAATGAGGAATATTCCAATGATGTAACGAATGGAATAATCACACTTGATGAACCCTAATTTACAGAAATTAATGCAAAGTTGGTTAAAGCACATTATCTAATTGTTTCATTATTTTGCACTTCAATGAAAAGCTTTCAAATTATTCAGATGGTCAAATCTAGTCAATTATCTAACAAATGTACATTATGTAGGAAAATCACTACTAAATACCACAGACTTAAATTATGATTAACTTACCTAGAAAGGTTTTCTCCAAATTAATTGTACAATTCACAATGTTCACATTCTTGTCATGCATGAAAACCAACTGAAAAAAAGTAAGTAATAACCTCAAAATGTTTTGATACAATTAATATAACTAACTTTATCCTATGCTAAGTAGAGTTTTAAGGAGATAAGTTGGTAAGATACATCCCGTATCCTGATTATGAGGTTTCCATATCCAGAACCAATCTTCCCGCTTCGGTGCATATCTTCCTGCTTCCGGTAATTTCACTGAAAACTCTACTCGGTATAGGATAAAGCAGTTATGTACGGTCGGTTTGGATATTGGGTTCATCCCTCGTGAGATATGCTACGGTCCCTCAGGTAGATATAAATATTTTCCTCTGGATAAACCCCATATCCAAAACCTCCCTTTACATAACCCTTTTATACATGTGCATAAATTGCATTGTGAAATGACTATACCAAAAACAGAGTAATAAAATTCAAAAAAAGATGGCGCATGCACAGTTAGGTAAAATACATGCATTACCTTGTTGTATTTACTGCTTGGATCATATGTGCCAATGTGAACTACGGGGCCTTCTTCCTGAAAAATACAGGTCCAAGAAGAAGAATATAGTAAATATATTATGTAAACAAAGTAGAATATTCAGTTGCTCTTATGCAATTGCTACTTCATTTCAGTTTACATTTATTCAATTCAATACTTCATTTTGTCAGAAATATGAAAAAAACATAACATGTCACAATATCTTGTTATTTTATATAAATACACAGGGCCAAAGAAACGCCAATTTTTTTTCAAAATGCTATAACTTTTTTAATTTTTGATATTAAATCATAATTTGCATACCAAATGTAACTTGAGGTTGTTATCTAGCCATTGATAATGAATTACACTCTTTTATTTGAACAAAATATGTCACCAGCGTCTCACTTAAATATGTGATGTGCCATGAGAAATAAGCATAATTTGCAAAATGTTCCTGAACTGATAAGGCCTGATGATCGCCAAGCTAATAGCCCTGATGCAAACCCCAGTGAGTATTGGGTACGGGAAGGTCTCCAGGAGATTGTATGAAGGCACCCAATCTAGAAAATTGCTCTACTAAAGCTGGAAATTAAGACAGGTTGAAAAAACACTTAGCTAACATTTCAATGATACTGCAATATCAGCAAGGCGACTAAAACTAAAATATATCATCAATTAGGGTGGCAGACCAATTGAACTCCCCTTTTAGATCAAATATAATCCAAGTTGAAGGACTTGTTACATTATATTATTACTGAGAACCCTTGGCACTATATAACTGCAAAATTTGGGGTATGTAGGTTGGAAAATAAAAAAGTTGTAGTGTCTTGAAAAATAAGTGGCGTTTTCTTTGGCCCAGCCTGTAATTCATACTTAGGCTGTTTTGAAAGTACTTATAAAAGAACGCTCATGGGCCTTCAGAGACAACTTTATTGTTTGGTGTATATTCTTTCAAAAAAGGCCCATGGCATATTCACAAAGAACTCTGGTACATGAAAAATGTCTCATATCCATATTTTGCAGAATACATGTTATGTTCTTAATATTTTGAGTAATGTCGAGTTTACCTCTAGCTCAGGAACAATATCTATCCAGCAATAAAGCAGAGTGCCATCTTTCTCCTGTCCTAGGAGCTTGAACTTCACATCATTCGACCCTGGAATAATAGCATATTTTAATACAAGGCATTAACATGCAAAATGTCACCAATATTTGTTACAGGTGCCAACCTCCTATTGCCAACTCCCAATCGCCATCACAAAAAACGGAGACACTGGTGGTGACATAATAATAGAGTGTTGACAACCAATAAGCACTGAGCTTAAATGCCCGGCTAATGTTGCGGACTCCATGAGTACTGTAATTCAAACCCTGGCAATAGTGTTGACAATTCCAACCTTAAATCCCAATACACTTGCTCCATTCCTTGATAGTATGCACTTTACAATCATATTATTGTAGAAGTGGCAAAAACGTATATAGAAAGAGTTCAATGTTTGGTTGAGCATCAGGATATGCTATAGGTAGTAGTAATTACTTTATTAATTATTTCTCAGAAAATCTCAAGGCAATGCTATAAGACTGTCAATTTGATTTCAAATCTCAAATCTAATAACAACAAATTGAGTATTTTATAAGGTTAACCAGAATGGTGCATAACAGATACTGAATGACAGAACTAAAAAATTTATATCGAGAGAATGAGATGACAATTCCGAATTGTCCGAATCCCAATGGTCCAAATCCCATTCATCCAAATCCCATTCGTTTGAATCCCATTCTTCAGAAACCTAATGTTTCAAGTGTCCCAAATCAAAATCTGTGACTCATTGTTACAGAAAATGTGTAATGCATCTCAGCTCATCGTGTATGTGGTATAAAGGGTGTCTAATTGTCTATAAAGTATATTTACAATTCACTCTGCATTTTTATTGTAATTGTAAATATGTAAACTTAGACAACCTGATCATAGTACTGTTGGACATGGCTTATAGGTAGTTATCGTACAAGGCAATGCTCAAGTGAGAATATAGAGAATCTTTTTGTTCATATGAGATATTTAAAAATCAAAATATGTTTCAAACTTTTATCTAGGCATCCAAAAAACATCTCCATAATATTAAAAATGGTGAGCTTTATCTGATGTTTTTGTTTCAATGGGCATATTTCATTAAAACAATTTAAAAATTCCAAAAGTAATAATCAATCTTATTCAATAATCACACATCAATGTTAAGTTTTATTCCACATTTCTTTCATCCTTTAAAGGCCCCGTGTAAAGTTTAAACCACTTTGGCTTATATTGTAGTCTTACCCAATGTTATCAAAGTGTGATATGTGAAACTTTTTTTTTAAATTTCAAAAAGTGGTTTTTGATAGACTTGTTGTTGTTAATTTATTTAAAACCAACTTTTAGAGGTCACTCATATCTTCTAATTAGCCACAATTTATACCAATGCATAGCATTCATCCTCCCATGTTTTTTGCCGAAAAAATTAAGAAAATCGGTTGATAAACAAGGGAGAAATGAACTTATCAGTGCATGAAAATGGTTCTGAGAAAAATGCATTTCAAAATTTTAGTTCTCATAGAAACCAATGGTACAATGATATCTGAAACATAATTTATTCTTCCTTTTAACCTGGTTAGACAATCAACATTGGTGTTTTATGAAAGTCTAGCATATTTGGAAAAGATTGACATCGAAAAAAAATTTCAATTTTTTTCAAAAAGTTTTGGTTACCTTAGTGACATCACTAATGTTTCAAAATATTTTTGGTATGCTGAAACAGTGAAGTGGCCCGCTAAATATGGCATTTTATTATTGAAATAGTGTGTCCTTTGTTCGATCTTTGCATTGGTGTTAAAAAGATAATCTTTTTTGAAATGCATTAAGAAATATATCATGATTAAGAAATTTCAAAAAAAAATGGCGGGAAATTTGAATATTTGAGAAATGAAATGCTCACAAATTTTTTTGTTCAAAAATCTCTAAAATCACTTTTTAAGTCCTGACAAATAGTAAATGAATGATAAAAAAAATATTTTCAAACTTTAGACGGGGACTTTAAGAAGGCGGGATTTGGATCAATGGGATTCAGATGATTGGAATTCGGACGATTGGAATTCCGATGATTGGGATTAGACCATTGGGATGAATTGAACTTAGACCATTGTGACCTGGACAATTTGGATTTCCGCCGTTGTGATTCGAAAGAATGGGGTTTAGATTTATTGGGATTCACTGTCAGAGCTATTCAGATGAATGGGATTCAAAAAGTAATGGCGCCCCAGGGGAATGACTAACTAACGAGCATAGTGTAACAAGCCAGATAAAGAAATAGAAAGAAAGTGTGCTAAATTTAATGCCCCGCATGGGAATCGGACCTAGGACCCTTGGATCCAAAGACTGATGCTCTACAGACTGAGCTATAAAGGCTTAAGGCACTACAGCTGGGCCGTAATAGCAACTTGCTACGAAGGGTCGTTACAAAACCATTGAAATTCAGACAATTGGGAATTGCACGAATGGGATTCGGACCATAGGAATTTGGATTTGAACCAATGGGTCGATCCAAAAACTTCGACAGTCCAACTCGTCAACACAGGAGTAGACCCCTCTAGAGATTGACATGACGTCTCCTAAAATTAAAAGAATGATCATGGATGATAACTTAAGAAAGCCAAGAAATAGATATAAGAATCTACCTTTGATGTCTTGCCTTTTGCGTCTGTCCAATATCCATTGCAGAATATCAACTTCAACATTCAGTGTCGGAGTCAAGTCTATCATGGTGAAAACACCAAGAAGGGACTAGAGAACACACGCCAGGGATTGTTTGGGATCTAGTTTTGTAAACATTGAAATAAAAACGAAGCTGAAAGAGGAGGTAAAGTAGCTTATATCATTTACAACTTAATGTTTTCATTTTCATAATTAAAGATCATTTGTCAAATTAGGTTACATATATTTTTGAGAACCCTACCCATGATATATATTTGTATCATGTCCATGATAAGTCGAGGTTCTTGTACCCAATGTTTTGATGCAAAAGTTTACCGGAAGTAAACTCAATTTGGCAATGTTGTAAGCGAGGAACCCAAGAGCAGGATAAAAATGCAAAATCCAACAGAAGTTACTGATTTAGACGGTGTTACTTCACACATTTCTAAATGTGTTCATGAATACTTGAGTAAAGTAGTATGTATGCCTACCCATAATTTGAAAGTGCTCAAGAGAACAACAGACTTGAAAAAAGGAGATTTTTCTGTTGCTCTACAAAAGGTGAATGATCAAGTGGTAAGTAAGTTTTAGTAACCTCACCTTACCCTCTTAGGGAGCCATGTTAGATTTTTATGTTTGGTATATTAACGAAGACGCAATTTACATATTTAGTCCCTCGCTTTTGTTACATTGACGATCTTCATGAATATTGCCAATGTGCCAATATTCATGAAGATCGTCAGCGTAACAAAACAACAGTGTCAAGATATAGGGACAGAAAATATTGACATTTTAAAAGTACCGTTTTTTTCGTTTTGTTATTATGGAAAGTCAAACATGACTATAGATGATGTTTTATGTAGGCATTTATGTATGATACTTAACCATACTCTACGAAGAATGGATGATTTTTGTAGGCATTTATGTAGGCATTCTTAAAAAACGTTACTTTGCCTTAAAAACGTTACTTTATTGGACTTTAACTTTTCTCCTCGAAGAATGGATGATTTTATATTAAGCATTTTCAAAACACAGTACTTTGCCAATAAAACGTTACTTTATTGGACTTTAACTTTTCCCCACAAAAGCCGGAATGCATGATTTTTTATGAAGGCATTCTTAAAACACGATACTTTGCCTTAAAAACGTTACTTTATTGGTCTCTAACTTTTCTCCTCGAAGAATGGATGATTTTTAGGTAAGCATTTTCAAAACACAGTACTTTGCCAATAAAACGTTACTTTATCGGACTTAAACTTCTCCCCACAAAGAATGTATGATTTTTTATGTAGGCATTCTTAAAACACGTTACTTTGCCTTAAAAACGTTACTTTATTGGACTTTAATTTTTCTCCTCGAAGAATGGATGATTTTATATTAGGCATTTTCAAAACACGTTTCTTTGCCTTAAAAACGTTACTTTATTGGACTCTAACTTTTCTCCTCGAAGAATGGATGATTTTTAGGTGGCATTTTCAAAACACAGTACTTTGCCGATAAAACGTTACTTTCGTGGACTCTAACTTTTCTCCTCGAAGAATGGATGAATTTTTAGGTAGGCATTTTCAAAACACAGTACTTTGCCGATAAAACGTTACTTTCGTGGACTCTAACTGTTTCCATGCCAAGTTGTTAAAACACGTTACTTGGCCAGTTTATTCCTTCAAGTGTCGAACATTTTAGCCTGGCATTTTTAAAAAGCGTAACTTTGGCCGATTTCCGTAACTTTCTTGTACTCTTAAGTTTTCCTCCATCGAGCGTTGGTAAATTTTAGGTAGGCATTTTCAAAAAGCGTTACTTTGGCCCTTTTCCGTTACTTTCTTGGACTTAAACTTTTTTCGATGTGTAACTTGAAAATCTTGTCAGTGAGTGGTATTACTAATTGTAAAAGATAAGATGGACCATAGTGTAAAGAGAGGCTAGTAGTGTTTTTCCATCTATTAATTCACAACGAATCAAATGACCCGTTATGGAAAAATAGAAACTTTTGTACAATGCCTAACTTTTGTTCTGGTTTGTTTCGTAGTTCGATGATCTTCCATGTTATTTTCGAAATAATAACATGGATGAAACTCCCTAAATAGGTACAGCTTTACTGCACGTTATACCTAACTATCTGTAATATACAATAGTTACGTCTTGTACGTATATATGTTAATCCATGTTTTTTTTTTCATTTTCTGTTGCAATATGTTGGTTGCTTATTTAACGTTCAATGTACTCAATTAGGCGGTTAAAAGACCAAAGTGGGTCCTTTTTCATGAATGTACGTTAATTTATAGATTAGTTTAGCCGATAACAGTGTTGAATTACTTCAGAGTTGCAATTTTAGCGATTCATACGATAAAAGATCGATTCATCCCAAACACCCACTTTACCGGAAGGCGCTCTCTGACGTCCGCGCCATTTAGGTCACTTATAACATGGCATTATTTTTCACTTCCCTTTATTAGTACGTTTGAATGCAACCATCTTAGACATTGATGCAATAATTTTGACCCTCTTACCAAAACAAATATTCTTCTTTTCTTCATCCTAGGTCTGATGGTGTATCTTGTTTATTCGATTTTGTTGTGCCAAGTCATGTTGTACTGAGCGACATCTTTATAAAACACAGTTTTCAATCCGACTATAAGTATGAGTAATTCATAAAGATGTCGTTCGCTTCAACTACATCTCATAAATGTCGAACTAAATCACTAGTTTTCAAGAATTATATACACATTGTATTATTAAAAACACGAGCTAACAAACAATACAATCGTTTGCATCAGAATACCAATGTATTTTTCCATTTAATATTGCACTGTGGTCTTTTGACTGCTTTTTATCGACTGACGGAGACAAAACTGAAGTTCGTCAAAATGCGATTCAAAATCATCTATTGAGTACTTTGAATTTAAAAAGCAATCAAATGACCATATTGCAACTATATTTGGAGAAATAGAAACTTATGTACAAGGCCTAACTTATTTCAGATAGTTACAGCAAACGTGTGGCATTCAGTAATTTATTGAGTTTCATCCATGTTAATTTTTAGTGTCGAAAATGTCATGGCAGAGAAGCATCGAAATATAAGAGGCCACACATATGATAGCTAACTACAAAACAAACCAAAATAAACAAAAGTTAGGCCTCGTACAATTGTTTCTACTTTTACAAAATACTGTTCAATATCGTCCTTTGATTCCTTATTTTTTACATTCAAAATACTCAATCGGGCAAAAAAGTTAAAGTCCAAGAAAGTAACGGAAAAGGGCCAAAGTAACGCTTTTTGAAAATGCCTACCTAAATTTCACCAACGCTCGATGGAGGAAAACTAAGAGTACAAGAAAGTTACGGAAATCGGCCAAAGTAACGCTTTTTAAAAACACCAGGCTAAAATGTTCGACACTTGAAGGAATAAAGTTAAAAGTAACGTTTTACTGGCAAAGTACTGTGTTTTTAGAATGCCTACATAAAAAATCACCCATTATTCGAGGAGAAAAGTTAAAGTCCACGAAAGTAACGTTTTATCGGCAAAGTACTGTGTTTTGAAAATGCCTACCTAAAAATCATCCATTCTTCGAGAAGAAAAGTTAAAATCCAATAAAGTTACGTCTTTAAGGCAAAGTACTGTGTTTTGAAAGTGCGTGCATAAAAATCATCCATTCTTCGTGGAGATCAGTTAAAGTACAATAAAGTAACGTTTTTAAGGCAAAGTAACGTGTTTTAAGAAGGCCCTACATAAAAAAACCATCCATTCTTCGTGGAGTATGGTTAAAGTCGAATAAAGTAACGTTTTACTGACAAAGTACTGTGTTTTGAAAATGCCTAATATAAAATCATCCATTCTTCGTGGAGATCAGTTAAAGTCCAATAAAGTAACGTTTTTAAGGCAAAGTAACGTGTTTTGAAAAGACTACACAAAAATTCATCCATTCTTCGTGGAGAAAAGTTAAAGTCCAATAAAGTAACGTTTTTAAGGCAAAGTACTGTGTTTTGAAAATGCCTGCATAAAAAGCCATCCATTCTTCGTGGAGTATGGTTAAAGTTGAATAAAGTAACGTTTTACTGACAAAGTACTGTGTTTTGAAAAGACTACACAAAAATTCATCCATTCTTCGTGGAGAAAAGTTAAAGTCCAATAAAGTAACGTTTTTAAGGCAAAGTACTGTGTTTTGAAAATGCCTGCATAAAAAGCCATCCATTTTTCGTGGAGTATGGTTAAAGTTGAATAAAGTAACGTTTTACTGACAAAGTACTGTGTTTTGAAAATACCTAATATAAAATCATCCATTCTTCTTGGAGATCAGTTAAAGTCCAATTAAGTAACGTTTTTAAGGCAAAGTAACGTGTTTGAAAATGCTTACATAAAATTCATCCATTCTTCGTGGAGTATGGTTAAAATCGAATAAAGTAACGTGGAGTGTCAAAATACTGTGTTTTGAAATTGCCTACATATAAAAATCATCCATTCTTCGTGGAGATAAGTTTAAGTCCAATAAAGTAACGTTTTTAAGGCAAAGCACCGTGTTTTGAAAATGCTTACATAAAATTCATCCATTCTTCGTGGAGTATTGTTAAAGTCGAATAAAGTAACATTTTACTGAAAAAGTACTTTGTTTTGAAAATGGCCTACATAAAAAAATCATCCATTCGTAGAGATCAGTTTAAGTCCAATAAAGTAACGTTTTTAAGGCAAAGTAACGTGTTTTAAGAATGCGTACATAAAAAGCATCCAATCTTATTAGAGAAAACTTAAAGTCTATTAAGGTAACGTTCTAAAGGCAAAGTAACGTGTTTTAGAAATGGCTACATAAAAAATCATCCATTGACAATGAACGAACGTTTTAAAGGCAAAGTAACGTGTTTTAAAATGCCTGCATAAAACATAATCTCTTCTTCGTAAAGATAATGATTATATCACCAGGTTTCAACAGCCAAGGTAGCCAACGTTCCTTAATTACTTTTCATAATAACAAAACGAAATAAACAGTATTTTTAAAATGTCAATATTTTTTGTCCCTATATCGTGACATATATATAACAAAAGCGAGGGACTAAACAAAAGCGAGGGACTAAATGTGTGAATTGCGTCTTTGTTAATATACCAAATATAGAACCGCCTGCATATTCTCAAACTTGATACTTTGAGCCAAATTATTGTCTACAACTTGACTTATAAGTGGTGTAGAATCGAGAAATAAAAATATCTTACCCAAAACGTAGCCCGGAAGTTCTTCCATCTTGTTCGCTGACGTATCGTCAGCGTAACCAGGTGAGTAACTTTGTGACTGTCAAATTTGATTGATTTTTTCTCGAGTACATTCCTGCAATCATGGTGTTCTGTCGAAAGCCCATGAATATATCAAATATTCTTCAATCTTCAGGTCACAAAAAAGCTGTCTAGATCTGTTTGCATATTACTTTGCAGTACTATAATATTAGTGATGTACTTGAGTTCAGATGTACTAATCTGTAAATATGCAGTTTTACAGTATGTGTCGTGTTTCGATGTAATACTCAATAAAATACATAAAATTAACCTACCTGTATTCACGTTAATTTTTTCTACTTTGCAGGGTATTTCCGATGACATCAGTCCAGCGTTAATGACCCAAAGTCAAAGCTTAGGCCTTCCAATCCGATCATACAGATATGACGCAAAAGGAGGCTTTCTATATATTACATTGGAGAGAGCTGTGATATTTAAATCCTTGCTGGCCAAGGTGTCTGAATATGGAACAGAGTTTGGCTGTAAGAAGGACATAAATAACTCCATAGAGATGGTGGTCCATATACCAGTAGAATGGCAAAGTGATGGCCAGATGAACTTGGACCAAGTACGAGCAATTCTATTGAGTCAACATGCTTCTCTTCTACTTCAAAATGCTGGGTATGTAGCCTTTAGATTATCTTTTTCTTATGGCCATTATGCTTGTCTTTAAGATAGCAACAAAATCTTTTCATTCATTAAACGTTTTTATAAACATTATATAAAAAAAAGATTAAAACTATTTTGAAGAACACTTGTAAAAATAATATTACAAACTGTAAGGATTTAGCTGATCTTTTAATCTCCACAACCACATTTATCAAATATAAGTTCAGCCTCAAGAAGATTGATGTTTAACATTATTTTTGTTTTTCTTTGTCATTTTTAGTATGTACCGATTAATTTCATTCCATCATCTGAAAAATCAATAGACAAGTAAAATAATCAAGTGGCTGATAATGCATATAGCCAATACAACTGTACGATGCATATGTATTTATAAAATGAATTCTACGAAAAAAAAAGAATTAAATAATTTCATGTTTGATTCCTGCATGATTACAATAACAAACCAAGAGAGTAACTTTCTTAGAGGCTCTAGATTTAAAGTCCTTGGTCATGGATGTATAAAATATTGTAATTGTAGTTCATATTTCAGGCACAAAGTCCACGATGTGCAATACAACTGTCCAGAACCAGTGAATAAATTGATTAAACTATATCTTAACAAGGATAACAAATCTGATGAGAACAAAAGTACTGTGTCACTTGAAGAGGATATGAAAGCATTATTTGAAAAATGTTTGAACAGTAAATGTGCAGAAAAGTGTAAAGATGGAGGCACTGGTACTGTTATCAACCTGAAGTCTTACTCGGAGGAAATTAGTGATCTCAACGGAGGCTTTGATAAAAATATTCAATATGCAAAATGTGAGTTGTTTTGTATATGTGTGATATAACCTGAATGTTCAAAGGAAAAGATGTTAATGTGTGCCAAGAATGATCAATTCGTCACAAAACATTTCTTCCCTGTTGAAATGACAAAGTCAGGCACTGCCATAGAATATTTAGAATGCTAAAGTAGTAGGCAAAGTAGAACAAAATAATCTGACTGTAGCCTATTGCAGAACATTTTCTCCAGTGTATCAATAATGAATGTATCTTTTTGTCCATTATTAATAATGGACCACAATTCTCACCTTCTACCCATTATGGTTTTGAAGAATGGGACTTTTCACTTTTTTGGTGACATTCTCTAACACTTGTCATATTTTTGTTGGCACTCTTGGTTGTAAATATATTTGATATACTTTTCAGTTGACTCTTGGAATGACACAAAATTAAAACAAGTTGCAGAGCTGTCTGCTAGTTACAAAACTTTCCAGGTAATGAATGCTTTTAGACAATCCCCAATGTTGTGTTAATATAATGAAATATGTTTCAACGGTTTTTCATACCAAGGCTCCTTATCCGTCATTTTCAAGCAATTCATATGCAATTTTGCAGATTTGTTGAATATTCTTGCAAAATCGTACGATCCTCCCTCCAGCTGATTTATCTGTTTTGCAGGTGTGATTACATTTATACGTTTTCATTTGTTTCAGAATGACCTCCATTGTATACATATTGTAGCTCAAAAGCAAGCCTATAGTCAACAACAAGTGGACCTCATATGGAGCATGCTTGAGGATAACACATCCCATCATATAGAACAGGTGTCTGTCTGATTTATTTAGTATGAACCATGCACATGGAAGCAAATTTGAAAAAGTGTGTATTTCTTCATGAAACATTTAAGATATTTCAAATAAATCAATCATCAATGCAAATTGACATTAGTATTCAGGATAACATACTAGAACTAAACATTTCCTGATCTCCAACTTGCTATTGGATCAGTTAATAAGAGATCTTGTGTCAGATGTCACATATGATATTCCAACACCATTGCTGTCGCAAATAATCAACGTTTTTTGCAGATTTCATTGGACATGTACTCGTATGTATCAGAATCCTAATTGTGTATTTCAGAGTTTTAATGCTGTGTTTCAGCATTTCTATGATGTTTCAAAATTTTGATGCTGTGTTTCAGTGATATAATACTGTGTTTCAAAATTTCATTGATGTGTTTCAGGATTTTAATGCTTTGTTTCAGAGTTTAAATGCTGTGTTTCATGATTTTAATGCTGTGTTTCAGAGTCACTTTGTGTACAGAGGAGTGGCTTCCAGGTGTAACCGTAACTCTGGAGGTGGTCATAACACAATGCCAAATGCCCAGCAATTTTACAATCTCAGGTTTAATCAAATGAAGGAGTCCACAATTATGAAATATGGAAATATAGCTAAAGGTAAGGTACAGCATCTAGTTGATCATAATAGCAAGGAAGATGAATATAAAGCTACATACTAATGTCCCAAAAATGTAATTTTGCACTTAGCAATGTAACCATTCTTTCATTTACAATTAGGCTAAATCAAACCTTAATTTGCTATTATGCCAATGATACATTACACTTATATTTAATGTTTTTGTCTAACTCCATTGACAACAATTGATCGATAGAGTTCATTTATTACACATTTTCTTTTATACAATGTGCTGCATTGTGATCCGTTTACCATGTCAGTTTTATAATTGCACAATTATCATTACAACCAGGAGAGAAATGGGAGTCCATGATGCATGAGCTTACGTCAGCTGCTATCAAATTTGAAATGCTCACAACAGTTCCAAGTAACATGGTATGTAAAGATTAAACTCAATTCACAAACACTTCAATCAGTTTGAAATGACTCAGACACATTCTTTTAGGCATTCTAGATACTTACTGGCATTTCTTTGCTATGGCAACCGTACCAAGACAGGAATGGACTTGCAATAAATATACCAGGGATGTGTTTGAATGAACAGAGTTTTATAAACATATTTCAATATCATACTTAATAATTTGATTTTTCAAATTTAATGTGTTTGAATTATAAGGATGTTTGAGTGTAATTTAGCAATGTTTTGTTGTTTATGACATGACATATCAAGTGCATTTTGACAGGTGAAACTGGATCTCTCTGAGCAGACTGACAAAGGAGGTCCTATGGACAACAAAGGAGGTTCATTCGTGTTGTACAACTGTGCTAGACTTTCAACTCTCTTTCAACATTTCCATAGTAATGTAGCTGCAGGTACAGTCTATCAAATATTCACTCAATTAGTTATGGCAAAAATCTTGTATCCTTTCTTTCAGAGCCCAAGTACCCATAGTGCTTTTTCCATGAAATTTCTTTTGAACTTTTTTAACTTTACACAAACTTTTGATACATTGTCTGTATTTTCAATTCAATTTCAATTCAACAATTGTTTTACAATTTCAGGCGTATACCCTCCACTTCCTGATCTTGATTCCATAGACTGGTCCCTTCTTAAAGATGAGGTATGTTCATATTGATTGGTCCCTTCTCAAAGATGGGGTATATTACTTTGATTGGTCTCTTCTTGAAAATGGGACATGTTCATATTGACTGGTCCCTTTTTAATGATGAGGGGTGTGTTCATATTTACTGGTCCCTTTTTAATAGGGGTGGGACGATGACCCGATGAGTCGATTCCCCGCGGGTTGAGGCCTTCGGGTTGACCCGAATCGACTCCTCTAGTTGAGGAGTCGACTCGTTCGGGTTGAAAATGATGATAACTTCCGGTTTATAATTCCAGGCAATTTTTGGTATCTAAACTGTAGATTTCAAGGCTTTCTTTCATGATCTAGCCCATCTATGTGTTTATATTAGATATTAGAAATGTCCAGAGTATTATTAATGTAATAACATTACTTGTTGTATGTACTGATTGGAATAAAATAGAAATTATAAACTTACGTTAGACTTGTTTTGTTTTCTTTTTGGTGATTAATTTACGAACGAAAATAAAATGACGTTCGTTATTTTATCTTTATTATTAATGTATGTTGTCATTCCCTGTGAGAAATTTTCTATGTTTTATGAGTAAACAATTGTTTATTATCCCCCCGAATACAAATATATGACAGGTAAAACGATAATAATGGGAACAAACTCCGACTTTTTTGTTCTGTTACGAAAGTTCTACACGTTCGTTAAATGTCTAATATACGAACGACCACAGGCTTTTGTGTTCGGTATTTGTTTTTAGATCTTAAATAAAAGTTGTTGAAATTTGTGCTTTTTATCAGATTATATCCGAATTCTTTTCAACTCAAATACTTTAGAGTGTTTCTAGTTTGAAAACTATGAGATAAATCACTGATTTATTGATAATCGTAAGTGTTGGGTGTGTTGTTGCAAACGCGCCGGTCGTTCGTAGATATATGCCTGTTCAGCAAAAAGATCATATCCGTTTGGAAAAACAAATACAACGCAGATTGCAAGTTAAAACATGTTTTATTCTCTATAAATAGTAAATACTATTAACAAGTAGTTATAATTCACCAAAAATCAGTCATGCCCTACTCTTTAAAGAAATATAATGTATATAACCCGACCCGAGTCGGAACTCGAATCGGATTTTTCTGGCCCGACCCGACCCGGACCCGAATCGTGCCATTTCGACCCGTCCCACCCCTACTTTTTAATGATGAATGAGGCATGTTCATATTTACTGGTCCCTTTTTAATGATGAATGAGGCATGTTCATATTTACTTTTTAAAGATGAGGTACCAGGTATGTTGATATTGATTGGTCCCTTCTTAAAGTTTTGTTCCTTCTTAACTGAATTAATGTGATCTTACAGAATTAAAACATGTCATCCTGAGATTCTATGAGGCTTGGCAGCTACATTGAGAATGTATTATTTATGTACCGCTAGCAATGTGCAAAGTTCAACTAATTGATACCATACATTCTCATCTAAACATTACTATGATAAATCCATACAGCAAAGTGCAATCTGGAAACAAAGATCCCATTGAATAAAATATAGCCCTGTGGCAAATCACATTGTATGAATCTCAAATGCTAACTATGCATCCCTGTTGTATGATGTTTGTGCTTCCAGGAGGAATGGTCCCTTCTCTTCAACTATGTGATGTCTTACCCCAGTATTGTACAACAAGCCATAGCTCCTCTGCACAAGGGCATTCATAGCCAAATACAAACTCATAAAGTAAGTACTGCCATAGTCTTAAAGCCATGTTTATTTGAATTGTTCCTCCATTATAAATGCACACTGTGTTATTTTTTTGTACATGCTTGATTAGTGAGTATCAGTTCATATCTAGGACATATATAAGGCATTAATTGAGAACTTGTATGAATTGTAAAGATTTTACTTCAGTTTTTTAGGTGTTTACTCAAGTATATTATGAAATGTAAAAATGTCCAAAAACAATTTCATGATTTCCTTTTAAGTTTTGGCTTTGTCTGAAGAGCTCTCCTATAATTCCCTTACTACTTTCTACTATACATGGACAGGATCCCAGGACACAATTTTTACCATTTGCTTTGACACTTCAAATTGATCATATGTTCAATTAATATGTTGTATGACTTGTTTTCAGATTTGTAATTTTCTGCTTCATATGGCCAGAGACATGAGTTCTTATTACAGTAGGGTTCACATATTGTCTGTAAGTATCAGAATGTCAAAAAAGTAACTTGATTTAACAATTTTAAATCCAGTAGGCTAATGTTGGTCAACTATACCCTTTTCCCTTAAGACACCCATGTGAATGTATTTTTCTATTTTCCTTAACAAAATAACACAGTGCTGCTGAAGTATATCCCACCAGCATTGATGATGAATGAAAATAATTTTTGCTTTCATAAAACATGTCATTTGGACCCATTTCCACAATAAAGCTTATATTTCACAGTTGTAGAATCATCTAGATTGCATTAAATAAACAAGAGATTAACATGCAAAATGTCACCACCTGCCCTTTGTTACAGACACTGAATGCTGACCACTGAACACCATCTACAAAAAAGTTGGAGACAATAAAAATATGTTACCACGTGGTGGTGATATGGGTGGTAACATACTATGATATTGAGCAGTTTTGTATTGATTTTTACAGGAAGCCAGGCCTCACTTGTTACCCCTGATGCACAGCAGACTCCACCTGATGAAAGGCCTACAGCAAGTCATGCACAATGCCCTCAGTCTCCTCAACATACAACCTCCAACACAAATGTAAAAAAAAGGTAGATATATATGTACAGTGTACAATTCAACCCCCCTCCTTTAACTCTTCTGATATCAAGATATTTTGTACCTTCCAATTGCCATGTATAACGTAATAGGTGTCACTTTTAAAGTGCATCTCCATGTAAGCCAAAATGGTGCTATTTTGAAGAAATACAATTTTGAATGACAACAAGGTCTATTCTTGTAGTGACACATTGTTACTGTCTTTGTGACAGATGGCATCTGTAACAATTGTTACACTTTAGTAACCTTTTACAATAGCTTACTTGACTGGTTATCTTGTTAATGCCTCCTATTATGTCACCAATATTGTTATGGTCTCCATTTTTTGTGGCGGTGGTTGACGACCAGCGGGTGGCGGTTTGTGGTTGGTGTCTGTAACAAAGTCTTACAACTTCCAATAACTGTAACAAATACTGTTTAGACTGACTTTAATTTTTTTTAAATCAACTTTCACAAGTTCATATCTGACACTAGATTTAAAATTTGACCTTCAATGACCTTCTCAAGGTCAAAGGAGATTTGACCTTCAATGACATTCTCAAGGTCAAAAAGGTCTCTTTTCAACTTGCTTCAAATTGACCAACTTTTTTTCAAAATCATCTACAAGTTCGCAGAATGTCAAATTTGACTTAAGTTTAAGATTTGGCCTTCAATGACCTTCTCAAGATCAAAAAGGTTTTAAAAGGTCAAAAAGGTATTTTCTCAACTTGCTTCAAATTGTCCAAATTTTTTTTCAAAATCATCTTCAAGTTCTCAAAAGTTCAAATCTGACTTAAGTTTTGAGATTTGACCTTTTATGACCTTCTCAAGGTCAAAAAGATTCATTATATTGTGAGCAATTAGGTGGTGACATTTTGTCATGTTAATTGTCTTGTTTATTTACGCATTAAGTAGATGTTGACAAATAGTGTACATGAAATAAATCAATTTTTTTTATTTAAAACATTTATTTATTTACAATACCACTAAATTTACTGTCAGCTACTTGGAGTGCTTTAAATTTATCCATGACTCCAGAGCACTACAATCAAATATGTGTGTTATCTCTAAGCTATTTGTCTTTTATCTATCTTCCTGAAGCATTTAGAGAAAACTTCAACTTTGCTCATTGTCCTCAGTTGTATGTAGAGCTAAGACTTCATTAATATTCTCTTTACTAACCTTTTGTGAATGCATGTTATCATCAGCTGAGTTATTAGAATCTCGACTTACATTACTGCTTGATAATTTAGGTTCATCAAGTTTAACTTCTGAGTTGATGTTTTGTGTTCTATTGACTTCTGTCTCAGCATCAATTATATCTTTATTGTTTACAGTCTTATTCTCTGGATTTGAATCATGCGCCACTGACTTCTCCATTTGAGCATTATGTAACAAGTTTTCTTTTTGATTAATGTTTATTTTGTGATGATCTGTTTTGATTTTTCTCTGATTATTGGTTTTATCTTGAGGTGTTTTCTTGGTTTCCTTTATTGGAGCCAATTTTTTCATGAAATTAGGTTTCGGTGCTGTTAGTTTTGTCCTCATTTTATTTGCAAATTTTCCCAATGCATTTTTCTTTGGGGCTGACTTGTTCTCAGTTTGTTTCTTTTTAGGCTTTCTATTTTTGGCAGTAGTTGGTTTTTTCAGCATCGGTAATAGTTCAGCTTTTTCCATCAAGGAATCATTCAGTTTCTTATGTGCAGCAGGAAGTGTGAAAATGGAAAATGTAAAAGCTGGGGAGAAGTTTAGAACTGATATTTCATCAGGGTCTGGGAAGGATATCTTTGACTTTAATGTGGCGCTGACTGATGGGAAAACATCATCACTTTCTTCTGATGTTGTAGATTCCTCACTGCTTGTGTGCTTGATCTAAAAAGGTAAACAGAGATACCATATTTAAGACCAATTTGATTAATCAATCATGGCTTGTAGTGATACAAAATGAATGGGACTATTTTTCCTTAATAAAACACACTAATACCTCACTCTCTACTTCAACGTCTATTTGCTTTGGTGCTCTCCCTACTGTAAATTCTTGTTGCTTTGCCCTGAGATCATTGTTTATCTTCTCTAATGGCAGTGGAGGAAGGGTCGGTAGTTGGGCAGTGCAGGGACCTGGAGAGGGCGTCCTAACCATATCTTAATAGAATCATTTTCAGTATGTTTATAGACATTTGAAAGAAGTTTTTAAGGATGTAGTCATCTGCTCTGTTTTGTGTGTTGGTTCAGTGGCATAAGTGATAAATACATTAATTTTTGGCAATAAAAGTAGAATTGACAAAATATAAACTTCACACTTGTACAAATCAACCATTTATGAGAAATTATCCTGCTCAAACCTTTGTTTCTTGGATTATCCAAGAAATTAAAAACACTGACCGATCTTGAAATAATTATTGGTTAATTTGTGATTAACATTTGTGTCATTACTCACTCTCTGGGCAGCTGCTATGACTGGCCCTGTGAGCTGATTGCATCAAAGTGCTGGGGCTCAATTGCATATGTCCCCCTGGTTTATTACTGGACATCACAACATTAGCTGCCGTTATGCTCTGGTGTTTGTTGCTTCTGTATGACATTTGGGTTTCTGAAGTGAAATATCAGTATTTGTATACATTGATCATAAGGAAGCACTAATAAGGGTATAATACTTGAAGATCACAAAGCTCACTTGGACTCTCATAAACTATAAATGTGTAACCAAAACTGTGATATGTCTTAGGAATATATGTAAGTATTTAATTATAAGTATTATACAAGTATATATAAATACATGTATTCTACATGGTTTTACCAGGATTTTGGTATTCTTCTGGATTATTGGGATCCCTTAACTTCTTATTTTTAACAGTAGTTTCTTTCTTCACAGTAGCCTTTCGTTTTTGTTTCTGCACTGAAGCAGTGGATCCTGCATCATTACCATCCACATTTTCCATGTTATCATCATCCTGGTTGTCTTTTTCTTTTATATCATATTCGTTATCCGTCTGTGGAGCTTTTTCAGTGCCACCCTTAGTCCCCTTGGTCTTTTTACGGCTTGCTAGAACATGGCTACTGGCCTGTTGACAAAATGAAATGTGACCTGATATTTGCAATGTATAGTATGTCAAATGGAGTCTGGCCCAAACCAAATCTTAGGCATTTGCTTGACATCGAGTAAAGTAATATCAGGCAACTGAGCTATGGAAGGTCTGTTATAAGGTATATTTCTGCCAACCATTTTAACTTGGAGTGTTTCTGAATGAAGTTACAATTAAATCACTATTACCAAAGGCTTTACAGAACCCAACAGATAGAAAGGTGACAATGATTTTAGAAAAGAAACATAAATAGAAAATATATATTGTGTATTTTTGCATATCATTTGTGATTTTGATTGAGCCCTTTTGATTTTAATTCAGTGAATAAATAAATACCTGTTGTTTCTGCCCTGTTGCTGGGCGACTCTGAGTTCCCTGTTGATCTTGTCTCACTTTGGCTTCATTCATCTCAGTGGTTGTTTCATTGTCTGCTGCATATTCAGTTGTATCAGCGGTTGTCTCATTGTCTGCTGCATATTCAGTTGTATCATCAGCGGTTGTGTCTGCAATTATTTCTATTGTGTAATCTTGTCATATGACTGATGTTTATTTTTATTGCACCACTTACCACTGAAAGGTCATTTTGATGCATACAAGCAAACAAAACATTAACCATTTGATGATTTCCAATCACTGGATGGATTCTGTACTGTAATGACGTTACAATTAGGCCACACAGCTCTAGCAGAAATCAACTACTCCTCTCCATTCATTTTTTCTGATCATATGTTGTGAATAAGACAAAATACATGACAGCAGTATCCACAAACAAAATTCTGATCACAAATGGTCAATTGGATATAAAGTAAACGAGTCTTCCTACCTTTGGTGCTAAAAATAGTGCTCTTCAGATAACCAGCCTTCGTCTCGGGTCTTCCCGTTCTGTTTTTCACAGCAAAGTTCTTTTTTGGCACAAGGACAGTTGAGTTACGTCTTGAATGAGTGGGTTGGGACATGTGAGGAGGTATAATGGAGGACCTTCTATATTGTTTGCTACGTTCATGCTTGTTATAGCTACCACTCATGTTTGAAAGTGTATCCTGGGAGTAATCATCCTCATTCATCTAGAGTATAATGGACATAGTTGTTATTGTATTGAGTATGTAAACAAAGTGGTCAATGATTATGAAGCAACACAAGCTGGACTGCGACTTGTCATAGCAGTCCAGAATCAAAATGGAGGAACATGTGATTGGCTGTCGAGGAAACTGATAAATCCGGATACTGTTAAATGGTGTCCAATCAGTGACAAAGAGATCTACAATACATCCATTGTTCATATGTTTAATGGAAATAATGGACCAGTTGTTCAGATTTATTTGAAACAGTAGCAGAATTTTTACTTTTAAAGCTAATCAGATGATTTGACTTTATATACATTTAGACATATTTTCAGTGTGTTTCTGCTTATTTACAGCTAAACTAAAACTGAAAGAATGTTTTCTGAGAATGTTGTGATGATAGAACATTCACACACAGAGAGGATTAAGTTCCAACTGTGCAAATAAGCATGCAAAGTGAATGCAGTCAGGCAGAGTACCATCATACTAGTTGCCAGCTTACCTACTTTTGTGAAAATCATCCTATTACCTCAATAGTTGAATTTTCTTGTAAATCATTTCTGCTTTTTCTTGCCATTTGTGTTCCATGATGTTTAACACTATCACCTCTTGTTCTCCACTTCATCCTTCCTGTAGAAGTCTCTGTTTCGTGATATTTACTCCTTTCATCTTCTGATTTAAAGCTATGTTCACCAGGATGCATGCGGGGATCATTCCTGTAAGACAACCTCCGTTCATGACCTTTGGCAATGTTGTCAAGGTAGCCATGCTGCAAGCCACCAGTGGCACCCTCTTTGTTCAGAATATCCATAAGAGAGTCATGTGATCCACGCTGTGTTAAATTACGATATATACCTGAAATGGTAGTTATTGAGTCATATCAGAGTGACATGCTAAAGTTGTATTGTAGTATTTTTTGAAAAATATGAGGACAACATTTGAAACGCATATGATATAAAATAATTATGCCCATACTTGGAACTTTGGTCTGGTCTCTCCCAGGCAGTAGAAAGGAATTGTCCACATCACTGTCATAGTTGGCTAGAGCCTTGAGCACCTTGTAGTCCTCGTACGATAATTCTAGAAATGATTGCATGCATCAAAATAAGTAGATTATTATGACATATGTACATTGTTTATGTACGTATACGTACTGAAATAAGAGCGACAAACAATATCAACAAACAGAGCCAGTCAACGAAATAGTTCTATGAATCATTGTTAATAAACTTAAAGAATCTGAAAACAGATAAAACAGGCTTCATATATTAAATCCTAAAAAATGATTTTTATTCTATTTTCAGAGGTGTATAGTATCCTGATAACAGGGAGAAAATTCAAAGAAGTTCATTCAACAGATGGGACATTTTAGGATTTCTACAGTTTTTTAGAACATGAGAGGTCATAGACATCAGCCTGCAACGATAAAACTTATGTACATCACTAAGAACCCCATAATTGAACCTAATTGGAGAATTTCTTTTTTTTATTACTGATAAAGTTGGCATGATATATATGTATACACCTACCATTGTTATGTCTGCCAGTGATGTGAATGCTCATCTCACTGGGGAAGTAAAGAGAGAATGTGCTGCCATCCCTGGTGGAGAAGTCGCCTGTAGAACCTCGTCTCTGACTGAAAATGTCTTGCAGGTTCAGAGTACTGTCCCTTGTCAGCCCTAAAATATAAAATAGATTCTTTATGGTATACACTACATACATTGAGCAATTTTCAGACTCTGCTCCATGATAATCAAGGTATGAAACCTGTCGATTCCAAACACCTGTTTGACTGGCCAAAAGTGTTCAGATCAGCTATGTTCACATTTCAAGGTTATAAACATGTGAGTCAATGGGAGATTACCGAAAAAGCTGTTTACATTGAGATACAAATGGTTCCTTCAAAGGAGAAATATGTTGAAGATGATAATGTTAAATGATAATTGCACACCTGTAAGATCTATGACAGAGCCCTCTTTTTCCGAGATATAGAATCTGCCATCCTCTCCCAGGAAACCTGAAGTGAGAAACTTGAATGTAGAAATTGGTTGACAATTTAGGGTGGAATGAAAGATTTGAACATTTTTATTGTGATAATGTCTAGTTTTGTCCACAAGCTATAGGTAACTTGAAAATGTACGAAACACAATTACATCATTAGAAATTAAATAAAGTGGTCTCTACAAACTGATTAAATATGTTGTTAATGTTATTGAAGCATCCCTTATCAGTTTTGAAATGAATGTAGGTTACTTTTCCCTAGATTAGAATTTTAAATGTTCAGTTTAAAAGTTTGAACTACAGATACTGTATGCCCAGTTTCAAATAAACCACTTGGTTTGTGAAGATTAAAGGTTGTATAAACTATTAAAGTGATTTTCACTCTTTTTCAAACCTATAGTTTTATGTATCCTTTAATTTATTTGTGTTTTTGCACCTTTGGACAAAAACTTGAAATCTACATGCTACGGAGGAAACTAGTCTCCCCTCATCAAATTCTGTAAAGATTATTTAATTTAGAAAAAGGTTCCTGACTTTACTCAGGTCATATGAGATAATTTCAAACATGCATGAAAATACCTGTGTGTAGCCTCCCATTCTTGTCAACTATTCCTTCTGTAATGAACTCGCCATCCTCATTATATGTTCCTGTGTAGAATAAACCATTTTGTCCATGTCGCCCCTGCAGCTTCAGGCCTCCATTTGTTGTGTACTCTCCTGGTGTTGTTGTTTCTGTCTTTGGTACAGGTATCCCCATGTTCTCATACTCCTCACTAAGTTTCTGGGCTTCTTGTCGTCTCTCTTGTTTGGCTTTTTTTATCAATTGTTTTGCTCTTTTTTTCTGTCGTTTTCTCCTGATTTTTTCTTGTTTTGATTTACGTTCTGCATGCTTTTTTTCATCATAGTCACTTTCATCAGATGACATTAAGTAGTGTTTTCCATTTTCCCTATTTCTATCTTTTGATTTCCTTGTCTTTCTCATTTTAGAACTGTCAGACAGGTCATCATCGAAAGTTGAAGAATCGCTGGATGAACTTGTAAAATCAATCATTTTATTCTTTTTGTAGCTTTTATGATGTTTGCGCCTGCCTTTTTCACTTCTACCCCTAGTAGCACTACCACTGTATTCATCTGTTTCACTGTCAAAGCTACTAGAGTTATAAAGTGCCTTTTTCAGCACCTCAAGACTGCTTGTTATCGCTTGAGCAATTTTATCCTTGTGCTTTCTTTTCTTTTTTGTTTGTTTCCTCTGTCTGTGCTTCGAGTTTTCTCTATCCTTATCATGTCTTATTTTATGACCTTTTACTTTCTTCCGATTTCTTTTGCTTTGTTGTCTGTTGTCTTCAGAAACAGTTATAGAAGAGTCGGAACTATCTGAATAGGAAGTTGAATCATATGATTCTTCTTCCTTATTGGGCTGGTGGCCAAGGAAAAAGTTTGGGTTACCATGTGAGTATCTGGAATGGGTCTCATTGTCTTTCAGCTTCTATAACAATAAAAACATGGTTATGAAATGCGTCATTTGTGTTATTTTTGTTCTTTTAAAAAGAATACATAAAAACACAGCAAATAGACTTTTTAGTGCAGATTTTCCAAAAATCAGTGTCTTCAATCCCATTACAGCATTACTGAGTGGTATCCAAGATTAATACGTGGATTCATTAATTAGTTAAATGATAGTCATATATAATGTACCTAGCACCCTTGAAATTTTGGAACGATACAAAATGCTAAACATATGTAAAAAGCTGTGTTAGATCTGTAGGCCTGGTCATATAAGCATTTGTATTGAAATAATCATAATGAATTAGATGTTCTCCATTGATTTCTTTTCCTGAGTGGTTCATAAATTCAAATATTGATCTTGCTTGTTACCTTGATAAACAAAGAAGTGTTTTGAGACAACATGAATAAAGGTCCCTTGACTGGCTTGGGTGGTGAGTCACAATCTGTTATAAGTTTCCCGGATGCCGCCCAGTTATCAAGACATCTCTGACAATGAAAAAGTGGTCTGGCAACACGTCCTGGGATGTAATCTCGTTTTGTTATCTACAATATACATTATTTGGTTTCAGCTTTTTCCCTTTGATAGCATATATTTCATCGGGTATTGCATAAATTCTTGCAGTCTAGCTACAAGCCCTTAGCCTTGTGTTGTATAGATAAGGGTCCACAGACTAAAATTCTTCAGGGAATTAGGCCTTTATTGACTGATGAGAATGCAGGCCCGTAGCCAGGGGGGGGGGGTTTGCAGGGTATTCTTTCAAAATCATGCAGTTTTTCACCATTTTGAGCACTTCTCAAGTGATTTTAGCCATATTTGGGCCAAAATTGTCAAATGTGAACCCCCCCTGGATATTTTTGAAAACTGAACCCCCTTGGCAGATCCTGGCTACGGGCCTGGAATGAATATATTTTTTTCATTGTTAGTCAATTTAAGCTTACATGGTGTTTCAGATTATCTTATTTCTTGATATAAATGTATGTTGGTCGACATAATTATCAGGGAAAATGTGTACCTCAATGGGTACTCCAATAGAATGGCAGTCAAGTAGCTGCCTTAGGGACTCATCAATTTTAAGAGGATCATCTTGTATTTCTTCACCACCAGTCTCCAGAATTGTTTCAAAACCAAACTGAATTAAATGAATAAAATCAATCATGACAATGGCATAACACAATATAAACATCTAAACATTCAAAATTACTTTGGACTTTTGTGGAAAGGAAAATGATATTTAAATGTCAAAATAAAGTATGTGAAGCACAATAACATGCCCTTAGCAAGCTTTTGCCAAGGGAGGGGGCAGTTTTGAAAAGTCCAAGAGGTTTCAAATTAGACAATTTTGTTTCAAAATCACTTGAAAAATGGTAAATGTATGTAGCCACTGATTGTTCATTACCTGAGTCTTTTGTGATATTACTGGCTCTTTCTTTGGGGGCACTTGGATGTCTTGACCAGTTATCTCCAGCTCTGAGTGATCCTGTCCATTGTGGATTGGTTTCAATCGACCAGCGTGAATGATTTCTGGGAATAAGGCCTCCTAAAAAAATAAGTGAAAATCAAAAGCCAACTGTATCCATGACATCACCATTCCAAGAGTGTAGTAAATGAGTAGCTCAATATAACTATTATTTAGCCTATTGATGTATACCCCTTTAGTTGTGCTCGAGCCAGGAACATGGTCATTTTCTCCAATAGAAACACTGACAGACTCTCCCTGAATGACAGCTGGGAGAAACTTCTCCAGGTCAGAGTTTTCCACATCAAATTTAGCAGGCTTGCCTCGTGTTTGCTAAAACAGAGAAACACTTTTTAGACACTGTATATAAGTTAAGTTTATCAAGGTTTGAAATATGGCGAGAAAGCCCACATTAAAATCTGATAATGATTATAGACTTGGATTTATCAATAAGCTTACCTTAGAAATGTTCCCTCTTTGTCTGAAACGACTGTCATCTTTCTTTTCACCGAATTCAGCTAACTTTGGTAACACAGTTTTTAAAGCTGACATTATTTTTACCAACTTTTAAACTTTTCCAAGTTTGAATTTCGCGCTTGTTAACTTTTTGTGACGTCATTGCCAGCTCTTCAAATTAAAGGAAAATATTTTGTTAAAATTTTGAAAATATTTTTTCCCTAAAGTTTATTGAAAATAAACGTTCTAGACCTAGATTATCGCGTTGAATTGATATTTAAGGTAAGGGGAAGTATTTGCCACATCATTTGGATACACCATAGTCAATGCTTATGTTCGTTATGCATAATAATCTAGCATTTCAAAATTTTGAATTTGTTGCTACGTGGGCGATAATAGGCAATATAGCTTCAGAAACATTTCATCGAAAACAAAGAGTAGACTATTCTTTCTGAGTGAAAAAAGACATTAATCCATCTAGCTCTCTTCTTACTGTTTTATAGAAGCCATCTGAGGGGTTATTTCTTCTTCATTAGCTAGATGGTCTTTACTCGAGTCTCTAGCCAATTCTTGGCTACTATTTTTTTCATGGCCTGAGTTCGTCGCTAACATGCTAAATTTAAGAGTTAGCTGACGTTTGGGAGTCTGACTTACCTTCTAAAGGTTAGAACCCGAATCTTAATGAAACCATATCACCTTTGTTCCGTCAACCATGGAGCATTTGCCACAACATCCAAGAGGTAAACCATGGACCATGAAAATGAATGATTTCCTTGTAAGTTCCGGAAGTTTCAATACGAAAAATTACAGAACATATGTGAAAACCGAATATTTGTTCGTTGTTTTCACGATTTACAGGTTCGTTTGTTCTCCAATGTTTTGGTCTAAATTATAAAGCATCACCAACAGGTCTTACTCTATTAATCAACTAATACAGCAGACGGCTCATATTTCTACGTAGCATTTCGTTCAGACCAATAGTGGGAGTGCAGATCACGCAGTTTCGTTCGTTGCATACTTCACTTGAAATTGGTAATTTTGAATATTGGCTACTTCACTTAGCTTGGCGGATGTAGAACATTGCTTAATATTCTTTTAATTTTCACACCAGACATGCTTGGTTGACACGTCAACAAAGTAAAGTTCAAGGGTCAATGCTTTATTTCGTGATAACTACAACGCCTTCCCGGAAGTCAACATTAATGAAAAATGAAAAAGTCGGAAAAGCATTTACACTAATTTCTATCAAATGCTGTGTTTATGCATCATCAATGACGCAACAAAGGTGATATGGTTTCATTAAGATTCGGGTTCTAACCTTTAGAAGGTAAGTCAGACTCCCAAACGTCAGCTAACTCTTATATTTAGCATGTTAGTGTCGAACTCAGGCCATGAAAAAAATAGTAGTTCAACAAGTTAAGGTACAGCTGGAAAGTAACATTTTGGTAAAAAATTGCTATACCTGCACATGTTATTTTCTGGTACAAAATAAAGTATGAAGGCATGTATCAATTTCCTTGCTTTTTTCAGGAAAGTATCATTACATTGTCTTCTTTTAGAATATCTGGTAGGCGTTCAAAGGGAACTCCAGGGAATTCTGATATTTCACACTTCCTGTTTTTCCAAATTTTCTTTCAAAGTTTCCAGACAACACAGGAGCTACCATTGACCTGTTTCCAGGTTTACTAAAAGTAGACAGTGTAATGATACTTTCCTGAAAAAAGCAAGGAAATACACACATGCCTTCATACTTAATTATGTACCAGAAAATAACATGTGCAGGTATAGCAATTTTTTACCAAAATGTTACTTTCCAGCTGAACCTTAAACCCAATACCACGGCTTTCATTTATTAACCTGAATGTTCTTATTGCAGTGATTGGGTTTAACTTCCGTGCTTTGCTTTCATTTGTTGCAAATTCTCACTATCAGTTATTAATTAAACGTGCATGGAATTCCATGCGCTGTCATAGACCACCATTAAATTTTTTGCATCAAGGGCTGAATAGGCACAGACGTTAAACTTAGGGCGGGCCACAAGATATGTCAGATAAGAAATAAGGCCCAGACTGGGTTTAACTTGTTGAACTAATTCTTGGCAAGAAGTAATTTCATCTGGAACACCGTGAACGCCATTTGGAAAATGCTGGCCGCGTGTCATGAATTTATCAAATATTTTCAATATTGCATGATTTCGTCTAAAATTAAAACAAATGGCTCCAAGAAAAATGGCGATATTCGAAAACTCCAGACGAAATGTTAATGTCTGACATTAGTAACTGGCTGTAAATTCTAAGTTTATAGGGATCCAGAAGATGTGAACTAATACATTGATCACTTCAAGTGTGTATTTGGTGAGGTACAATGTAATAAGACCAAAACTCGCAATTACAGTGCTGATATAAAATAATAAAGGGTGCGTTTTCAAACTAAACAGAGTGCTCCTACCAAAATGAATTTGCCTACATACCCCTGAGACTCTTATCTGAGAGATAGAATGAACAAATAAAACAAAAGTTTTACTATTATAGGTAAAAAGTTCTCTTAAAATTTCGAAGTGATTTTACCTGTTAATTCTGTCTTTGGTCCGCCATTTTTGCGGAAGTTACACTTAAACACAAACTCCATGAAACGAAACGAAATCACTAGAAAAAACCATGGCACAAGTTGTGCGCATGTGCAGCAAAGTTTAAACCAATCAGATTATTTGATTATTTTGCGCACATGAATTATTGGCTTCTGAGCACTTACAAACTAACCACAATAAACAAACCTGGCAGAGACTACCTTTAGCCATGTAGCCTACTTCATTTTAACGAAATTTCAGCTCAAACTCGTGACATATGCATATGCTCGTATGAAGCCTTGGAGACACTCATTTTGGTAAATATGATTTACGGTGTATACTTTTCTGCAGTTTGTAGGAGTTTGGGACATTAATGTTAAAATTCAAGAAAATATGCCAATTATACGACTGATAAATTAATTATCCCATCGAACGAAGTTCGGAGGGATATAGGGAACGCCTCCGTCCGTACGTCCGTACGTACGTACGTACGTCCGTCCGTCCGTCTGTACGTCCGTCCGTCCGTCCGTCCGTCCGTCCGTCCGTCCGTCCGGGCAATAACTCAAATACCGTTGGCCCGATTTTGTTCATATTTTGTACACATATACCCTATGGGGGTAGAAGTTCTGCTCGAAAGCCGATTTTCAAAATAGCGGCTCATTTCAAAATGGCGGCCATTTTAGTGTCGAATTTACAGTAATTTAGGTACAATATGTAAAATTGTAACAGCAATATGTTTTAGATGTAAAAAAATTAAATAGGACATTAATAAAGCTAGAAATGTAGATATGAAAGAAGCACATGGCAGCCATCTTGAAAAATGGCGGTCTTTACTCGTTATTTTACGATTTTTGCTGTAACTCGAAAAGTAGTGGAGCGATTTTGTTCATATTTGGTATGTGAATACTATAAACATTGCACACTGTCTAAAGACACTTTTAGTAGAAGGTGGCCATTTTGAAAAATGGCCTCCATTTTTCAAAATGGCCGCCATTTTAACGTATTTTACTATAACCCGAAAAGTAGTGGAGCGATTTTGTTCATATTTGGTATGTGAATACTATAAGCATGACACACTGTCCTATGACACTTTTGGTAGAAGGCGGCCATTTTGAAAAAAAATTTGAAAAATGGCCGCCATTTAAACATATTTTACTATAACTCGAAAAGTAGTGAAGCGATTTTCTTCATATTTGGTATGTGAATACTGTAAGCATGGCACACTGTCTAATGACACTTTTGGTAGAAGGCGGTCATTTTTCAAAATGGCCGCCATTTTAACGTATTTTACTATAACTCGAAAAGTAGTGTAGCGATTTTGTTTATATTTGGTATGTGAATACTATAAGCACTGTATATACACTGTCTAATGGCACTTTTGGTAGAAGGTGGCCATTTTGAAAAATGGCCGCCATTTTAACGTATTTTACTATAACTTGAAAAGTAGTGGAGCGATTTTGTTCATATTTGGTATGTCAATACTATAAGCATGGCACATGGTCTAATGAGAATGACACTTTTGGTAGAAGGTGGCCATTTTGAAAAATGGCTGCCATTTTTGCTATATCCTTCGTTTGTAAAAATGCCATCCATGGCTGTTCGATGGGATTCGCTACGCTTTGGCGTTGCCGTTGTTCTGGTTTGTATCAGCACTATAAAATTGTGATGTGAAAAATGGCGGACATTTGATTTCAAATTTTATGATTACTACATGACCCGTATACACATGGTCTCAGTCTGATTACCTAATAGAAAATTTTAAAACAACAAAGAAGTGATCAAAACATTATAGAAATATCTTTTTGATTGCTATGTTTTGCCATTCAGCCATTTTCATAGCATTTTCTTCCTGTATTCCTTGCCTCAGATGAAGGCAAAATAGCAAGTTGCACAAGTTATTGTTAACCAGCTGAGAACTCTGGGAGCCAATCCTTGATAGCCCTGGCATTGGTCTTATATTTGGACATTTCGTATGGCCTTATATTGATTGGTATGGGAGCACATTAAAATTTGATAACTTGGTATGGGAACATATTGATATCTGAGGGTTCAGCCTAGGACCCCTGCCAAATTTTTTACACAGTGAACCCCTGGGGTTAAACCTAACATTAGACTTAAAAATGTTTGCTATTCAGTGATCTCCCCAGGATTTTTTCAGAGCAGGGGGTGGATTTTTTAACAAGTTTCGCCACGGGCTGGGTAAATTTTTGCCGCTCGAATCGCACGCATACTTTGTCAAATGTGCTTCAGCAGCTCCCACAGGGTTACTATTTCTTCACGTACAAAATGTAAATAAACACCAAATCTCATTTAGGAAAACCTTTTATTTGATAATACTACATGATAATATGGTTGTAGTGATCATTGTTCAGTTTCCATAAAGCCTCATGTCCTTGCATCTTCTGTGGTGCCTATCAATTTATCAAACCACCTCCCCCATGCTGCCTCAAAATTGAAGACTTTTTCCCTTGGCCTGTTTATGATTATATTGAGGACACTGGGCAGGTGAAGCAAGCTTGAAGGAACAGGTGGAGGGGGTAAATTGAGTGAAAAGGGGCGAGCGCCATGCAATTAGATTCTGGGGAGAACTATTGGTAAATAAATGCACCCATTGTCCCATTCTCTAGTTGATGCACATATAGATTAATCTTATCTGTTCAACGCTTAAGATTTGATTTTGTGCTCATTGAAATTATAAATTGTATTTTACTCAAAAGCTCTTAATGATAATAGATTGATACAATATGTATTTCAGATTGCAAGTATGTTACGTCGCATCAAGTCATGTCACTTTGGACTTGTCACATAAATATAGAAATCGACAGTGACAACAATTATGGATCAGTATACTATACTAGGCAGGGTGGGTGAAGGAGCGCATGGAATTGTTTTCAAAGCCAAACATATTGAGGTGAGAAATATTGCATACATTGTTGCATATATCTTGATAATAGACGAGATGCAAGTGGAAATAATCTTGATTTACGTCATTTAATACTCAAAATTCAGTCAAAGTGATGTCATATTTGAAGTCTACATGTAAAAGTATATCTAGAAATATGGTTTCAAAAATTGTTTATCAACTTTGAAAATTTAATTTTTTGGGAAAAATTGACTTCTAGTTCGGGTTGATTCCCCATAGACCCAATGTTGCAAAATCAAAAAAAGTGAAATATCTTTTCTTGTATTGGACAGACAACATTTTCTTTTACTGAACATATTTTAATTTGCATAACTATTAGATACATAAGGGTTATATGAAAATTGAACCACTAAAACAGATATAATTTAAGTTTAAGGGAACTTTCTACTATACCCGCCATGTTATCTGACCCGAACGAGCCACCTGGCGGTGAAACTGATAACTACCTACTCACATCTGCGTTATTGATTTATTGTACTCTTGAGGTATCTTAAAGAAGAATTATGGACAAATGTTTTTCACGCTACTATACCCTAGTAGCATACTACTTGCTAATGTTTACACCCGTTTTAATGCAATATTTAGGCCTATGAAATGTAAAATGATAAATTATAGCCTAATTATCATATTGATCTTGGCCTATTTCCAGTAAGGCTAGGCAAATTTAGGTTTAACATTCCAAAAATTGCAACAGTTTTTAAATTAGTCTTACTTTGTATATTGATATCAGTAGAAAAACTTCAAAAAGTAGAAAATATACATGTTTTTGTTGATTTTAGAGTGGGGCTCTGGTGGCACTGAAGAAAGTTCCCCTGAAGAAGCTTGATGATGGTATACCTAGTGCAGCACTAAGGTAGGTGACATACTTCATTTAACCTAGCGCAGCATTAATGAATGATTCTGCCTTTAAACTAGAATTCAAGAATTAATTCTTCGAACTCCGTAATCTACATGTTTAATTGTTATTTGTTATATTCTGTATTTCAGGGAAATCAAGGCACTGCAGGAGATAGAAGACAACCCTTTTGTAAGTATATATACAATTAAGAAGACGACAATAAAATTTATTTCTGCATCGCCTCATTTATTTGTATATAAGTCATCGAACAGAACATTAATACTAACTTTGGTACTTATTACAAAGCTGTGTTGAGTCTAACGAAGCATTGATCTTTAAAGATAAATTGGTATGGCAATCATTGAATATAAAAGGAAAAATCATTTTCATTTTGATACTAATCTTATTCTGTTAGTATTTAGGATTTAAATTTTAAAAATATGCTTAAGGAATAAATAACGATAGGCCATTCAGCCATTCAATATGGTGAAATTCAGCATGAGTTGGTCATTATGTTGTACAAAGCACCAACCGATGGTAAATAAAAAGTACTAGTAGGCTAATGTAAAAGTAACATTGGCAATATTTTAGACTTACGTTAATGTTTACAACAAAAGCAAAGGACTAAATATATGAATTCTATCTCCTTTTAAAAGCAAATTCCAAACTGAAGATACATTCTAAACAAGACTATATTATCTAACTTTGAGCCAAAATATAATCTGCAAGTGGTAATAAATCAAGAATACAAAAAATCCTACTGAAGTCTGAACTGGAACTTAAGCAGTTCCTTCATTCTGTCACTTTGACGTTAAATAGTTACAGTAGTTGGGGAACAGTGATATAATGGGTAGGCTAACTGTTTCTAAATATGTGTTCCAGGTGGTAAAACTGAGGGAGGTCTTCCCCCATGGTACTGGTTTTGTCCTGGTATTTGATTATATGCTTTCTGACCTTGCTGAAGTGATACGTAACATTGAACGGCCCCTGTCTGAGGCCCAGATCAAATCCTACATGCAAATGCTGTTAAAAGGTGTAGCTTATTGTCATGAAAACAATATCATGCACAGAGTAAGTACTGCTGTTTTGTTACAAAAATTAAATGAATAAGTACTATAGTCTTCATGTCATGTGGGATTTTTATATTATATTAGCTGAAAGGCTCGTGGCTCTTTGGAACATTATATGCATGCCATGGTCATCAGCTGACATGAGAACCACAGTAAATCATGTACAGTGCATATTCGAACACATATCAATATATCAACCAAATCCCTCTCACTTTGACCACGCCTCTTATCCAAATCCCTCTCACTGTGAGTACTTTTCTCATCCCAATTTTATAACTCCCATTGAAATGTAAAAACCTGCTAATTTAAACACTTTTGGCAGTCCCAGTGGCATTTGGATTGGACACAACTGACAGATTTTACTGTAGTTATCTGTTGCCTCTTATTTCATGACATAATGCTACTATAGCAACCAGCACATTTCATTGTATTCTCATAACTACATTTTTACGATACTGTATACATATCAGTCACAAAACATAAATTGTATGTTTATGTATTTAAATTATTTTATTAATGTTTCAATTCATAAAAAAATCATGAGATTGTAAAATATCACTCATATTTAAAAATTGTTGAATGATAGTATCTATAATACAGTATATTACATTGAGCATCCCATTTCCTTTCGAATCTTGTGATGTTATATGTATGTTGATGGGAAGAACGATTATATTTTCAGGATTTAAAACCAGCTAACTTGTTGATCAGTTCAAAGGGCCATCTCAAGATTGCTGACTTTGGTCTGGCTCGAGTTTTCCAGAATGACACGGGTCGGCTTTACAGCCATCAAGTAGCTACAAGGTAATGGAAGAATACAATCATTTGCAATTTGATTGAAAGTGGTTATAGAAAATTGAGCCAACAGAAAGAAAAATGCATCTTAAAATTCCATTTTTTGAGAAACTTAAATAATGGCACGATACATGTACATTTAAAAGTTGATAATCACTTGTTTTAATGCCAAATGAATCAAAAATTTGAAAAAAGTTTACATTTTAAATTTTCATGACACTAAATTTGAAATTTTAAGGTCAAAGGACAAGATCAACAAATTATTAATCTATTGTTTTAATTTTTCTTTAAGTGTAGCTTTTATTCTATTTAGGTGGTACAGAGCCCCAGAATTGCTTTATGGTGCAAGGAAATATGATGAAGGCTGTGATCTTTGGTAAGTGTGATTCAACTTGTTGAAATTTCCCGCAATAACAATTCTGTCTAATGAAGTGAGACTAATATTACCTCTACTATGTAGGTATTTTATGCACCATCTGTATATTGTAATCCCATCAAAAATATCTTTACATGGTAACCTCTTCTTAAAGACCCTGTGTAAAGTTTGAAAATATGTTTTATCATTCATTAACTATTTTTTTGATTTTAAAAGTTGTTTAAGAGATTTTTTTCTTTGGGGAAAAATTGTCAACTTTTTTTCTCAAATATTCAAATTCCCACCATTTTTCAAAAAATGTAACACGTGGGAATTATAGGATTCACAACTTACAAAATCTTTAAAATTTCTCTCCAAGCAGGGTTTGGAATTTGCTAGCTAAGTATCCTAGCATGGTTCTAAAATAAATTCTGAACATGTCACAAAAAGTTAATCTTCAAATATTCCTCTATCATGTCTATGCAGTGCAAAACACATTATCTTTTTAATACTATTGTAGAGATTGAAGAAAGGACATTCTATTTCAATAATAAAATGTCGTATCTAATACGCCTCTTAAATGTTTAGCATATTAACAAAAATTACCCCAAGTGACATCATTGTAACGTCATTTAGAGTGCGTAATCTTTTTTTTTCCATTTCAATCTTTTCTAAATAAGAAAAACTTTCAAAATAAAACAATGTTGATTGTCTAGCTAGGTTGAAAAGAAGAATATACAGTATTATGATTTAAACATTACTGGTACTATGAGAACTTTTTAGAAATTTTAGAATGCATTTTTCTCTGAACCACTTTCATGCATGGATGAGTTCAGTTCTCGCTTATTTATCAAGCAATTTTCTTCAACAAAAGATACGTGAAGATTCATGTGGTGTGAATTATCTCTTATTAAATAAATCCACAATTTTTCGAACAAGAAGTCCTTCAAAAACCACTTACTGAAATTTAAAACAAGCTTCATATATTACATTTTGATAACATTCAATAAGGCTACAATATGAGCCAAAGTGGGTTAAACTTTATATGAGGTCTTTAAACACATGTGCATGGAAAAATACCTGTAAAAGAAAGAATTTTCCAAAAGTGTGTACATATAATTGTAAAGGTGTTTTCTCACAATACAAAGAAAGATAAATATTGGAGAAGAAAATAAACACAAAGTCTGAATAATACTTAGCACATCCAGGGATTTCCACCCATAGTTCTTCATATATCATGTATCAGGGCATAGTTTATTTACCATTGTTTTTAATTGGACCTGGAATATAGACAAAGGAATGTATGTATATTTATTTGGCAGTTCATTGGCAATTTCATTATTCTTCCAAAGTATATTGTGCAGTCCACGCCACTTTGAAAGAGTCTGGAAATGGACATTGTTCACACTCCAGTAAGTTGGGTAAAACTCAATTAAACCTGCATGTTTTGGTAGGAAGAGTACATGTGTGAGGCCAGCGCCATGCATGCCAACCAGGATATCACTGTTGCTCACATATTGTAGCTGCTGTTTCATAGATAGTAAATCTATTTGACTGGATTTTACTGTGAACCTAGGATACATCTCATGTGTAACATTCAGCAGTTCTTTTTCATTTTTTATTTTTCTGGTGACAAATCCTGTGGGGTTTCTGGGATGAGCAAGATAGTCCCGTCGCCATATGAATGAAATTGTCAGATTGTCACAGTTGAGTTTTTTGTCATTGCTAATGTTATAACGTTTGAGGAAGAACTGACTGAAATCTTCAATATATGGGATGTTCTTCCTGCTGTGTTTATGCATAGGACTGGAATAACCCAGAATACCCCATGCAAGATTTGTATACTTGACTACCTTAGTCTTTCTTCCTATATAGTCTGAAGAGTTAAAAAGTGTTTTCCAAACTGGATCTAGAGCCCCATTAGGGTGGCCATCAATAAAGAGAATATTTGTCTCTCCTGGGGAATGATTAAAGAACTTCATTAAAAGGAAAGCATTGTAGTAGTCTGTCATGGTATGATAAAGGTTAGCGTACTCATAGCGTGTTATAGCAATCGTGAAATCTCGTACTGTTTGTTCAGCTCCTGGTAACACTGGGACCATTTCCAAAGCCTGCAACCACAAAGATAAGTGATTTTTTATACCATCGAATCTATAATTGGGAACGTGTTCATTGCATTTAAGCTGAAAAAATCCTGGCTTCATTGTATAGTATTCTTTAATTTCCGCCTGATTAAACACACTATTGATTTTTTCACCACCCTTTCTTCCTGATGCCAAGGATGTATTAATAGTTGCATTGGAAATGTGAACAAAATTGTTGTCAAATAATTGTAACTGATCCCTGCAGTAGGTTTCTCTACTAGAGAACCACTTGTCCATCTCTTCATTATCCATAATTGGTACATCATGTTTCATATGGTCAGTCTCAGTGACTGTTTTAAGTGAAATATCATCAATATGTTTTCTCACAGAACTTTTATTTTTATCATCAGGAATTGGTTGAGTGTCTTTCACAGATAAACGGCCTGCAAGGTTCAGATCAGAAAATTCTAAGTATTTGGAATTGAAGGAATTCAATCTTTGGAGGAAGAATTTCATTGTTTCATCCTGTTTTGTATTAATATTTTCTGCTTCATTTAAATTGTTCCCATGATGGTAAACATTGTTAAGAGGTATATTTGGAACAGGGAGATTCAGGAAAATTAGCATATAGAGACTCCATAACACTGCCATCAGCAGGAATATACGATTACTCATTGGCTGTCGAAACAATTGTTTCCATTTTCTTCTTGACATGAAAAACGACATATTGCATGCTAGTCGTCAATTATTAATAAATATAAGCAGTAATTTCTTGTTCCTTGCCACAATTGATATTTCATCAGAATACAAATGTCTCCCAATGTTCCTACTGCTGATTTGGTATTGACCCAATTCACCTTTTTCTTAAGCTTCTATTGTACTCTACCTGAAAAGAAATAAAACAGTGATATACTATTGAATTAAATGATTAAATTAGCAAGATTAAAGAGCTAGAAAGAAGGAAATGTTATAGATTTCAAATAGTTTTGGTCAATATTTTTGGAAATAGATTTTTATATGACTATTGAATTGTATATCTGAGAGGAATATCCCACCAGAATTGATCAGCCGATGATGTCTTAGCAACACACTTCAAGGATTAAGATGGTGAAATGGAATAAAAAGTTAACATTGACCCAAAAATGACTTTTTTATAAGTAAAAAAAAAGAATTGAGTCAAGCAATCTAAAGTTGTTATTGAACCAAGAAATGATAAAAACCCTGATTTCTTATAATTTTGAACCTGAATAAAAACCTGGATGTTCACAATGACAAACAAGATAAATCTTTATCTGAGAACCCGAATCAAGACTACTGACTAAATGCTAGACCACATTTATATATGCATACAATTTTATTTCCTGATGTAATATATTATGTAATAGTCAATTTTTATCAGCAAGAAGTTTTGAGGGCATTGCAGCCTTTTCATCTGTATTTATGATACTTTTAGATTGCCCTAAGCACTTTGCATCATATCAAATAGTAAATGTATATAATTACCAATGATTGGGACTACAGTGTAAGGGGGCTTGATCTCTAATTGCTTATTTGTTGTAAACTATATTTATTAGATGATAACATGATAACTTCATGTCACAAAATTCAAAATGTGCCCATATGCAGGGCCTTAGCCAGCTTTTGCCAATATTTCAGGTACTTTTAATAATTAGCAATTAAATTGCTTCACAAAAAATTATCCCAAAAATTTTCATCTGTTACATCTTACTGATAGCCAAGTGAAGACTTTGATTCTATCCAGCAGTTTTTGCAAAAATGTCAAAATATAATCCCAAGATATTGCATTGATTTACTTAAAAGGTCCAACAATTAGTGCAGAGGGGTCATTCAATGATCATGGACCAGTGTCAAAATATATTCAAGTTTGGATATTTCATCAAGACTAACTTACTGCACTCCTGGTTTTTTGCGCGCTACTATATTTAACGCTTTTCATGAGTTTTGGAAAATTCGCAAAATATTATAGCTGCAAAATTCCTACAGTTCTAATTCGCAAAATGTTATTGTCGCAAAATTCCGTTAGTTTCGTTCAGTGCTGGGCGATAATAGGTAAAAACGTGAGCTTTCGAGTTTTGAAAAAAGAGAAATTAAGAAGAGAGATCTTTATTACTGTATCAAAATGAACAGTCTAATGAAATGGCATAATAAGAAGCCAAAATCACCTGTCAAAGGAACAATCTTGGCTGATATCTGAGTCGAAATAGTGATCTCGTATGACAAATCCGCGAAAATAAATAGCCGCGAAATTTCAAAAAACTGAAAATTAGCGAAATATAATAGCCGCGAAATTTCAAAATGCAAAAAATTCGAAATATAATAAACGTGATGGATGTTAAAAATCTATAAGTGGGACTCCCTTTATAGAAGCTTTGAACTGAATTTACACTTCTTATGCTGAAATAGATAGTTTATCCATACATTTTAAGAAAATTCGTATGTCAAAGAAGATGTTAAGCCAAATGTTGCCCTGATAGCTCAGAAAAAGTAAAAAAATTTGAATTTTTTCTCTACAGACCTTGTTTATTAGAATTTACTTACCTTCTCACAGTTATACAAATCTTTATCTTTGGGACTCATCATAGTCAAATTATATTTGTGTTCTCTTGATGCTCTGTTTGTTTTCAATACATAAACTTTTCCAAGCTATCTTATAAATACTAGTTATTACACTATCGTATTTGCTGTTGCGTTTACTCTGTGAATGTATAAGCTCTTTGTATGTACAGAGACATATAATATGTCTCTGGTATGTATAAGTTATGTCATGGGCACCAAGCAGGCCTGCACTGAGACAACATACCACCAACTAAGACCCCCCATTGCCCTTGTTTAACCAGTGAATTAGTGACACGATGGGGAGAAATTGACAAGTATCTTAAATACTAGAATCCTTACGAGCACATCCTTAAAGGTGAAGATGGCTTAGAGTTATATTTGAAACATATCTATTATGTTTAAATTAATGGATAAGCATTTAGGTGTTATGGGTTTGTTTCATTCTTGGCTGATGTGATCACCTTGATTCATCAGTGTATTTATATGACTATATCCCCCTCCGTTCAATACCCCTCCATTCAATTTAGATTATTATCAATTTTTTTTTTTATAGCGTATGGTATATAATTTTAAAAAGTCAGCAATGGCATTTATTTTGATAAATAATAATTTGATAATAATGTCACTTATATTATAACAGGTCGTGTAGACCCCTGTTGCTTGATTTATAGCAAAAACATTGACTTTTGCACGTTGGTGATATTATGCCCTTTTTAATAGATCTCATATCTTAGAAGTCTATCGGTCCAAAAAATATCCTAAGAGCCCTAACATATTTTACCGTGTTGTGTGCCTATTCATTTAGCAATTCAATTGTTAACTTTCTCCTAAAAAGTAAATCCTAGCAGAAACCATCGCATTCCCCCTCCGTTCTTCCGATCACCGGGAGTGACATTTGTGGTACAACAACTAAAACTGCTATTTATATTAAGTGGTATCTATATTTATTTTATGTTTATTCATGGTATCCATTTCATTTGTAAATATACCAGAGATGACTTCCACAATTTTAGTTTGATGCCAATTTAAAGAAGTTAGAAAAACACATGGATCATAAATTTTACCAACGATTTTGAGGTTATTGTGTTGTTACTGAAAGAATCTAGGTTTCTACATAATAATATACTGTATCATACAAATCCCTCATTTCATCAGAATTTTGCTTGTGCCATCACTGAATATAAGGATTATATAAGGATTCAACTTGTTATCATAGACTTTAAAGAGACTTTTTAAAGCCCATATTGTTATTAGGAAGTTTCAAAGAAGATTTTGTGAGTTTAATTTTTTTCTCCACTTTGAAAAAAATGACAGAGAATAGCATTTACCTGGCAATTCCCCTTTTGCCAAAAAGTAAGACTGTTCTCATGTACAAAGTCAATGGGAAGTTTTGTAATTGATAACTATATTTAAAAAACAGAATTCATATTGGCTCATTAATTATATGTTGATCCATAAGAGGAATTTTTCTTGTAATTGTAATTTATAAAAGTGTTCCCAGCAAGAGTTTAAAGACTTACCCCATTTAAAGTCAGAGACATTCAGGTCTCAGCAGTATATTGTCTCAGGTTGGGTCTTATGGGTACCTGTAAATACTGCATTCTGTTAATATCCCATCACAGTGTATTGGAAATTAAGTATTGTGTATTGGAAAACATTTTTCTCTGATTGTCAGGTTAATCGTTAATAGATTGATTAAAGTCAGTAACGTAGTATAGTGTGATCATTGAATTTTTCAGCAGTTATTTTAAAGATGATTTTTATGATATTGGTATGGTACATTGTTATCATGCACAACATATCCCCCCAGGCATGTTAGTGTTCATGTAATCAAGTAATATTTGCAAATCAAATGTATTTAAAGGGCAACTGAAAATGGCTTATTAGACTAAATATCCAAATTAATGTCAACCAAAATTTTTTTAAAGATGCTTCTTAAAAGTTTGATGTCCTAGTTGCAGAATGAGAAAAACTCTTAACAAAATCCAGTTTATTGAGATAAACTCTCTTTATAAGTAACTACACACTTAACTACTGGGAAATAATATGATCATTTATATTTGAATGGTCAACTGGAAAATGGCTAATTTTCACTTATATTTTAGTGAGAATTTTATGTAACCGAACTTTGTTTTGAATTCGTGCATTGCGCCGTGATAGTGGTGAAGCTTCACATTTTCAGAGACCCGATAGCTCCCAAAATTGCATTATAAACAGCTGTTGGAATTTACTTCTTTGTGGAGTTTCTACTTCATTTCTCATCCTTTTGAATATGTTTACAACTTCTTTTTAGGGTTAAATTTCTTAGTTTTGTATGTTCATTTAAATGCAATTGTTTTGTACCTTAGGGCTGTTGGCTGTATATTTGGAGAAATGCTGAACAGTTCCCCTTTATTCCCAGTAAGTTACTCTATTAATTATGTTTTGTACATTATATCACTAAGTATGGTCAAATATACACTCATATATATGCCATGACCACACACTTGAATAAATCCTATGATTGTTACAATGAAAAAAATAAAAATTATGTAGCACTTTCTAACACCCAATTTTCACTTCCATTTCTGGAATCATTTGAATTCTATTTTAGTGTTAAAACAATGTATATTTGTATGTACAATTCAATGATTAAAACCATTTATAATGATCATAATTATAATGCACAAAATTACTTGTACAGTCCGTCCCAAAAGACGCAACAAGCAAAAATATTGTAAAACCACAAAACCAGTGATGATTACATAAATTTTATTTAATTTACCATGAAGCCATGTGTCTCCTCTTTCCAATGGTAAATGAAATTGATATTATCATCACTGGTTTGGCATGTTTGGTGGTTTTACAATGTTTTTGCTTGTTGCGTTTTTGGGACGCACTGTATATTAGCCTGAACTCTTGCCCTATAGCATTGTGTTCTGTTCAACCATGTATGAATAAAATTAAACTTGATGCTTTTTCTAAAATAGGCCTAGTAGATAATTTCTTGTGTTTAAATCATTTAACTGTACATATAAACCTACCCAGAAGTCTCCTGAATGGATTCGAGAACAAGAATACATGCTGTTCACTTTTTATCCCAACGAATAAAGTTCGATAGGGATATAGTGAAGCCTTCCGGCCGTCTGTCAGTCTGTCTGCCCGGAAGATAACTTGAATACGAGTGGACGGATTTTCTTCATATTTGGTGCAAAGATGTATATTGGTGAATAGTTGTACGCAACAAAATTGTAGAATTTCACAATAATTTTCTGATCTCTTAAAAGTATGGCTATATTAATATTATTCTCAAATTGAAGGATATTTAGGGCAGATCACTATTTTGGTATTGCTTTCCAGATTTGTGCCTCAGAAATGGTCACCCAAATGCTTTTTAAATTGGTAGAAATTCTCATATATCTAATGTTTCCGATGTTTATGTTTTTTTGACAAATACAGATTCATATAACAGTATAAGTCATAGTGTTCATTGGGATTTACTACTCTGTGGAGTTGCTGTTTTCTAGAAAAATGCATGATTGAATTATTTTTTTTGATTTGTGGCCACTTGTATGTGTTATATGTCTAACTTCAGGGTGAGAATGATATTGAGCAACTATGTTGTGTATTGCGCATCTTGGGCACACCAAATGAAAAGATTTGGCCGGTAAGTTGTTCTTTATATGACTCAAGCCATGGTAATTTTAATTTGAGATATATAGCTATGCCCTGACAGTCATCATTTGTGTGTGAAGGGTTCATGGTAATTCTAATTTGAGATATATAGCTATGCCCTGACAGTCATCATTTGTGTATGAAGGGCAAATGGTAATTCTTATGTGAGATATATAGCTATGCCCTGACAGTCATCATTTGTGTATAAAGGGCAAATGGTAATTCTTATATGAGATATATAGATATGCCCTGACAGTCATCATTTATGTATGAAGGGCAAATGGTAATTCTAGTTTGAGATATATAGCTATGCCTTGACAGTCATCATTTGTGTATGAAGGGCAAATGGTAATTCTTATGTGAGATATATAGCTATGCCCTGACAGTCATTATTTGTGTGTGAAGGGCACATGGTAATTCGAACTTGAGATATATAGCTATGCCATGACAGTCATCATTTGTGTATGAAGGGCAAATGGTAATTCTTATGTGAGATATATAGCTATGCCCTGACAGTCATCATTTGTGTATGAAGGGCTCATGGTAATTCTTATGTGAGATATATAGCTATGCCCTGACAGTCATCATTTGTGTATGAAGGGCAAATGGTAATTTTTATGTGAGATATATAGCTACGCCGTGACAGTCATCATTTGTGTGTGAAGGGCAAATGGTAATTCTTATGTGAGATATATAGCTATGCCCTGACAGTCATCATTTGTGTATGAAGGGCTCATGGTAATTCTTATGTGAGATATATAGCTATGCCCTGACAGTCATCATTTGTGTATGAAGGGCAAATGGTAATTATTATGTGAGATATATAGCTATGCCCTGACAGTCATCATTTGTGTATGAAGGGCTCATGGTAATTCTTATGTGAGATATACAGCTATGCTGTGACAGTCATCATTTTTTGTATGAAGGGCACATGGTAATTCTTATGTGAGATATATAGCTATGCCCTGACAGTCATCATTTGTGTATGAAGGGCAAATGGTAATTCTTATGTGAGATATATAGCTATGCCCTGACAGTCATCATTTATGTATGAAGGGCAAATGGTAATTCTAATTTGAGATATATACCTATGCCCTGACAGTCATCATTTTTTGTATAAAGGGCAAATGGTAATTCATATGTGAGATATGTAGCTATGCCCTGACAGTCATCATTTATGTATAAAGGGCAAATGGTAATTCTTATGTGAGATATATAGCTATGCTGTGACAGTCAACATTTGTGTATGAAGGGCAAATGGTAATTCTCATGTGAGATATATAGCTATGCTGTGACGGTCATCATTTGTGTATGAAGGGCAAATGGTAATTCTTATGTGAGATATGTAGCTATGCCCTGACAGTCATCATTTGTGTATGAAGGGCAAATGGTAATTCTTATGTGAGATATGTAGCTACACATCAAGTTGATTCAATTTTATTTTTTTCTAACACAGGGAATGTCAGAGCTACCAGACTACAACAAGATCAGTTTCCCTGAGAACCCCCCTATCCCAATGGAAGAAGTGCTACCCGATGCATCTAAAGAAGCTTTATCTCTATTGAAAAAATTCCTGGTCTACCCATCGACAAAGAGGATATCAGCCAAAGAGGTTTGTATTGATTAGGTATTTAGTTACTGTAGACGTCTTTAATTGCGCGGTGTGTATATTGTCGCTATACTTGCGGGATGCCTTCCATCCGCGAAAAAAAGAACCCGTGAATAATTAGCTACCCATGAAGGTATAGGGTAGTTGACTTGAAAAAAACTGAAAAATTTTGAAAAAATTATGATTTTGTTGATTTTCTGTAAGACTGAGGCACTTACCCCTCATATCCCTAAGGTGCATTATAGTTTATAAGTGTGTGCGTATAAGTATAGCTTCATTAGTCATTATCGTGAAATAGTAATGCACACAGTTGTTTTTATAGCGGAAAACGATCTCAAACACTTTTATTTTAGTTCATGCATGCGCACTGAACTCATAGATCAAAGTTCAAATTAACATCGGTGTAAGAACTAACTCAGCAATCAATACTGCTGCAGGACTACTATAGTATAATTCAGTGCGAAAAATTTACAGTACATGTGATCAAAGTTTATACAGATAACTTGATGAGTGCAATCAGCGCGAAAATATACACACGCGAAATAACGAATTTATAAAAGGGGCGAAAAGGAGCACGTTGGTTATCGCAAACAATTTCAGAAGGTTATATCTTGGATTATGACTATATTCTGACAATGAAGACAAGTTTATCTTTTAGATCAATTCATTATCTCAAAGAAAATTATGCTCAGTATTAATAAATTCAAACAAACTCGGAGATATTTAACTAGCAATTAACCCATCAACACACTTTTTCAAAGATGTTGACCCCATTTTCACCAAAAATGCAATCATTTTTTACAATGTTTAATGCATTACTGTTCTTTATTTTGATGTATCAAATAGTTCTTGAAAGAAAAACTTAATTGCATTAAGATAAGTGTTCCCCATGTTATTTCTCCATTGAAAAATCTCATGCTATCCATTGGTTTCAGTTCATTTTGGTCATCCAAATTGAATATCTTTAAAGTCCCTGGAGCAATCAAATTTTCCTTTTAGAAAATCGAACATGTCTCAAAGCACATTCTAATTATGCATTCGACAATATAATAATAGGTTGCATTTTTGGTGAAAATTAGGTCAACATTTTTGAAAAAGTATGTTGATTGGTCCATTGCCCCTTCAATATCACTTAGGTCTGATTAACTAAATTATCATTATATATACTTCTCCTGAAGTTAATGAATGGATCTAAAAGATACACCCATGTTCATGATCAGAAAATATTCATAATTCAAGTTAGAATCGTTTGAAATTGTTTGCGATAACCTACGAGCTAGAGGTGTCAAGTATTAACCGGTTAACCGGTTAACCGCCGATAATGCCTTGACCGGTCTGAGTTTTTATGGGCGGTTAGTTGACCGTGTATAATTCTGTTATTTCCCGCGCTTATTTTGCATGCTAATCCGATTGGTTTTATGGTGTCAGTTTCACGTAAGCTACTCATACATGTCATAAGTCCCATAACTCCTTACAAACATCCAATCAGCAACTTTAATCCCTGCCACATTGCTTTCCCGCGCTTACTTTGCATTTTAATCTGTTTGTTTTTCAAGCGTCAGTTTCATGTGAGCTACTCATACATGTGATAGGTCCGATAATTCCTTACAAACATCCAATCAGCAACTTTAATCCCTGCCACATTCCTTTCCCGCGCTTACTTACATAGAATAACGTAAAGCTTGACGAACGTAAAAAATAAACGCCGATATATCATTTTCCAATTTTTTTCAACTTTCAAGATCGGAGATGAAGATTTCATTTGAAATTATCAGTTCAAATTTCCCGCCGGTTAACCGACTTTAACCGGTAAAAACCCCCGGTTAACCGGTTAATGCTCAAGCGGTTAATTGACACCACTACTACGAGCTCCTTTACCTTTGTGTAAATTAAGAAGTCTTCAGTAACTTAAATGCTCATCCTCTCTCTACATGATCTCAGCTTTAGTCCTGAGACAAACATTTACCTTGTAGCTAAGTATATCATGTATCAACAAAGCTTTGTTATTATAAAAGACAGTGTTTTTACACCTGTTTTAGCAGAAACAGAATACAATAAATCAATAAAAGATGATTGCCAATGGATAGGTGCAGGTAGCAGGCCTGTCAACTTGGGAACACCTAACATGAGTGACTTACAAATGTTGAACACCTGTCTTCCAAATTTTGGACCCCTTGGCCCAAATCAGAACACTTTGGCCCACATGGGGCTTAAGGACAAAATATTTCGAGATAAATGCGTGACATATACGGTATCCGCATGAAAAGTCAGAACGACATGCGTTCGATTTTTTTGGCGTTTGGTTTTGTGCTGTATCGGCTATCACTTTTTTGAAGTTTTTGTACAGTAATATTTTTGCAGTATTTGCGTGACATATTCTGTCACGCAAAAATAACTGGCGTGACTTCAAATTTTCCAGCAAAAGCGTGATAAATACGCAAATTGCGGGACAGTTGGACGGCCTGAGGTAGAAATAATTATCCCATCAAACGATGTTCGGAGGGATATAGGGGGAATGCCTCCATCTGTCTGTCCATCCATAAGTCCGTAGGTACATCCTTCCTTACGTATATGAGCAACTATTTTGAAAATGGTGGCCATTTTTTGTGTTATTTTACGATTTTTGCCATATACTTTATGTGTGTAAAAATGCCAGCCATGACTGTTCGATTGGATTTGCTACGCTTTGCCATTACTTTTGTCAAGTTTAATTTTGATGATAAAATAGTCAAATGTATAATTCAAAAAATGTATTTCAAGAAATATTGTTTTATAACAGTAATGATTGTTTATCAACTTTGATAATGAGTTGAATGGAGAATGAAATGTTTTTTTCATGTATTTTGATTGTTTTTGACAAATTTTGTCAAATTGCAATATTCAGGTAGCAACTAAAATGCTCAAAGAAAAACATTATCATGTAGCAAACTGCCCCTCAAATTCTAGACTGAGATATCTGTAATCATTGTCTCAATCTTGTCTTATAACAAATCCTCGGTTATTTTCCGCCTTTTTGCACTGAACGAAACGACCATTACTTTAAAATTTTTGACAATTTGTGGTTTTTCAGTCCAAAATCCGCATGTTTTCATTAAAAATAGGAGAATGAATCATCTAGTTCTAATTAAGGTACTATAACAAATTGGGTGTGAAACAAATTATAGCGTATTCATCGATGAAACGTGTTATAATTACCTGTTTGCTGTGCAATATTTCGTGCAGGCGACATTTATGTTTTCCCGGCAGGAAATTCTGTTTCGCTTAAGCGAGTAGAGTCCAATCAGTGGTGTTGTCTTATTTTGCTTCACTATGGATCCGTATCAACCAATCAGCGTTGAGATTGTTTATCGCTATCGGAAATATGATGAAAAAAATGAAAAAATATCGGAGTGGTAAGTTCCATTGATTCTATGCGTATGCGATGGAAGGGTTGAAAACTTGAAATGAGATTCATTAGGTAAATTTGAGGTTGCAAACATTTGCTCCCGGCCACCCAGGTTTTGGAGCAAAATGTCAAATCAGATAGCAAATTTGCCACTTGCTACTGACCCTAGACTAATAATTGTGAACACCTTGGTCCAAAATAGAAATAGAATACCGTGGTCCAAATTTTGGACACCTTGGTCAGGCCCGTAGCCAGGATTTGCCAACGGGGGGTTCAGTTTCAAAAACTTCCAGGGGAGGTTCACATTAGAAAATTTTGGCCAAAACATGGCTAAAATCCGGTTGGAAGAAAAGGATGACACCACAAAAGGATGACACCACAAAAGGATGACACCATAAAAAGATGACACCACAAAAGGATGACACTAGTAGAAAAAGGATGACCCTTGTAAAATGTTATAAGAAATAGATGACAATGCTTGATTTCTATATTTCATAATCCCTTTGAACCAAATACTTTGCTAAATATATGAAATTAGCTTTCACTTATGCAAATGATGAAAATGAGAATAAAGCAAGAGGAACAATTATAGGAGCTAAGATGAATTAGGGGTTGAGTTGAAAAAGACTATCATCATTGTACAATTATTATTATGAATGCACATTGTAATTTGAGAAATTCAATAATCTGCCATGCAAATATGCAAAAATAGCTACAAGTCTAAGGAATCTCAAACTGTTATAATCAAAAGCCATTTTGAAATTCAGCTGCCATCTTAAACAATTTTTTCTTGAGCAGAGGTCCTTTGTCCTCAGCATCAGTATATACAATTTTAACCAAATCATCTTGTATTTGTAATTGTAAACTTGTATAAAGTAATCAAGGATTACTTTCTTCTATGAAAAATGGTGGCCCTTTTAAAGTTCAGCTGCCATATTTCTTCTCCAGCGGAGCTCCTGTGTCCCTAGTCCCTTGAAACTAAATGGCCATCTTGAAAATCTCTTATTGAGAAGAGACCCATCGTCCCTCGGCATCAGCATATAAAATAACCCAGATGCGAGTAGAAATAATCTTGATTTACGTCATCAAAAATTCAAAATTCAGTCAAAGTAATATCATATTTGAAATCTACATGTAAAATTACATTTAGAAATGTGGTTTTAAAAAGTGTTTATCAACTTTGAAAAATTAGTTTTCTTTGAAAATGTGACTTCTAGCTCGGGGAGATTCCCCATAGACCCCATGCTATAAAATCACAAAAAATGAAATATCTTTTCTTTTAGTGGACAGATAATATTTTGCTTTACTGGACATATTTTCATTAGTATAAGTATTAGACACATAAGGGTTATATGAAAATTGAGCCACTTAAATTGATAATATTCAAGTTTAAAGGAACTTTCTTATATACCTGCCATGTTATTTGACCCGAATCAGCCACCTGGTGGTGAAACTGGTAACTACCTACTCGCATTTGGGTAATTGGAACCAAATCAACTATTCTAGTATTTGAGTTACAATTATAAAATAATAAAAGTTACAATTTTACAAAAAATGATGGCCATTTTGAATGGCGCAGCCATATTGAAATTCCATTTTGACAGAGGTCCTACACCTA